CAAAGGATGGGGTAGAAACAATTAATGGAGACTTCCTCAAGCTCGCAACTCAAAGGCAACGATTATGGGAAGATGATTTTATTGAGAACCTACAGAGAGCTACTGAGAAGAATCCCCACTACGCCGACACCGAACAACCTCTCGCGCCAGATCAATTACACCAGCCAAGTCTGGGTCGGGGGCGGGAGGACACAGCAAACGAAGGCACTCCAATCCAATCTCCACATCCCTTGTCGCCAAGGACAGGTCAAGCTCAATCTCGTGACGCTCCTCAGGCGCAAGTTGCACCTTCCGTGAACGAAGCCTCTCGCGAAGACGCGACTGGTCAGCCAAGCCTCTGGAGAATGCCACCTCGCCGTGAAGAAGATACTTCGCCCGTACGCGTTTCTCAATTGGCTCGTCTATGTCTTGAAAGGCCTCAGCTGACCGCTTATTTAGCTCTCGAGCGGGGGGGGGAACTGTCTGGGACTGAGGAGATTCTGGAGAAGACTTCTCCGCTGCAAATGGCGAAACAGAGGAAGGGCCAACCTCGTGGTCAGTAAGGGCAACCACCTCAGGAGAAGCAGAAGAAGGGGGAGTGACAACGACGGCAGGAGCAGGAACAACGGCAGGAGTAGAAGAAGAAGCAGAAGCAGGAGGAGTGGTAGGGGTCGAAGGAGTGATAGGAGAGTGAGAAGTGGCAGCAGGACGCGACTCTGGAGACGTGCCCAAAGACAGACTTAAGCTCTTGTCCGAAGAGGGAAGCATTGTCTTGGTGGAAGTGGTTGGTCTTGGGCAAGGAGGAACCTCGTCTTTCTTAATAACAGTGCGGGCCATGATGACGATGAAGTAGTTCAAGCAGGGCAAGGAGGAAGGAGTTGCGAATGAAAAAAAAGAAAAAAAAAAAAAAAAAAAAAAAAGGGAATGGAGGAATGAACCAACATTTATGTCCATGGCAACATCATCATGTGGAAGTAATGGCGTGATCACGGATCAAAATGATTGGCCGAAGAAAGAAAATTTTCCTTGGTCGATGCCAAGGCGAACCAAAGGGTGACAAGAACAATGATGCAATGACCAAAATGCGGGGTAGCAAGAGTCAAGGTGGAAAGAGGTAGAAGCGCAAACAGCACAATGAGTTTCTTTCTTTTTGAGCTGCGGCTTGGCGGAGCCGAACTTCGCAGCTGGTGGGGGTGTTGGTTTTAGTTTTAGTCACGTGTAGAGGGTTCGCCACCAACTATTTAACGAGCAACAGCTCAGGAAAATCTGGCTCCTTGTTCCTTATTTTTACACAAGAGCCATTTGAGTACTGACTGTTCTCGTCCAGTCTTTGAGTAGTGTGTGTGTTCTTTTATTGTGTTAGAATTATTTATCTATCTGCAGCTGGAAGTGACCGGCTTCATAATCCACCAAAACGACCTAAATCTCCTACCACATCTGCCCCTAAATTTTGCAACAGCATTGAGAAAGGATGGTAAGAATAGAGTTGTACATGGATGTTGAACGCATTACACACCGAAAATAATAATGGTATATAAAGGTATATAAAATAGAGAGATCAGGAACAAGCAATAGGTGAAAATATGTTTGAAAGTGGTAAAGATTGCGGAAAATAAAAAATAAAAAAATAAAAAAAGACAGGAAGACGCTCTACAACTTCTGAAAAAGGAAAGAAAATCTGTGCAAATTTATTACGCGTCTTGCTTAACTTGATGCAACTAAAGTCTAGGACTGCGATTTCTTATTAATAAAGAGACTATGCTTATTACATGTCCCTCAATACGACATTCCTTCCCCTTTCCTCCTCATCCTAGTCTTGCACCGTGAGCGCGGATTTACCGAGTTATGGACACGGAGCAGAGAGGAATGAGAGAATAAGGAGGAGGAAAACGAGGAGGAAGACAGGGAAAAAAGGGACTTCAATAGAAGCACATTTTCCCCAGTTAGGAATCCATATTTGATGCCACAATACATCAATTTATCGTCAGGTTGGTAGCATTCTATAAACCTATAAAAGATTAAGTTGGACGGTATGGTAGTCATGGCTTACACAAATGTTCGGCGCACGTTCAGGGCGTTCCATCTGCAACAAAAATGAGAATGACAAAGGCTCCTTTTCAGGGGTAGAAGAAGAGAGCTGAAAGGCCCCATGAAAATAAAAAAAAAATAGTAATAGTAAACAATCATGAAACACTTTTGCACGTATGGACTCCATCTTAGCACAATGTATTATCTGTCTTTTTGTTATTGATCTGGTTTATTCAAAATATCATTTCCAGACTCTTTTGCCGAGTGAAGAAATTGGTAAAATTGATGGAGTCAACTTTTCTGTAATACAGTGTTTAAATAATTATAATCACAATGGCTTTCACTGGATTTTCGGCCCAGGGATAGTATCATTAGAAGGAAGAATAAAAAAAGCAACATCGTCGATATTCTATCCCCCTCTCTTTTTTGTACTCATATGGGGATGAGTTATGCATTGTATTCTCGTTTGAGTCCCTCCTGCCTTTCGCAGCATCCTTTTACTCTTGTCCCTGCTTCTCTTTCATCCTGCCCCTGAATTCGTGTTCAATACCCCCATAGATGCCTGCGCCTTGTAAAAGGGGTAAAGAATGCATTCACTTTCAGATGAGCGTCGATCTGTTCAATTGTATTCTACGCCTTTGGTGCTTGTGCACAGAGTACCGTGCGTTCATGCACTTGCATTAATCAGTCTTTTTTTTTTTTTTTTTTTTTTTTTTCTAAAAAAAAAAAAAAAAAAAAAAAAAAGACAAAGAGCCTAGGCGACCTGATTCATCACTTCGTCTTACCATTGATAAAGATTCTTCATTGACTGGTCCAGAGGTTGTGTACCCAATTCGTGATATCAGCTCGTATGAAGTATTTCCGACAAGTACATGATTGCTAGAACCTCAATTATTTTTATTATTGTTATCACTACAATTGTTTTTTTTTTTTTTTTTTTTTTTTTTTTTAGTTCCTGCTCACCCCCTGACGAGCTTGGGCCTGTGGCGAGATAATTCCGTGCTACCAGGAGCAGAGCATAAAATCAATGGTTCGGAGCTCGTACCGTTGCCCCGCCTATTCTTATTCACTCTCATATCCTTTTCTATCCTATGAATTGACTACATGTGATTCTGAGGGTTTTAACAGAGTCCCTTTTTTCGACTGAAAGTCCCTTTTGTGACAGCTGCCAAGACATACATACTGCTTTGGGTTCTTGCCTGTCATTAGGCTCCGGCGTGGTACAACAATTCAGCCGCTTCGTATTCCGAGAATTTTTTTAGTACAACAGGGACATGAAGCCATACCTTTCAAGGTTTCGTCGTCTGTTAATACGCTACATCCTCATCCATAGATCATCTACGCCAGAACCATGTCTTCGATACTTTTAAGGTTAATTGCGCCCAAACCCAATTGTTCTAGTTACTAAATCGCGAATGCCCAGGGTAACCCTGTTCCCTTCAAAGATCCAAGTCTTAAAAAGAGCATATTGGTACTATGGTGATGATCCCATCTACTTTCATTAGTTTTGTTTTATCGGGCTGTTAACATCTTTAGGATTTGGACCTTCGTTGTCGTCATCATAGCACCGCATTTAATCTCATAAGGAGTACTTGACTGCCGATGATAAATTGCATCAAGGCAGTTCTTCTCTGACACTGCTTTTTGTAAGATAAATTAAGAAATTTTGCCATGGGTCTGGCTTACGGCTCGACTCTCTAAGCAGTCCTATTGTCCCCTTTCCTTAATTTGCTATTTTCAAGATCATGTTTGTCAGATTGTGCCTTGTTGTCTGATCAGTTCTCTTACTGGCCCTTGGTATTTGCTATCTTGACCATCTTTCCTCCCTTTTCTGCCTCTGTCGTCCAAGCCAGATTATCTTGGCTCAAACACTCCCCGACTCCTACTTTTTTAGTCGCAGAAAAAAGAAATGTGTTCCTTTTCTGTATAGAGAATATGGTGTGTCCATTCTCTTTAGCCTGCCTTATTTCCACACTCCCCTTCGTGCCCCGTCTCCCTTCTCCCCTCGCTGTTTCCCCATCCTACCCCACTCCGCCTTTGAATCTTTTTTTTTTTTAGGCCCTCAAACATCTCCACAGACACAAACAAACAAATAAGAAGTTCACTATTGCCGGCTTCTGTTGACACCCCTTGTTTCCAGAATCTGGATCTCCCACTACCCAGCTTTCAAATCTCTGAGCTGCCCGGCATGGTCGTATGTTATTCATTCTTTTAGTTTTAGTATAAAAAGTACCGACGACTTCCTTTGCTTCGGCTTTTTTTTTAATTTTCCCTTTCTTTTCTTTTTCTTTTCTTTTCTTTCTTTGTTGTCATCAACCACAGTTCATATTGTTCATTGTTGCACTTAGCTTATTAAACACAATCAACACTCTTATATTTCATCGTGCGATCCTCTTGATAAACATCCATCACCTCCTATGATGTTCATCATTACAATTCTTTTTTAATGTAATATAGTTTAATAGTGTAGGTAATTAATCCGAGAAGTGCAACCATGAAACTTCAGCGCATTATTGTTCGTGTAAACATGGACTAATTGGGATAACAAATCTGTCTTTTTTTTTTTTTTTTTTTTTTTTTTTGTAGATTCGAGCGTATTACAAACAACATCAAGACCATATCGCTTCTTTCTTTTCTTTCTTTCTTTCTTTCTTTCTTTTTTTTTTTTTTTTTTTTTTTTTTTTCAGCCACAGATAGCTAAAATCAAATCAACCACACAGCTTCCTCGTCCCTCTTCCTCTTCTGCACCCAACCCCTTCTTTCGGCATAAAAAATAGAACATCCTCTTGCTTTGTTTATTCTTATTCATATTTCGCGTTTCTTCGAAATTGTGATCTTGTTACCAAAGAAACAGTCAGATTCACAGATCACAAACTCAAACTTCGTTCACCTTGCTCGTAATTCTACTTATCACTCACTGTAGCTCAGCTGAAGCTGTCTTTCAGTAGAACAATCATCACCATCACCATCTTTTCGAGCATATAAAGCCTGTCATGTCGTCTGCTGTTGATCTTCCCTCGATCCAGACTAAACTCTGTCCTTATTCCACTTCCACCGAACCCTCGCGTCCTCGTCGATCTGTCTCACCTGACCTAACTTCTCCATCCATGACGTTCCAAAACAGGTTCTACTCGAGCTCCTCTGCATCGTCTTATCTCTCCACTTACAGCTTGTCCTCAGACCGCTCACTGCCCACCTCGCCTGGCCCTGCTACGCCCTGTGACATGACGAGTCAATCCCCTTCGTTCTCACACGAATCGATCTACAAGCCTTCATTGTACAACTCGCAGCATAAACACCCCCTCTTTTCTTCATATACTTCTTCTCCATCCCCTCCTTTGATTTCTTCTCCTCAGCGATATACAACTTCTCTTTCTCCCATTTCTTCCTTCCGTCATCGCCCCCACCAATCTTATCATCATTCTCACCAGCAACAGAAGCGGTATTCTCAAGCCAGCTGTCAAGAGCGCCCTTTCCCATCATCTTCCCGAGACCTTCCAAATCCATCTTGCCCTAGAGACATGCTGCCTAACCGCCCGCTTCATGGCCATAGTGATTATCGCCTTTCTTACCATCATCATCCACAGCACCAAGGATACCAACAACGATTATCCTACAGCACCAGTGCCAATAACAGCAGCAACAACCATCATCAAATCGACCACTTTCAAGTATTATTGCCCCCTGGAGCTTCCTATAATCCTTCATTAACACACCACACTGCTGCTCGTACCATGATAACCACCCTCAAGGAGGAAGAGCAAGAGCCATCAGTACATATGCGATCTATTACCCCACCATGCATGGCGAGATCGAGCCATGATCACTCTACGGTATCCTCAGCTGAGGACGACCGAAGCGACTATTATCCCTCAATATCGCGCTCCCCTTCATTCTCTCGGGATTCATCGCCTACTGTGTCCTCTGATAGTATTGGATCAATGTCAGAAGCTTCTGCATCCATGATCTCTTTGATCTCATCGTCCTCTTCCTCTTCCACTTCCACTCCTATGGTCCCAATCTCTACTACCACCCAGTCACTACTGTGCCCCGTCTGCAGCCGTGCCTTCAAGCCTAGCAAGAATCAAAACTGTAATTTAAGAAGACACTTGAAGAACGTCCACAACATGTCGCCTACTATCCACCCAAGGAAGTGCAAGTGGGACTCTTTACCCGACGGTCGCGTGAAGGATGATAAGGACCGAAAAGAGCGTACTCGTAAGAGCAAGCGGCTTTGGGCGCGCAAGTTTCGTCTGCGACGCAAAGTCGAAGAAGCTGCTGTGGTCCTCAGTATGCTTAGCCAAGCTGTTTAGACCAGAAGAGTCAAAACAATTCGCACAGCAAAAAAAAAAAAAAAAAAAAAAAAAAAAAGAAAGAAAAGAAAAGAGGCAAAACGACGGCTTGCGCAAAGTGGAGGATGTTCATGAGTTCAGAATCTTACAACTACAATCCTAATCAAGTTCTTATCTACAGCGAAGGGAGTCAAAAAGAAAACAAAACAAAATGATGAAAGTGGTGGCTAATCGAAAGCTGGACGCCCTTTGCCACCTCATTTCTCCATATTCATCCCTTCGAAAAAAAAAAAAAAAAAAAAAAATCTCACTCTCTTTTGTTTTCGATTTACCGACCAAGAGGGGAGAGTGAATCTACTTCGCCTCCCTTCTAAATATCCCTTTCACACGCATATATACGTACGCTTTTTTTTTTTTCTTTCTCCTTTTAATCCACCTTCGCAGCCTCTCTTTACTTTTTCTTTTATTCCTTCTTTTGTTTCATATTGTGAATGTGGCTATTGTCCCTAATAAGAATGAAGGATGGGAACAAAGTACAACTTGGTTTCTTAATCAGGGTTGGCTGTTGGTGAGGGAAGAGTGAATTGACATTTGTATCCATGAATTTTTTATCTTACAATCTACTTTAAAAAGAGTGAGAGGAACTATGATAGTTTTCATTCATTCAGTTGTATCATACGTCTTGCTTTGGGTCTTTCTTCTCTTTGTACATTTTTTTTTCTTTAGTTCTATCCAATCTTCTCACCCTTCGATACTTGTACATATCGCATATTCCACATCTCTCTTTGTTTTCTAGCAGGCAGATTCCTTTAGGAAGAATATAGTCAAAATAAAAATGAATAGTATAATAAATGTATAGTACAGCCCGTTCCATTTGGTCGCGATCCCTTATATTTTTTGAATACTCTTAAATGTATTGGCAGCCGCTTGTTATTGCAAGTGATGTGACTGGTCATTAAAATTAATTTCAGTTTATTTTGTATCCACTAATCTGTCGAACCAGCTTAAAGGAATCTTTGCGCAAAGCCTTTGTAGTCATAGGCGGGTCCGCCTCACCTAGAAACTACCGAGTATAAAAGCCAAAGAAACTTCCTTCTTAATAAAGTCTTCAGTTTTCCCCACATGTCTTATTCTTCACCCGCAGTTCATCTTGCCATTTATCTTTTTCCCCTTTTCACAACAAGCATTTGTCTTCCGGTAACTCAGTTTGTGAGCTCACCTATAAAGCTCCCATCTTTTCTTTTGACATTCTATGGCGCTGTTTGTAGTCAAGGTTATTTGACTCTATTTTCTCTTGTCAATCTTGTTGACACTCTTTGTCCTGCCTTTTCCTGATTGTGTCTATCTTTCTGTCCCTTAAGCAAAGATATTTTTTACAACAATGCCACCAAGCCAATTTATTAGGATTAAGATATGTGGGGTCTATATGTTGTCTAAATAGTCCTCCCCATAAAAAAACACCATCTAGACCAAGCATAGAAATAAAGAGATTAGTCAAGAAAGCACTGTCAAGCTAATACTTACAACTTTTTCAAGACGAAGGCCTTTCCCGACCTAGTCATGTTTGTAGTAGCTCATGAAAAATTTTAGACAGACAAATAGTAACCAGGGAGCAGAAGTGAGAATAGGATGTGGGTTCACACATCACATCCATGGGGCATTTATCCAAATTTGTATCAAAATAAAACTGTAAGTTTGTATCGGGCACCACACCATGGGGCATAGAGCTGTTGGTATGTCTGTATTATAAATTTTCATGTAACACGTGTACTGTGAAATATGCAACTAATCATATCCTATTGTTGTTGCCGGCCTGGTGTCTTTCCTCCCCATGGATTCAACGAGGGCTATTTTGGTATCTCGAGTTTGGACTCAACCCGTCAGTGAGCATTGGTGCAACGCATATAAGGCACACAGGCTGTTGACGAGCCTACTTCTCACCTTCACCGTTTGACGCAGGTCAGGGTTGTGACAGTCTAGCGAAGAAAACATAAGGGCATTAACAATATCAGGATCGCATTAGACGGTAGTTGTGGTATTTGCAGATGAAAATAGGGAAGAACTGCGCAAACCCAGCGGATCAAATAAAAGAAAAAGTGAGTCGACTCAAGCGGAGGACGACAAGTCCAATAGGCCAAGCAGGGATAAGGGACCAAGGAAAAAGTAGCGATCGTTTCTTTTACTTCTTTTTACTCGCCATTGTTTATGACAATGGCACAGACACAATTTTGTAATATAGCACTAATAGATAAATTAAAATATCGCTATTCAATAAACCTGAGCAAGGAGAAGTGAGCACACCAAGCGGATTGCCGCAGCTGCATCATCAGAATTTTCTCAAGCAAGTGGCAAGTTGTTTCTATGAGTGGCGGAATAGGAATCCTCTCTCAAATGAATTGCCATTTGACGATAGGCTCGTCACTAAGAGCGGACAATTTGCCTTGCAGCACGTTCATTCGCTGCAGGTGGCTTCGACCTCTGGTGACGAAGTTCATGTGCACATGCACGTACTGAAAGGCAAATCTGGCTCGCTCTTGCAGACACTTCTCTCTCAGGCTGGGACCAAACTTGACATTTTGGCTGGAGGTCTCTTTTTTTAAATTTGAAAGAGTTTCTAAGTCAAACACACCGCTAGGAAAGGCTCTTTTTTTTTCTAAGTCATTTACACCATAGGGAATAGCTTTTTTCTTATTTCTTTTAATTTTCTTATATTTTTTTAAAGGTGAGAATGATGAGAGGTAAATTTCGTAGTGATAATCGGATGGATAAATGAGATTGTGAAGAAAAATAGTAGCATGCTTCACACGTAGGCCATTTTCCTCTGATCTGTAGGACTTTGCTTGAAAAAAATGATTTTTAAAAAAAAAAAGCTGTCCCCTGTGGTGTAAATGACTTTGAAAAAAAAAGAGCCTTTCCTAGCGGTGTGTTTGATTTAGAAACTTTTTCAAATTTAAAAAAGAGACCTCCAGCCAAAATGTCAAGTTTGGTCCCAGCCTGTGCATGTGCACATGAACTTCGTCCTCAGGCTGGTGACGAGACTGAGAAATGAGTTCTTTGCGCCAGAGGGTCAAGCTTGTCGCTCTTTTTGGCTAGACTCTTTCAAATATAAATGGTTTACTTAACAAAATTCTTATAATTGAAAAGGACTAACCAAAAAGAGTGACAAGCTTGACCCTCTGCTGCGCCCTAAAGATTGTCACGTCACAATGACCAAGAAAATGGCACGTGGCTGATTTGAAAAAAATATTTTTTCACACATTAAAATAAAGGATCAAATTTATCAATTGCAATTGTCGCTCCTTCTTTCCTTTGCTTCACTTCATTTTTGCACTCTCTCCCTCTTCCTTTACCCTTTTTTTTTTCACTTTTTTCATATTTCACCCCAGTTTTGCTCCCATCAATTTTGCTCTTTTATTTATTCCAAGCCTTCATCTATTGCCTTTCCTTTCCTTTCCTTTCCTTTCCTTTTTTTTTTTTTTGCCTTACATATTTTTCATTTTTGTTTTCATACAGCGACCACGAGTGTGAAAGAGTATAGAATATACCTTCGCCTATTTAACCATCATTCTCCCTGCATTTCAACCACACTCAGTCCCACTCATCTTAATTTTCAATGGCCACCACAAGGAGCTCAACACAAAAAACCATGGCTGCAAATGATTCCACAGAGAGCCAAGCACAAAAAAAAAATGACTGCAAATAAGCCTGAGGATGCCTCCACACTCAATAAACGAAAAAGAGTAAACCAGCACCCACAACGAAAAAAGCGCGCCATTCCACTGCTACTGCTGAACTGCGTTGTCGAGGGAGAAGCAACGTCGTTCCCAGTAGAGATTTTCTGCGATAAATCGGTCGGGATGCTCAAGCAAGCCATCAAAGCAGAGAAAGCCAATGCATTTAAGGATATTGACGCTGACCAGCTCACCCTCTACAAGGTCTCCATCCCTGACAAAGGCGAGGCCATCTTTGAGTCAGAAATCGAGTCAAAAGAGGCTCTTACAGTCGCATCAAGGAAGCTTGGGGACATATTTAATTCCAAACTTCCAGAGAAAACTATTCATGTTTTTGTCAAGCCACCACAGCGAGGTATATCCTTGGCTCTTGATGGACTGATTGTTGATATTTCCAGCTGATGAAGCTTGGTTTGTATCTTAAACGGCCATGTGCATAATATCACCATTTGGTTTGTGTCTTGATAACTCAACGTTCTTTCTCATTATTCGCTTTTGATACTTAGCTCAGAAAAGAAAACAAGATGGAGATTCTGGTGAGTGCTTTTGGCTGAGAATCTGGTTATTGATCATTTTAGAGTGATGTGCAATAAATCAAAAATATTGACTTTGATCACTCTATCTCCTTTAGCAGAGTCACCCTCTAAAAAAGCTCGTCCAAGTATAGGTAGCAGAAGTGCTCTTAGGGATGCGATTACAGAAGCAGGGCTTGTAACGAAAGGGATAGTGAATGGTAGCCCTGTAATCTCGCCTCTAAACTCGAAAGAGAGGGTCAAGCTGCTTTCGTACATGGGGGAGGAGTTATCAGGAGATAGTATTTACTGCAGCATTATTAGCGTGGCTTGCGAGCTCCGAAGTTCTGGTGGTATCAAGGGTTCCAAAATATTGACTGCCCCTGAGGGTCGTATCTTCCCTGTTGCCAAAACAAGGCATCTTTATATCAGAGATGAGTATAAAGAGCTTTATGACCATATTACATCCAAATTAAGTACCCCTCATGAAGTATCTCGTTTGAACCGACTCTTTGTCACTGGAACGCCTGGAATTGGGAAGTCAGCCTTTTTGGTCTATTTTGCCATCCGCCTCCTTGCCGAACACGGTGAGGAAAATCCACCGATTATTATTTTCCAAGAGAAGCAGCATACCAAATGTTATGTTTATGCAGGAACAACTTGCCATCGTAAAGGGAATATAACGATGTTCGAAGATTTCCTTGACCAACGTGAAACGTGGTATTTAGTTGATAGTGGTGAAAATCCTCAACCAGGTGAAGCCAGGACGATATTTTCAGCATCACCAAGAACTCTCTATGGGCATTACGATGAACTCACCAAGGAAAATACACCAAATAGCTACTATCACATGTCACTCTGGAGTCTGGATGAGCTTAAGGAATGTAGAGTCAATGTAAAGTTTTTTCATGTAGTGAGTGAAGCATTTTTGGAGGAGCTTTTTTACGACTTGGGGGGCGTGCCAAGACAGGTTCTACAGTGTCCAGCCGATGTACTATCCAAAAATCAAAAACATACTGAGCGTGCTAAAGAAGCTGCGTTATTCCGCGTCAATGATGCCATTAGAACACTCGAGAAACCAGCAGATCTTCTAAGCCTCTTTGCACGAGGAAAAGATGCGAGTGGATTTAGTCGTTTACTCCATAGAGTCCCCACTTCTGACCATCTCGACTTCTACCTGGTGTGGGCATCTCGTTGGGTCGAATCACAGATTATGGACAAAATAAAGGATGACACGTGGGTCGATGTGTTGGCGAGACTTATCATAGGCGGAGAGGATATAGATAAAGGCCCACTGTTTGAAATCTATGCTCATCACTTATTTCGACGTGGTGATATTAGATTTCCCTTTAGGGATCTCCAGTCAGGCGAAACAGGATTTCTTGATTTTCCAGCAAATCCAGAAGAGGTGTTTATCCGGACTTCAGAGGAATTATCAGGGCTCACTCAAGCGACTGGCAAGTTGTTTGTACCAGAACATTCTAAATTTCCGTGCATTGATTTTGCATTGGGATCCAACAAGCTATTTCAGGTCACAGTATCAGAGGAGCATCCGATCAAGCAAGCACCATTCAAGGAGATAATTGATTGTATTACTGGACCCTGCTTGAAGGGAGAGCAATCAAAGTCGAAGGGAAGTGATGATACTATTTTCCTCTATTTTGTGGTGCCAGGAGACGTATATGACGATTTTAAAGTTCAGAACTTTCTTACCGCCAGAAATACGGTCGTCCAGAATCTATATAAATGCTCAAAACATGTAAGACAGCGTGTCATAAAAATCGACATCGAAGCTGCATATTCAGGAGGATCAGCCGGTACGAATCTGAAGAATTAAATCGAATACCAATCAAGTGGATGAAACTTTGTCTTTTTTTTAAAAAAAAGCAATATACCCGTTCCTTGAGGATTTTTTACAATGGTTCATTCTTTATGAATGAAGCCATCATTATCCACTTACCTTCTAGACGAATAAATAGAGCGGTTTAATCCGTCCTCCCTTCTACTGGGGCATTTAGAACTTTATAAAGCTGTGATCATTGTGCGATCTTGTGTGCAAGAAAAGGCAGGATTTTGTGATACTATTATCAAAGAGTTTTGTAAAAACGGATAGAGATGAAGAATCCTGTGGAGAACCCAGTGAGAGTCTGATGATGAGACCCAAAATCATATTATTATCACCAGGACAGCTGGTATAGGAAATTATCCTTTCTCGTATGCTTTGTCATCTGGATGCTTGCCACTTGCGGAAGACCTATCAATTATCATCATCCAGGGCGCCAAAACGTTTACCGGGAGCTAGGATGATAGCTCCACTCTAAAGACATAAATGTCCCATGGTGCGCGTGCACGGGATGGCAACCTGTGGCCAATGAGATCATATTAGTTGTATGTTCGGCCAATTCAGTGTCAGTATGTGAAGGCGGCGCGTCTTGAATCTCTAGGCGTCCAGGGACATGGAATAAAAAAACATCAAGAATTTGGCCAAGGCTGCCACGCGCTTGACTATATTAATAGTTCTCGGTATATTAATGCTACATGCTGTTGAGGGCATCAATCTCGCCAGAATCATCCCCTCTCACATCAATTCATGCTAGATGGATGAAAGATTAGGAGGAAAAGGTCCTTGATGTCTGGGATATCCACGCTTGTTTATAATCTCACCAAAAGTTCTGTGTCTTGCGTTCATAGGCGGTTAATCGCAGTTTGGTTTTCGTATACCCCTTGAAGAACGTAAGCAAAAATGCCTTTATGTTTTATATTTGATACTCATCAATTTACCCTTTTTACTTGTCCGAAGGTAGAATGACGCCTAGCCAATGGATGCTATATGCTTGGTCCTGTGGTCGTCTCCGTCCAATGATCACTATAATAGAGAACGTCATTGGACGTGCCGATGCAGGCCTTTGGAAGCAAGAAATCAAGGGCCTGGTGTGGTCGCTCACTGATCCGGGATATAAAGAATCTGGTAACCTATGCCATGAGTAATCTAGAATTCTGAAGCGTATTAACAAAGGGGATGCAGGAATTAAAACCAGTGTCGACATCAGGGAAACCTTCGGTCGAGCCGTAAAGAATGAATAGATTACTATATAGTAAAGACTTGATATTGGAGTACAATGAGCCTGTTCCGGTCGAGGTTTCGTTTGCTTGAATTGTCGTTAATCAAAGGAAGAAGGAGTTTACAATTATCGTTGAGCCAATAGCATTTATAGCAGCAATTAACTTGTTTGAAGTGGATGACCCTTGATTGGCTAAATTGGTTAATAGTGTTGCTAGACGCCCCTACGTCTGGCACAAAGGGCACACATTTTGAGTATTTCAGTCCCGCTTTGTTTAATTTCAATCATCCAGAATTATAACAATGAACGAATTCTTAGATACTCACTGTAACAAAGACTCCATACATGAATCCAAGTTAATCTCGCTCTTTTTTGTTTCCAAAAGAGAACCCATCTGGACCAGATATCGTCTTTGTACTAGAATCGGAGGGTAAATATTATCCTGGTTCCGTACAGTCAAAAATCGGCGATAAGGTCAAGAATTAAGGATGCCCACAATACAACTTGCCATAATTGCATCAAAGAACACCTCTCATCACCGTCTTCTCTCGGCTTTTGCTCGAATGGCATATCCTTGTTGCTGTTGTTTAGGCCTTACTTATCACGTTGCCTTATCATGTTGTTTTATCACGAACAGGGTGATTATTCGCTAGCTAAAGTCAAAGAAGTTCCTACCATCAAAGACAAACGAATAGAAACGACGTACTCAATATTAGCTTGTTGAACTTCCTTGAAAGTGCAAGGGAGTCCCTCAAGAAGTCAGAATTGACTCGAGCTGTGGAGGATGAGGGAGAAGGAAGCAAGCCCAAAGAACCACAGGCAAGGAGGACAAAGAGAATTGCCGATAAAGCTCAAGCTATGGAGCATCGCCCTAGCTCATGGAATATGAGTCCAACGTTTTCAAGAAGTTTGGGGCTCCTCTTCCAGTTTATGTTTGCGTAGTCTTCATCAGTCAGGTCTTCACCGGTTGCCTTTAAAACACGCTGTGTTAAGGAACCCTTGTGAAAGTTTCAATCCCTGGCTGAGATCTTCTTCATCTACGTCAGACTGCTGCTGTCTCTTCGTCTGGATTGTGCCATAGGCAAGTGGATTCAGAACAAGGCCATTGGTAAAATCGTCCCTTTGAGTTTGAACCGAGTTATACCTTTGTCTTGTGCCTGTAGGGGTACCTTGTCTCGATAGCCATGAAACATGCGATCTCCTTCAATGTCACAAAGAGAGCCTGTATCTAGACCTCTTTTGTTCCCTGTACACATTCAAACACTGCAGCCTTGGGAGGATTGTCGAGAGGATGTCAGTTAGAACGTGTTCAGACAGATACACATACCGAAGGGGGACGTAAGGAAGTCTTTTTTTTTTTTTTTTTTTTTTTTCATTTCTTGTTGATTGTCATGGCGAAGGCTTGGTAGTGGTGGTAGTAGCAGAACCACAAAAAGGAAATTTTCAGATGAAGGAGGAGGAGGAGTAGAGGGATCAAGACCACCGAAAGAACCTTTGCTGGGTCCAGGAGGAGGAGAGACAAGCCGGCAACAACAGTAGGACACAATCTACTACAAACATGACTAGGTCCAGAAAGGCCTTCGTCTTAAAAAAATTGTATTGGCTTGATAATACTTTTTATTTCTTTGTTCTAATACACTGACACAAGGTGGAATGTCTCGTTTTTTAATGGGACGGACTATATATTTATTAATTCCCCTTAAATATGTGACTGTGAATCGGATCTTTCTTGAACAGTAAACAGCATTCGATTTTGACCTCTCTGCCCTCTTTGTCCTTGCAAGGCCTCTTTTTTCTTTTTTTACTCATCCATTTAGTCCCTCGACCATCGGAATAAAAAAACATAAATATACACAATGTTGCAGTTGAAATCGATTCTCAATGTCATTGACAACTCTGGTGCTGTCTGGGCAGAGTGCATCCGAGTATTGCACGGAGGCAAATATGCCAGGATAGGTAGCAAAAGCAACAATAAACAAACAGCAGTAAAAAAAAAAAAAAAAAAAAAAAGACTTTATGTCAAGCACAACTCGAAACATTCCTTTACTTTCATCACTTTGATAACTTTTTTTTCTTTTTTTTTAAAAAAAAATATCAAACTTGTCTGACAATTCTTAATATAATTTATATTTATAGGCGATGAAATAGTCGTGGTTGTCAACAAAGCAAAAGCCAACGCAGTTGCTTCAGCGTCCGGAATTCCCAAGGTCAAGAAAGGCGATGTTCGTCATGCACTAGTGGTCCGTGCAAGGAAGGAGACCTTGCGCCCTGATGGTCGCTATGTCCGCTTCGATGACAACGCATGTGTACTTTTGAATAAGCAGGGAGAGCCTCTTGGAACCCGTGTCTTGGGCGTTGTCTCTGGTGAACTCAGGCAAAAGAGGTGGATGAAACTCTTGAGCTTGGCTCCAAAGGTCATCTAAAGAAAAAAAAAAAAAAAAAAAAAAAAGCCAACTTTGCAGGGACAGGACAATAAGGATATGATTATAAGGGACACATGGCATTCAAGTAACCAGTATCCCAACCCATTGGGATCATGTTCATACAAACAATTAATTCGTCTGCAAAGGATATGAATGAACTACAATTAGACAGCTTCAACATTTATCAGTCATCATCATTACTGTCACTTTCGCCGTCATCATCATCACTAGTACCCTATCCACCTTTCTTCTGTATTAAAAATTCTTCAACATCTGGATCGAATAAAAACATCTCTCTAACGTGGACAGTCTGTATCGTGTAAGGTGTTTCGTGGATACCTTTTTATTTATTTATTCTTTAGTCTTACAGACTGTTTAATTGGGCATGATACAAGCATTCTTCAGTGATTGATCCTTGCAATCAATCAGATGAGTGAGACTACATTACCAACAAGGCTTCAGGAATTTAAAACAAAGTGCCATCGCTCAAAATGGCAATTGGAGGACCCTTGGTATTGGGACGTGACACAGCGGCAATTTCTCGTCCGGCCTAAAAAAAAAAAGAGCACACGAGCCATTAATAACAGTCTACTAGCAAGGAAAAAAAAAAAAAAAAAAAAAAGCCCAAGTACAATCGATATGAAGCAAAGCTTCCTAAATTGACTTACATTCCAGGTACCTCCTTGCAGAACTTGGGCAAGTGTCAGGTTGGGTAAATCCAATTGCTTTCGAACCTCGACTGCAATTCGATCCAGAGTCGCGACAGTCATAGCACGCCATTCAATGATCACTGGATCACTTGGCTCAAACATTGGTACGACCTCAACTGCAGGTTGACCTGGCTTTAGCGCATTGCGCTTGTAGTTTTCTAACCCACGCTCCTCCTCATTAGGTTTCAAAGTCATAAATCCAAGATCAATCAATAAGCCGCCTTGAAACAAGTTGTAAAAAAAAAAATTACGGTTAGCATGAGAGCTCTTTAACATTTGAACATAAATATGCTTTGTTAGAGAGAAACTTAATGAGATGAGGGAGATATACCATTGCGATATTCTGGAAGACCAGTCAAAAGATTAGAGTGCTCCCATTCAATATGCATATAGTTTTCTAGTGGTTCCATGATTGAGTATGTCATCCACTGTGACAACTTGTGAAAAGGAACGTAATGATCTGTTGAATCTGGGCTTGCCTGTGGGTTCTGGATAGCATCACAGGGCCATACATCACCCAGTGAAACCCCATTCAAAGTGGTACGCGATGGGGGCCAAATTTCTGCAAAGCCGTCGATCACAACTTTGAAAAGAGATTCTGTACGAACCACATACTTGTCGTTACGGCTCGGCCGGTCTGATCCTTCCTTGAAAAGGAAATCTAAACAAAATAAAAAAAAAAAAAATCCAAGTTTATATTTTTTTTTTTTTTTTTTTTTTTTTGCTTCGTCATTAATTGTTATTACGACTAGCTATGAATGTTGACTTGCTCACCAGTCATGTTTCCTGGACGAAGAGGCTACATCCAAGTATAAAATGGGAAAGAAAGAGAGAGAGAGAGAGAGAGAGGGAAAAAAAAAGCTGCCTGTCAGGTTTCTTTCTTTTTTCTTTTTTTGTTTTAAAGAGTTATTTCCATTACTTGTAAGATTATGTGGGCCAACTTACAGCATCTTTGACACCACCAAAGTATTCTGGATGAGCTTTGAGGGCTATTCCAAGGCGACGGAGCAATTCCCACCTACCTTCGAGGCCAAGTAGGGGATTCTTTTCATCGTCTACTTGAAATCCTTCTTTGAGACTCTCAAGGGTCAGATTGCACAGGCCATCAGCTATCATATCATACCATTATGTTGTATCATGCAAAGTTAAGAGTTAGTGCCAAGTATCAATGCAAAAGAGTGGTCCAAGGTCACGCCTGCAGTGGATGAGCAAATGAGCAACGCCCAAATTACGAGGGGGATGGTAAAAAAAGTTTAACTTTGCTCGTTTCTGTCCTGTAATGATTTTTACGTAGAAGAACACAAAAGGGGGAAATATGACAGAACAAATCTTCCATTTTTTTTTTCTTTTCTTCCTCAACGCAATTGCTTGATGATGTTTACTGACATCAAAGACGAGAGGATCTCGATTAGTGGCTCGAGTCATGGAGGACATTGATTAAAACAGTGATATAACACCATGGAATGTAATGAAATAAACCAAAAAGTTTCCATTCATCACAGAAAATTTGTGAATGGAATACACACACGCAAGTCATGTTCAGGCATAAAAGCATCCTACCGTCGACCTGATGACGGCGATGAATGTCACTCGAAAACCGTCCTTCTTTAAACATGGCCAACGATGCCAGGGCTAATCCCTCAGATCGGGAGTAAGATTTTGCCGTTTTTTGAAAGCTGTCGGGTTTGACTTCAAATGTCCATCGGTCGCCTGCGCCTGCGTCCAACAGGACAGAAACAACGACCAAATCGACTAACCTACGAACTATCTCCACTGTTTCAACTCTTTCTTTCCAACTCTCAACCAGCTGTCCGAGACGATCCACTTGGCCGACATCAAAATGGCGAAGACGTGTATGTGGTGGAATCTGAGCGATCTGGCTTGGTTCATGATCACGTTTGATCAATGCTACCACAAACTTGGCCACATCATTCAATTTTGGAAAATCCACATCAAAGTGCTTCAATTGACCTTCCTGAGCTTTTGCATACACCATTTCAGCTCGCTCCCTGACTGCTGGGAGCGACTTTAGGTAGGCGATTGTCTCTGTGGTTGTAAGGGCGGGAGCCATGCTGGTGATTCTTCCTGGGAAGGATATATCAAAGCCAGAGTTAAATTTAAATAAAGGAACACAATAAAGGGAGAAAAAAGGCGCAAAATGAGGTTGGTGGATTGTATACGAATGTTAATACAAGAGGAGAGAAAAAGATAAAGAAAGAAGATGATAAAGAAGGAAGAAAATGGCAAGAAAAAAAGGAAAAAAAAGAGCTGATGCAATGGGGCAGGAATTGTACATGTACAAGGAGAGCAAAATGGTATACGTTCAACATTAGGCACAAAGCGCACTGAAGAACATTTCCCCGTGAGTCGTTGCGTATTTCTCAGTCTGTGTACTTGTTTCTACATTTTTGCATTAACAATCGTTTTTCCCAAAACGTCCCCTTTTTGGGCTGCAATGTTGTAAAAAAAAAAAAAAAAAAAAAAGATTAAAAGGGGGGGAAAGGAAAGGAGATGAAGTAAAGGAGGATGGGTAGCTGCCACATCTGAGGTGCACTTCGGATGTACGACGTTCCTGGGTCTCATCCATGAACATGCCAAAAAAAAAAAAAAAAAAAAAAAAGACAGAGGAGTGACTAATTCCATCCACGACGGCATTCACAACGGCGTCATTTTTTACTGCGTCGAACTACAATCCTAGTTTAGTTCAGTTCAAGCAGTCAGGGATCAAAAAGAAGGATGAAGCTATACTTTACTTGTTCATTTGTTGGCTTGGGCCATTATTCCTACCTTTTCACTCCTAAAGGTCCCTTCATCCTTTAGCTTTAGGATATCCCTTTACCTTTTTTTATTTTTTATTTGAGAGTAGATTACAACATTCTCTATTACACTGGTGGAACTATTAATAAACACTCGTCATTATCAGGCCGTTTGATTTTTTTTTTTAATCAGCTTATCTCTTTCCCTTTCAATACCTCATTTGCATTTGTAGAAAAGAAGTATTTATTCTTCATCTCTTGGCTTACTAGAACGTCCAAGATATGAAGGTACCTTAACACAGAGCTTTCTAAAGCCAGCTACGAAGGACCAATAAAGTCTTCTAAATCCACAAACGATTCCTTGATTGAAAGAGGAGAAACAGGCCGCGACAGGACGGTGACAATGCCAGTTTTATCCGTATCCGAGGCACGCCCGTCTCCGAAGGGCTGTTGATGTAAAAGATTCCTGCCACATGATGCAACGTATCAATGCCCGGGATGGTTAGAGAACAGCCCAGTAAGAAGATTAGTTTGAATTGTACGAATGTACGCAAGCATTTAAAATTTAAAGCAGGTCAATCCATGAGAAACAAACAATGTCTGAAGGAAGTCTTCATCTCAGTGCCCAATGAAAATTACAAAAAGAGATACGCATTAGTAGACCAGCATATTCTGTTGATAAAACCATATTTTAATGTTGTTTGTTTCATCTGCTTTATACTTCTTGTCCACCAACAGGTCTCTTGCCAGGGGTAAGAGGCTGTGGTTGTTGTCTACTTTATTTTGCAGATTCAAGTATGCCTCAATGTGCATGCGTGGTCCAGAGGACAATCAACCCATCATCCACCACTGTTTTTGCAAATCCAGCCAGGATAAAGTAGCAACAGAAAGTGATTACGACTACAATAGCAGAGTCGCGTTATATACAACTGGAAAGGAATAAAATAAGTCACGTGGAAGAAACGCGTGTTTGTCTGTTATGAATTATCTGAGTTGCTGAACAGGAAGCTCGGGAGATTTCGACAGGGGTTGGGCGTCTTCTACGCGATATCAATTGTTGCCCGCTTCTTGGATTGCTATGTCTGTTTAATTGTACAAGTACATGTACAAGTATTTTATTTTATTTATTTCTTTTTTGGAATGTTTGATCAGACGATCCATTGCATCCCAGCACGAAGATTTACAGAGGACCAGAGGATCCTTGCTGTTCCATAGCAGATTTGAAGTTTTAGCGTGCCAACATACCAATGAGAGAATGAGAGACTGATTAGGTTGGGTTGCAATATGTGAAGGTGTATTTCCATATTTATGCTGCGCTTGTCTTTTTGTGGAGGGAGCCAAAAAAAAAAAATTTAATCGGACATCAGATTTGATAAAGAAAGTGATAAGTGCAATCGCAGTTGGAGCGGTGGGAAAATTAATACTCAGACACTGAACACAATATTGTATTGTGTGAAAAACTCTTGGTCTCTCCATCTTCATCTCTATCTCTTTCTCCCTCTCCCTCTCTCTCTTTTTTATCTTCCACTCTCCCTCTTTCACTTCCTTACTCTTCCCGACCTTTTGCTCCTTCCAATCCATTCCCCACTTTCACTAACCCATCTCTCATCGCCATCATGTCGTCCATCCTCAAGAAGGCTGTTGTCGTCTCCATTCCATCTGTCCGCCAGACTCTTCTTCGCTCCAACCCTGTCGTGGCCACTTCGCTCCTTGCAAAGCGTGCTTACAACAGCAAGGGTGTCGAGGTAAAAAAAAAAAAAAAAGACTATTTACTCTTAATATCTTTTCTACGACTTTTTTCGCGTCGATCTGCCTTGTCTCTCTCTCTCTCTCTCTCTCTCTCTCTTTCTTTTTTATTATTACTCTTGCACCTTGTAAAAAGATATCTCAACTTCCAGAAGAAAAAACAAAGAAAGAGGGAAAAAGTGGGCATTTTGCATATTTACGCGTTATCTGAATGCACGACTTGAATCAGGATAAATATATATATATATAAAATGCCACATATTTTTAATACCCAACAAATTCCTTCCGCTCTCGCAAGCATTTGTAGAAGGAGCGATTAAAAACAAAAAAAAATCATTGGATCAAAAGGAGAGCTTCTCTTTTCTATATTGTATCAAACGTCCATTGAAGTCCCGATCAAAAGCCATATTGTAGTTTTGATTTTTATTAACCGCATCTTTTTATTACCAACTTAGATGACCGTTCGTGATGCCCTGAACTCGGCTTTAGAGGAGGAGATGATTGCTGATGAGAAAGTCTACTTGATGGGTGAGGAGGTTGGCCAATACAATGGTGCATACAAGGTAAAGGAGGTTGTATCCTTCATTTCAGCAATGGATCGGGATGAAGATCAGGAAAACAGGGACTAACATAAAAAACAAAAACAAAATAATATATTTTATTTATCGCTAGGTGTCCAAGGGTCTGTTGGATAAGTTTGGTCCCAAGCGTGTCATTGATACGCCTATCACAGAGTCCGGATTCTGCGGTCTCGCTGTCGGATCCGCATTTGCTGGATTGAAGCCCGTTTGCGAATTCATGACTTGGAACTTTGCAATGCAGGCTATCGATCAGATTGTCAACTCTGCTGCCAAGACCCATTACATGTCTGCTGGTAATGTTACTTGTCCCATCACCTTCCGCGGTCCCAACGGTGCTGCTGCTGGTGTTGCTGCCCAGCATTCACAGTGCTTTGCTGCCTGGTACGGATCTGTCCCTGGTCTCAAGGTCGTCTCGCCCTGGAACTCGGAGGATGCCAAGGGTTTGTTGAAGGTGAATATATTTTCAATTGGATGAACTTTTTCTCCTTTTTTTTTTTTTTTTTTTTTTTTTCTCAAACATATACTAAATGATAAATCTTATTCTTCTTAACTTGTAGGCTGCTATTCGTGATCCTAACCCCGTTGTAGTCTTGGAAAACGAACTCATGTATGGTGTATCATTCCCCATGTCCGAGGCCGCTTTGTCCAATGACTTTGTGCTGGAGATTGGCAAGGCCAAGGTTGAGAAGGAGGGATCAGACATTACTATTGTTGCACACTCTCGCGCAGTTGGATTCGCACTTGAGGCGGCTCAGGTCTTGGAGAAGGAAGGTATCTGCAAAGCCGAGGTGATCAACTTGCGTTCCATTCGTCCACTTGACATTGACACCATCATCAAGTCGGTCAAGAAGACCAACCGTTTGGTCACTGTCGAGGGTGGCTGGCCCCAATATGGTGTTGGATCAGAGATCTGCGCACAAATTATGGAAAGCGAAGCCTTTGACCACTTGGATGCCCCTGTTGTTCGTGTCACCGGCGCTGATGTCCCTACTCCCTACGCTCAGAACTTGGAGACATTTGCATTCCCTGACACTGAAGTCATTGCTCGTGTTGTCAAGCGTACTCTCCATAAGAAGATTGGCGCTTAAAGAAATCTGTAGCTTCATATAATTATCTTCATCATTATTATTATCATTTCTTTTGGTTTGCTATTTTCTACACATCCATCTATCCATCTCTCTTTCATCATTGTAAAATCACACGAGTTCAGTTCTCATTTGACCCATTTTTATCTGCAAGAAAACTTGTAGTCTGCATCTTTGCAATCATCTATTAAAAAAAGCTCATTTCATAAATTGGTGGCAACCTAATAGAAAAAGGTTTTATTGATCGTAGTCACAGTACGATCTCTCTCTATTTTTTTTTTTAACAATTTCCCAGACTCTCTTGATGATGAACTCTAGCTCATTTCGTCAATGTCATAAACACATGGCCACAGCTTCTCATCACCGCATTCTGCAGGGTGCATTCTCGAGATGTTCAAACAATCGATTTCTCAGGTTTACGTACACTCTTAGATCGTTCACCTCATCCTCGTCTGCCACACCCGACGCCACAACTGCATTCCTTGCAAAACATCCTGCATTACCCACAGCCACGATCCCAAAACGTGGTCTAACGCTCTCAAAATTGGGGTTTGGCGCATACAGAGTGAATGATACTCAACCGGCTCACCGCGCTGCATTGGTCAAGGCGATCCATGCGGGTGTTAATGTGATTGATACAAGCTCACATTTTGGCTATGGTAAAGATGTCTCTTTGTTTATACTTTCGTCTATTTAAAAAAAAAAAGAAAAGAAAAAAAAAATTAACAAAATGATCAACAGGAGCATCAGAAACATTTGTTGGAAGCACACTTCAAGAGCTGTTCAAGGAAGGAACGATTAAGCGCGAGGTAATTAATAAAAATAAAAGGAACAACCTCGCGACAGGCAATTAGGTTTCTACGGATATGGTTACTCATTTGGATCTTTTTTTTTTAAAAAAAAGGAAGTGGTCATTGTATCCAAAGCCGGTTTTATTTTATCACCTACAACAACACTCCAACCGGAAATATTGTCAGGAATCCCTTCATATGCCAAGATTTCAGAGACTTCATATCATTCCATTCATCCATCCTTTCTCAAGGCTCAACTCACTGCATCTTTACAACGTCTTCAACTGGAAAAGATAGACATCTTTATGATCAATAACCCTGAACGCATGTTGGGTAATAAGACTGGAGGATACAATAAGACGCGTCTGTACAAGGAAATTGCCGAAGCATTTGCCTACCTTGATCAGGAAGTTCAACAGGGCAGAATTGGAGGCTATGGAATGTGCTCAAATGCTTTGCACTTGCCCACGACAGAGGACCATCTGTCTTTGAAGGCCATTATCAAGACCAGAATGGACTTTGGATGGAGCTTGGACAACTTTGTGGCTCTTCAGGCACCCCTCAATCTCTTTGAACGAGAACTGGTCACAGATGTTTTCCCATCAAAGTCTTTAGCCAGAGAAGCTAAGGTATCAGGAGATTTTTATTCATTTTATGGAGTCTCCTTTTTGGAACGGAAAGGAGGGAAAAAAACCTAACACGAATTCATTTTTTTTCCCCTTCTTTTTTTGTATTTTTCTTTGATGATAAAGGAATTCAATATTTTCGTATTCACAAATCGACCCTTGAACGCAATTGCAGGTGGGCAGATTGTAACATTGGAAAATAAAGGTCTACACAACCGGCAGGAGACATCTGCACGATTATTGGACACGCTAGATCAGAGTTTCACAACACTTGCAGAGATGGAGTTAGATATTAAGGAAATACTTGATGATGAGTCCATGGCCCTGAAATTTGTCTGGAGCGAAATCCTCTCCGAGAACTTATCGCGACTATGCTCAAATTACTTTGCCGCAAAGCATTTTTTGGAACGAGAGGTCCTTCCAGCGATCAACCGAGATCTCAAAGCATTACAGGAGAGCGTAGTTAAAGGAAAAAATAGCAGCAGCAGCAGTAGTAGTAATAACTGCAATCACTCTCGCAAGCTTCACGATAATAATCAAAGTGGTGACGATGTTGACGATAAAGATAGTGATAATGATCTTGTTGATAAGGACGCTGTTCTATCGTGGATCGATCGCTATCGAAGCGAAGCCAAGTCGCTCACCAAGAAGATTGCTGCATTTTGTCAATTGGATTCGGACAAGCGCAACGACGAGCTTAATCTAGTACTGGGCCTGATTTGCCGAGAGTTCGTTTCGGATGTGAGTCCCAACAAGGTGGAGAATATTGGATCACCACTCTCAACAAAATCAATTCAATACTGTATTGCCAACCCTAATGTCGGATGCACTCTAGTAGGGATGAGGACACCCGAGTATGTACATGACGCCGTTGCTTCAGCAGAGGCTAGCGAACGGTTGACCAAAAAGGATTTGGAATTGATTGCACAATGCCCACTTCTATTAGCAACCACTCATGAGTAAATCAGCTTCAGATATAATATTAGAAATGATAACAGTAATAATAAATATAATAGATGTAAATATTGTCAAAAAGAAAACGTCTATAAAGTATTGTATATATACTAGTAAAGATATGCTCGCTTGCAGCAAATCTTAACCCCCTCTCCTTCCGTAGGCTAGTCAAACAATCCCCATTCTGTTTACTTTCCATAACGTTGCTCGCACTTGGCAAAACGATGCAACGCCTGCAAGAACAGGGTATAGTGTGGGATAACGGCCTGATCCGGGTGATGGCTAGCGAATTTAAACAAACATTTACAATATCTAAGATTAGAATGGACGTTGCAGAAGATCATTAAAAAAAAATTAAAATGTATATAAAAAAGGATCTCTTACAATATTTCTGTGAGACGAATATGCCAGGGGGGTAGCTGCTCAGATCTAACTCATCCTTGTAGATGATCAACAGATCTGGTTCGGAAAGATCAGCTGTTTTTTTTTTTTTTTTTTTTTTTTTTTTTTTGGAAAATATACATAAAGTAAATTATAATCAGCAACTTTACTTCACCATCAGTCAATTTGATCCACACAACGTTAAATAGTTTGCTCTTTTAGTTGTAGTATCTTACCAGATAGTTGCTGGTCCATAAATTCCGCTGTGATGTCCTTGCTCTGGATTTCTTTCTGAAGAGCTGCCTCGCCCAAAACTCTCACACTAGAAGCAAGTCGATCATGTCCATCGTTCTCTGCAAGAATCACCACATCCAAATCTATCAGCAATATGAAGTTGAATAATAATTTGAACAGTTAATTTAGGCTTCGTATCCGATCCTCTCTTGCATATACAAGGAGGTTTTTTTTAGAGTATATGATATACAGGTGTGATATGTTGATCTCATGCTGTCATGTGCCCTTACCGACAGTGCGTCCATGAAGCCTTATTTGTCTTTCTTCTTGTGTTTCTACTTTGGCAGCGTCCCTATATTCTATTGCGATTTTGAGGTTATCTTCGACACGGTTCAAGGTTCTGACACGAGCTACAGGAATAGTCTTTTCTTCTCTAAAAAAGTCTTCCAATGAATCATCAATACGCTCTTGCAACAGGTTCAGCCATTGCTTTGGTAGCGCTAGAAGGAATATATATATATATATAAAAGCCATTAGAACGGATCAAAGAAATTAAAGTAATAAAACAAAAGCAAGAATACACATCCGGATCGGACAAGCGTTGAGAGCGAAAAAGCGTCAGCATTTGTCCGTATCGTACGCTGCTTTCTCATGTGTTTGTAAAGTTGGACGCATAAGATTTAAACTTTTTTTTTTTTTTTTTTTTTTTTTTTTTTACAAACGCGCTCATCAGAGCCCGTCATAGAAGAAAGCTCATGGCATGCCCAATGCATGGAACAAGAGAAGAGTTATGGGAGAAATAGATTGGAGGAATGGTATGCAAGATGAAATTTTTCCCAGTCAGCCGGTGGAAGGGAGAAAGAGACACCAAAACCTGGTCGTTTAGGCATTCTTTTGCTTTGCTTTGCTTTGCTTTGCTTTGCTTTGCTTTGCTTTGCTTTGCTTTGCTTTGCTTTTTTTTTTTTTTTTTTTTTTTTTTTTTTTCGTAGACTTTTCTATTTAATTTTGCTTGCAATTGTATAGAACGCCTGGATTTATGTGTATACTTACGATCAGTCCTCATGATTGATAGGCACTCGATATCGCAAGCCAGAGACCATTGAACCAATTGCGCAACCTCGGCATGCCATTCTTCCTCTTGTTCTTCAGAGGTCGTGGTCGAGTCTTGGGGCAAGATCACGGCTAAATGTTTTGGCTTTTTAGCCAAGTCCGTGCCCAAATCCTTCCTCAGCACTCGGGCCACCTCAGGAGCCGCAGGGAATTGAAAAGGCATGAAAAACACTTGAAAATATGTCTTCATGGTCTTGGCACTGAGCAGAAGCTCCAAGCCAACGTGAAAGACTGCAAAGGGTAAAAAGTAGACTGGTTTCATCAATAGACTCACCAGTCGGCTCGCCAAGGATGGTTTTACAATGGTCAATGCTTTGGAGGTAGAAGAATAAGCAGAAGTGACTTTGGTCGTCTCGGTTGAAGAGGTTAGCGGCACCATTGGCTTGATAGCAGGGTGCTCTTTTATGAGCTCTTCAGGTGCCTTTGTCTTGTATTGCCTTGTAGTCTTCCTGGACACATCGTCGCCCGCGGATGAGGCCTGTCGTTGCCGCAAGGGTGTTGGTGCATAGACTTGTGAAGACATCTTGAATGAAATAGAATTGAAATTTGGTAATTGACAAAGAAATGTGACAAATGACAGAAATGAAAGAAGAGAGGAGAAAGAGAAAAAGAAAAGGGAGGAAGAGAGCTGATGGGACCGAAAGGATGAATCGTTTAAAAAAAGCAAATGCAAATAAAGTCAAGGGTGGTACAGAAAAACCAACAATAACCCGCTGCTTTTGATTTTTCCTCCAGTTTAGAGTTTTATTCCTGTGCTTGAATGAACATTAACATGTGTCGTATAAATAAGTACTGCATACATTGGCTCTGTTCCTGTGTTGACTGAGTTTTTTTTTCCTTCTGTACCGTCGGTGGCTACTTTTGTTTATATTCCTACGACTGGATCTATTAGCATCATTGGGGCATGTGGCAATTGATATGCATACAGCTTCCTCAATCTCACTGCTCTTTCGAGTGAATATAGCCAAAGATCCTACCATCTGATCGCGCCATTATCTCTTCTATCTCCTCCCTCTCAATCCATCTGACTCCATCCTTTTTCTTTTTTTACTTTTTTTTTTTTTTTTTTTTTTTTTTTTAATATAAAACAAATAAAATAAGCATTACATGGTTTCTCTACAAAAAAAAAAAAAAAAAAAAAAAAAAAAGAATACATTCTATGAAAATGATGAAAAATGTGTACAAGTGGAGCGAGTTGCAGAAGCAACAGTATCTGGAGTAAATAACAAAAACAAAATGAATAATATATAGAGGGTAGAAGTCCAAAGATGCAAAATTGGATGCTATTATACAAGGTGGGGACTCTTTGCTCTCCCCTTCTCGCCTCATAATTAATAGAATTAGTAACCAATGCCACCTCCCGCACCGCGGTAGGCACCTCTTGTCGGCGCTCCGTCCTGCCGGCGAGGATTTGGCTGGTATTCGTTCCCATTTCCATATCCACCATTACGAGCATATCGTGCATTGCCATATCCCGGGACTGCTGCTACGTTGCTGGCACCTGCACCACCTGCACCATGGCCATGTCCCATCTGACTGCTATGGTGGCTGCCACTATGACGACTATCAAGCTCGGACCCATGTTGGGATCCATGCTGGGATTGGATGGGCGATGTAGGCCTTTGCTGTCCATATTCATCGTACCGTCGAGCTCTTGAAGGTGTCTGATTGCCGTATGGGACGGTTCGGGTGTTTGCTTTGTAATAATTGGACGCCATACCTACATTTGACTGAGAATAGCCTTGATTCGCCTGTCCCTGTTGCAAGCGCTGTTGATCCGTATCAGCCACATAGTGACTGTAGATATCGTCAGTTGCGAAAGCTGACTCCGCATAAGGGTCGAGTACGTTATTTTGGCTTCTAGGCGTTGGTGTCGTAGATCCTGTTGACATTGGCTTAGACTGGAGATAGTCGTAACCACCACGCTGTCCTTGCTGCTTTTGTTGCTGTTGTTGCTGGCGATGGATTTGCTGTTGTTGTTGTGGAGGGATATTGTTATTGTAGGCTGCAGCGGGTGAATATGCATATTCCTGGTGTGGAAGTTTAGGCGTTGAATAGTTGCTGTAGGCACTCTTTGGTGTTTGTGGTGTGTATTGAGTCGGAGCTTTCTGAGAATATGCTGATCTAGGTGTACTCACAGGTACGGTTGGTACCTCAGGCAGATCCACCTGAGGGAGAGTCGGTTGCTTCATGTTAACAAGTGCAGTCTCCTTATTCGCACCTTCTGCCGCCCTTGTCTTGGATTTTTTGCGGATCAATTCATCAATTCTGATTAAATACCAAAAACAAAAAAAAGACGTTTAGATTTGTGCTGCCAAAAAAAATAAAATAAAAATAGATTACTTCGATTTCATAAACTAACCGTTTATCAATTTTGTGGCAACAGAACTCCTTGAGATTGCCCTGAATATGGCTGACCAGTGGGATATATAAGATGACAGCACTGATGAGCATTAATAGTGACATCGCAAACATAAAGACAGTGAAGATCATGGCGCCTAGAGTAAGCTTTTTGAAGATCAGACGTTCGTCACTACCGACTACAGCGTTCCAATCAAAGATGCCACCCTTTTGGAACGACAGTTCGTGATCACGGAATGTTTGGTACAGAATTGTAGCATTGATGACCTGTCGTGGTGCATCTGCCAGTATCAATCGCTTCCAGTCTGTGCGAAGCAAATGAAAACAAGAATAAATTCAAGAATTGTTAGAGTCTAGAAAAGGTATTGTAGGAGTCGTTCTATAAACAAATGTCACTATCCATTATTGTTATATTCTAATTGCAGACACTTACTTCGAAAGGTGAAGAAGCAAAAAAAGGCAACTTCATCAACCGTTTTTTTGGAGTTATTAATCTGAGCAAAGAGGCAAAAATGTGGATAGGATCGGACTGTGTAATAACGACTTGCAATCAGGGACGTGAATGCATACGAGATGTCTCTGGAGCGAATGATAGCTCTGGCTCTCCGAACCTCCAGACCTAAGAGCAAGAAACCGAGAAGGATGCATCCTGTGAACAAATACTTGTAAACATCGTAGGGTAGTCTGCCAAAGACCTCCAAGTCAACTCCTGCCTTTGGAACAAACGAATTATCATTTGAGTTGGCAAGCAAATTGGCGGCAGTAAAGATATCGGAACAATAAACAAGGATGCCGCGAATGATGGCTGCAAAGACAAGCAAATAGGTGAACTGGCGCCAGCACGAGTTATCTACAAAGTCATCGACATTGATAAAGTCAAACTTGTGATCCTGCACAACCTCACGCTTCCATTGTGCACCCATGGCAGTTTATGTGAGTTTGGTCTGTGTGTACGGATGTAAGAGGAGTAAGAGATACTATAGGAAAGTAAAGTAAGCAAAGAGAGCCCTGAGGTTAAATGGGGTACTTTGTGTTACTCGGCTGTGCTGGTGCAGTCAATGAGCAAGGAAAATGAGCGCAGTCGTAAGAAAGGATTGATCACTCACATGCTCTGAATAATCAACGTAAGCAACTCAAAGCCAGCTGACAGTAATGAGAAGAGCAGAGAGGAAAAGAAAGGGAGAGTGTGTGTATATGTCACTGATGACAGAGCATATGCAATCACAAGACTCTGATGGTGACTTTTGGCAACAAAAGACCAAAGAGGTAAATAGGTTCAGGCACGGCCAACAGTTTCAGTTGTAGCTGCAGGGATGAAAGGGGTCAACTGGTGATGAACGATATTCTTAAAAAGAAGGTGCCCAGATGGGACCAAAAGATGATAAAGATGGTAGGCCGAGGGAAGAGGGGTTTCAGTTCCGGATGTGAGTAAGAATAATAAGGCTTTTTTTTTTTGCAAATTTTCCAGGGGTTTAAGAAATATGAGTGGCTGATTTGTGGCAGTATTATTAAAAAGTGAGACAGGCAATAAGGAAAGAAGAGTCAAGTATGAATGTATGAATGAGAATCAACGAATGGACGAATGAATAAGTGAAAGTGATTAGGAATACTAAACGACGGAGTAGATGAGTGGGGGTGGGAGTGAGAGTAAGTGAGGGTGAAAAGGTGAGGCAAAGAAGAGGAGAGGAGTGTAGAGGAGTGTAGAGGAGTGTAGAGGAGTGTAGAGTAGAGGTGAGGGGGAATGAAAAAGACCAAAAGGAAAATAAAAAGAAATTTTGATGCAAAGACCTTTCCATCCCACCAGTCATATCGCCACTCAACAAACTAATCAGCATCCCGGCAAGGCATTTTTTCCTTACTCGAGAATGCAGACTATTGATTATTGTGTGACAGCGAACGTTTTAGTGCATAGAATACAGCTTGTGGGCGCTTACATGTGTAGACCATGTGTTGGCCCGATCATTAAAAAATAAATTAGGACATGAATAAGATGAACTTGGGCAAAAAGGCTAGACTGGAAGCACCCTCATTCAATCATCCTTGTCAATGTTATATATATATTTCAAATGGTTTGATGCGTTAACAATGATAATGCTTTATATGATTAATATGATTACATTCATTGAAGTTTGGTTCCTAACTTTGTTGGGTTGAGGGTGCCTCTGTGGATGCACCGGCATTACTACCAACACTTGACCCAGCTTTTGGTACTTTTGGTACTTTTGGTACTTTTGCAGCTTTTGCAGTCTTTGCTTTCTTCTTGTCTTCAATCTTTTGCACTCTCTTGTGATCCTTCTCTTTCAATGCAATTTCAATTAAGTCTTCGCAGCGTTTCTTGCGTTTGCTCGCATCACTTTCAATTCCACCCTGCATCACAGCTGGGAAACGTTGACTAGTTTTTGTTAAACAAATTGTGTCAGCTGTGGGATATGCATGCATGTGTGCGTGGGCCTCCTGTAAAGCCCCACTAATGATTCGTTTCAAACCCTCCTTTTTTTTTTTTTTTTTTTTTTTAAGTATAGTTTACCTCAGCCACAGATAGAGCATGATGATACGATGAGTTGTTTCAAGATGCTTCAGCTCCATCAACTTATCGTCTTTCTTAGCTTTTTCTTTTGGCAAATTTGCAACCTCGTCAATTGTCAAAGGCCTGCCTGTACTGACAGCTCGCGCCATCTTTTGAGCAGCAGCGACGACAAAAATGTCGCGTGTTTGGATAGGAGCAGACGTAAATGGTATCCGTATGCGCACTGGTAAATTTATATGATCCAAGACTTCTGCTGATTGCTTAAGGGTGTGAATTCAAAAAAGCAAATGGGTCAATCAGACTGTAGTGAAATTGTGGCCAAGACAATAGCAAATATGCATGTCAAAGGGTTGATCTCGAGAGAGACAAATGCTTGCAGAAAGGCAATGGAAGTTGGTAAGGAATGTAAATAGAGGCTACTTACAATCATGTTTTTGAGCAGTGATGGGAAGAACAGCCTCGAATTCAAGCTCATCATTTCAAACATCTTGAGGACATGGGAGAAGGGAGCACCTGGCATCTGAACAGAAAACTCCTCAATTTTTTCAGGAAGTGGTTGGATCCCTGCACGCTGAAAATTAAAAAGGAAACAATGTAAACAAATAAATCTGAAGCATTCCCCTACCCCTGCATAATAAAATTTTAAAAATCTCCATACCGGAATTTCAATCATCGGGGTGGCTAATGCTCTTTTGAGAATTGGGATATCGCTCTGGAGCAGCGTGGTTGCCTTTCCAATAGCATATTCCGTTCCAAATCGGCCTGCTCGCCCTGCAATCTGTTTGATCTGAGTCAAGCTCAGCTGCCGTACGTTCTGACCATCAAACTTTTCGAGAGCCTCAAAAATAATCCTCCGGATATTTCTAAGGAGATTTAAAACAAAACAAAACAAAAAAAAAAAAAAAAAAAAAAAAAAATTATGGACACACGCTGACGCAATATTGGAAAAAGTCCAAAACTTTAAGGGAAACACGTACAGATTCAGTCCCATGCCAATAGCATCACTGGCTACAAGAACATCATATCCACTTGTAGGGTCATTAAAAAGCTTTGCTTGAGCTGAACGACTCTCTGGCGGTAAACCACCATAGGCAACAGCACATCGAAGCCCTGTCTCTGCTTCGATGGCCTGTTTGAGCATAAAGATGTTCTTTCTCGAGAATGTCACAACGCAATCGCCTTTTTGAACTTTCTTCAGATTTCCTCGGAGACTTTCGTCCTGCACTTCTAGTTTGCTTAATCGATCATATCGGTTGACAATTACTTCCTCATTGGTTAACTTGCAAATATTCTCTACCAACTTCACTACTGTAGGCTCGCCGCACAGATGGATTTCCTTTGCGGGCAAACCCAATAGGGCAGCAGTCCATGCCCAACCTCTTTCTGGATCCGCCAGCATTTGAATCTCGTCAATGACTGCAACATCTATCCTTCTCTCAAAGCTCACCATCTCAACTGTGCATGAGGTGACCTTAGCAGCATAAGGCATAGGCTCCCCCTTTTCATTATAAACTCCATACCGCCGTTCTTCCCCTGTCACCAAGTTGCAGGGAGTTCCCGATGCATTCATTCGATCAAAGATCTCATGCGCTAGTAGTCGCAGTGGTGATAGATAGGCGCCACTTTCTGCTTCTCGTAGTTTGATCAGTGCATTGTGTGTTTTCCCAGAATTGGTGGGTCCAACATGCATTATAATTTTCCTATTGTGGATCCAAAGTGTTTAATTCTTTTCAATCAATCATAACGATGCACTTTAAAAAAAAGGAAAAACAAAAAGGCTCGGTCTGCTTTTTACCTCTTCAATAACCTTGCACGTGGAGTCCATTCAGCTGGGTGTCGAAGATCTGCAATTTCTCGCATCCGAGAGAGCCGTGATTGTGTTTCTAATGGAAGCATGCCCTCACTCTCGACGAAAAAAGCGTGCCACAGTGCTTTGTCTAGTTTGCTAGCGATGGCCTCCTCTCTTGTCACTCCCATGGTTCTGAATGTCATACCAACTTCCAATGAATCCTTAGCCATAATACCAATCATCTTCTTGTTTACAGCTGCAATTTCGCCATCAATAGCCTTTTCACTAAATTTGATGATCAGCTCTTTAGCTTTATCTCTAGGCGTCCCCAGTGATTCCAGTAACCCCTGCATTCCATGAGGAAGTATAAACCTTTCGAGTGCTTTTTTCAGTGCTGAAAAAAAAAAAAAAAAAAAAAAAAACAATGCACTGATATTTTAGCAAACCAAAACGTATCAATCCTTTTTTTTTTTTTTTTTTTTTTTTTTTACCTGCTTGTTCCCAATGCGGATTGAATTCCAATCCGCCGAATGGTCTCCCTCTGCTTTCCAATGCACTCCTATACTGTGGTCTCGGGGAGAAATCTGTCGGATCGCGGGGGAGCCGCGAGGATTTGGCCACATGACGGAAACGACAAAAGATAATAGCAGGAGGCCTTGCTTTAATTCTGGTATTGAGCGGGTAAAGGCCATTAATGGCACAACACCGTGATAAAGAAGGTGAAGCCGAGACATTTGCATGGCCTGTAGGCGTAATGAGTGTGCGCCCAACGCAGTGGCGGAGATTCGCTGACGCAGTTATGGGTAGCATCGCAATAAAAAGTTCGAATGGAGAGAGATGCAAGAGCCACAGGAAGCGATCAAGCCCACTGAACAAAAGCACTGTTTATTCTACCATTTATAGGTTGCAAGAACAGTCACTTGCGCCACCAATTGTTGAATCTGGGCTTTTATCAATTCGTTTATTAACATATACGCGTCCTTCTGCTACTGTTGCCCTTGTCATCTGTAGTTGCATTCGATCAAAATAGTACAATAGCTCCGTAGCTCTCATCCTTTCTCCTTTCTTTTTTATCGGTAAAGTAGCTACGAAACGTGAGATGCTAAACCCACTCATGCTATGCCTTTAATAATTTTTGTGTCTTAAAGGGAAGCCAATTACTCAGCATTGAGAATTTGAACAAGATCACTTGCACAGCCTCACCGGTCCTAACGCCTTGTATAATGGACATGTATTTCAATTGTATCAATTCTTGAATAGAGAGTAGATCGAAACTACAGCGTGAGAAAATTTTCCTCAACAAACCTTAAATCGTTACGGTTCCATGGTCGTGGAGCTCTAGGTTTTGAATTTTGACTCAGCGAGAATTAATCTCAAGAATCTGACGATCTTTCCATGTAATTGACGGGCGACCCGGAAATATGTGCAAGCGTAAAGTTCCTTGTTGTGATTCTACAGTATGGGTAGGATGGTTCCACAGTTTGGATTGCTCACATTGCGCAAGTGGAGAAGTAGAGATGGGCTATCTATGCGCCCAAATTGCCTGTCACATGCTCGATCCTCCTCTACCTTTCTCTTTTCTGCTCTTTTTTTTTTTTTTTCTTGTACATTCGTTCTCTTTATTTGAAAAGTAAAACATCATGACAACCAAGGAATCTGCTCAGGAACTCCTTGCATTTCACAAGGGACTTGTGTCCATCCCTTGCATCACTGAGAACGAATCACCATGTACAAAATACATTCATGAATATCTCACCAAGCTTGGCTATACTGTTGAACTTCAGGAGATTGCTCCAGGGCGTGAGAATGTCCTTGCATACTTGGGCAAAAATCGCAATCCTCGTGTCTTGTTCAATACTCATATCGATGTCGTTCCACCTTATATCGATTACCGTGAGGATGAAGAAAATGTCTATGGACGTGGTTCCAGTGATGCCAAAGGTTGCATGGCCGCTCAGGTTCGGGCTGTTGAGGAATTGAGAAAGGAGGGCAAGATCAACGAGGGAGACGTTGGATTCTTATTTGTCGTTGGCGAGGAAGTCGATCATATCGGGATGGTGGTATGTTTTGTTTTCATCTCCCAACTTTTCTTGTTCTTTTTTTTTTTTTTTTTTAAAAAAAAAATCATATTTCGTTCTCTTCCGTATCTAATGGCCCATCATAGAAAGCGAATGGCCTCGGACTTACTCCAGACTACCTCATTGTCGGAGAGCCAACGGAATCACGGCTGGCCCTGGGGCATAAGGGAGTCTTGCGCCTCAATATCAGGATTGAGGGCAAAGCGGGTAATTATTTATTTCCAACTCTTCGATAGAAAAAACAATGGATAAAAGTTAAATACCGATCTTCCTTTATATCACGCGTTAATTCTCTTTTTGATCCTTTCCATCTTTTTGACTCCATAATAGCTCATAGTGGCTACCCCGAGCTTGGAGTGAGTGCCAATGATAAGTTGATCGATATTCTCTACAAGCTGAAGTCATTGGTAAGAAGGCTACAATTTCGATATTTAATATTCATTTAGTAAAAAGCAATCAGACTCATTTTTTATATTATTTTTATTATTATTTTTTAATTTTTAAACAGGATCTTCCTAAAGATGACTACTTTGGTCAAACCACATTAAATATTGGCACAATCAACGGAGGACTTGCTGCCAACATCGTCCCCGCGTTTGCCACTGCGGGCATCTCGTTCCGTATCGCCACTTCAACTCAAGAAGTGTTGGATTTAGTTGAGAAGGTGATTCCAAAGGAGCAACAGCTGAAGGACAAGATTTCAATCGAGCGCTTGACCTGCTGGGAACCAGTACGATGCCATTCTGTCCCTGGTTTCGAGACCTTCGTTGCTAATTACTTTACAGATATTCCATCCTTCTTGACTGCTAAACATTCTTTGTTGTTCGGTCCTGGCAGCATCCTCTGTGCTCATGCTCCTCATGAATATATTAATAAGAAAGAATTAATTGCCGCTGTTGGAAGCTACAAGGACATTGTCTTGAAACTGTTTGCTGAAGGCCAGCAATAGTCAAATAGCATAGGCTTATTAGAGACAAAGATAATATAAACTTAGACAGAGCAATGCCTTGTATTCATTAAATTGCAAAGAGTCTTGTCCGGGTCACTCTTTTCAATTGTCATCATTCCCAAAAGAGTTCATAGCCTCAAAAACACAGTATCATATGAGAGGAATGTAGTGAATTACTTTTTATATCACAGATATTATAATATATGGTCATTAGCTGTTATTCTTTTTTTGAATGCTCAGATCATGATCGTACTACATCCTCTTCTGTCGCCTCTTCTTCCTCTGATGCTTCACCCATGCCTGAAATTTCAACGAATGAATCTTCAATTTTGCCTGCCAACTCCTGCTCTAATGTTTTTGTAAATGAGTTCGTTCCATTTATGGCTCCAAATGTGTTGATAGTTAGTGAGGATATATGATGGGGCAGTGGTATGGGGGATGAAGAGCTAGAAGACGAAGGCGACAACAATTCTTGTTCCAGCGAGAGTTGCTGTAGATCTCCATCTACTTTCCTCATTTGAGTTGTCAGGAAATAACCTGCTGTAGAGGGATTATAGAGTGGTGAAGATGCTGATGGTGACGGTGATGGTAATGGCGATGACAAAGTTGACGACGATTGTGGTGGAGCTGCAGTAGATATCAAGCGTTCTGAAGAGGCAACAGGTAATACAGGCCGTTGTTGATCTCCATCATTCTCACGCAGGTGTCGCCTACGTCCTAAGACATCTTTCAACTCATGCACCATCTTTGTAGAATCATAAGCCTGTTCTTTCCGGAACTCTTCCTGTTCCCGTAATAGCTTTTGCTGCTTTATCCGCTCAGCTCGAGTCATCTTCATACCATCAGATCCAACAAAACCTGCCCGCCGAGAAATATCCCCGCTGCCGCCCGCTTCTGTTTCTGTTGAAGCTTCCCAAGTTTCTTCGCGCATAGATGCCAAATACATAAGATGCTGTGGATCCTCAAAATGTTCTACAGAGTCAGTGACAGGTATCATGATCCCGTGTGTTCCATCACAATCGTTACGATCCGAACCGTCGAGGTTATTATCATGTTTTCCTTGCTCTTCCGCCATTGATCTTGCAGGTGACGGCTCAAAAACGTTGTTCAGTGCCATTTTCCCGAGTTGCCATTCCGTAGCCATCATGCTGATATCCTGACTGATTGAATCAAACTGCAATTCCAGTAACTGACGTTTTTCCGCATCTGCTGGCTCTAAATAATTATTATAATAAAAAAATCAGTTCTCATATACCTGCAATTGATATAAAGCTAAAATAATCACTGATCATAAAAGACTTTTTTTTTTTTTTTAATTTTCCTAAGCATAAGAAAACAAAATACCAACTCACCTTGCTTAATCGTTTCCTTAATGTCCTCATTACAGATAAATAGTTTGGCCTGTACGCCGCGAACATGATGCTCCAAGAGCGCGAGACGCTGTACAAATGGCTGTAATTGCTTATCCTGAACGGTGTTTCCACCTTTGGTGCTTTGAGTATCAATTCTAGGCAGGGTATCTAGATATTTTCAGAAGATATGTCCACGATTAAGAAAATTAGATACCTCTATTATTGCGATATATATTTAAAGCCTCCATCTGATTTAGCTTCTGTTTCTTGTTTGATGTATTACATAATTCAGAGTCCAATACTTTGCTGAGTTCATCAACAACAGATTCGATTCCGACAACACCTTCATGAAGCACATCTCGCACGACTGTCCAGTTTTGATCATAGTCTTTCAAAGCATTCAATCCTTGACGTCCTTTGCGACTCTTGCGACGGATTGACAGTAGCTCACAGAGAAACTCGCGTCGTTGACAGTGCATCCGCTGAAAGTTTTTTCTCAGTTGTTCCAATGAGGTCATTTCTAGCGAACCCCCTGTCAAAGTTGGGGAGCCATTAGGATTGTTGTTATTAGTAGAGTATGTGCTTGTGCGTGGTGAAATCGTGGCTGAGGCTGTTCCATTGTCAGAATCTTCTCCTTCTGATGCTGACCATAAAGTATGATGTCGTCGAGAAGTCCTTTTATCAGATGCATGCAATGAATCATCAATATTCAACTGATATATATTGTTATGTCCATGGCGACTACTGGGTCTGCTGTTCTGTCTTGAAGATCCTGTCATTGTACGGCTGCGTCGTTTAGACAACGAATTTTGTCGGATATGATTCGAAAACGATGAAGGCAAGGGTGGATATTGTTCTGAGGTAGGCGAGGAAGTTAAAATTAAGCGGTCGTTTTCAGTCACAGTGTTGGTATCATGACCATGTGGTGTAGCAAAACCATGGTGGTGTTCATGGGGCCAAGGTGTAATCGGACTTTCACCATCAAGGCCTCCTCCAGGTGAGCCGGGCCGTGGTGATGGTGTGACATTATACATATCTAAAAGGGTACTAAGCCTTTTGTGATCAATATGGGATTGGAGTGTCTCAGTAGAGCGCTGGAACAAAGCTCCACTTTTGGCCAGGGCAGCCACCAGCTGTGCGCGCACGATATTGCAACGACGTGTCTTGGAAGCTTGCTCGATGCGCGAAATGGGGGCGAGAGGGGTGGATAGTCGATAACCTCTTGAGACGAGCTCGATCTCTTGAATAACCATGATGGCTCGATTGACCTTGGCGTCAAGTGACTGGCAGTGGTTGACAAGAAGTTGCAGAGATCGGAGTGCCTGGTTTTGGGTAGTCTGAATGTTTCTCCGTTGCTATTTTGTTTCCGAATGTGTCGTATCAAAAGGATGCACATAAAAGTCAATCAATGAAATGAACATGTGCAGCGGCTCGACTTACCAGAATCCGAAGAATCCATGCAGATGATGCTAAAGCAAGGGATACAGCGGTTGGTCGGCTGAGCAGCGGCCTCAACCACGATATCCTTCCTGCTCTGGTCCGATTCAGGACTGACCGAGCCACAAGTGTTACCAAAGTACCAAAGCCCAAGGCATATCCAAACCGACCGGGGTTGAATTTATATGTGTATTCGACTGTCATAGGAATATCTGTGCGGCGACCACGCTCATGCGCATGCACTGTTACTGCTCGATTGAGAAATGGTGAAGTACAGATAAAGTACTTGAAGCGCTCTTCAAACTCGGCATCCTCAGTGTCCGATGTAGAAGACGAAAATGTGTGCTAAATAGCAAAAATAAGCGTATAGTGTGAGGTACGCATTCGCAAAGTAAGAGGTTAGTTTAATCATGAATAAGATATGGGGATAGCATGGGAGAGGTCTGCTGTGCGGTTGTTCAAATGGTAAGACAATCCGGGAACTGAAAGAACCACCAATGCATGAGTATTACCGTCAAATACTCTACAAGATGCGTGAACATGTCGGCGGCATTATGTGCAAGACGAAGTCCGATAGGTTCTGGGGGCGGGTCAGGATCATGAACAGGCATTGCAGTGTGCCGCAAATCCATTCCATGCTGTTCACTTTGTATCTCTGAATAACAGATATCCACAAGAAAGAAAAGAAAAGACGTTGGCAATATGTCAGTTTTTTCCTCCCTAGTACGCTCTTTGTGAACCAAACTAGTAAAGTAGAAACACGGTTAATACCTTGTAAATAATGGGCCAGAGGCGAATCCTCGTAGACGACAATGTCGGCCATAAGGAGTGCTATTCAGGCTAAAATCCAGATCCAGGTCGAGGGACAGGAACAAGAATAGAAGTTGCTTATTTTTTTTCTGTTTATTTCAGTTATTCAGTTGCCGCTCAACAAGTAAATTGCGGAAAGGAGCCCCTCGGTAAAGAGAGAGTATCGAGTCAGTTTATGGCTGTTGTTGAGAAGGGAGGAGAGAGAAGTAATGAGAAAAGGAGGTTATGAGGAGGGAGGGAGAGAGAGCAAGAGAGAGGGGAGCAAGACACGAGAGGATTGAATGAATGGATGTGAAGAATGAAGTGTGCTGATCTGTTAATGGATGGAAACAAAAACACAAATTGAAACAAGAGGAAGAAGCAGTGCAAATTAACACATTGTAATGCAATCTTTATTCTGCAAAGGCTGATCATGAGACTTCTCGATGAATGGCATGGTCTTCAAGTAAAAGTAACAAAAACCATATCCCAACGGTGTATTTAAGCTACAGCATCCTATTTCAGGAACAAAAGCATGCCTCCCTCTCTTTTTTTTAAAAAAGCCTCTTTTATCGTACTGTGGAATCAAATGGATGGCGATCCTTCTCACTATGTGTTCTACATCGGCAACTCCAGATTGCCTCCGCTAGCCCCTTTTTTTCTCTTGAAAGAAAAAGGTTACTTTGCCCGGACCCCACAGCATTTTGTCACACGAACCAAATAGACCCTATTCACCTGTTGTTTCAATGACCTCTAAAATGGAGGAGTCATCATCGATTTTACTCCACAGTCTGATTAGCTATTAAGCAGTTTACCATTTGAAGCTCACAGCATGACGAGCATGAACCAAGGGGTCGTATCCTACGTCTTTACCTTCACAGAGCCGATGGATGTATTTCATGTTCACTAATGTAACGTAGACTACAAGAACGATTATTTTCACGTTCTTTGTGAGAGCCCTTGTCTATTTGAGTCTTGGCAGTTGGTCATCTGAAAATTCAGCATTGTAAACCCGAAATAAATATTTACTTGACCACATTTTTTAGCTACTTCTTCTCTAATGGAAGATTAATAACTCTTGGTTACTTTAGTATGAGGATACAAAATCATTTATTTATCTGCAGAGGGAAAAGGAGCACAAGGGTTTTGATCGGGACCAAAAACAATTAATTAATTTATGATCCAATGCATCCGCATTGTCCATCCATCCTCAGAACTTCTTAAAATAAAAAAATAAAAACTGTGGGTGATGACAATAGCATGCAGAGAGCCGCATGTATTGTTCTTCTAAATTACAATATCGGTGAGTTCACACATTGGATAGAGCATCAAAATAAGAAATTCTGCGCATGGAGAAAAGAACAAACGTAAATCGCATTCTTATTTCCTAATGGAGACAAGCCCTCTTCCATTCCTCCACTCCGGTGGCTGTGCGTCTGGGACGTCCACGACATCTTGGCGCATCAGTGTCAATGGAGCAATCATTTCTTTTGCCAGTTCAAGCCAATTTTAGATCCTTCTTTACGTACGGAGTTAGATTTCGCTTGTATCCTTTATTGGCAACATTGCGAAGAATATGAACAAAACTAAATCGAGGCAACAGTAGCTTCCTGTAGGAGCATGGATACGACTTCAAGCCATGCCACGTCTGTGTTTTTTATCATCTCTTTCTTCTCACTCTCAACATCCCTGCTCTCAGAATGCTCCTGCATGCAATGTTGCTTCTAAGCGACATGTTCAGCCATTTAATCCAAAACAATGGTTGACCGCACGAAGTTTTCTATACGTGATTATACCTGTGATCATTAGCAATGATGTCTAACAATAAGAGAGGCTCATTGTGTTGCCAAAGCAAGTAATTATTATTGTCATTCTTTTTCTTGTTCCACTCTCCTTGACTCCTCTTTTCGTTCTCTCTTCCTTCCTTTCTTCCCTTTCTTCCTTTTTTTTTTCCACGATTGTCCCCTGAAAGGAGTCTGTTCTTTATCTGATGTTTGATGTTAGGATTAAAGATCGGCAGAGACACTCTGAGCCTTTAAAGGAAAACGCTCCTCTACTATATATCATTCTTTCACGATCATTCTTCTCCTTGCATGTGCTTATTCTTCCTCCTCCCTTGAACTTTGCCTTCTGACCAGACATTTATTCCTTTTAAATATATACTGGTGAAAGCGGAAATAACAAGAAGCTTGAGTCAATTTTCTGTGGGATAAACAGGTGCCTTGTAAGTCTATCTCCTATAATTCTTTATGACAAGCCTCTCTTGTTAGTATTGTCCTCAGAGGCGTGTATGTCTCTCCCTAGAAAGGAGGTAGGAGGTGGGGAACCTACATTTACAGAACCCCTTTAGGTTCCATGTCTACTATGTTCGTGACAATAGATATAGGTGAGCGTGGTGCTATTCCATTCTTTCCTAAGAACGCTCGGCTATCCTTTGCTTCTTCTTTTTTTTTTTTTTTTTTTTTTTTATTTTTTTTTCTACAGAACAGAGAAAGTCATGAAAGCCATGCGAGTCCGATTCCTCTTTTTTTTATTTTTTATGTTTTTATTTTCATGGTCTGCTCATTGCTCTATCTTCCTTTCCTGGCCATTCGAATCTCATCTCGTCCCACCTATTCTTGTACCCGTTCGCGCGCTAGCCATACAATTTCTTCGATTAACGGAATTGAAAACCTTGAAACGATCAACTACAGTTCAACGCGCCTTGTTACGACCGCGTCCAAGCCATCTTTTTAAATACCTGACCTCCCTACACCTTCTTATCCTGCTTCCTCTTTCTTTTTCCCTTTCTACGACGATCAAGCTAACATTGTCTCATACGTACAGGTGTCTTCTCGCGTACGGCCCTTGTTAAGCTATTTATCTTTCACTCATCATCGACAAAAGCATCCTCCCGCAACCCAGTATTTCCTTGCTTACCCAATAATCCTATAGCTTCTCTGATCAAGGCACGATCGTTCTTTCGCCACATCCTGCGTTTTTCATCTCCCACCATTTAAAAATTTATGAAGTTGCACACAGCGCTTCCGCCAATAAATGCCTCTCAGCATTCAATGGAACCTTCCATGGGGCGTCTGAACTTTCAGTCGTCTAATCCGTCATCCATAAGCTCGTCAATTTCAATGCCGTTTATTCAAGCAAGTAACTCATTTTCTTCGCTTTCCTATGCTGCCAGCGCCCCTAGCTCGCAATCCCACATCCCCATCAACTATTACGATGGGCCTTGGCAGCGGCATGAGGTAAGCCTTTACCGATCTGCATAGGAACTACTTTCTCGGCTTTTTTCTTCTTTTTCTTTTTTCACTCTGCCGTCTCTCCTTTTTGTACACATTTCATTATTATTTCAACCACTAATGTCAATACAACACTGTCATAATGTTAAATGTGCTCTATAAACCATTTGCTTAATTCGTGTTTAAATAAAGGATCAGCTCTTAAGTGAAGCTATGAAAGCCTATGGTCCAAAATCATGGGAGTTGGTTGCCGATTATGTTTTTCCAGATGGGTCAAGAGACAAAAATGTTTCTATGCATCGCTGGAGAGTCTTACCTTCTACAAAATCTCGTCAAGTGAAAGGCCCTTGGACTGAGGAGGTAACTTAACAAGAAAGGATCAACATTTATTTTGTCTCCCTTTAGCTGAATATTTATTTTTTCTCTTTAATCCGTCTGTGTTGCATTTTATAGGAGGATCGTAAGCTACGTGAACTTGTAAACGAGTACGGCCCCGAGAAGTGGGTTTTTATTGCTTCTAGGATTGGGTCGCGCACTGGGAAGCAGTGTCGAGAAAGATGGCATAACCATCTCGATCCCATGAGTATGTGAAATGAATAGGTGACGTTGAGGTTATTTGTGGATTGCTCTACTAACATTCAGCTCTTTTTCTTAAATAACATGCTCTTCAGTTAATAAGGCTCCATTCACGCATGAAGAAGACATGCGTATCCTAGAACTTTATAGTCAACTTGGGTCAAAGTGGGCCGAAATGGCCAAGCAAATGCCAGGTAGACCAGATAATGCTATCAAGAACCATTTCAACACCACTATGCAGAGAAAGAAGAGGCGCATGAGCATGCCCACTATCCACTCCAACTACCAATACCGTGATCAACATCAGGACCTCGTTACTTCATTGTCTTCTCGCTCCCCTGGGCACTTTCCTACTACGGCAGCGGGAGTAATAGGGCTCAAGAGTTTGATGGCAGGGTCCTCGTCCGGATCTTCTCTTAGTGCTGGGATATCTATGCATTTGCATCAGATGCCCAATGCCATGTCAAGGTTCATGCCATATGAGCGACGACACTCCCTTCCTATGCCCCCTACCATGGCCGCCCAGAACATCCCATCTTTCACCAATAGCTTGATCTTGCCTTCACCTCCAAGAACGCCTGATACTGCGCGTCACAAGGGCTCATTCTCGTCTTGGTGTGTGACCCCTCCTCCAGTCCGAAGCTTCTTTGAAGCAAATACAGTACAGACGTCTTATGAGCCCTCCTCGTCCCCGTCACAACCGCATCCAACTCTTCCAGGGATATCGTCATTTGTTCACGCATTTGAGCAGCCCCAGGCGCCATTGTTCAGATATCCTAAGGCCCCAGCTCAATGCCCTCCACAGAACTACAACCAATATTCTTTCTCGCCTTACTCTTCATGTGCAGCTTTGCTCTCCAGTAATGCTCCAATTGCCAACCCTTCGACGCCTCAGTGTCTTGATACAGGTCCAAGCAAGGGTTCTCTCGTATCTTCATCGGCGCGTCTTCAGGAACCGGCGTTGCCTCAGCATTCTAGGACGAATGAGGTCAGTGATGTATTAGAACCTACGGCCTTAAGTCAGACTGGTTCGACTTCCAATAGCTCTTCACCTTCGCGCGGGGTGTTGGTTCCTTCAGTCCGCCATATCCAAGTTGACTCGTATATTGAAAATGATGAATCGGTACCAAGCAATACAGGCTGTAGTCGTGCATTTAAGCGCGAGCTTAGTCAAGGACATGAGGAGCATTGTCCTTCCCGTATCGATTACCAGGCTATGAGCCGATTTTCGTATGATGATAGCGATGTAGTATCTGATAAAGAGTCCATAGGCCTGACAGAGGATGAAGAGCTGGGTGAGGATCTAGCCCGTGAAACTGACGTTGCGGGCGTAGGAAAGGAAAAGAAATCGAGTGATAACAGGGGTAGGCTTTATTCTCGTGGTACCGTCCATGCCATGTCAATTGAGAACCTTGTAGGGCCTTCTGCATAGGCATCAAGGCGTACCAGGTGGTTTTTTGCCTTAATAGTGCTGTTTATGATTAGTGTCCTTTTGTACGCTTTTTTTGTAATGACTATTCCCTAATGTTCCCATTGTCTCAATTCCTTGTTTTCTTCTCCCCGTCCTTGTTCTTCTTTCTTCTCAAATCCGTGCTATGTCAAACTCCCCCCACATAAATGTTTTACCATGATCTGTATTGACGTTCTTATACATGCTTTTCATTTTCCCCTTCATTACATCTTTTCGCACGCAGCGTACCACTCTATCGACGCTAATTACTGTGCCATATCCTGAATTGCCAATGTTAATAGTATTTGAAATAAACTGGTTTAGTATTCATGACATTAGTTTGCATCCCTTTTCCCTTCCACCACAGGTGGAGATCGGAATACATAAAAAAAATTACTATTTGCAACCATGCTAAGTACTCTACTTGTTGCAAGGCCTTTCTCTGCCCGAAGCACCTTCTTTTATTCCGAAAACGTATTGCTTTGCTTCTATAAAGGTCGCTCAGCGCCCTGGTCGTATTAAACAACAACCTTAAATAACTTCGCGATTTGACAACGACTCATAACTGTCCACTGTTATTGAGTTTTGACGGTTATTAAATTGGATCCTTGTTCTCAAAGTGAATGGTTAGAATGATATCAAATATATGAAGGAATATCTCGCGGTCGGCTTGGTTTGCGTAAATCAATACTACAAAATGATACCGCTATCACTTCGAATTCCATTTGTCTCTTCCTCTGCCCATGATTTCCTGAATTTCGAAAGCATTCCAATGGGCGTTGGCCAGCTACAGCCAGGCATGAGAATGTTTTTTATTATTAAGCTATTCTGCATTTTTATTTTTATTTTAAATCCTATCAAACCAAAATACACCGAGAGTGAAGTAATTGCGCCTGTTTAGTCTTCAATCTTCCCGAGAAGGTTTTTAGGCTAGTCCAATGTTCAAGTATCCAGTATATCGGTCACGGAGTATAGAGCTCTCGATCTGTCTTGCATATAACTCCGCCAATGTCTCGAAATGCCGTTCAAGAGATTGAAGTGAAAGAGGACCGAACTTAAAGGAGCTACAAACCAGTGACCTCAACTGTCGTGGCATGCTTGTCAAGATTGTAGCCATTTCATTATCTTTCATGTCCACAATGTCTAGATCAAGGCTTTCGAGGTTTTGCCAAGTCCCTGCTGCAACCTTTTCAGCAAAGGGTCTCGAAATATCGAGGCCACCCGGTGCAGTTGAATGCCAGATCAAACATTTGAGATGTGGACACCGAGCGATAAGACAAAGCTGATTTGCACCATCAAGCCCTCCGTCTCCGTTAATAGTGAGCTCAAGAAGGGATTATTGTTGGTCAAAGTTCCCTCCTCTCTAAAGCTGACTTCATAATATACGACGCTTTCTCGAAGCATGAATGTTTAAAGTAATTTCCGATGCCAGGCTTTACAGACGCGGATACATTGAGTAAGGTCACGCTTTTGAAGGTGTTGAGAGATTTGAAACCGTATTTCTGGGGGATTGAGAGAGTCTTGAGGCATCATTTGCCTCAGAATGCGAAGGATGAAAAGAGTGAAGATGGTCAGTTTAAATAGTGAATAAAAGAGCCCAAATTCTGGATTCTTGGCGGGCGAGGCGTAGCCATTAACGCGTCTTGTAACCCAAAATGCTCATGTGACGCGTGACCTAATTAACGTTCATTCCTCTTTCCATTCTATTATAATAAAAAAAAAACCTCTTTTCCATTCTTCATTAGTCCTCCCAAAATCCTTCCCAATTTCATTCTTTAATCGCCAATTGTCTTTACGGGCTTAACATTCACGTCATTCTGCTCAACTAAACTACGAAGCCTGCCGTTTTTTATTTCCTCCATTTTTTTTTACTCAACTGCAATAGAAAACACTTTGTACTATGAGTCTTCAGGTCAATTTTACAACACATAGCCATGAGCTCAGAGCCGCATATGAGGCCGTTTTGCGGCCCGCAGACCCTAAGAATGGCGACAATTGGGCCATGTTTGGTTATGACAAGGGTACCAATGACCTGAAGGTGCTTGGCCGTGGTAGCGGCGGGCTTGAGGAGCTGCAGGACGAGTTTATGGATGGCAAGATGCAATATGCCTTCGTCAGGATTGTTGATCCTTACTCTCAGCTCAACAAATTTGTCCTCATTGCCTGGGTATGCTTACAGTCTCTATATTTTTTTACACGTCATCCTTTTCTCGAAATCTTATGCAAGTCTATTGAGTAAAAAAAAAAAAAAAAACGGAAAGTTATATTGCATGAGAGAAGGCTTAGTAGAAAACAGCTCTTGGCATTAAGGCGGTTTATGAGGGGAGATTTATATAAAAAAGGCTGTAGTCGGCTTTTTCTGACCGGATTTTTGGTCAGCTGAATTCTAATCGACCATCGATTTTATGATTGTTTAGTGTGGCGAAGGAGTCCCTGAATCCAAGAAAGGTCTTTTCAACACACATCTTGCCGACGTTGCTCAGTTCTTGAAGGTACAGAAGAGCTAGTGTGCAGTGTTTGACTCCTTGAGCAAGATCACTACCTGGTCACCAAACAGCAGTCTAATAATTATGATGATTTGATATGGTGTATCTATTGTTACTTCATATACATGTCTATTTTTCGTCTTCTAGGGTTATCACTTGCAGATCAACGCTCGCTGTGATGCTGATGTTACCCCAGCACAGATCATGAAGAGAGCTGAGGAGGGTTCAGGCTCAAAGTATTCCACCCACAAAGAGGAATATCAGCATGAGAAGATTCAGCCCCTACAGTCTGCATATAAGAAGACTCAGATTCCGGATATTGCGGCTATGCAGCGCACTTCCACGAAGCCTGAACCTGCACCTAAGGTGAGTAATTTGTATTTCATATCCTCCACCTCGATTCAGTGAAATTTGGTCATTGGATACCCAGTTATCGTTTCCATATTTTAACGTAAAAGTCCATTGCGTTGTTTATAAATAGTATGGCATTGGTACCTCAAAGCCGTTGGTCAGTACTCCCCCTTCGTCAGCGGCACTTTCATCTCTTTCTGCATCTTCCCCTTCTCCAAAGCCTGCTCCTCTTGTTCCATCCAAGCTTCAAGGTCGTGTCTGGCCACCTCCAGCATCCTCGCCCTCATCTTCATCTACGACTTCGCCTAATATCGCATCACCTCCCTCTTCAGCCTCTGTTGTTGTAGGAAAATCATGGAGTACATCTGGAGGTGGGTCATCTTACTCTGCTTCTACAGCAACGTCTTTTAACAAGGTGCAGCCACCTAGCTCATTGACTTCATATGGTGATTCGAAGCCAGAGCCATTTGTCAACAAAGCTCATCAACTCCGTCTAGAGCGTGAGGCCCGCGAGAAAGAAGAACGTGAGAGGATCAAGCGTGAAATAGCAGCTAGTGAAGCGCGTGAGAGACAGGCTGAAAGCACCTCTACAGCTCAAAAATTAACAGAGGAGAGGCGTCTTCAGGAACAGCGAGAGAGAGAGCAAGAAAAGGAACGCGAGCTTGCTCAAGGAGCATCATCGTCTATCCAAAGCAGCAGAAGCGCTGTAGATGACCGACCTGCGGACTTTAATCGTATACGTGAGGAACGACTTGCACGTGAAAAGGAGGAACGAGAGAGGGCCGAAGTCGAGGACGCGGCGCGCGCAGCACGTGAGGCAGCCAAAGCAAGGGAGCAAGATGCTATACGGGAACAGGCTCTTGCAAGAGAAGAGGAGCAGAGAAGGCTGTTAGAGCAGCGGCAGCAACAGCAGAAACGCGAGTCCGAGTTGAATGAAGCAGAAAGACAAAAAGCCAGAGAGGCAGAAGAACAAAAAGCCAGAGAGGTTGAGGAACTAAGGACTAGAGAGGCTGAAGAGCACCGCCGAATGCAAGAAGAAGAGGAACATCGCCAAAGGCAGCAAGAAGAGGCTCGTCGTCGCCATGAAGAAGAAGAAGAAGAAAGACAGTTGAATCAACATCAGGATGAAGAGGAAGATCGTCGGCGTCAGTTTGAACATGAGCAAGAAGAGAAGCATTGGAGAGAGGAAGCCGAAGAACAAGAGCGACGCTTGCAGGAACAAGTCAGTGCTGCAACTACCCAATCTGTAGCTCTTGGGGCTGATGCACTTTTGGCTTCAGCAGACCATCCAGAGCTTGCGACCGTTGGTTCAGTTTCTGCTATTGTCCTTTACTCATATGACAAAGCTGAAGAGAACGAGATGACGTTGTATGAGGGAGAGATAATCAGGAATGTCATGGAGCTAGACGTCGGCTGGTGGAGCGGCGAGAGCGAGGATGGCACCCGTTCAGGACTCTTCCCATCCAACTATGTCGAAATTATTGACCAGAGTCATGGCCAAGGGATGGCTACTGCTGGTGCGGCAGCTACGAATGAGCAAAGGCAGGAATCGGAATATGAACATTATGCACAACAGCATGCTGCTGTTGCCGCTGCTCCTGACCACCATGATACCTCTGCAAGTGCTCTCGGCCGTAAGCCTTCTGCTGTAGCCCTTTATGACTATCAAGCAGGGGAGCCTAATGAGATTTCATTCTCTGAGGGTGACACTATCAATGAGATTGAAGTAAGTTGTGTATTTTATTTATTTATCTTTTATTTTCTTAAATTTGTATATGTATGGTGAATGTCTACTGATGTCTCTACTCGTTTAATTTATTTTCTCAACTTAGTTCGTTACTGAAGACTGGTGGAGTGGCAAGAATGGGAGCGGCATCATTGGATTATTTCCAGGTATTGAAATGATTGAAGTTAAATCTCCTTGTAACTTGTCTTCAGATCATGGACTAACCAAAGCCTTGCTTTTTTTTTTTTTTTTTTTTTTTTTTTTATCATTATCCCCGTAGCCAACTATGTGGAGCTTATTTCTCAATAATTATAAACTCATAGTGACTTAATGAATATGTTTTTTTTTTTTTTTTTTTTTTTATAAAGTACTATGCACCACCAAAAACATTGACTAAAAGTGATCTGAACGCCCTAAACATCTCATCATTAGTGCCTTTTGGCAACAGGAACTGAATGACTTTGATATCTCCGCCTTGCGATGCTCTAAACTTCTCAGCTTCGCTGCCTTGGTTTCCAACTTGCTTCACTTGTCGTGCACTATCCATTAAAAAGGACTTTAGGTGCCTTAACAACAGCTCGGATCGGCGATGGAGGTCACGACGAGTTTGATCGGTGATGTAGTAGACAACTCCACCACCGTTATTATTGAAGTGACTATTGTCAATGACATTGTTTGAAACCCTTGTGAACGAGGACGAAGATGCCAATGATGTCGTTGGTACTGTTGATAGGGACGACGACCCATAATTAGAACCATGGCGCTGATGTCGAGATGATGATGATATTGTTGTTTCATGAGTCATAGAGGCTACGAGCTGGCTCTCAAATCCTGAAGGCATCATAAGGAAGGGGATAGAGAGCATGGTTATTTCATAGCGATGAGCTATTCTAATGATATTTCGTAAGCCAGTGAGGAAATTAGGCTTAGGGACAAAGTCAGCAGATTGGCTGAACATGATGGGTTGATGCGTTAATGGTGCTTGTGGAGTAGAAGAGTCGCCCGAAGGATTAGTTTTCGGAGTCTGACCATAAAAGAGATGAAATACAACATGAACCATGGGTAGATTTGAATGCCTTGTGAGAATAAAATCACCCTCCTGGATAGTCGAGCCATCAAGTGGGAATTCTGCTTCCAGAGTTTCTAGCTGCCTTTCGATGCTGTCGAAATGTAACTCAGTGCTGGTTTGACATGCCTTGAAGAATTCTAGGATAGACATAGCCATCAAGGTTATTGTTTAGGAGTCAATTTTCATCTTTTCAAGAACAAAAAAAAAAAAAAAAAAAAAAATTGTACAAGCGTGCATACCCTGATGACAGGTCCGTCCAAATTTGTACTTTGCCCAGTCATTGATATTGACTAATAGAACAAGGCCAGTTAAATTTTGTCCGTAAAGCGAAGAGGCCGTCTGAGCATGAATGGCTGCATCTTGTTCTGATTTGTTTCGATGGCTTGGAAACACTTCAGCAGGATCTGACACCATGAGCCGTAGATTATGGGTGACCTTAGAATGGCTGCTACCTAAGACCACAGTGAACGATTCATCGAGGTTGGATTTTGGGACAGGCGGTCGAACCAGTCGGCTATTGTATGAATTACCGCTATTTCTGGATGCTGAATCGCTGGTTACCAAAAGCACAAAGTAATGCAAATGCAAAGGCCATTAGTTCTTTCCATAGAGTTAAATGACAATAAACGTATTGAATAGTAGTGCCAAAAAAGAAGAAATAGAAACCTTACTCAAAGTCGTCATCAAGACCGAGATTCTCGATAGCTTTATTGAGCCAGCCCCCAAATTTTTTGACCGATGGACTTGTACTGTTGCTCAGCAATGCATTCTTCTGTTGAAGGAATGGTAAGGGTGACCATGGTTTTTGTTGTGCGGCGTTTGCTCCAGGTCCATGATTGAACATCCCGCTCAACGGCCTTGGGGAGGATACTGAGGCCGATCTTTCTGCTGCTCGACCAGCTTGTTGAACCTTTGAAGCTTGTGTAGATATAGCACTGTTTACAGTGTTAGCGCCAATTAGAGAAGTTGATGGCTGTTGTGGTGATGATTGACCCCGTGCTCTAACTCTCTCTTTTAATGCATCTGTTTTTTGTTTTGCAAGTACGAGGCGTTGGATGTTTTCGGGTTGTTCCAAGAGTAGGTTGATGGCATGGTCCTATAAAAAGGTTAAAATCTCAACATGTATTAGACATAGCGCAACAATAAAATACGTTGCTTTTTATTTGTTAATAGCATACCATATCACGATTAGCAATCAGTAGTGCTCCTTTTGCTTGCTCTTCGTCAAAACCCATCTCTAAGATTGATTTAATCATCCGCTGAAGCTCTGGATTCACTTCGTTCTTTGTACACTCAATTGGAGTATCCGTGACCTGAGCTATCGGTGAAGTGCCAATGGTAGCCTCAACGGGCTGATCCAGCAAACTTTGTGACATAGTTCCTAACTGTGATGTCTGGGATGCAGTTGCATGAGGTTGAGGAACTATCGATGATTCCTGACGTTCACCGTCTGTAAAGGTTTTGGTCTGTTGATCAGGCAAAGTGCTTTCAACATTGGAGATACGGGCGCCTATCGTCCGCATAGCTTCTTCAACCATATCCTTCCCATTGAGTAGTACGCCATCAGAGGCGCCTCCAGTCTGTGCGCTGTGATTTGCATACAAATGCTGTCGTTTATAGATTTCAAAGAGTTCTAGAATGAATTCCTGATATTTTGTTCTCTGCGCAGATTGCAAATCATCAAGCTGGCTATTCCAAGTCGCTTGCGAAACCTCCATTCTCTGAAGATTAGCAGAAATTTGAAAAACATATCCCCTGTTTTAGCGAGTGAACTTCTCATGTCATCAGTCACGGGGTGAACAGAAATGATTTTGTTCCCGCACATTTACCTCGATATGTCGTGTCATAAGGTGAGTTAAATTACGTTGAGGTGTATCACTAGCTAGTGCATTGTTGTGTCTAGAAAATGCCAAAGCAACGTTAATCCATATAAGTATAGGGAGTTTGTGAGGATAGGTCTTTGTTGCTTGAACTATAGAGATGGATATGCACTGACTTTGTCTGGATTTCATTGATCTCCGCGTCGCGAGCACTCAGAAGCGCGTCAACTTCTCCAGCGTACTCTCGCTCAAGTTCCAAGATGGCGTCAAAGAGAGATGGTATAGGCGAATGAACAAGCGTATGATATGCCTCTGGGAACAGGTTCTAGTGGTTGCCAAAGGAAGCGTAGTTGACAGTCATAATCGATGCACTTAAGAGTAAAGGTTCGTCAGTAAGGTTATATGCAGCATATACTAAAAAAAAGACGCTACCTCTTCTGGTTGTGTATAAAACTGTCTTGTGTAAGTTCTGTAGTTGGCAATGATATTCTTTTGTAACTCTCGCAATTCCTTGTCCTCTTTCTCTTCCTTATCTTTTGTGGAACTCTCAGTGGTCAAATCTCGGGTTACCACATTATTTTCGCTACCAGCGACTATCGGGATATCCACATCAGCACCTTCAGCTGCAGGAAGGCGCTTAGCAAAGATATTCTCATTAACGCGCTTTTTATAGTGGTTAATGGTTGCCCTACGTGTTTCTTGTATAAGATTCTGTGCTGTTGAAAGGAATGAATGCTCAAGATATACAGGAACATGATGTTCGACGCAACTTTGACGAATAGCATCCAACAGCAAAGCCCCTTCTGGTAGGTCAACTTGGATAGTCTTTAGGTCTGCATCTGGGTATGGAGGGAATGAGAAGCGGATTTGGATAGGATGTGACACCTTCTCGAGTGTCATCTCTGTGGCGTCCATGAAAACGCTGAGAATCAATGTAACTGATTCTGAATGTCTTTATGGTTAAGTTCAGAAAGAATCTGCAGTGAAGATGAAGGACGTTCTATCGCCATACAAGTGTGTCTTTTTTCATTCCTTGAATAGAACTTTATATAGATTCCTAAGCTTTGCAATTGATATTTCTAAGGCGCCCTTTCCTCACATACCTGGCACCTTGTAAGCTCGGATAAGTATACGTCATCAAGTAGTGACGTGAGCACTTTGACCTTTGGCATAGCTTCGTTAGTGTTTCGAAGCATCAAGCGTGCTTGGAACGGATTAGAGACAAATAAGAATATTTAAGACGATTGGAATAGGGTAAGAAATAGTCAAAAAGGTTATGGTTAGCGCTAGTCCCGGACGTTCGCCTTAAAGATCCAGTCGTGTGTTCATTATTTATACCTATGGGTCTCGAGAATTTCCCCTTTAATAATGATCCTTGTCATATCTTGAACGACTGCACGGTCTCTTGGTTACTTTGTAATGTAAATGAACTATATTTCGAAAAAATGATTACTGAAATCCGCCATCCATATCGTTCAATTATAGAGCCTATATACCAGAATATCACGACTTGTCATGACATTTGCAACATTGTCCCAGAGTATTTACCTTCCTTACAAAGGAAGACCGGTATCACAGCCAGAAGACACAAATGGAACAATGGGTCAAAGTTCATCCAGCATAGTACAGAATGGTTTCGAGCTTCATGGGTTCTAAACTATAACTTCGCCACCTTGCAATTGGGGGAACCGATCAAGCACTCCTCAATTGCAAAGACGTCCGTTTCATAAGTGACCGCCTTTACTTGTGAGAACCCAGCCAAGCACACAGAGAGCTTTCCATGCTTGTTTCTTTTTCAATTCCTATCATACCCATTCGTCATGGTAAGCTGATCGACCATGATCAAGGCAAACCATCAGTCCCCATTCCCTACTCTAATGTATACCTTGTCCCTTTCCATATTCTCCATCAACTCTGCTAGTTTCAAAAGCTGTGGCCTTTCAGCAACCCATCGCAGAGTAGTGGAGGCCCTAATTTGAACGAGCAACGAGATCATGGCGTCACAACTAGAGTGAAGCCTGTCTATGCTTCCTTCAATAAAGGGATTCCTCTCAACAGTACGACCGATTGCCAATAAGCCTTGTACTTTGTAAACCGATGTCATTCTTTATGGCATTGGTTAATAGCTGATAATTCAGAAGTTATTCAATGTTCAGTATCAAGAAATGAATGTTGTTTTTGATGCACCACCTCATCTCCCTCTTTTGACATAAACCGAACGATTCTTAGTGAAGATCATTATTCGCGGAGATATCAGGACTGGGAAGACCTCTTTCTGTTAGTCAAGCTTTTTTTTTTTTTTTTTTTTTTTTTTTTGGAAGAAATGATGTCAGAGGAGCACGGACCAGCCAACCTATTTTTCTGACTGGGGGGTTTTTTTTTTATTTTTTTTTTTCTTGGATGTAGTTGAGCGATTGCAGGGGCTTCCCTTCCGAAATGAGCGTGAGTACAGGACTACAAAGCAGATTCAAGTCGCCAACATCCCTTGGCAATATCCTCGTAAGAAAAGCCATAGTTATTATTATTATTTCCCCACTATCGGCCTTGTAAATTTATACCTGAGTCACCGTCTCCGATCCGTTTTAATGTTCTTGACCCATGACGACTCAATCAGTAACATTTTGCACTTGATTTTGGTTATACTTAAAAAACGCGTCTCTATATTGCTTAACTTACACGTTCCTGACCTACACCCATTTTCGGCCTTAAGATACAAAGGATATTATTAAAGTGGAAGTGTGGGATGTGGTTGATAAAGGAATACAATCTGGAGACCTGAAGGCCAGTGGCGGGTCCTCGCTTAAGATCGATAATAATACTCGTAAGGGATCCATATGTCCTGTTTTGATGTCCCAATGCCGCTGCCAATAATACTTGGATTGACTTGGTATTTCATTCAAATCTATTTTCTAGCCTCATCGCCTACAAAAGCAAAGTCGGCACAAGATACTGAAGTAGCACCCCATGCGGCCTTTGCTCTTGATGCTTCTACCATTGATGTGTACCGCAATACGGATGGAGTCATTTTGCTTTATGATAATTCTAAACCATGGACAATTGATTATGCAGCTCGGACGCTCGCTGACATTCCAACAAACATACCCGTTCTGTTTTTGGTAAGACATTAATCACAGGAGGAGTACCGATATATATATATATATATATATATATATATTTTTTAAAAAAAAACACGATTCACATACCATTTTTTAATCTCTGCAATTTTAAACCTTAGAGGAATTTTTCAGATGATAGTCATATTAAGACTATTGTTCCTAGTGAAGTTGTTGAGGCATTAATGAATGAATATAATGCTATCCGTCGTAGACATCCATGCTCGCCGGCAAACCTCATTAGACATCTGAATACTAGTATGAAAACAGGATTAGGATTGAAAGAGATACGCGAGAACTTTGGTATCCTATTTTTGAACGTCTTGGTATGTCTATTTGTTATTTATTTTAGTTATATAGCATACTGATAGTGGGTCTACAATACTGACGTATCGCAATTCATGTAGAGGGAGACGCACAGAAAACAATTTGAACAAAAGACTCAGGAAATTAATAATCTTTTGAAGAAATTGGATGAAAGTAGCCAGCAGCTATATACGCGATCAATTCAGCCTCAGTACCATCAACAGCAACAGCAACAACAGCAGCAGCCTACAACGGCAAATGTTATTCCAGCACAGCCCTTATCTCCTAAAGATGCAGCTGTCTCGAAAAGAGCACTAAAACTATTTACGCCTATTCAGACTACAGGGCCAGCTATCCATCCCATCCCGCAGACGTCGTCTCCAACATCGCCAGCAAGGAAAACTAGAAACGATCACACTAATGTCGACATTTTAAGCCCCACACCAGTTTCTGTTCAAACCCCTGCTGTACTGTTTGATTTTAATTCTGGGAAACTGGAGGAGGAGTTTTTTCAAAACATTGATCTGGATTCCTCTGAACCAGCCGTTAGCGACAATGGGAAGATTTGGACTTCAACAACAAGAGCAATGTCCACAAGATATGAAACTGTTGATGGGAATCCTATGGTGACAGGCGATGAAGACATTGATGATAGCGCCAGTGATAGTCTTGTTGGATCTAATCATCACAGCCTGGCTCTGGAGACTGTCTGGACTCCTGGTCAGGCTGTAGGGGAGCTACTGACGGACCATGGAGTGAAAGGTTCGGAAGAGACATTCTTAGAAGAAGTTCAGGATGATGGTATGGCTACTAGTGGATACAGCGAAAATGGCTTGGAGCCTAGAGAAGATAGTATATCTTCAATAGGAAGTACTCCACCACTCCGGCATCTTACACGTCAGGATTCTGACAATGATAGTCAGCAGGAATTTCCTGTAGCTTCAGCCATGTATTATGTACATGATCCTTCTATGTTTGCACAAGGGGGGAAATATACCCATCATTTAGACGGAAAGGCAGTTAATTCGGCAATACTCTCTGAATACGAAGAGATAGCAGGTGGGCACAACCACAACCCCTGGAAAAGTACTGGGGACCTGCTCGATCATGATTTTAACAAAGGTAGCGAACACCAGAAGGCACACTTGGAGCCCATAGGTGAAGGGAGTCTAGACATGTCTTCGTTAACGACAGCTCAGTTAGAAGGAGTAGGGGATGATGATACGCACATGAAACCTGTTGGAACTAAGATTGCGCCAAATGCTGCCATTGCTGCCAGTACGGATAATATGAATATAAGGTCAGAAATCAACAAGAGTAATAGCAAAGAAGAGCCTATTACAGCATCGGTGTCAGTAGGCAAGAAGACAAAAAAGAAGGGCAAGAAGAGCAAGAAAGGAGTAAAGTAGAACAAATAAAAAAAAAAATGAAGCATTCCAATTTATATGTCTTGCATTTAGGGGAAGATGACCACATGCAGAATTTGTTTGGAGTAACTTAAATTTTGTTGGACATGCTCCTTGCCTTTTGCCCTCTGCGCCTTCTGCCTAGTCTTTCTTACTTTCCCCTCCAGTTCTTCAAGCACAAGATTCTTTTCTTTCTTTTTTTTTTATTTTTTTTTTAATCCTTCCTTATCAATATTATCTTCTGTATTCAATCTATTTCTATTTGTTCATTTGCAATCTGTTACCTGGCTTTCTGTAAATTCATTAGTTTTTTTTTGCCTCATTTCTTTCAGTTGCAACATGGCGTCTAATCTCACCGTCTTCCTTGGCGGAGGGAAGAAGCAGCTTGTCAAGACTACGCCGACCATGATTCTTCGGCAGGTTGTCAACACTGTCTGTGAAAAGCAAGGTTATGGTGACCCAGAGACTTATGGGCTCAAGTATGCGTTTGTTCTCTTTATTTTCTGTTTATATTGTCCCTTCTTTTTCTTATGTACTAACTACTCTCCCTCTTTTTGATATTGTTGGGTATATGCTCTCTTTTAGGAGTGGAAAGAACTTCCTGGATTTGTCATTATCGATCCGATATGCTAACATCGTACCAGGGGCTAAGCTTGAACTTGCCAGAGTTCCAAAAGACAAATCAAGTAAGTTGATTTTTAATCCTACCTCTGTGTCAGTTTGTTCTGATGTGTTCTTTTTGTGTTCCGAGGAAGAAAAAGAAACAGTGCTCAACTCTGTCTACATAATTTGTTTGTGACATACTCAAAAAATAAAAAAAGTCTGCTGATCGGCGCAGATAGGTATTCACGCCACCAAAGACTAACGTCCCATGTTTACTTCTCACGCTTACTAAATTCTTTATTAGCGCCCACACACGTTGATCTGGCTTTACAGCTCGAGGATGGAGGACGAATGATTCAATCGTTTGCGGTGACCACCACGCTCTGGGATGTCCTTCTAGGGTTCGAGAGAGCTTCAAATGGGTAAGCGCTTATTATTGCTGTCATTACGATTATTTATTTCACAAAGTGGGCTGTAGCAGATGGCGCATGCATTCCACATACACCTAACAACAACACAATCACATCAATCAATTTGTAGAACACTAAACTTGACACGACGTACTGCAGTACCTCAATCAACTACAAAAAATATTTTCTCCCTTCAGAGGATCAAGAAGGCTGTTAAACCAGCAACAGAGGTTTATATGCTACCTGTTGTCATTCTACTGGAGCGCGAGGTAGGCCTTCAATATTTGTAAAATACCGAAAAAAAAAAGAAAAAAAAACGTTGAAATATTAATGGGAAAGTTGCTAATCCGATTTCTCAAACAAACCATCTGTTTTTATAATAATGGTAGTATGTCTCGATCCCAATACTCAAGACAACCACATTACAGCTTGCTGGCCTTTTCAAAGGAAACGCAGTGTTTCGCGTTATGATGCGACCTACAGATGCAGGAATCGAAGATTTCATGGAGGATATTGAGCGCGTCCTGTTGCCTAATGCAACAGCAAACAACGAGGCGCCTAAAAATTTGTCAGCTCTAGAGTCAAGTTCAAACCCGATACTTGTCTCTAATAGAACATCAGATGCAAATCCTTCGCCTCACACTCTGCCATTCGGAATAGATAAGACAGCAGGTGAGAAGCCTGATGTTATAATTTCGACTGATAGCAACCCAGCAATTCCAGGAGGACGTACTGGAGAAATCTCCAATACACGTGAAGTGGTGGGACCAGCCTCAGGGGCTGGCATGGATATAGATTTACAGCGTCAAACACCCGTACAAGACATGAGCGTAGCTATGATTGAGGCCAGCCAGGAAATTCGTCAGCTTCGTGAGCAGCAAACACAGGCAGCGCTGACGGATCGAGTTAAGAAACTCTCCAAGGCATCTGATAGTTCTGATAGGGATCGTTTTGTCCGTAGCTTACCGCCAGGAGTTTTTACAGAGGAGCCCGTCAGCGAGCTTGACTCTAACTCCTCTCAGCCCCGATCCGAATCACCCAACTCAACATCGACTAACCAGCAGGATGTCGTCCGTCAAATCGCTCATCGTGTCAGTTTGCAGCTGAAAAAGGCTCAGGAACGGGGTGATTCCACGATTGATTATCAGACACTTATCGCCTTAGAGGTTGAAAAGGAGCAGAAAGCCGGCGTATTGCCAGGCACGCCCACCGCCAGCCGCCAGAACACGATTCAGAGAAATAAAGCCGAAGACGAAAGCCCAACCCATTTGGACGCCGCGACTCCATCGAAGTCAGGGGCATTATCAGAAGAACCTTTCGACCGTAATGTCAAAGTGTTCCGACCACCTTCAGACAGCTCAGTCCCGCTCTCAAATCAAAGTAAGCATATGCCATCTAATGTTATACAATTGCTGTGGGCTATTGTTGTAATTGGATGATTTTTAGTGTTTAATACTCATGTTTTCCTCATCATGACGCTATTGACCTACAGTCGATCTTCCCGATGACTTTTACACATTGACACCTCAGGATGTGATGAAGCTGCTGAATAGCCAAAAGGCTAAGCGTGAGGAAGAAGAGAATCGGGGATTTAAAACATCTGCAGTAAGGGCGGAAGAAGAAAAGGCTAGAGAACGTCGCTATCCCAAGACGATCATCCGCATCCGCTTTCCCGACCGAGTTCAGCTTCAAGCCACATTCCGCAGCCAGGAGACTGTGGGTGATCTTCGGAAATGGGTTGCCAGTGCATGTGTTGGTCAAGGAGAAAAGTTTGATCTATGTGAGTTTTTTTAGAAACATAATTATGTGCAGGCATTTTGATAAGACACTATTCAGTATCTTAACATGAGCTTATTTTCTTTTGTTATTACCTGACATAATGCACAGATATTACTCCTCCTAGGAAAGTACTTTCAGACAACAAACAAACATTGTATCAAGCAGGATTGGCGCCTCAGAGTATTGTTTATTTCTCTTGGGTTGACTCGAAGCTCAATCAGAACCCACCATTCCTTAACGGTGAACATATGATGATGATGCAGGACCTACCCAACCCAGGTGAGGAGCCTGAAGAGAAATCAGAAGAAGCATCTTCTTCCACAATGCCTGCGTCAGGTGGGCATACTCTGAACCAACAGGGATCGACTCCTATACTTAGCAAGGAAGAACGACGGATGAGTGAGCTTATGAGCACAGAAAAGCGTGCTGGCGGTGGCAGCAATGGAGCGTTGCCTAAATGGATGAAGCTGTCAAAGAAATAAATAAATAATAGAAATAATAAAAAAATTGATACAATCATTTAATAAAATACAGAAATACATCACTGAAAACAACGCGTTGATTTTGTTTACAAACGAGGTTCGGATTTGCAGTCACTGACGCGCCGAGTTCTTTTTGCCACTTTTTTTTTTTTTACTTTTTTCTTTCCTTGTCCATTCGTCCTTTTCTCCATCCTTATACACCTGCACCGCTATGAGTATCGTCAACATTACGCAGGTCAACGTCCTCGACAACCCTACTCATTTTGCAAACCCATATCAGTTTGAAATCACCTTTGAATGCATCGCTCCACTAGCAGCTGGTAAAGTCTGGCAGAAAAAATGATTTTTCTTTTGCTTTTCCTTCTTGTAGTCGTTACCCTGTAAGCTTCGTCATAAACCTAGCTTACCTTACAAGTATAATGCGGGAGTTTAAATAGGTCACTAAAAGAGAAAGTAATTGCTTTTTTATTCAACTCACATGGTTAGATCTCGAATGGAAGATCATTTATGTGGGTTCAGCTAATAGCAATGCTCATGACCAGGTACTGGAGTCCATCATGGTTGGACCTGTTCCTGTTGGTGTAAACAAGTTTGTCTTCCAGGTAAAAAAAAAAAAAAAAAAAAAAAAGCGGAGCAGGAGTGTATTTGATCATAGACAACAACATTGGCAGCTAAGGTTGAGTCTATTTGATACTTCTGTTGAAATGGAATGTCATTTTCGTTGTTATTTTATTTAATTTATTTATTTATTTTTCTAGGCCGATGCCCCTAAGCCTGAGCTGATTCCTCATAACGACATCGTAGGCGTGACAGTTATTCTCATCACTTGTTCGTATCAGGACAAAGAGTTTGTCAGGATTGGATATTATGTCAATAACGATTACTTGGATGAGGAACTTCGTGAGAACCCACCAGAACAGATTGCTTACGACAAGCTTTATCGGTCTATTTTGGCAGAGAAGCCAAGAGTCACCCGTTTTCCTATCAATTGGTACTTATTTGGCATCCGGGAAAAAAAAAAAAAAAAAAAAAAAGCAAGTAGTCTTGTGAATTTTTTAATTTTGAACTATTTCGGTGCATTAACAAGTGTGCCCTTTTTTTTATTTAAAAAAAAAAAAAAAAAAAAAAAACATTAGGGAAAACCCAATGGAGGAAGAACAACCACCAGTGCAGGTGGAACCTGGGATGGATACATCCTCAAAAGCAAACATGATGGAGGGCAGTGACTGGGAAGATATGGAAGCTTAGACATAAACTTAGAAAGGAAAAAAAAAAAAAAAAAAAAAAAAAAGTAAAATTAGCAATAATCGATGGAACTCTTTCATCATCCATACTGTAATTCTCTATATCAAGATACATAATACTGAAAAAGGTTCTTTAAACTGAATCAATAAGAACCATTTAATGGAGATAATGAATATAAGGATATTATAAGAGATTAAGGATATGGATTTTACTAACTAGTAAGTATATATATATTTTAAAGGATCAAAGTAATAGTCAAAAGACCAAGAAGAGTGGTCAAGACGCCAGCTGTGGCCTTTGAAGCAGAGTTGCCATCCTTGCCACCATCGCCAGCCTTCATGGTCGAGCATTGAATGGCCCGGTCAAGCACAGGCTTGGTCGAGTCGGTAACAGTGCAGTTGGCACTGGACAAGATCTGACGGGCTTCATTCTCAGCAATGTTACGGATCCAGTTGTATGGAACATCTCTTGGGAGGACTTCAGGGTGAACTGCACGGACAATGTCTTGTAAGACAGCATCGTCCATTACGACGGCGCTCATGAACCAATCGCGACCATTGTTGGGGTTAACAATACCATCCTCACGGAAGACAGCCTTGTTCTTCAAAAACTTGTAATCAGCATCAGCAGTCAATTTATAGTTCTTGAGGAATTCTTCCATTTCAAATCCTGAAGTCATGGACTCATCAATGATAATATCAACATCTTTAATGGCGGCAAGGAAGTCTGCATTGTTGGTGAATTTGTCTGTGGTGGTACCGTTGAACAAGGTGGCCCCTGCATCAACAGTGAGAATTCGCTTGTAATCCGCTCCAGAAAGCAACCAGGATTCTGTGTTTTTGTTATATTCCGAAGGAGCCTCATAGGCTGTCCATGCAACAATAGGTTTGTTTGCTTTAGTATTAGCAGCTTGCTTGAAACAGTTGTAGTTGTTGTTGATGGAACTTGTCAAATTCTGAGCATTCTCCTCAGTATTAAAGAAGGTAGAATAGAACTCGAGCCACTCAGCGCGCTTAATCGTGCAGTTACCGATTTAGGAGCAACAAAATAAAAAGAAACAAAGTATTATTAATTGTGTTGTTCTAAATTCTATGGCGCTGCAACCTGTTGTAATTTTTTTTTTAAAAAAAAAATAAATAAATAAGAGATTGAAACTAAGACAAAGATCCCACTTATGGATACATACGTGCAATGGGCCTGGATCCGAAACTTCGGAGGTGATAACGGTCTTGTTCTCCATACCAGGTTCCGATCCAAATGTGCTAAAGACAACATCAACACTCTTGAACTGATCCGCACGTTTGGCCAAGTCTTTGTCCTCAATACCAAGGATGGAGCCACGCTCGAGATCGTATTGAAGGCAAGGGGAGCTAATCAAACCCTCTGTATCCACTGCCTTGAGGGCTGAACGCATACCCAGCATCTCAATGAATGCAACTGCAGTTGTAGCAGTTGAGGCAGCATTCTTGACTGGAATATTGACAAAGACAGTCTCATTACCGAATTGTGAAGCAGGAGGAACAGGAGTACCGCACTGAGTCAAGACATACTCCTTCTTGAGAGCATTGTTTACGACAACTTTGTAATTGCGCTCGTAATGGACACTAAACAAAGTAGCGTTGTCCACTGCCACAAAAAAAAAAAAAAAAAAAAAAAAAGGTCTTTTAGTAAACACATATACTTACATAGGTAAAAAAGAAATAATAATGGAAACATCAAATGTCGGCTTTAGGAAGAAGAAGAAGTGGGAATAAGTTTTATGCACAACTACACAGAGAAGGTTTGTTTGTATTTGATCAAGGTAACAAAAAGAGAATTAGTCGGATCTCGAAACACAATCTGACTTTTTGTCGGCTCTCATTAGATTCTGTTGTTGTTTTGGTTTCTGATATGCTCAGCACTTCACCTGGGAAGTTTTTCCTTTTCTTTTTTTTTTTTTTCTTTTTTTCTCACACAATTCATCTGATGAGGATGGAAATAAGAGCAGCTGCAAAGAAAGAAGAAAAAGAGAAAGAGAAAATAGGAGAAATAGGAATGGGGACGGGGAGATAAGATGCCACAAGTTTAGGAGGATTAACATACCGGTGATTTTGTTTGTAAAGTAATCAAAGTTAGGGTCGTAGTTAGTCACACAACCATCCTGGTTGATTGGGTTCTGTCCCTGAGATGCAACAGGGTTGGCCAGGAAGGGGAGGAGGGCCATCAAGGCAAATGAAATGGTTTTGATGGACATGTCGTAAATTGTAAGTCGAGGGCAACAAGACTAAGGTGGAGACAAGAGAAGGATGTAGAAGGAGATAGAGAGGATAGAGAGAGTGAAAAAGAAAAAAGTAACCAAAAAAAAACGTGTAAATTATAATGAATGGATAGAACGTGGCTTGGGTCACACAAATACGCCATGTACCGAATAAATGGATTTAGGTATTGTAGATTGTTACTCCTCCTCCCCACTTACATCTTTTTCATATTGAATGGTTTGTCTTTCAATTGGATCAAAATTTCTTTAGTTCTTCTAGAGCAATGCAATTTTAATGTTTTAAATGGTGTTAAATGATAAAAAAGAAGAAGAATAATAATAATATAAAAGTCAATAGTATGTATTTGTAATGTGGGCCTCTATTCAAGTTCAATGGTGGCAGGAGGCTTCGATGATACATCGTAAACAACACGGTTGATTCCTTCAACCTCATTGCAGATACGTGATGAGATCTTCTTGAGGACAGCAGTAGGGAAATCGAACCAATCTGCGGTCATAAAATCAGTGGTCTCAACAGCACGCAAGCAGATCATCTGTTCATAAGTACGCTTATCACCCTTGACTCCGACAGCCTTCACAGGGAGGAGAGCAGCGTATGCCTGAGCGATTTGGCGGTACAGGCCAGCCTTCTTGATCTCCTGAATATAAATATAATCTGCTTTGCGGGCAATAGCAACTTGCTCCTTAGTGACCTCTCCAAGAATACGAATAGCAATGCCAGGGCCAGGGAAAGGATGGCGCCAAACAAGTTCATCGTCCATGCCCAACAATCTTCCGAGCTCACGGACTTCATCCTTGAAAAGCTCCCTAAGAGGCTCAATAAGCTTAAGCTTCATGTTCTCCTTAAGACCACCGACGTTGTGATGAGTCTTGATAGTGGCGCTAGGACCCTTGAATGAAATAGACTCAATAACATCAGGATAAAGAGTGCCTTGAAGCAAGAACTCAATTGGTGGTGCGCCTGATGCAGCGTTAGCCTCATCGATGGCCCTAGCCTCTTCCTCAAAGACATCGATAAAAGTGTTACCAATGACCTTGCGCTTTTGCTCGGGATCAGTCTTTCCTGCAAGGTTGGCCAAGAACCGGTCGCTGGCATCAGCAATCTTGAGGTTGATGCCCATTTTATCAACAAGCATCTTCTTGGCATCCACACATTCATTGTGACGCATAACTCCATTGTCGACCAAAATTCCATGGAAACGATCTCCAATAGCCATGTGCATCAATTTGGCCGCGACTGACGAGTCGACACCTCCACTGACAGCTCCAATAACCTGCCCCTTTTCTCCAACGATAGAGCGAATGCGCTCAATCTCCTTGCCAATGAACTCGGACATGGTCCACTTTTGTTCGGCCTTGCAGACCTTGATGACAAAGTTCTTGAGGATCTGCTTTCCGTCAATAGAATGGGTGACCTCGGGATGGAACTGAATGCCAAAGATAGGTTTCTCGTTATGGCGCACGGCGGCATAGGGGGCAGTATTGGTCGTGGCAATAACACGGAATCCATCAGCGATGGTGGTAACCTGATCACCATGGGACATCCAGACCTGAGACTCGTCACTCAGTTCCTCAAAGAGCATAGAGGATTGAGCGTCAGCTTCACCGGCAGGAAGGATGGTGAGAGTGGCAGGACCATACTCGCGGTGATCGCATGGGTCAACTTTGCCTCCAAAGTAGTTGGTCATTTCCTAATAAATAAATAAAAAAGTTGGTTTCAATAAAAAAAAATAAAATAAAAAAAAAAAAATTAATCTATGGTCAAGTATGCTTACCTGAAGACCGTAGCAAATTCCAAGGACAGGGACACCAAGGTTGAAGACATCAGGATCAAGACGAGGGGCATCGTGATCATAAACAGAGAAAGGACTTCCGGACAGAATGACACCTATACGAGTGATATTAATATTTCATTAAAAGCAATTCAATTGATGAATAGTAAGAACAAAGAAAATATAGAGTCCCTATTAGAAAGAGCAATATCGGCGGGGCATAGAGGCATTACCAGTGGGCTTCCAGGTCAACTCCGAGATCTTTTGGGTACAAGGGAGCAACTCGCAGTAGACACCGAATTCACGAATGCGTCGAGTGATCAAGTGCGAGTACTGTGAACCAAAGTCCAGAATGAGAATGGTGTCAAACATCTCATGGACTTGAATGGTGGAGTCAGCCATGGTGGTGAATGTGTCCTTTTTGGATTGTGGGGAGGGTGGAAGGAGTGAAAGGAGTGAAGGGGTGTGAGTAAAGAGATAAATCCCAACCAGAAGTAGAAGAAAAAAAAAATAGAAACCCAACCACCAAAGTAAAGAAAAAAAGTTGATGCCTTTTATTTGTGGATGAGCAGTCATGTATTTGTTTTTTTTTTCTTTTTTTTTTTGGGAATCATAATTGATCACAGTGTATTCATTCCATTCTGTAATTAAGGGCTCTTTTTATCAAGACCATCTCGCCCAGCCACAGATGGATGGGCGAAGCAGGACATCTGCTTTATTCATGCTAAGCTAAACTATAAAAGTGGTATATTTAACATCTAAACAGGAAAAAAATTCTCCTTGCAGATCGGCTTCTTTCAATTATTTACAATGGTTGAGGAATCCTGAATATCAGACTAAACCGCGTTTAATTAAGACACTTTAACCACAATACTGGGAAACAATATGGATGAGAAAGTAAAAAAAGAAAAAAAAAGATCAGATCTTTAAGCAGGACTCCGAGATGAAAATCCTAAAAGATCGAGAGATAATTTTTATTTTCTTGTTCTTTCCAAAACTTACCAGTCATGATCAGTACCATTGGAGCTTCTGGCACGCTCCAAGTTAGAAGCCGAAATACTGCATAAATCATCCCTCACCGCTGGATCTATTAGTACATTAGTAATAACACATCGCATGCATGAGAAATAGGCTATAGCGGTGAAAGAAAAAGCTTTTTAGGTATTCTACATAATCATATATAGTCACCTCGATAATAAAACATATCTGTATTTGGCTCGTAGGCCACCAGTAGAATGAAATGTCCTATGATTAGAATATATGACGTGGGCGATTTCTCAGCATAGGTGCCTCTGATAAGTTCAATCAAGGAAATAAAATATTGAATTGTAGTTACCAATGTAGCGAAAACCTTTCATCCTTTGCACAAATGAGTCGAATACTCCTATAGTGCAATTACAGATTGTAGTTTTTTCCTAAATATGAATAAGTTTCCTATGTAAGTCCTGAATGATTGTGAACACCTGTGATAAAACAAATTAGACAATATAAAAAGTTGGTCAAGTGTGCCACTTACCAAGCATTGAAGACAGCTCAACAATCGTTGATTGACAAGTGTGATAATCCCGTACTTTCTGCAATACAGGAAGCGTTTGAAGTCGTCAAGCGGAAGTACCCTTCAAAAAGCCACGCATTCATAAAATAATTACAATAAGAGTAAGTATAACGTCTACGCTTATTACTGCTTGTCTCAAAGCCACGCTTCTTTTCAACAGCTCATGCGGCTAATTTTATTACAACTATGATTATTATTATGAATATTGTTACAACCAATTCAAGACATCCTTACTTACAACTGAATCACTCTGACATTTTCAGCATCCGCATTATCGAACAGAGCATTAACTCTCTTCTGATCATCATCAAATGACTACATATTTAAACAAGAGCCGTCTTTGCATTAATGTTGTGTATACATGTGATGCCTTTAATCAACATAGCAACTGAAGTTGCGGTATGAGCCCTACCTTCCTATAAAACTTTTCTCTAGAATGCGCTGCATCGGCACCAATGGTGCTTGTATAATACGTAAAATCCCAGCCTTCGTCACGTCTGGGTGAGAGATTTGGGATTTGTAATCGTTTTGAGAAATTGAGACGAGGTATACTGACTTGGTCATCAGACAATTTCCGCAAAATATAGGCCAAGTCAATTGTCCATACTGACTCGTCTGTTTAGTACAAAGGAAAGGTCAGGGTTATAGGTACAAGGATTTGTTGGCTAATTGAACTAATTGAAACTAGGAAAAAGATACTTCAGACTACCTTTGCAATGCATGGCGACCTCTGCTAGGGACAAACGTGCACCGAGAGCATTGGCGACCATGGCAACACAAGCTAGCCCACAGTCCCAATCGTTTTCCTGATTGATATGAGGTATTGGCGTTGAAACTTGCATGTGTTGGTAATAAAGCTAAGAAGACAATGAGAAGGAAGAGAAAGGAAGAGAGAAGGAAAATAAAAAAAAATAAAATTAAAAAAAAAAAAAAATAAAAAAAAGAGAGAGAGAGAGAGAGAGAAATGGAGAGAGAAAGAGAGAGAAAGAGAGAATAAGAAGTGATTGTGAATTATAGTCGTGTATGTGTGTGCAAGGAACGTTACAAAGCTTAATGGATGAGTATGATGTGTAGCATGAGTGAATGTTGAAAAATGTGAATGTTAATTGTAGATTCTAAAGGCGAAACTAGTCGGCTGTGCCAAAACAAGTGATGAAATAGGGAAATAGGAGCAGGGCCCTTGTGAGCTGTGCGTGTGTGCGGACCTCCTTTTTCTTTCTCCAGGGCACTGTTCATGTTTGACCTATGTGGTAACTGTGCTATCCATTGCAATACCTTATTCTCTAATTAACAGGTCTGATTATCTTCGAGATGATAATGAAGAGTACCTTTGACAAGATACCAGCCGGCTCCTTCACCAATCTTCGCCATACTTAATCAGATTATGAATAAGTTGATCTCAGCCACATTGACAACTTTGTCTTCTTTCCTTTTTCTTTTTTCTTCTTCTCGCCTTATTCACGATCCTCCATGTCTGCCGACGGAGAAGCTCTCGCTAATGCTACCAATGCAGTCCCTACCATTAAGCGTCTAGAGGAGGCTGTTGTTAATAGGATCGCTGCAGGCGAGGTAATGACCACCTGTTGTCATTTGAATACATTTCCATCCTTTCCTGGACATGACTAATGCAAATGATTTTCATTACTTTCATCAGATTATTCATCGCCCAGCTAATGCTCTTAAAGAGCTCATTGAGAATTCGTTGGATGCCAAATCTACCACCATTCAGATCTCTGTGAAGGATGGGGGACTGAAACTTCTCCAAATTCAAGACAATGGCCATGGCATCAAGGTAACGCCACCATTTTCACTAAATTAGAATATGATCGCTGTCAAAATTAAACTGTGACCGCTAATGGCTTTTTGCCCCTAACGGATAGGTCGAAGATATGGGGATCGTTTGTGAGCGATTTACCACGAGTAAACTTCGTACCTTTGATGACCTATCGTCTATGTCTACTTATGGCTTTCGGGGCGAGGCACTTGCAAGTATCAGCCATGTTGCACATGTCACCATAACAACAAAGACCAAGGATTCTAACTGTGCCTACAAGTAAATATTGCAAAGTTGCTATAGTTCAATGCCAATCGGAACCCTAAATGCACTGCTATTAGCAAGCATATACTCTTCCTTGCATAACACTTTTGCTCTTTGCTATTAGAGCATCCTACTCAGATGGGGTAATTGTACCCGCCAAGCCAGGAGCTACTGCAGAACCAAAACCGTGTGCTGGTAACAACGGTACTCAAATATCAGTACGTGCCGGACCTGTCCAATTTAACTTCGAATAGTAGGAGGAAGAATGTGTAGTTAACCAGAGCCAATACTTTTTTTTTTATTTTTTTATTTTTTTAAAAAAAAAACTAAGGCCGAAGACTTATTTTATAATGTTCCTACGAGACGGAACGCCCTTAAGAACCCTACGGAAGAGTATAATCGTATTTTGGATATTGTCAATCGTTATGCAATCCATAATGAGGGCGTAAGCTTTACATGTCGAAAGGTATGTTATTATTAAAAGCAATGCGTCATTTAGTATGATTTGCATGTTGTGTGCATATCTGTGTTAATGTTAATACATCTTTCAATGGTTTCAGGTTGGATCGAACACACCGGATGTTCATACAACAACTACTGCGACTGTGCTTGACAACATTCGGACGATATATGGCTCTGCTGTAGCTAATGAGCTGTTATCATTGGAGCAAAATTTCCCGGTCTTTTCCCTGAAGATAAAAGGATGGATTTCTAACGCTAACTACAGTGTCAAGAAATTTGCTTTCCTCTTATTCATTAACCGTATGTACCCATATTGTATCAGGATATAGCTAGTTGAGCCATGAAAGCAATTTGATCCAAAATGCTCAACGTCTTTTTTTTTTAAAAAAATATATATAGATCGATCTGTGGACTCTCCTGCTATTCGGAAAGCGATCGAGGCCGTGTACGCGGCATTTCTTCCAAAGAACACACATCCATGGGTCTATCTTTCTTTAGAAATGGATCCTAGGAATGTTGATGTAAATGTACATCCTACAAAGCGCGAGGTAAATATCCATAAAAGAAAATGTTATTTACTAAGAAAAGGTAAGCCATATTCAAGTATCTAATGCTATTGTTATTTCTTATTATGAATATAGGTTCATTTTATGAATGAGGAAGAGATCATAGAAACAATCTGTGGCGCAATCCAGAACCGATTGGGAGATGCCAATGTCTCCCGTAACTTTTTGACACAAACTTTATTGCCACAAGTAGCCGTGAGAGCCCGTACTGAAGAGGCATCGTCTAAAAAACCATCACAAAAACTTTATGAATATGATCAAGTTAGAACAGATAGTCGTGCTCAAACACTGGATTCATTTTTAATCTCTGCTTCACCATATACCACCATTACTTCCTCATCAAACAAACGCCTGAAGATTGGTGTCGAACAACTGGTAGATATCGAGGACAACAGCGATCAAGAGATGGATCAATCGAATGGAAAAACTGTTCAGAGTCGAGACAAAAGAACAGCTTTCGATGATAGTGAAGACGAAGACATTACTTCTACATCATCGGGGGCACGAGGCTCATTGTTGAAAAACATTGGTCAATACAAAAACAGCACACTTGAGCGAGGGGCACAAGGACGAACTCACACTTCACCACAGGGAGCTGGGACCGCGAAACTCTTAAAAAGTAGCGATTCATCAAACTCAAGAACAAAGACAAAACATCAACGTATTGAGGTCAAGTTGACGAGCGTACTTCAATTACGAGAAGATATTCGAAAGCAAGGGCACCCTATCCTTACCCCAATCTTTGCAAATCACGCCTTTGTAGGTATACTGGATAACCAGCGTGGTCTGATTCAGAATGAATTGGCACTTTATCTAGTCAACTATGAAGCTATCAGTGAGGAGCTGTTCTATCAGATATGTTTGCGCGACTTTTCAAATTTCGGCTATATTCGACTGACGACACCAGCACCGATTAAAGACCTTGTTATGATGGCTCTCGATGAAGAACAGGAATTAATGGAAGGAGGCACATGGCCGGAAGAGCTGAAGTCCAAAGAAGAAATTGCTGAGGTATGAAGCTATTACTTTGATTGAACAGTGTGTCTGCAATTAAAGTAGTCATTGATATTTAACTATTCCATTTTTTTAAAAAACATATTGAAAAAGACCGTTAAATCCCATCTTGTCACCAGAAGAGAAATGTTGCGAGAGTATTTCTCAATATGCATTTCAGACAATGGCGATCTAACTGCTATTCCAATGATGCTAAAAGGATATGTTCCAAATCTTGAGAAGCTACCTGATTTCCTTTGGCGATTAGGATCAGAGGTATGCTTCACGATTTCTTTCAACGCATTAAAAAAAAAAAAAAAAAAAAAAACTAAACTGTTCGAAACTATGACTTTGTGATTAGGTTGATTGGACAGCAGAAAAGGCATGCTTCCATACCGTGGCAAGGGAGCTTGCCATCTTTTACAGTACCCAACCCGAATATGTAGAAGACGACATCGATGCTGATAGGGATAGTGAGGACCATGTCGACGATGAAGAAAGTTTACATGATAGAAAGTCACCACAGGACATCCGGGATATTCAGTTCCGGCACATGGTTTCATCTACTATCTTCCCAGCCTTCAAAAGGAGCTTCATTCCTCCAAAAGCATTAATTGAAAAGTCGGGCATGGTTATCCAGGTTGCACAAGTTAAAGATCTTTATAAGGTCTTTGAAAGATGTTGATTAAATAAACAAGTAAAAAAAAAAACTTTGCATTTTATTATCATAATGATGATGATATTCCTAGATAGGTTGCATTGCTCCTAGAGTCTGGCTTTGATCTCGTTCGGTCCATGAACATACTTTCGCACATTCATTCCCTTTTTAGACTTTGTAATATGAATTCGATGTCTGTGCCCCTTCTTCACATGAGTGGAGTGACCCTCGTCTCCAGGCAAAATACCACTCAAATGTACACCGTTTTCGTCCTGTGACTCGACCACAAACTCTGGCATGGTGTTTACGATTTCGAGGTCCTTGAAATACTCCAAAAGGTCTTCATGTTTCTTGACTGGCAATAAATTTGCCAAAGTCACGAACTGGGGAGGCAAAAATGTCTGAATAGTATTATTACGATAGGCTTCAAGAGCCTCCTCAGGTGTAAACCAATCCAAGCGTGTTGTTTCCTTGCCATCCGCAAAGACTCTTGAATCTGAGAACGAGCTCCTGGACCATGGCAATACCGTCAAATAAAAGTGAGTATGAAATCGCTTTGTTTCCATTGGTGGAGTGATCCAAGAGGAGAAATGTGATAATCGCTCAACTGCAGGCTTGATATGATGCGATGTACAGAGGTTGTAGAATTCTTCGCCATTAGCATGTACACGATCTCGCCAAACTTTGATCTCCTCATCTGACAACTCCGTAAGAGGATCACAAACAAGGACACCCGATTCTTCAAAGGCTTCTCGGATAGCACAAATAGCACTGCAGAGTGGTGGATCATTAGGGTTCTTGGATTTGTAATTCAACAGAGTAGCCCAACGAGGATCATGGTCCGCTTTATCCACATTTCCTCCTGAAAAATTGCCACGAATTATTTTGTTAGTTACATACACATGAATAAAAAAAAAAAAAAAAAAAAAAAGGTAAGCAAAATAAGGAATGTAATATTCGGGGAATACAAACCTGGGAAGACATGGGCACTAGCAGAAGTTCCAATCCGTCCACGCTGCAGCAAAAGAAGCTTGTAATTGGCTTTTCCGGGCTCGACTTTAGACCTGGAAATAGGGGCAGCAATGATAAGAGTAGCTGAAGGCCTCAATTGTTCCAAATTGGATGACATTTTGGCTAGTACAGTTGAAGCAATATAATACAAAGAAAAAAAAAGATAGAGATAAGGACCGAGACAGAAGCAGAAGCAGAGACAAAGAGGAGAAGGAAGAAAAAGAGAAAGACATTTCAAGCTCGGTAAGTATAAATAGAGAGAATGAATAAAGCGCAGATACAAGACTGCTATCGGGTTGAAACAGCATGCTCTATTACCGCTTGTAGTGAAGTGAGAGAGCTGCTGGTAATAATTTAGAGTGGACACGGACAAAGGCTTAGAGCGTTTTTGTTGTGGAGCTGAATGGATAAACAATGAGTATGGAGCACGGACGTGCGAAGTATTGAAAAGAGGAGAAAGTGATGAAGTGGCTCTCAAATGAGGTGATTGTGTAAATGATGAAAGATTATTCAATCTCGTTCGTGCAGAGAAAGCCAATGCATTCTTTAACAATGGAATCATTTGTGTTGCAGCTGGGCACTCTTAAGTTTTTATTTTCGTTTTTCGGCTCGGAAGATAGAAGTGAACATGACAAAAAGAAAGGGAAACCGGAAAAAAGTACCCGTCCTTTATTCTAACTTTTAACAAACCATTCCCTTGCTTTTTATAAAGCCGTTCTGCATTTTGCAGTTGGGACCTTGCTCAAGTCACCATTTCTATATGATCAATGGCAATGTGTTTTCATATTCAACAGAGATCGATCTGGGGTGCAGGCCAAAGAGGCACCAATCGCCAATTTTCTGTGAAATTTAAGGGATCGTGGGAACAAATCAGTCAATGCAACATTTCTTCAAAGCAGGACAAAAAAAAAAAAGATCTTACAAGTCTTGCAGATTTCATAATTTCTGCCATCCTCATGGGTCCTTTTGAATTTTGATCAAGCGTTTCGATTCGACTTCTAACGTCATACCCCCTCCCCTTGCTCTTATCGACTTGATGGGGTACATCCTTTTGCAATGAATGAGCAACGGATTGCCTTCGATTATTCCGAGGAATCTTTGACAGATGAACAAGCGAATCAGTTGCATATCTCCAGCCTGCGCTTTGATCCGGTTTTACATGACATGTTGCCAGAACAGAAGGCGTTTGTTCCTCAGGGTGAATAGGGACAGACATAGTAGTCACCTTTGAAAGAATGAGTTCAAAGACAGATATCATGTAGTAGCATAAATAACACCAATCACGTCTTTTGTCATCCTACCAAAACCGTGAGGTTAAAGTCAATAGCTATACGTCGAAGTTCTCTTGATAAATGCATCATAGTAGCATATCCTAAATTGTTTATCCAAAAGACTGTATAAACAAGTGGAGGCCTCAACATAAATAATACATGTCAATAAGTCAAGAATCAATCGACTAACCAGTGTTGTTATCATTCTGCATTAGCTTCGTAAGCACTTCGCTCATGGAATCAATTACAATGAGCCGTATAGACGACAAGGATGCGACAGTAGGTTGCTCAAGGCCCTTCCTTATTGACTCAATTGCATTTATGATGTCAAAAATATCTTGACAAGCACAAAGATGGATCCTTGAGAGAATTTCCAGAGCTTGCTCCTAGAAATCCAGATTGAGATATTGAGTTATTCGTGGATTAAAGTGCAGATCCTGATTGGGAACTCTACATCAAAAAAAAAAAAAAAAAAAAAAAAAAAAAAGAACACCTCCGACGCTACATACTTTAGGCACATCAAAGTCTTCTTGTTGAGATAGTTGGGTCTGGATAATATCTGAGGTTCGTTGACCAGAGAATCCTCCGTCAAGGGTATCAATCCAGATAGCATACGATGACCTGTCTTGGATCAGCATGGTAGACATGGTACTGAGGCACAACTGTGTCTTGCCAGAGCCTGAGATTCCACAAATCTCGCTGACTTCTCCTGTAGACCAGCCCTGACCACCAAGAAGCTCATCAACTCTATTAAATGGTAACATTTAGTTTTTAATATTTATTACAAAAGCTGTTTTAGACATTTAATATGGACACTACGTACGTTGACAATCCGGTTGACAAGTGTTGGAGATTTGTCTCTGAACATAAATCTGATGCTGCCACCGCATCTGGTATGGCATTGAGCATGATAGGAAAAATGAGTCTATCAAGCAAACTCTCAATGGCCTGAGGATAAAAAGATATAAAGTGAATTACAACCTCTTTTGTAACAAAGATAAAGTCTTTACGATTCAATCACTTTGTCGGCTTTGTATTATCATACGGCTTTTGTGATACGACCATTTGATTTTGCGACGACTGCATTGGGATCTAAAACTAGGTTGGAATCTGCATATTTACAATACAATTAATGGATTGGAAGAAAGAATTTGGTTTTACAATGTCAAGTCGTTCTGATTCACTCATTTCACTTATTCACTGCACCTGTTTTGATGCCATGAGCTATAATCTCATTCAACAAGATTCTGTCGCGTGGAATCAGATTCTCATTTAAATAAGACTTGAGCAACGGCATTGTTTTTTTTTTATTATTATTTTTTTAAAGTCTCAAGTTGTGTTCTTTCCACAAGACCATCCAAATGCTTTATACACCGTCACAAATTATGGTGAAAGCTTCCAAAGTCCTACCCAGTGCATCTTTCCAATATATTTCTCTCGGAATAGACCTCATAACGGTCTTTGTGTTGCGTATGCGAGCAAATCCCTATATGCTATCACTACGATGTCTCCAGCTGACATTCGCGTATAATAGCGGTGCCTGCTTCAAAGGGACACCCAGTTATTTTGACGCATAAAAGAGACAAGGGGTTCTGAGATTCCAAAAATTCTTTTCCAAACTTTGAGCTCATGCTAAGCACGGGCTGAATTAGGGGTTTTGTTGCGCGCTCCAAATGAGTTTGCTACTTTTCTTCCGGCGGCCCTCCACCCAAGTAAAGAGCTACTGTTGTTATGCTCGATTCAGATTTACATTCAACTGAGTTGTCCATGAAAAAATAACAGATGTTGTTTTTCAAGGACTACCGACGTGGTCAACGATGTGGTTCCTGTGTATGTTGCCTCGGCCAATCAGATCAGTAGAAAACTTTCCAATATGAACAGGCCAAGCCTATATGGTGGCCTGAGCGCACAAAAAAAAATCCACTACCACTCTCTCTTAATCGCATTATTTCACCTCTTTTTTAGTTTTATTGCGCCTGGTACTTTCATCAGGACATCGCAAACGCTGGTAAGGTTAATAGGTTACAGATAAAGAAAGCATGCAGGCACCATAAAACATGAGTTTATTGTAATGTAAAGGAAGATGTTACTCGTTGCCTGAAAAATGTCACCATCACAGATCTTGAACAAGAGGAGGATGCTGCCAGCACCAGTAATACTATCGGAAGACTCACGTCACGCAAGGAAACAATTCCAACTTGCAAGTGTCTCAAGCGATCAAGGAAAATTACGACGATGAGCAGTCAGAACCGGAGATTCAGGAGGAAATGTGGGGTGGTGACCACGCAAGTCTACCTTTTTGAGCTCTAAGGGTCTAAGTGTATTTCAAATAGTCCTTACGGAGAGTTGGATGCTCTACTCCATGGCCTGTTACAAGCTGACATAAAAGCGAAATGTGATACCCGGAAAACTTACCTTCGTAATAATATTGAAAAAAACAATAAAACCCCGTCAGGTGAATATTAAAGTGCACCACCAATCTATGTCCCTTAAACAAAAAAAAAAAAAAAAAAAAAAAAAAAAAAAAAAGAATTCATTTAATGCATGCGTAGTTAAGCCCCGGCTTCCTTTCCCTCTAGTCTTAGGAGGTTTGCAGTTACTAGGGTCATAAAAGTCTTCATCAGAGACCTAGGATGGCACAACACAAGCTACTTCGCGAATATTTTTTGATGATCGGCATTAAAAGTGAATACAAATTTAGCGATTGGCCATCTTTCCCTGACCTGATTGGTTGCCACCAATTACCAAGAGGTCAAGGTAGCGAGAGGCTATTGGTGAATGATTTAGTATGGAAAGCACCGTCGCTTTCCTATGGATGAATATTTATATACTCATTGCAGTTGTCTCTCCATCTTTATTTTTCTGTAAAAGTGGCTCTCGGTAGCTTTCGTTAGATCCAGTGAGCAGTCTGCTATTCTAAGAACAGCCACTGCTCTAAGAGCGGACATGTTCAGTTGCCAAGTAGACAATCAAGAGAATATCAACTCAATCTACGGCGACTGTTCGATGCTTGTTGGTTTTCCAAATCTGCTCTGATTTCACCATAATTTAGCAGAATTGATTAGCATCCCCTGAATAGCTGCCATCCAAAGGGATTAACTTCGAATGGACAGGATTTACTGTGTTGTTCAAAACAATAAAACTTGACTGAAAGTCTGCTAATCCTCAAACCATGAGGCAAATAATGCCTCTGAACGCTTCAATAGGATTATGGCGAGCTTTTGGGGTGCAGAAAAGACAAGATTGTCTCTTTTGAGCAATGAAGGATATAGGATTTGTTCCTTGGAGGCAAACTTTTTTAAAACCACGCTTGTTGCTAGTAAAAACACAAATGGTTCCCGTTTTCCGCATACTTTCAGCGCTTCCACAATCCAAGGGCTGTGATGTAGCCATTAAATGTTACATGTTTGTCGAAGTGTTGACACATCCCTTGCAAAAGTTCAGATGTATGCTAAGAATATTGTTTAAGGGACGTAGAGTGGTCAATAGCATGTGGCAGTATTCAGGTGTTTATACAGTATCAGATGGAGTCCGAACAGTCGCCATATTCGGATGGATTGTAAATTGAAGTGAATATTTGAATAGGTAGGATGAAAATAAAGTGAACACATGGAATAATATAGAGGAGTTGTAATAAAGCGCTTTATATCCAATAGCTTGCAAAGAGTATATCTGTATGAGCGCTGTTTCTGAGGAATATGTACGCCTTGTTGAGGCTCAGTGGAGGTTCATGCAAGAGGAGTGGCCAGCTATAAAGAAAGCCAAGTTTCATCGCACAGAGATGAAAGAGATATCTGACGTAACACACGTCAAGTCAATGGTGCTTGACCGTCTAGGATTCATCCCTACGTTCTTTTTTCTGACACAAGTATTTGGAGTGCGTGACTATGGTAGCCCATATCGTAATGTCGAAAAGGGTCTTCTGCTCCTGTATGCACTAATCACAGGAGATTCATTGTCTACAATGTCAAGGTTCATACCAAAGACGTCCTTTTACGACTTGCACAGGGAATTTTATCTTCGGGACCCTGTGAAACTACATGATGACATAACCTCAATGATGAGAGATATGTGCTCGAGTTTGAAGCTACGATTGCTACTTGCCAAGAACAACCCTGATCCATTCAAGCATGTGACATTGAATCTAGACGGACATGACACAAGAGTCAGCTACATCGGTGCTGACAAGCCAAGTCTCTACTCTTATAAACTCAAGAAGTCGGGTTTTCGTATTCAAGTGTGTTCAGACATGAACAATATCATATTGTTTGCATCCAAGCCAGCTCCTTGTCGAGATTTCAATGATGGGACTATGCTTGTGAAGATGAACATTGCATCGCATATACACAAGCTGGACTGTGTTGCTCTTGATGGTGGCTACAGTGGGTTCGTTAGACAAATTGTCGAACCATCAAATGCACTGTCCTACGAAAATTTCTCTTATCCTGTGCGCAAGACTAGGGGGATCGCCATGACAGACCAAGAGTTACATTACAATAAAGCGTTTGGTGGGTTTCGGTCAAGCATCGAAGGGTGCTTTGGAGACATGCAATCCACCTTCTCCAAGTTCACACACGACGCTCCCATCCGTTTCTCAGACGCAAAGACGTTTGATCTCCAATTCAAGCTTTGTTGCCTGCTTATGAATATCAAGAGAGTCGTGTCAATCCATAATATCCCCACTCAGACGCACCACACATTCTGGATGCAAGATGCGTTTGACTTTCCAGACAATAATGAGTATCAGGTTGCTTATGAGAAGCTCCCCAGCATCAAAGTCAAACTAAATCATGGTCGAAGTCTTTTAGAACTACAAGAAGCGTTCCTATCTGTAGCTAGTTCGCAGCCTAACATACTAGACACTGCAGATGAGACTATGGCAGAGACAGCGCAGGAGGGATACGAGGTTGCTAGGATTTTAGACCATCGCGGGGAAGGTGAGGACATGGAGTTTCTGGTTCAATGGGAAGGCTTCGATATCTCTGAGGCAACATGGGTGGCTCTACAGCATTCCAACTACAAACAGTGCATCCAAGACTATTGGAGAACCAAAATCAGCTTCTAGAGACCGATTGCACGTACTTTCAAAAACCATCATGACGCGCACAGACCATGGGGGCGACTTTCCAAATTCTTTTATAGAGATGAAATCCAAAGTCGCCCCCGGTTAAATATTAATCCATGACTTTTCAAAAAGAATACAATATCGTAATCTGCTCAAGCCCTCCGTTGTATTCATTTAGTTCCATCATTGAAGAAACCTTCCCAATTCTTCCCTACTTCCCTCATGTATTTTATATGATAGCTTGTGGCTTTCTTGTTAGTTCCAACTATATGAATACCAAAAACCTCATTCAAGACAGAGTTGACAAAGTTCTGCCGGTTTCTGAAGTTCCAGTTGCTATGAGATGGGTACGGGATTAGAAGTTGTGTGCAAATATTCCGCATGTTTGACGATAGCGATTCCCATTGCTCATCCAGGCTTGATTTGAGAGCAGTGGATGCTCTACATTTGGGATCAAATGGGGAGTCATAACCACAGGCAAAGAGGATGTCTTTTGCATACTTTAGTTTGGTATACTTTGAATGATGTAGTCTATGTAGTATGGCGCCAGTGTCCCTCCTTTCTTGATCTTTCCCCAGAGGATACGAGTCGCTCTGCTTTGTCATCTTCAACTCTGGGTCGTTCTTCAAGGCTCGCAGATTCTGAAAGACCTTCATCTCTTTTGGGTTACTGTAGGTCTGCACCCATTCAGGCGTAAGGATAGATGGGTCCTCAATGCCGTAGGCGTCCATAATCCTGAATTTTTGTACTGCGTAATACTCTTCAGTAGAAAGGTCTGACCTTGTTTCCAGTCGTAGTAATTCTTCGTAATCAATTACCTTGGCCTCCGATATCCCTGTATACTTGGCTTGAAGTAGGGTGGCTGTCCTCTGTTTCAGAGATTCAGAAACCTTAAGGTCCTTGGGCTGATTAGATAGCCCAACAACTCTGCAGCCAGCCTGAACCATTTGAGCAATGAAACGCTGAAGAAAATCATTCATTGATAGATGCTTCTTTATCAGTGCATTGATGAATATTGTGTAGTAAATATCGCCAACATCATGCTTCACTCCAGGACCTTGCCCTACCCTCAGATCAAGCGGAAAGCCATTCGTATCCATAGCGCATCCCTTGATTTGAACCTCTTGGCTGCAAAGATACTTGACTATTTCGTTGTGTGTTGTTGGAAGATTGTTTATTGAATTGCTGATATAGACAAGGTATTCTTTTTGCTGGACGTGCCGTACTCTTCTGAGCATTTGCCTACATGTCTCTACATTGACTTTACTTTGTGACATGAAAAATCCTGCAACATAATCAAAGTGTTGCATGTTACAATCAAGCCCAACTGTGATGGTTGGAGTATGAATAAAATAGTCGAGAGTTGGTGCGATTTCATTAATATTCTGTGCAAATGCCCTCTTCTCCAACTCCAGGGAATTCGCAGTGATGCACATCCCAATGAACCCCATATCCTTCAATTCACTATGTAAACTTTCAGCATCTTCAGCCTTCTGTGTGCTACATATCCACACTTTCTTTCCAGACTTGACTAAGTTAATAACCTTTAACTTCAGAGAAGCCTCATTCTCATAAAGAGAGACGAGATCTCCTTGCTGTGGCTTGAATGTATTATGGATAATGTGGACATCATCTCGAAGCTCCTTGATGACCTGAACGTCTCGGTCTGTTAGATCAGCATCCAAGGCAATCACCTTCCTGGATACCTTAATGAAGTCTCGTAATATATCATTATTGGCCTTGTGGAAGCCCCTCATGGTGGCGACACTTGTCATCTGATCAAAGATAGATGACACTTCATCCAGAACCAGAACAACATCCATGGTGTAGTATGCAAGATCCAGTTTATGTAAAGATTCGGCTTGTATGACAATCTTCTGACCTTTGATATAAGTGGAGGGAAAATCCAAATAGCTTTTAAACCCGAGTCTCTTCTCTAGACTGGAGGCTAGTGTCTGTCTTGGAGATATTGCAAGATACGTCAACTTTGGGTTCATTTGAATAAACTGCTCCAAGAATGTCGTTTTTCCAGTGCCAGTCTCGCTCCTTATCAAGAGACTCATCGGTGATTTGTGGTATTTGATGTAGGGTGACGCATACACTTCGCCTGGATGCAAGTGCTGATCTGTGTCCAACGTAGCAAGATGTTGTCTCAGGACAATCTTTTCGCCGAAATCCAATTCCCCGACGAGGATATTGCGGGATAAACCCTCGGCAATAGCTCTGTAGCAATACAGCGTCACTCTTCCATTTCGACTCACTTGAAGATAGCCATTCTCGTTGTCGTGTCTTCTCTTGCATACATCGCATTGACCAGATTGAACTCGTTGCAGCTTATAGATCCCACCTTGGCCATCATACTGTATTCTGTATAGGTTTGCATGCTTGTACTGTGCAAATATTCTATGTACAGCATCAGAGACGACAGATACGGACAACTGGTGTGGTAATGTCATATCTCTAGATGCATCTCCAAGTGCTGCTGAAATTGACGGTATCTGGTTACGCTGGCGCCTTGAGAACCTGTCGGCAGCTGGAGATTTTTCCACTTTGATACTATTGGGCTGAACATTGGTGATGAAAAATTCTGCATCCAATGCATGCATAGATGGCTGATGCCATGGGGCACGGATGAAACGTCTGGTTATGTCTCTACGTTTCGAGCTTCCGAGACATCGGATGCTTCTGCTTCTTGAGTATACACCTGAATCAATGTACTTGAGCAGATTACCTTCATTCTGATCCTGGTCAGCTTTGATATCATTGAAAAAATCAAGCAGGAATGTCCGAAGGTGTCTGTGATTGTTCTCGAATGTGTACGTTGGTATCATGACATGTAATGATATCTTTTTATGAGTGGATGAAGTCAAGATTCGGCATTGATTCTCGGTGACGGGATATTTCGGTGCATATTGGTTGCGAGCAGCAAGAAACTCACTAAACACTCGTCTTTCAAGTTGCGCAATAGCATCGATGCCCTCGCTAGGGACGAGTGGACTAGCGCCGTCTTCGAGTGAAGGAGTATCGGTGTTTCCCTTGGAGGTCGTAGCAAGTTTCCAGTCAATGTCGTAATACTCACAACAGGGATTTCCTTCTCGGATTTGCTCGAAAAAAGCATCTGTAAGGGTTCGGGAGTTTGTTATATATATCCAAAAATGTAGGTAGATCCTTGTAGCTTGCAAACTCATAAGACGACTTCTTGCCATCGGGAGAAAGGCCACTTTCGTACATCACAAAGAAAGTATTACTGTTCGCATCAGCCCATTCGTGAGCCCTTGCTTGTGGACCCAAGGTTTGCTTCTTGTCAGCAGCAAAGTAAACTGATTCAAATTTTTTGTAAGTCCGGTTTGTATTTTCAGACATAGTAGGTAATATGTTGATAGTTTATAGTATATGAGTAGCAATTTCATTTTATTTTGTAAACTGAGTGAACAATAGACTATCATGGGAATGATTCTTATTTTTCTTGAGTATGGGTGTTAAAGACCTTTTGAACATAAACGATCATCTCCTCCTCAGCCTTGCTATCCTTGAGAACGAAGTTGCGGCGGCTGAAGTCGATTGGTGCAGCCACGTCATCTTTCATCTGTAGGTAAACGTTTTCGCCTCTTGGAGAACGATCAGATCGCAACTCTGCAATCTCAACGGGGTCGAGGTCAGGATTGTCAGCAATGAACTGGTCCAAGGTACGATCGACAGCCTTGCGCTGCAGCGCAAAGAGACGATAGCCTCCAATAGGCAATGGCTGAGGCTGCCGGAACTTCAAAATAGCAAAGACCTCCTGCTTTCCATAAGGGCGACTCAATACTCGGTCGCGGTTGGCCTCCAGGCGTGCACGCTCGCTATTGGCAAGAGCATCCTTAGTGTTCTTCAGCTCAAGTTGAGTTTCAGAAAGACAGGATAGGGTGCCCTCAAGTTGTGCCTGTGATATTTCAAGATCATCCTTTGCATCTGCGAGTTCAAGCGAAATAGCAGCAAGCCGCTTGCGCAGTATCTCGATGGTAGTGGGTTCTTCGCGCACTGTTTATGAATTGCAGAGTATTAGTTTAAGAGCAGGCTTCATTGGTGCGCGCAGAAAGCATGTACGTACTGGTTGTCTTGGCTTATAGCGACCTGGTGGAGGAATTCAGGGAGCGAAGGGAAAGGGATGGAGGAAGGGAAGGAATAAAATGGATGTTTCTCATGGCGATGAAAGTGTTTTAACATTTTGTGATGTGATAAGGAAAAGAGATGAGATGGCATAATTTCATTGGATGGAAAGTAAATCGCATGACCCTTTGACCTTATGCTCTTTATTTAAAAAAAAAGCCACACCGCCGTCTGCAGGACTTTATCAGATGTGGTGACACGGCGGCGCAGATGGGTCTGTGCACGGACCATGGGGCGACTTTTCAAATTCTTATATAGAGATGAAATCCAAAGTCGCCCCCAGTTAGATATTCTACCGCGGCATGGCTCTGGTGGTCGCTCGCCAGAACGACAATTATAAAATATGTCTTATAAATTGTTCTCTGAACTGAAAGCACCTGAAAGATTGTGATTGCTTTTCACGTCACAAAGAATATGACATGTGAATGATTTGAAAAAATATTCCTCAGTCCTGACTTAAAAGGAACAGATTTATCAATTGTCACTCCTTTTCCTTCGTCACGCAAGCAACTTTTTTTTTTCCTCCCTCAACTTCATCATCACAACTTACATTGTCACAATTTTGAACCATCCTGCTACTGAATTAACATCCTTTAACATTTTTATCAAACTTTTCCTATTTTCTGCCCTCTGTCCATTTATATCCTTGTTTTTAAAAAGTTTTTGAAATCACAATGGGAAAGACCAGAACACCATCTCGAAACGCATCACCTCGACCTAAACCGTATGAAGAGTGTTCAAGCACCAGTGGGCCTAAAATCTCCGAGCCAACTGAACTAAAGATTTTTTGTATTGTTGAGGGAGAAGCAACGTCTTTTCCTGTAAACACTCTTTCCAATCGTTCGGTCGGCGAACTCCAGCAAGCCATCAAGGCAGCGAAGAAGCCAGAACTCGATCATGTTGCCGCAGACAAGCTCACCCTCTACAAGGTTTCCATCCCTGACGAAGGCAAGACCATCGTCGAGTCAGAAATCGAGTCAAAAGAGGCTCTCGCAATCGCGTCAAAGAAGCTTGGGAACATATTTAATTCTAAACTTCCAGATGAAACTATCCATATTTTTGTCAAGCTGCCGCCGCAAGGTATGTATTTAGCTTTTGATGGACTGATGGTTGTTGATATTTTCAATTGATGAAGCTATCTCATCACGGTCACGTGTATCCCTCCCTTTTTTATGTTGTTTGAGATGAATCTCGGCAACACTATTTAACCGGGGGCGACTTTGGATTCATCTCTATAAAAGAATTTGAAAAGTCGCCCCCGTGGTCCGTGTGCATGCTCTGACTCTCACTGTTGTCTGAGAACATAGTTCATTTTTATTTTTATTTTTATTTGACCTTTTACATTGATGCATTTGTTAGTTTTTCTGATTGAATCTGTTCGCGTTTCGCACACATGCTCTGACTCTCCATTAGCTGGCGTTTATATCTCATTGACAGCAATATATTCTTTGATCTGATCAAAATGCTAACGTTTCTGCCATTGCTGCGCTCTCTTATCTTTCTAGAGACATCGGAACAGATTCTCAAGAGAAAAATGGATGAAGGTAATAATTTGTTTTTTGCTGTATAGATAGATAGACTTGGTGACTGACTATATGTTATGGTACTAACCAACTGTGTATGTGTACGATGGTCATAATTAGATCCACGGTATATTTCAGCTTCAAAGAAGATGCGCATTGAGGAAGGGTGGAGAGAATACAGGGCTTCTGATGGCAAAATGGTCACGTTACCGCCCTCTTGGATCGCAATGCTGGAGAATCCTGAAGACCCGCCCGATCCACGTAATAAGTTTAATCATCTGAAAGCGGTAATCAGGCTGGTGATCGAGTTTGACATTCCATCCTTGGGCCGAAGACCGAAACAATTTAAGAAATATAATTCGGAATTTATGATTACGGATCAGATGCTGGAATTGTGGAAGGAGATTAGTGCTGAACAAATATTTTCATACCAGCGAGTCCTTTCTGGTCCTATGGGGGTTGGCAAGTCATATCTATTCCTATTTCCTTGCTGCAAAAGGATATGCGGAAGGGTGGCTTACCCTTTATATACCAGATGCCGCGATATTAGATGGAGCTACGGATGAAATCTTCGGCAATGGTACTGTTAGAATGTTTCTTCGCTTTCAACAGGGATATCTTGACGGCATCTGATCTGGAAAGTCTCCTCAACTTTCTTGGAAATGTACATTACTCAATTAAGGGTGCTTGCGCAGTATTCGACCTATTCAAACAGAAGGAGCGCAAAACACTGTTCATTATCGACGAACATGGAAAGTTATTCCAAGAAAAACCGTACGTGCCGGGAAAAATACCCGTTCCTGAAGCATCTAATGAACCTTAATCTATGGGAGTCTCAATACAAAGGATCTAGAGTGATATTTACAGGAACAGCCCATGCCAAATATGAATTGGAGATTATGGAAGACAGTGCTCGAGTTTCCTTATTGTACTTTGTTGGCCCACTATCCGAGACAGTGTTTTCAAAATGGTTGGAGGTCCACCTGAACCAACCCGATATTGTCCAGGATATAATGAGGATTACAAACCGTGTGCCACGAGAGTTTATGTTCCTCATCCGGTCAATTGAGGAAAGACCACTCACAAGAAATAGCATTGATTCGTATGTAACTGAGAGAACAAGCGAGTTTCACACTGTAGTTTGGACGTACTACGAATCTCGCAGCGAGACATCGAAGAAGAAGTTCGCTAAAAGCCTTGCAACAGTCTTTCCTTGGCAACAACTCGCAGAGTAGTGATTTTGAATGGGATTTCCGTGACCTAGGGCTTATCTATCGTCTCAACAAGAGCCGCGGAGCCATAAACTATGTCTTGTGCCTCCCAGCGCAGAAAGCACTCTTTCAGGCGTTTACAAATATGCCTCATCATGAGCATATCCTGAGGGGAGTTATTCTTGGAGAGATGAGTGGAGATGATTTCGAGTTGGCACTGCTGGTCCCGGTTTTTGACTTTAACCAAGCCAATCGTTCTCAAAGCAACAAACCTTATCGGCCAGAATCCAACAGAGATTATAATGAACTTTAAGGATCATGAGACAATCTATCAGGGCAAGACTTCTCTTGGACGTGGCTATGGACATGTACTGAGCCATTGTCATTCGAGTTATCCTCGCTTTGATTTCATACTCGACACAATGTTTATCCAGGTGTCCATAAGTAATTTCCAAGAACATGAGAAGACGCCAAGTAAGAAGATCCAGAACGCTTTTAATGTGAGAGGTACCGACGGCAAAAATCAGATTGAAAAATATTTGGACGAAGTATTTGAAGGTAATCATTCCGCCTCAATTGACGACGATGGACATTTTGTTGTCAAAAAGGATGGAGAGCCAGTAACTGGATTTAAAATAGTTTACATGCGTGGTTCCCCTGGTGCACCAAACCACACTGGATTAATCAAGGATTACAAAGATCTTCTTCATGTCAGCTTCGACGAGCTCAAAGAGAAACTTTTTAGAAATATCCCAACTTAGAATTTTTGTCACGGTATTCAGTAATAATATAGTTCTTAATCCTATAAAAAGGCTTGTCGTAGAAATTTAATAACACGGTTCTTTATTTTTGAGATGTATCACGGCTAAAATATTTAACTGGGGCGACTTTGGATTTCATCTCTATAAAAGAATTTGAAAAGTCGCCCCCCATGGTCCGTGCGCGCCACAGAGAGGTCACTCACTTGCTAAGGCGACTGTTCGATGCTTGTTGGTTTTCCAAATCTGCTTTGATTTCACCATAGTTTAGCGGAATTGATTAGCATCCCCTGAATGGCTGCCATCCAAGGGACTAACTTCGAATGGACAGGATTTACTGTGTTGTTCAAAACAATAAAACTTGACTGAAAGTCTGCTAATCCTCAAACTATGAGGCAAATAATGCCTCTGAACGCTTCAATAGGATTATGGCGAGTTTTTGGGGTGCAGAAAAGACAAGATTGTATCTTTTGAGCAATGAAGGATATAGGATTTGTTCCTTGGAGGCAAACTTTTTTGAAACCACGCTTGTTGCTAGTAAAAACACAAATGGTTCCCGTTTTCCGCATACTTTCAACGCTTCCACAATCCAAGGGCTGTGATGTAGCCATTAAATGTTACATGTTTGTCGAAGTATTGACACATCCCTTGCAAAAGTTCAGATGTATGCTAAGAATATTGTTTAAGGGACGTAGAGTAGTCAATAGCATGTGGCAGTATTCAGGTGTTTATACAGTATCAGATGGAGTCCGAACAGTCGCCAATAGGTTTGTGCTGTATGAGCGACAAGTTTGTGCTCGTTTTCTTCCAACACGTGCTGGAAATCGGAACATCACGCCCTTTCTCTTCAGGCTCAGATCTCTAATAATGTCACCTTTCGCCTACCAAAAAGAGAACATGGACCATAATGAAAAAAGCACGATGAACTCAAGTCTTAGTGAACCAGAACAGCCTATTAACCTTCCTGGAAACTCAGGTGATGTTAATGAGAACGATGATAATGAGGACGTGGAAATAGTTTCAGGAAGTTCAAGTCACCTATATGAATAACCAGAACATTGACCTATGGAACTGTCTTCACAAGAACTGTCTCTAAAGATCTATCTCATTTGCTCAAAGCCAAAAGAGGAGAGGAAAATGCAACAGTAATGACGAATAGAGTACTGAGCCAAAAAAAAAAAAAAAAAAAAAAAGCTGTGTAGACAGTAACAACCAGTCATCTAAAATGAAGTTTAGTCAAAAAAAATAAAATACTGAAATAGCTTCGCAGGGAAACATTTTCTTCAATCTCTTTCTTCCGTTTCCCAGATATAAATAGTTTGAGTAAGCTACCATGTCCTGACACTTAGACATCGAGCAAAAAGGTATCATTGTTGGGATGCACCTCGCAGGCATGAAGTATGTGGAAATCGCATTGCAATGCGGTGTAGCCCGAACCCCTGCCAATAATGTATCAGGGTGTATTGAGAAGGAGGTACAGGAACTTTGCTGTATATCCGACTTTCTGGCTCTTCTTAAAGACGCGTCTCCTTTCCTTTGTCTCTGTTCCTGCCCAGAATCTTGAAGGGCACCTTGAGGGGTATCTTGGGGAGAGGAGGGCCTTGAGGAGCGGTTTGGGCGCAATTTTGGCCTCGTGAGTTATGGTTACGGTAGTATTTGTAGGTTTAAAATAAAATACTTGCTTCTGTCATCTAGTTTATTTTCTCAATGTACGTGACATATCCAAACGAAATAATGATCGCGACAATCTTGTTCAAGCCAAGAGCTGAAGTCCTCTTCGTTCACGTAAAAAACTCGAGGCAGATAGTCATACGGTTCTTTATGGAAGTCGTTTACAATAACATTGATCGTTTCATCATCGAGAGTTGACTTAATCCATTTATAACCATGCACCTCCGAGCGCAAAATCTTAGTTGTTATTTCATTGGCCTTCGCAATGATCCTCTCGTCAAGTTCTGAACTTTCTGAACCATCCGGCATGAGTGACCTTTCCCTGGTATCAAAATCTGCTGTAGGATGGATATCAATGGCCTCAACGAGAGCTGCAGGTGATTCACGCTCTATTTCTGAGTCGGAATCTGACATCTCACTCGAATAGTTATTACAGTCAACGTTCCATGAGTCCCAGTCAGAATTTGATTCCTCACCCCATAGTCATGATCAGAATCGAACTCTTCTAGGCCATCAACGCGTTCTATTTCGTTTACATTATCCAATAAGCTATTCCTAATAAGCTCTAAGCTCTACACAAAAAGCAAGGACAAGGAGAACCGAAGGACGAATAATAATTGTGCAAATGCTTATTATTGATAGAAAAGAAACAGAGCTTTGCGCTATAATCTTTGTTCAATGAAATGATCTAACTGAATGCTGAAATAATACAAATGTTAATTTACATTCAGCATTCGACACGCATAGGCAACAATTTGCGAGATGACATGAAGGAAATCCATGCATATCTTCTATTATAGTTTAGTATATCATATTGCAAATGCATCCATTGCAGCAACTATCGGATACGCCACACATATCCAATATGTCCAGTACAAGGCGCTGTACAAGATCATTAACAAGGCCCCTCTCAGCAAGAGGAGGACGATCAAATATATGTTCACTCACACTTTCGCTTCAAAAAGCAATAAGCACAATCAACAACATCCCTCCCCTTCTCCCTTTTGATGAACGAATGCCTCTAATATAATGCTGATTTACTAGAGTTGTTGAAACAAAGAGTGACATCTGAACCCATTCTCCTTGATTAACAAAAAAAAAGGCCCTTTTTCAGCTGTTGTTCCCTGACAAGACTAATAACCTTCTGCTTCAAAACCAGTTCCTGAACACGAGTCAAATCTGTTCATGTAAACAGTGCTTCCAATCCCCATACAATAATTTGAATCTTTTGTTTTGTTTACTATTCAAACTACATCCGTTTCCTTTTCCACTGTCCTTAATATAAATCCGATACATGGGCCGCTTGCTGCCACAGTCCCCTTTAGATCAAACTCGGCTGCACCACAGGGCGATCGTGAGTAAACCTCGCTGGCTCTGTCTCGACATTGACCAGGAACGGTGTCTCTCCATTGCGAGGACTCGCGTCCTCCAGTAGAGGGCGCTCATACTGAGTATCCCCTCTTCCATTCACCACCGGCACGATTGTTGATGCTTCTGCTTGTGTCTTTGCGTCTTCAAGTTCTTCTTGCTTCCAGCCCCTGAGTTTCAAGAAGTTGATTGCAGAAAGAGTCATGACTAACAACATGAGTGGGAGCTAGCATAGGAATAAATGGAGAAAAAGTTAGTATGCACAATTCAGAAGCTATACCTTATTCCTTACGTCCCCCTCCTTGGTTTGTCCTGTATTTTCCTTCAGAAGCTTACCAGTATGGTCACTTGGCCAAGCAAAAGATTTCGGATTCCTTTATGCCATCGTTCAAAATCCTTGGTAAGATCAGCCTTACAAGCCACCTTGAATCCATAAGCGTCATTCTCACTGCAAGTCCGGTCCTTGGGCTTCTCGGAGCCCTTTGGGGCTATAGGCGGGAAAGGTCTATCTGAGATATGGTTGTAGCCACAGCATTCATGACGGAGCTCAAAGTCACTAATAAGCTTTGTGCGGTGGCGATTCGCTTCAGTCCAGGCATTATTCAGCTCAATGCCCATCTATTGTTAAAACCAGAAAGAGGTAGCAACAGGGTCACTCTAGTATATCAAAAGAGGTAGCATTCATTTAAAAAACCCAAAGCAAAAGGCTTTTTTTTACCTGTGAAAGATGACCCGACCGTTGTGTAACACAGATTATAAAAAACATTAGGGTCACAGCTAGGAAGATGGCGTTGCCATTTAACAGATAAGCAGATGCTTTAGTGAACATGATTCTTGGACGCCTGGCCTGCTGCTGCTGTGGGGCTATGGGAGAGTCACTATTGCGTCCATGCATAATATTGGTGGAGTGTGGTGGAGTCGGGGTCCTTGGTCCTAAATCCCCTCCATTCCCACCAGAGCCGTTGCCTCGACGACCATCGTCATTGTCCCTTTTATCTCCTCCCTTAGTGTCTTCCACTAAGAGATTGTAAGCGACCGCAAATCCAAAGGCGCCTGCCACAATCGCAAAACCTGCGGCAAAGATTGTAACCTCACTTTCTGGAAGCAGATAATCCAAAATAGGTTCACGTAACACCATCTCTACTATTTCTACACCCATTAAAAGAAAAGCTGAAACCTAACATAGGCGAGAGAGAGATGGCATACATGAGGAGAGAAGGAAGGTAGCGAGTCGGCTTGTTGAGAATAGGATAGCCAGAGAGGAATAATGGGCGTGGGAAAACTGGTATACAAAGCAAAGAAAACTCACCACAAGAATGACATTGACAATCATCATAAACATTCTGGCGACCCGTGCGTTCTGCACCCAGTTCACGGCAGACGAATCTTCGCTCTCGTGAAGTACCTTGGCTGCCCAGCCCTGAAAGAGTGCAAGACTTCGTTGGACTTGGGTAAGAAACGTCCGAGGGTCCCGTCGGCCAGGGTCTTCGCTGGTGCGCGGCGGATGGTTGTAGTTGTGATGGGGAGCATTCCCAGCATTGTAGCCGTTCAAGGCACTATTTGAACGGACAAGGCTTGTTCTTTCGTCGTGTTCCTCCATAGTTAGTTGAAAAACAAAAGTAAATGTGTGTTGTATGTGAGTGGGAATGAAGAAATGAAAGCACATGAGAGTGTAGACTTGAAACCATTTCTTTTCATTTTGCAGTCACGAAAGCCAGCTGTAGTTGGTGCCCTGTGTCTGTAAATTGTTGGTCTTTCAGATTTTGCCTCTTCATAATTTTTTTGCTATTACAACTATAATTCTCCTTTCATCGTCAATAACCGCGCCTTGAGTATCAACTGTTAATTTTTACACTTTATGCTTTTTCTCTCGGTCGTTTAATACAGCTTTGATCATCCATAAGATTTGCGTGAGGATCGCCTCTGTCTCTTACTCTCAGTGCTCGCTTTTGTATGAGAGCATGAACAGAGCCTCATCAAAATAATGGAACAAGGAGTGGTGGTAGTGCGTTACTTAAAGGCGACGTGTCTCTTGTTAAATCGAGCGTGCATTCAACGAAATACCATAGAACCCCAGTTGTGGCGATACTATACGAAACCATCAAAATTGTTTCATTGTAGAACACCCAACGATATCGAACGCTCCTTTAGGGGTGTTGTTACAAACAAATAAAAGAAAAAAAAAGAATACGTGTGGAGCATATCAATGGTTCAGTGATAGAGATAGAACAATGAATACACCACCAATTAAATTGAACAAAAGCCCAATATTGTTCCCAAATGCAGAAGCTACTTTTTATTGATCATCGATTATTACGAGATATGGAACCCTTCGTTTGACATGTACCGAAAATATTCCCAACCGACGCGTGTCCAGAAAAAAATAAGAAGGTAGGTCATGCAATCTGTGGCCGGCGTGCCTTCTTCAAATAATATTTCTATAGCAAAAAAAGGAGATAAAAAGGTTGCCAATGGCTATCACCTTAATTTTCTGTCATGAATCCACAACATACAGCTCGCTCTCCCCGGTATCAACGCCTGCGGGGCTCCTGTTGCCAAAAGCGACTACAAACACAAAATGTATCCGTCCTTGTTCATCTCGTTGGTGGGGATAATGCTTAATGTCCATCAATTGGCTACAATGAGATCCTCAGGATCAGCGCTTTGGTCAAGCCCAGGATGGACTCAGAAGTCACTGGTAATCATTACTAGAGGCGTCTCATAGTTTGGTAGGCTATAAACGATGAGCTGATACTCGGAATGAGCATTGAAAATCCCCCTTTATAGGTAGGCCACGATCGTCATTTGAGTAGTAGAATCTGTCAACGAAGCTAGAGGCCCACCGTTCGACTATGACGAGAATACAGGAGCAACAGCAGAATCAGAAGAGAGCGCAAGCATGTGTAAAGGCTGGATATGCTTGGCTCAACTCGGCTTCATGACTAGGCGTGGTGGTCCAGATACCGAAAAGGATTGTTGTGGATCTACCCAGTCGCGTTTATTGCGGAAATAGTCGTCCAAGTCAACGATTCTCCAGGCCTTGTCGGCCCCTCGTAGATGATCGACCATGGGGCCGGCGGAATAGTATGCATTTTTTTCGATTGAACATGTATTTTCAGATATTTGGGCAGTCAAATCTCTGAAAATACTGCATGCTTGCGTGAGATTATTCAAGACTGGGGGTCATCTACATGGCCTATAATTTGCAAAAGCACTTCGTTTGGATAATCTGTTATGCGGATTTTCTTGCCGGGTGGAGATATGGCTCCTTTATCGTTAGAGTCTTGATGGTCGGCATCAGGATACAAAGGATGCTTTCGCTGGGATCGGTTCATGGAAGGGTTAAAAAAATGCTTGGATATACTGGAAGCTGTGAGGATTTCTCTTTTTTGTCTGTATTTATTGCCCAAAAGTTACTTCGCCAAGAGAACCTACAATAATATGAGCAAACGGCATATTCTTATTGAATTAATTTCCAAATGTTGAGTACATATAAATATATATTATATATAAATATATATATTTATTTAATCAATTGAAGTATAAATATTTATACAATTGTCGTTTGTCAGTCATTGATAGACCCTGACCTTCGGCCATAACAAGGTCGAAACTTCTAAGAAGTTGTCAACTTTGTTGGAGAGCAAGCTACTCAATATCCAATCAAAATCAGAGTTGCTCAGCTCTTGAACGGGGAGGTGCGTGTCAGAGTTGCTCAGCTCTTGAACGGGGAGGTGCGTGCACATGTGTTACCGTGCATAGATATGTAAATTAACACGTTACGATCTCGCTCAGGTTGTTGCACCTTCACGCTATTGTAGGCCGAGGGCTATTTAAGAAACAAAAAAGTACCAAAGAAGAAAAAAATACAATTGTTCAATATCCATATCTTCTATCATTATAACAAGCCATCGCCATGTCCAGAAGCGCTGCTAGACGGTTTCCCCGTGTCCCATTGGATCCACAGATTCATATCCCTCATCCAACCGCTCCAGTAGCCGCTGCTCCTGCTCCTGCTTCTGCTTCTGCTCCTGTTCCTGTTCCTGTTCCTGTCCCTGTTCCTGTCCCTGTTCCTGTCCCTGTTCCTGTCCCTGCTCCTGTCCCTGCTCCTGTCCCTGCTCCCGTTCCTGCTCCTGTTCCTGCTCCTGTTCCTGTCCACGGCTCCGGCGACGATGTAGCTGTGCTGATCGATCCACTTTATTATACTGTCAAGGTTGAGGTTATCGATTTCGCAATGGATGACCAAGGTCTATAATAAGGCTAGGCAGGCCTATAACTCGTGATACCAATGCAAGAGAAGTTGAGAAAGGACAACCCTGGACTGCAAATGCTGTATAGTTGTGCTTCTCTATGCGATCAATGTCGCGCTGCGATATGTCTGTCGGTTCAGTATCCTCAAGCTTATACGTTTTGGTTGGAATTCATTTTTATTTTTGAGTGTTGTGGGTGCATACTAATAAAAACTACCTTTGCTGGTATATGTATTTATACATCAGCAATAAATATTAAAGAGTTTTCGCAGATTTTTTTTTCGTCATTTTCATCACAGGCAATTGAACCTTATTTTCGCCAGTTTGAAAAATACTGCGGTACTGTGATATCACGTTGGTGAAAAGAAAATTTCCAAAAACGTCGCTTGATGTTAAATTCATCAGGAGAATTCTATTAAACGCTCACATCACCAATCACGCATCACGCTCATTCTGGCGGTCAAAAAAGAAAGAACACCAGACAAAAAAAATATCAATAAATTGGAAAAACTAAACATTGGAAAAGTTGACCACGCCAATGCCTCCAAAAAAAAAAAAAAAAAAAAAAAAGGCTGACAATGCCTTCCATCTGCATCTTCTGCTACCCATGATTTCATAATAACCATCTCTCAATAGCTGCAAGGCTCCTGTAAGCACAATGCGCATCCGCCCTTCCTTGTTAAGCTACGACGGTATCCAATCATGTGGCTGTATTTTACGTGTCAAGAAAAGCGTGTCAAGAAAAGCGCACTGACTTTTTTTTTTTTTTTTTTTTTTTCTCATATTTACATTCCATTTCACTCATTTTCATCGACCTTTCATTTTTTCTAATCATGAATCCTATTCATCGCTTGGCCCAGGTGTTTGCCCACCTCCGGGCTCAAGCTTTTGCTACGACATCAGCTTCATCTCCAATGTCTCGTATGGTTTCTGTTTCTACTTCTACATCCTCTCTCTATCGTAACTATACCTCGTCCTCATCTTCCCCTACTTCAAACAAAGGTGCTGCTGATTCTACCACTACTGCCGCGACCACTCCAAAGGCTCACAAGGTCACCAAAAAGGACCGCGCCTTTTACCCTTATTCCCTTGACATCCAATCCCGTTGGGCAGACAATGATCAATACGGTCACCTCAACAATACTTATTATTATGCTCTCTTTGACACGGTGATAAACACATTCCTCATCCAAGAGGCAGGATTAGACCCACATAACCAAAGTCAGGGCACAGCCATTGGCGTAGCCGCTGAGTCAGGTTGTCAATATTTTGATTCCCTTTCGTTCCCAGACATGATCGAGGCACGATTAGCTGTGATCAAATTGGGACGATCCAGTGTTGTCTATCAGGTTGGTATTTTCAAGAAACTTTCGCTTACACAACGACAACAACAACAACAAGAAGGAGGAGGAGAAGCAGGAGCAGGAGGTAATACGGTTACTCGAGGTGCATCTCCATCGTCCGCAGGAGTATTTTCGAGAGCTGCGACATCAGTCTTGGATCCTGTAAAGGAAGCAGATATCGACAAGGTATTCCATCCGAACCAGCTTCAGGGAGATGTGGCAGCAGCTGGACATTTCTGTCATGTCTTTGTGGACAAGAACAGTCGTCGGCCTGTTCCGATCCCTGAAAGGATCCGTGCCGGATTAGAACGTCTTCAAGTGACACCATGAATACTATCATATTGAAAATAATAATAATAAAAAAAAAAAAGAAGAAGAAGAAATAGAGATAGAAATAGAGATAGAATCAGAACATTGCTTGATGGATATCTCAAGAGGCAGCTTCTTTTTCTGCGTTGGTATCTTTGCTCCCAACTCCATTCCTGCGATTTTTTTTTTTTTTTTTTTTTTTTATTTTTCTTTGTCTTTGTTCTCCTATACCCATTGATTACAACAGTAAACTGTCGAATCAGCTTTGTCCCCGCGATTGATTTTTTTTTTTTTTTTTTTTTTTTTTTTTTTGCTGCATCCGCAAAGACCGCATGTTTAAAAAAAAAAAATTATTGATCTTTTTTCTACCAATAATCCAAAAAGGGCTTGACACTCGAGGCATGTTATCGGGAGAAGGAAACAAGGCAATAAAGAGAATAAAAATAAAAAATAATAATAAAAATTAAAAATAAAAATAAAATAAAATAAAAATAAAATAAAATAAAAATAAAAATAAAAAAGAAAACAAAGTATACAATTCTTTTCTTTTTTTTTTTTTTTTTTTTTTTCCTCTAGCCTTTGCGATTTAAGATCCAAGAGCATTCGAAAAATTGATGCCGATTATTATTCTGTATACCATAGTTAGTCCCCACACCATAAAAAGCTTTCTTCTTTAACTTTTCCTTTTCTTTTTTTTTTTTTTTTTTTTTTTTTTTGTAAAATAATTCAAAAAATAAAATTAAATTAAAATAAAAGGTTTAATCGTGGATGCTTCATGATTGTGTTGCTACAAAAAAAAAAAAAAGAGAGGGATGAAGAAAAAGAAAGAATGGTATGCGGATGACAATAAAAACAAAAGGAAAAAAAAAAAAGCGTTTGAACGGCCTATATTTAAAGATTACGAATTGTGTTGCGCCCAGCACTTCTTCTCTCTCTGCGTTGAGGTCCACCACCACTTTCGCCTCCATTCCTTGATGATGATGATGTTGATGATTTTGTATTACCACGACCACCCTTGCCTCCACGTCCCTTGACCTGGAATGACATCTCCATACCACCAGCAGTCGAACGTGAGACTGAATTGTCACTGCCTCTATCCTTTGCAACACGTTCTGCAAAAGATCTCTGAGCTTGTGATTTGAGTACGGGTCCTGAACTGTTTCCTGCTCGTTGCTATCAATAATGAAAATTAGTTCGGTTAGAAATACTCCTTATCGAGTTCACGCCTTTTTTTTTTTTTTTTTTTTTTTGTCTTGTCATATTGTGTATGTACCTTGAGTGCCTCCATCTTGGGAATGCGTTTACGGTCCTTGACTCCGGAACGAATCGATGTAATTTGATCCGCCTTCTTCTTCTTATTGTTATTATCCCGATCTGACTTGTAATGACTAACACGGATCAAATCCTCATCTGAATCCACATCGCTACCATCACTGTTGCTAACCTCGCTAGCCTCCTCGATCTCATCCTCGCCCACAACGCGGTAGCTAGGCTTCGCAGTTGATTTCACAGGGTTGAGCAACTTGTATTCGTTCGTATCCTCATCCACCTGGAAATCAGGGTTGGTGAACAGATCTGCGAAACGGCTATCCTTCAGGGCTCCGCCTTCTGTGGCCGCCTCAGGAAGAGCACCATCTCCAGAAGCTGCAGCCTTGCGACGAGCCTTGGCCTCATCCAACATCATCTTGGTCGCCAATTGTTTGTTGACCTTGGGAAGCTTCATCGTCGCACGAATACGAGAACCAGCCTCCTTGGCCAACTTCTCCTTTGCTTCTCTCTCCCGGTAATCTGCATACGCGAATGGATTGGCGATTGCCTTGGCCTTCTCATAGAGTCGTAGGTCAATGAAGAATCCATGCATGTAAGGCTTCAATACAGAGCTTCCAACCAAATGATCCAATCCCAGCCTATATGTTATCATATTCAACAAAGAATTAAAGCGTTCATTAGTTAGCCACATTAACAAGATCGGTCATCTATCAATAAGGACCTGAATAAAATGCAATAGCAAACAAACAAACAAACAAACGAAAAAAGAAAAAAAAAAAAATCATATACGTACGAGGCAAGTTCCTTGCGTGTAACAAACTTGTAATCGTCATAGATATTCTGAACAGGATTCTCTTCCAATTCTTCTGTGAGGTTATCGAGGAAGGAACACCATTTTGGTGCTGGTCCCAATGAAGGGATATAATAACTCTGCATCTGAATACCCTCATTCGCCACAAACATCAATCCCGAATTATCGACCACGCACACATCATTGATATCGTTGACAGGTTCGATCGATGTGAAATTATTGCCATTTTCTCTGTCCCAAATCTTGATAATCTTACAATCGGCCGAGACCACTTTAGTACGACCGTCCTCACCCTGGGTACCCTCATGGAATGTCAAACTCTTGATAGGGAAGCCATATTGATGATCCTTGACAAAGAGGGGAATACTGCTACGAAGATCATACATGAGCACATGTCCTGTGGTCGTACCAACAGCCATCGTTAATCCATCCTCTCTGAATTTCATGGAGGAGATACCGAGGGAGGAGGACATGACACTCTCGGGTAAAGAGGGTGCCAGCACTCCAACTCGACCTCTGACACGCAAATCCCAGAATTCGACTGTTCCTGCATCTGTTCCACATCCGTAGAGTAAATGAGCAGGGTTGATCTCTCCACAGTTGACTCCATTGCCTCCAGTGGGGTCGATGTCTGTGACGAGTGAGTTCAAGAACCGTCCTTGTTCCAGATTCAGTCGATAGATTTCATTAGAGGATGCTGTGACGAGAAGATCGCATGAAGGGTAATGATAGGTAAGAGAACGTCCGAATTTAGGGATCCTGGTTCTGAAATGAAGTCCTCCTTGAGCCTGAAACTCAATACTCCGATCGGCTTGAAGGTGTACAGTCTTTGTCCAATCGTCCGATAGGATCTGAAAGTCGACATTCTCCGCATCAGTATGACGATCAAACTTCATGGACATTTCTGAATACTCGTATACTCTCATCTGAGGCTTATAGACACCTTTATTTATTTAAATAAATAATAAATAAAAAAAATTAGTTATAAAACAGAAAAATAAAATAGGACTTGAACCCTAGATGCGGGGGTAAAAAAACTTACCAGTAGCGATAGCATATTTCCCATCCCGAGTCGTTTTGATCTTGAGTGATGCTTCTGGGAATTCGAAATCCTGAATGAGCTCGATACGATGCCTCCATTCTTTTTTTTTTTTTTTTTATTTTTTTTTTTATTTTAAAAATAAAATAAAAATCATATTAACACTTGATGGCATTATTAAAAAGAACTTCATGATAGTATAAAGAATCTCTAACCCTATTTCCCTATTTCTTTGTCTTTTTTCTTTTTTTTTTTTTTTTTTTCCTTTTCATCACCACTCCTTCCTAGATAAAGGATTGGTACCTAAATCATTCTTGAGTGCTTTCTTGTTCCGTCTAGCAAGCCAGTCAGGTATGGACCGTGAGCCTTTTGAACCCGAAACTGTGTAAATCTTGACATTGTTTGCATTCTGAACTTGCAATGACATTGTGATAAATTAAGCAACGAACTGCAATGGAAATATTTATGTGTATATTTATATATATATGTATGTCAAAAAAAAAAAAAAAAAAAAAAAAAAAAGGCAATGGTATGTGTAATAGAGAATAAGACCTCATAAAAAAAAAAAAAAAGGCAAAAAACAAACAGAGTGACTGCTACATCTAGGCAGGCACGTGACGCTAGGAAGTTCAAAAAAACGTTTGAGACAGCATTAGATTGACGCCAAGCAGATAAAAAGGCGTAATATCCCACGGATATGTCAATAGCTGAATCCAGAAGCATGGGGGCAACAAACAAGAAAATGCTTAAGGTGGGGTAGGCTACTTCAGAGAAACTTTAGTTAGAATAGTAATGTCATGTTATGAACACTGAATAAACTTACATCAAGGGCGCTTTTACATCACGATTATTAGTCGATCATCGAAAGAGACATTCCCATCCCCATACTCGCCTTTTTTATTTTTTTATTTTATTTTTATTATTGTTATTATTACTTATTTTTGATCTTCCAACAAAATATGCTTCTTAAACAGTACTGATCCTCAGTGTAGGCAATCTCTCTTTAAGCATCGCTTTCAACTTTTGAATCTCCTCCAGGTGTTCTGCTCGTGCCAGGCAATGGCTGTAAAGGCCAAACTTCCGCAACGGCAGCATTAGTTGCTTACTATGTAGCAGATGGTCCACCAGAAGCTTAAACATCTCCAAATTAAAATGCATCAAGGAATCGGACGACGACATATGGAAAGGCATTACCTTTAGGATAAATAAATATCATAAGCCTTTCCAACATGCAACGTCCTTTCAGCAGTACCGTTTGCTCTCGGATTTCTGTAACACTTTCAATAACTGTGGCGAATTCACAAGAGCTTGGTGATCCATAGAGAAGCTCCAGCGACCTCAGTGTTCGAACCAGTGGTAGTTTGTCGTCAAATACTCTTTCAAGTAATGTACCAACTATGAAGGTTCCGAGTGTAAGCTCTACAAGGTTGGGGCAGCAGACGAGAAGATTACTGAAATGGGACACTGCAGAGGGGTTACTGAAATTAATTCTGATCAAGTGAAGGCTTCGAAGGTTTGGTGCCATTGCAAAAGTCGAAATGTTGACACGGGAGAAAAGGTTCTCAAAATATCTGAGTTTCATCGATTGGATACGTGCGTTGCTAATGAGCTGAATAAGTGGATTGAACCGGCGACCGCGATTGATAAGGCGGACATCCGAACCCGAGAAGTTGCCCAAAATACAAATAAATGTAAGATATTCGAAGGTCCAAGCTACATCCGAAGGCTCTCAGAAAGTAAGTTGTTGCCATAACTAATCTTTTAAAATATATTCTGATGAATAGATGCGAGACTCGAGCAACAAATCTAATTAAAAACATTCTAACTATCACAAAGCTGAAGTCCTTTTGCCCGGTGATTTGATAGGCTGTTTAAAATTTATTTATTAAAGACATTGACTACTTATCTGAGGATAGACTTCATGTGAGACACTGATGCGGCTGGTCAACCTATAACCAGACCAACAGACACCACTGCTGCCTTCGGATTATAATGCCAAACACCCAATACATATACTACGGGTTCATTAAAACACACTGTTCGGCCTGCAGCCCACTAATATCAAACACTCCCAAATTGGGCATCTCTTTTTTAAAAAGTGCGATTAAATTCGAACAGGATTTATCTGGGTGGCCAAATCAGTTTCGAGCTCGGATGTCCGCCTTGTGGTATCCCTTCTTTCGTTTTCGGTCCTCATGATACCCGAATTCTCATATGATAACACATTCCTACGGAAGAAGGGATAGTTAAACTAGATCAAAACTCGCGTTTGGAGTTCCAGTAGTCATCAATGGCGCGAGTCTGATTAAAGCTGCTGAGTGGCTCCCATGAATTGTCACATTTATTGTAGCCCTTCCATTGAACAAGATATTCTACTCCATCCCCTTCTCCTCGGTGCTCTATTATCTTTTTGATTTCATATGCAGTTTCTATATTGCTATCACCCATTTCATGATCGTTGTCAACATTTGAGGTAGTAGTGATACCGAGATTTAAAAAAGCATCCTGAAGCTGATACATGCTTCGAGCATCTTTGATTTCTACAACATAGCTTGGAGCAGTGGGAATTTGAGAAATGTTTGCCTCAGTGCCATCTGGATAGTCGAAGTTCTCTTGCATCCAGAAGCTGTGATGTGGCTCTATAGTTATATTACGTAAGGCAACCATGCGTTTGATATTGAGAAGTAGGCAGCATAGCTTAAATTGCAGAGAGAAAATACTCTTTTCAGATACCCTCTTCACCACAGTATGACTGAATTTGGTGAAGATGGTCTGCATTTCTCCGAAATAACTTTCAATCCTAGAACGAAAACTCCCAACCATTTCGTTATACTTTTTTTCCTGGTCTGTAAATGCTATCCCTCTTGTCTTGCGGACTGGACAGCAGAAGTTTGTTGATTCCAGTTGGTCACTGTGTTCAATGATCCCATGTAGGAATTGCGAATAGCCTCCATCCAGGGTAATACAGTCAAGGCGATCGATTTTCTTCTCAATGGCCATTTTGGAGAGCATGGTTCCATCACTAAAATCACGGCATTCGGCGGGTTGTGATACAAACACAATCATGCTATTCATATCACAGCATACTTGTGTGCGGAACCCAGACTTTTTGAGTTTGTATGAATACAAACTGGCTTTATCTGCATTTAGGTATGCCACTCGACTATCATGGCCATCGATGTGAAGTGTAATATGTTTGAACTCCTCTGGGTTGATGGATCGTGATGTGAGCAGACGCAAGGTAATACTTGAGGACATGTTAGCAAGACAGGACGTTAACTTTGAATCCAGGGTATGTGTTTCCCTGCCAAAAAAATCTTTATACACATCATGGAATGAACTCTTGGGTAAAAATACACTCATCTCAGAGGTCGAAACCCCTTTCAATAACATGTACAGTATTAGGATGCCTTTCTCAACATTTCTGTAAGGGCCAGGATAATTCCTCGTGCCAAAAATCACTGTCAAGAAAAAGAACACTGGAACGATGCCCAGACGGTGCTGCACAAAGTCTTTGGCCTTCTCTATATTTTCCACACTCTTGATCTCAGTACGGTGGAATTTGCTCCGCTTCAAAATGGGCCAGTCCTGGTGCAGGAATCCCCATTGAGTTGATATCAATCTGTCAAACTCTGCATCCATTGTATAACATCACTAGCTATTATAGATATATATTCATTTAAAGATTATATTTTGGGATTTGCTCTGCGGACCAGGGGCCAACTTGCAAGCTCTCTCTTAGAAAAGAATTTGTAAGTTGGCCCCGGATAAACTGGTCGGGTAAATATGTTAAAAAATAAAAAGATAGCCCTCGGGAGGGAGCAGGCGAGTGGCAGACGAGAGATACGTTATACTCGACTTTTTAATAAAAGCGGAAATAGGCACATTTTTAAATCAAAATCTTGTGTTCTTTATTTTTAAAAAGTGCATAACATATAATGCAGTCAGCGCGAGGTCATTGAGTGTTGGTGTTGTAGATGCGAGTGATATATTCGATCATCTCCTCCTCAGTCTTCTTTTCCTACCGAAGGTCCTATCCACTAAGCGTGGGGCTGGAGGATTGCAGAATGCTGTGGGCCTTCAGGCTAATCGCTTTCTGGGCTGGGAGCAACAGCAGGAGTGGTGGCAGTGGCTGGACTGGCAGCGGCAGCTGGGCCGTCCCTAGTATAGGTATGGAAAACCTTTGTGATATACCCAATCATCTCAGCTTCAGTGTTATTCTCGCTTCGAAGTACAAAGCTACGGTTATTAAGCTTGATCGGGGCATCTTTGTCGCGCCTCATATGCTGAATGACATTATCTCCTCTTGGCGACGGATCAAATCGCAACTCCTTAACCTCAATAGCATCAAGCTCAGGGTTGTCGGTAATAAATTGCTTGACTCTACCGTCGATAAGCTTCCGTTGTTGAGCAAAGATGCGAAATCCTCCAACTGGCAATGGTTGAGGCTTCTGGAACTTTAAAACAACAAAGATCTCCTGGTCTTTAGATGGACGCGGTAAAACTCGATTCTGGTTGGCTTCTTGGAGTGCGCGCTCGCAGTTGACAAAGGCATCTTTAACGTTCTGCAGTTCGAGCTTAGTCTCAGCGTGGCTAGATAACTCCTTATCAAGCTCCGCCTTGGTCCCTTGGCGCGCATACTCACTGTTGGCAAGAGCGAGTTTAGAGTTTTTCAACTCCAGTTCTTTCTCTTCCAAATTGGATAGAGCTGTGTCAAGATCCGATTGAGTGGATTCCAGGTCATCCTTGGCATCCATAAGGTCTAGCTGCGTATTTCGGAGTTCAAGTGAGGGCTGCAACCTTCTCTTGCAGTCTTTCAATACTGGACTCTTGTGCTGGTCTGGCGGGTCTGGTGGTGGTGGTGGTCATAGTTCAAAATTGTTTTTTGGGTGAAGTAATTAAGAAAGTTTTGAGTGGCATAATTTCAAAAGGCCACGGTTTAAATTGCAAATTTCGACAGAAATTGGTTGAGCTGGCATAATTTAATTGGTTCAGGTAAGGAAAATTGGGAAGGAAAAGAGGTGATTTGGCAGAATTCCATTGGACGAATTTTTTTTTTAAAAAAAGAAAAGGAAGGAAAAGGAAGCAAACTCACGTCACAGGGTGAAGGATTTTATTTTAATGACTTTAAAAAGCACTATCTCGTTTTGGCGAACCTGAGCCACAGCCGGAAATTTTTTTTTCGGTGCATTTGAACAGCTTCATGCGCACGGGCCAGGCTTGGCGGTGGCCAACTTACAAATTCTTTTCTAAGAGAGAGCTTGCAAGTTGGCCACCGGCTAAACTACGGGTAAATATGGTGACTGGATCGCACGGCCACCACTACCACCACTTTTTTGCATTTTTAAAAAAAAAAAAAAAAATTTATTACTGAGATGTCGATTGTGTTACCATTCGCCTCCAGAAATAAATGCTCTTGAAGACCAGCTCAAATTCCATATAAATACACCCAACTTGTGGAGGACCTTTTCTGCTCTATTTAATTCTATTTTCTAAATACGACAATTAAAAAGGTGACCAACATTTGCATCATTGCGTGGTGGATTGGACGTATCTGGCACGATCTGGACTAATAATTAGCGAAGCCACTTCTTAGCGACAGCCGTGGACAGCACGTGACAATCCTGTCGGGGTATGGACATATCTGGCACAATCTGGACTAACAGTTGGCAAGCCACCTTTTAGCGACAGTTGTGGACAGCATGCGACAATCCCGGGTAGCAAAATTTCTTTCACTACGCCACAAAGAAACAAATGCTGATGTCTGGCAAGAAATTTGCGACCGTAAATTTATAAACATTTAAGCTGTCACAATAAAACTCTCATGGAATTTTTTTTGGAAAAATGCATTTGAAGTATGTGGGACCTAATCAATATGTCTTTTTTTGAAATTTTAGATATAACAGTCACAAATGTGACATGATGCTAAAAATAGATGGTTTTTTTTTGAAAAAAGAAAAATTCTCACACTTCTTCTCACACTTCTTCTCACACTTCTACAACTTTTCAATCACACACTTTATTCCCAAGTTTTCCTTTCGCCCTGAAAATAATGATTTCAAAAGCAGAATTTCTCCGCAACACCAAGGCAACTGAGCCCTATCACATTATTGAACCATTCGTACGATTATTTGGAATTAAGGATACAGAAGAATTTTTAAGTGTTATTTCCGCCGCCTTGACGGAGCTCCTTGATGTAAATTACGACAATAATGACCAGGAACTATATCAACAATGCAAACGCTACGCTCGATGGAAACAAGTTGTTGAGGTATAGAGGCCCGAGATAGTATTAAATAATTCATATTTGAACGCCTCTAATGTATGACCAAGCAGACCGTAACACGATCTCTTATTGTTATTTATAGTCAAAGACATTCCGCACGTCTTGTACCAAATTTTTCGCTAAGAAGACTGCCGCCGCGACGTCTACCCCTGCTACCACTGCCAACACATTTCGTCGCTCGGACCGAATTAAGGAGATCCAGTCACCAGCAGCGCCTGTGAAATCCCTAACTGAGGAGGAAATACGGATTGATGGATTATTTTTAAAAAAAGACACGGAAACGATCGGACAAAGGATCAAACAGAGAGCTCTGGACCTAGAAGCTACTGTAACATCACCTGAGTTCAAAGATGTACACGAGCGCCGGATCTTTTCTCTTGGAGCCTCGTCAATTCTGGATCTAGTAGATATGTCAAACGAGAGTCAGCTTTTCGATGTATTTCCCAGTAAGAGTGATCAGGATGAGTTAATGACGATGTTTGCTCATCTAAGCATGAAGAGATCCATTAATGCACCTGAACCAACTGAGTTGCTGACACATTGGGATATCTGCAGTGCGATTGCTTCTAAAGATGGGCTTGCTGAAGCACGATCCTACCTATATCGAGAGATGGGAGCCTGTCTGCCGAGCTTTGCGGAGAATCTCAAGCCTCTCCTGATAATGATTGACGCCCTCCTATGTTATCCCAAGATATTTGCACAAGAGTATGACGTAACGGAGCAGGACTTAATGAATGTTCTTTGGAGCCCGATGCTGTCTTCCTTATTTCTCCGGCAGCAGAGTGAAACTGGGATTAGGATAAAAGGAGGAGATTCGACACAGGTAGCGTCAAACATCGAGAAAAGAGAATTCTACGATGACGGACACGCTATTGCCTTCAAAATAGATTCTCGGATCATAATAGATGTTTCCCGAAAGGGTGAAATCGACATTGCAGCCGTCGAGGTTGCTCCCAATTGCCAAGAGACCAAAATTTTTTCAGATGGGGCCAAAGTCCTCCGAGAGGCGAAGGAGATAGTAAATGGCTTGACCAAAATTTTTCCGGATGACGAAAACTTTCTCAAGAATACGATTGGTTACGGCGTTCAGATAGGGAATCTGTCTGGGTCGATATTTTCTCTGCATCTAGTTGCTCCGAAGCTATATGTAGCATGGCCAGAACATACATTCTGCCTTCCTGATTCACGAGGATCCTTGGATCGATTCAAGGAAGTCATTATAGCACTATCTTGGTTTCAACAGGCCGTCCAAGGCACCGCCATGAATATCAAATCAGCTCTTTCAGTGCAGAAAACAGTCGGAGCACTCTATGGCCACGGCTACAGCCATAAACCACTGGGTCAAAAGCAGTGGACTAACCCAACCTGGTTTGAACCATCAAAACCATCTAAGGCTCGGCCAATCCAGGAATTAATGAGGGTGGTGCACCCCATTCAGACTGCAATTAGTCCTCAATCAAGCGAAGACCTAAATAAGCAAACCCATGCGAATGCTACATATGACAGTAATGGATGGGCCATTGTAGTGGCCAAAGATGGCCGACCAATGTACTTTAACAAGCATACACTGCAGTATCTTGAGGAACGTGGTGGCAAAAAAGCCAAAATGGACGTAGCTTAATATATCAGGTAATCTATACTCTTGCTTTTCATACATGCATCTGACGTTATTCTACTTGAATTCAGTCTTGTTTTTTTTTTAAAAAAAAAAAAAAACAAAGGGTATTTTCTCGCTTCGCATTTGTATTTTCTTCTGATATTCAGATAGCATAGTGAGACCTGCACCCAATCTTATGTAGAAGTATTCCTGTTTTACGAAATAAATCAGCCATTCACAAAGACTTAGCATATCTGGTGTCCTCGAGACTCACGAGGACGAAGTGCGGGGAAGCAGCTGTGGTCGAAAGCCATTGTCTTTTTTTTAAAAAAAAATGTAACCCGAGACTTTTCGAATTAATGGATGCCTGGGCTCCAACTGCTGGGCCGCTCCCAAAGCTATGTAAGACTCGCTTCGGCCTCTTCCACTTTTTTTTCAGCCAAGGCTCGCGAGAGCGCATATATCCAATAAGCGGAAGAAATTATTTGACAAGGGTCCCAATCAGTCAGCTCAACTTTGATATTGGATCCCGGATGTCCAAAATGGCCCACGATAATTCCAATAAAATAACAAGATATTTTCAAAAATCCGGAAGATTACGTCTTTGAAAATGCTGTGCTGTTGGTCATATTATATTTGCATCAGTTCACAGCCCATAATCACCCCGGATCATACTAGGGTCGACACAGACCCGGGGCAGTTTGTTCAGTTGCAAAAGGATTAGACTGGGATTATAAATTAAAGTTATTTGTATTAATAATAATAAACTTGGGGATTTCTTTTTTTTTAAAATGCAAAAAAGTGGTGATAGTGGAGGCCTTGTGATCCAGTCCCATATTTAGCCGGCCGAAGGACCTGACAGTTTAGCCGGGGCCAACTTGCAAGCTCTCTCTTAGAAAGAAATTTACAAGTTAGCCCCTGGTCCGTGCGCAGGGAATGATTTCAAAAATTAAATAACTGAATATAAATTTTTTATATGTATATACAACAAGACGCACATTATAAACAATGTACAAATTTGGAGCCACATTCTACTCGCAAAAGCAACAGGGCCTTAGGCCACAGGCAGCATCTTTCAAGAGAGCTGATGAGGCTCAGAACACATTTCTTGTTGCTCATCAATTCAAGCTCAACTCGGAGGGCAAACCGCTTTGGGCATTTGGTAGCTACAAAAATCTGCAGAGCTTCCTGGAATGCACAAAGTATGTACCAGCCACTGAATGCTTCTTCTTTGAGCAAATCCGCGATGGGACATCTTGCTGGGAATACTACGACCTGGAATGGGATCCCTCAAAGACAGAGGACACTGAGGAGACAATCTTCTCAGATTTTTTGCAGCAAAGGAATGCCTTCTGTCTAGAATATGAGGTCTTAGCTTCTGAGTGCCGCATCTTGAGTGCATCAAATGCTGAAAAAGGGTCAATGCATATCATCTTATCAGGGTCTGGATTCAAGTTCAGAGACAACACATGCCATATGAAAAACTTTATGGACGCCTTCCATTTGATGGTTAAAGAACATCCACTTTCAAAACACATTGATTGGATTGTCTACACAAAGAATCGAAACTTCAGATGCATCAATAGTGCTAAGCGCCATGATCCAACAAGGGTTCTCCGACCTGCAATTTGGCACAATGCCTCCTGCTCTGCACCTGAGAGTGAGTTTTTTGTCACCAATGTGAGTGCTGATGCCACAGATATTGTGCATTGTCATCTTGCAGCAAGCAAAGGTGCTAGAAATAAAGTACCTCAAGTACAGGGGTCTGAGCAGGATCAAGACCAAGAGCAAAACGAAAAGTTGCCACCTAGTGTGATTAAAGCAATAAATACCATGCTTGCAAATATGGATTGCTTGTCACAGTTCAAGATTGGCGAATCTCATAACAATCGTATGCACCTGAAGCGTATAAGATCAGGGCACTGTCAAATATGTAATAGGATCCACGACAATGACAATGCATATGTGACAATTGCAGATCAGGGGAAAGTGTACCTCCACTGCTATAGGGTGGATGCAAATTCCAGGCGTGATGGACTTCAAATTGGCAAACTGGATTTTCCAAGCATGATCGCACTTCGAGTACATAGGGCACAGACCAATCAAGAAGAAACAATCACTGCGAACAAACATTGCTCACTTCGCCATTTGGAGTATAAGAAAGTTATGAAGCTGCTGCAAAACCAGAAACAGAGTCTTGTGATCCGCAGTGAACCAGACACTGCTAAGACCTCTTTTGTTGAAAGTTTTATGGATAGGCACAAGAACTTAGCATACATTTTTGTGTCTCCTCGACAATCACTAGCACGCAATCTAGAGAAGCGCCTTGAGCTAAGGAGCTATCTTAGTTTCCCTGGGCCTGTCTCTGGGAAGCGCGTGATCATTCAAGCTGAGTCCTTATATAAGCTTGACCTTGAATACTATAGCATGGATGTGGTCCTGGTCTTGGATGAGGTCTGCTCTATTTTTGAACAGATGACAAGTGTGGGCACCATGAAAGGCCGCCATGGCGCAAACAATCAAGTCCTAGAAGAACTTATGCGCAAGTCCAAGAGGGTAATTGCCTTGGATGCTGATGTGACAGACCGAGAGGCTGAAATCATCAAGTCTGTGAGGAGCGATGTTTTTGTCATTCACAACACTTTCAAGCCACAGCAAGGGCATCAAGTTGTGTGCTTCCAGCATAAAGAAGTCTTAGAGTCTCATGTTATTGATCTTGTAAAATCTGGTCATAAGGTCTGGATATCAACCACACACTCAGCTGAAGATGCCGAGACCCTGCATAAGACACTGCAGAAAATGGGCAGAAGGGGTGTCTGTATCACAAAGAACACATCTGATGCTGATAAGATTGGCATCTCACAAAATATCAACAAAATTGTGCTGGACCTTGACTATTTCATTCACACTCCGACCATCACAGTTGGTATAGACTGCAATGTGAAGCATTTCAACTATGTCGTGGGGTTCTTTGAAGCACAAACTGGCGTCATTGTTGAAACATGTAGACAGATGTTGCGACGACCGCGAAATGTCAGCACTCAAAAATATCTCATCTATATCAAAAATGTAACTAGCAATCTACCCACCACTTTCAGAGAGATTGTTGAGTATATGGAAAGCCAGGAAGTGCGACTGAATGGATGTGAATTAGACATAAGTGGATTTCCTTATATATCTCAAATGGGTCAGCCTCCATCCGTTGACTTGAAAGTGCTATATGCATTAATATACATGCAGACACTCATCAAGAAGCACTTGACAAAGAATGACTTTTATCAACGCTTTATTGACCAAATGGTCCAAGTTGGCTGCAGTGTACAGGAAGCTGACTCGCATCTGTGTAAAAACGATGAATATACTGTGGAACTAAACCAAAACAAGAAAGAGCTGCTACATATCAAGTACACAGGAATTTCGAAAGCTAGGGTCCTTGATACTGAGGAGTTTTCTCGGTTAGATGTACAAAACAGTCGAACACAGGAGGAACAATATGCTGTGACGAAGTATAAGCTAATGGAGACCTACAGTGTACAAGATGCATCTCTTTTGACTCCTGATTGGGTTGAGAAATATGACAAACCTCGAGAGAAGAAGATCTATAAGAATCTTGCTATGTTGAAAGAGGACCCCACACTTCAAATCTTGCGACAAGAAGATAGATTGGGTCTCAAATGTGGCAAAGCTACAGTTGGGGTTCACACACTGGGAAATTCGAGATACCTCAGGTTTAAGTATGCAAAAGACATTCTTGACAGCTGTGGATTTGATTCGCCATTTGATGACAGAGAGATGTCAGCTGAGGAGCTCAAGAGAAAAATAGATCTTCGTTGGTCAGATTTGGTCAAGGACGGAAGTATGAGAGACATCTGCACTCAGCTGGGGATTAGATGCCCCTCACACAACAATTGGGACTTCAAAAATAAGAAAAGCTTTTTGAATAGTGTGTTGAACGAGATTTGGGGGATCCACATAGTCAGAACTGATCACAAGTCGCATCATTATTATATCAAGTATATGACAGAGGTTGGTAAACACAAAGATGACTTTTTCATGACACAGTAGGCTTGTATATAATGATTTTTAAAAAAGTGGCGTCCTTCAGTCAAGATTTAGAAGATGGATTCAAGTATAGTTCATGTAATATTACCATCTGGGTAACCAATCAGAGCAGGCTAATAGGCTAATAGGCTAATATATTATTTGAGTTACTACTGAGGACTATATAACCGGGAGTAACATTTAGCCGGGGCCAACTTACAAATTCTTTTCTAAGAGAGAGCTTGCAAGTTGGCCCCTGGTGCGTGCGCAGGGCTTGACTCACCCTCCAAAAGAAATTGGGAAGGCGGACATCCGAACCCGAGAAGTTGCCCAAAATACAAATAAATGTAAGATATTCGAAGGTCCAAGCTACATCCGAAGGCTCTCAGAAAGTAAGTTGTTGCCATAACTAATCTTTTAAAATATATTCTGATGAATAGATGCGAGACTCGAGCAACAAATCTAATTAAAAACATTCTAACTATCACAAAGCTGAAGTCCTTTTGCCCGGTGATTTGATAGGCTGTTTAAAATTTATTTATTAAAGACATTGACTACTTATCTGAGGATAGACTTCATGTGAGACACTGATGCGGCTGGTCAACCTATAACCAGACCAACAGACACCACTGCTGCCTTCGGATTATAATGCCAAACACCCAATACATATACTACGGGTTCATTAAAACACACTGTTCGGCCTGCAGCTCACTAATATCAAACACTCCCAAATTGGGCATCTCTTTTTTAAAAAGTGCGATTAAATTCGAACAGGATTTATCTGGGTGGCCAAATCAGTTTCGAGCTCGGATGTCCGCCTAATGTCAGGTGTTGGTCGTCGAAGATACTCTCCGTCCACGCAGAGGCGGACAAGGTTTGATGTAGTAGCAGCCGTTGCAAATTCTCAAAAGTCCTCCATTGTTGCGTCCCACCCGAATTTGAAAGTCAACTCCTGGATACCGCGCGCTTGGACCATGACTTCATAAAACTCCTTTGCTTGTACTGACGATCTGAGACTAGTGTCGATGCTACCATGCTGCTCATCATATTCGCCGCCGTTAGCTGCAACGATCTCCTTGAACCGCTATACTACTGATTCCCTGTAGCTCTCTCGATAGTGGTCGAAACATACCCATTTGACATGGCCCTCAAGAGTGACAATGCGATATAGGTTACCGAGGGTACGGCTCTGGTTGTGGGCCAGCAAAAACGATTGGAGCCGCCGTAGGTCTGCCCCTTCAAGCACTTCTGATTTCCCGATCATTGCCTGGCCCGCAATGTTATTAATACCACCATCGGCTTCCTGATGATTGTTTTGGAAGTAATTGATTGATTCATCCACAAGTAATACGATCCCGTGCCCTGACACCTTCACTACACCTCTCGCTACATCAATCCAGTCTGAGATGTCGAGTTGAGCCAATGGAGGCAAGACAAAGCCAGCAGCAAGGACTCCGTATTTAAGTATCTGTAGCATTGTCAATACATAGGATCCGTACTTCTCAAAGAACTCTGCGGGTCGGTCGATATTATACCCTTCATGCTTTGCCAGATGTATATGGTGCGGGATATTGCTCTTGGATGGCTTCGTGTGACCGCCACACTTACGCAGGAAGAACAACCGAAACTGGTATGCAAATGGTTTCCCTAGCTTATCAAGGGGTCCTGTAAGCTTTGGGAGGACGATGAACAGTCTGGGGATTGGGTATTCGTGCAATTCGTAGGTCTGAGTGATGGGAGCTTGCACTCGGCTTTGAATGATGGCTAGCCTGTCCAGAACCTGTTTCTGCATCTGCAACATCTCACTCTGTTTATTCTGCAAAAGCTGCAGTTCCTCCCTATTCTTCTTTATCTCTTGTTGCATCTGCTGTCGAAGGGCTTTGATGAGCTCGGTGTCTTCTCGCTGCTGACTAAAATGTACTGCCATGGTTGCTTTGAGCCATAACATCGGTTTGATTCATTTGGATCACCTCCGTTGATTTAGAGTGAGAGCTGTCGATGCAGTTATTCTGAAAGGATGGCGGTTGGACATTAGTGTCCATAGCACTGGGAAGAAGGGTCAGTTTGGGTCCCTCCAAAAGCTTGTCTGAGATGGGAAGGTCCCCAATGTGCTTTGACATTGCACTCGTTAGTGCTTCGGCGGAGGATGCTTTTAAGAACGCATGAAAAGGTGAAAGGGGTACCTCAGAGGTGGCGTTGATACGAGCTGGCGCGCTGACCACGACTTGCAAGGTAGTCCCTGGTCGATATTGGACCCTTAAAGGAACAAGACTAAAAGGATGAGTTTAAAAAAAAAAAAAAAAAAAAAAAAGATTGAAAGGAGAAGAAATGTGCGTTTTTGCACGTCGAACAGTTAACGCTGTGTCAATTCTGCATTTATTCTGCCTTTGTTCTGCCTGCTTTATGGATCCCTCCTCCCCTGTGATTTAACAAGCTGATTCAGAAAATGAGGAGGCTTTATGGTATAGCATACTCTTCACAGTTTTGACCAGTCAGTCATAAAGAGTATGACTTGGGCATGATCCAAAAGGTATTCCGCGTTTTTAAAGACTTGTTGGAGATCTTTCCACATTATCAGTTGATGGCCTGTCTCTTTGTCAGCTCTTGTCTGAATAGAAAAGATTACGTCCGAGAGTGGACGAAGATCAGAGATTGAGATGGCTATGAATGCCTGTTGAGGCAGCGTAGTGGTTACTGTATCTGTGTCTGTATCTGTGTCTGTATCTGTGTCTGTATCCGTATCTGTAGGAGCCATGATTTTATTGCTGTGAAGAAGAGAGAAAGGAGGTGTTTTCAAAGAAGTTTAAAAGAAAATGCATATGCCCTTGATGAGCAACCACAACAAGCGGCATATATACGCCCGGCTTCATTCTTTCTTTCTTTCTTTCTTTTTTTTTTTTTTTTCTCTCTTTGCAAACTCTATTAACCTTTAGTACTTTTTTAAGCAGGGAGGAATACATGTTGCACAAAGATTATGCATATACACATATACCATCATCAATCTACCCGAGTATGTAGTTACTAATTCAGTGGCTATGCTTCTGTATACATATGTTGTAGCTTTACAAATATACATATCATTGTTTCATTGGTTGTTGTGTTGTTTTGACCATTGCTGTTGTCATTCCGAGATTGTTGAGACAAGCGGTAAAAGATGAATATGAACGTGATGGTGCCAGATAAAAAGGATTTACTTTTTTTCATTCATTCACTGTTTGCTTTTTTTTTTTTTTTTTTTTTTTTTTCCTATCGCTTTGGATCGGATCGTTGATAAATATACAACATATACAGATATATACTTCAATAAGAAACGCGTTGGGATCGAATTAATTCGTTGCAAAAGTACATGTGTTACGTTGCTTGCATGAAAAAAAATTATCCGTTCCGAAACGGGTCCAATAAAATCGTTCTGCTTCTTTTTCCTTTTTAGAGCTTTCTCTTAGGGAGGGTTTCTTTTAGAGGGGGGGGGGAAATCTTTTAAAGAAAGTTGATGGCATAATAATATAAATAAATATAAAATATTATATATATACATTTACATTTACATTTACATTTACATGTTTATTTTGTTACATGTTTCACCATAATAATCGAGAAACAAATGAAATCCGTTGCAGCAACACATTTTTAGTCGATCATTGAAGACTAATTTGAAAATGAAGCCACGCTATCGCACTATCGCAATGCAAAAGGCAGAAAAAAAAAAAAAAAAAAAAAAAAAGGGGGGGGGGGAAGGGGTTTTGGTAGGTAAACTGCATTAGAAATCAAGACGAGAGAGATGTAAACAGATTCATAGTCAAAGTAGGCTAAGAGGTTTTTTTGTTTTTTGTTGCAACAGAGCTTTTGAGAGCGAATTATGAAGAACAACTGTCGAGCAGGGCTGTTCAAGACAGGCGGATGTATGTATATACAATGTTATAAATGTACATGTATATAATATACATTATAAATAATCTATATATGTCTGTATATATAAATGATGCGAAGACTTTCTGAATTCAGAAAAGTAGATGTTTAAATATATATTTGTGATTGCCAAATTAGTAGAGAGGCAAGTGGGTAGGGGATCTGTAAAGTGCTCAAGAGGAGTCATCAATGTCAAAAGAACGAGAATGACAAAAGAAAATAATAAAGGTAAGAAAAAAAAAAAAAGGAGAGAGAGAGAGAGAGAGATGACGAGAAATGAGGAAAAGGGTTTCTGTAGCCCTCTTTCATTGGGTACACTTCAGGAGGACAAACGCGTAAGGGCGGCAAGGGGTTGTTTACAGAAAAAGGAACGGGTCCATCATATCACAAGCTGTACATGTACACAAGAAAAGAAAGAAAGAAAGAAGGAAAGAAAAAAAAAGGGTCTTGAGCAGTTTATGCAGATCAAATGATATTGGTTACTTTTTCACATTGCAGCAAGCAGCGAGTCAGAATGGTCTTTTTTATTTTATTTTTTCATTGCTCTCGCTCTCATGGACTCCAATTGACTGTGATGGACAACCAGACGGCCGTAACAGAGGCAGGTTATCCAAATAGAGACAAACCTCTCTCTACTTTACACTTTCTTGGGAGGATAGAATCCATGTCGATCTTTGTGAGTACCTTTTCTTTTACAGATCCACAAATCCACAAATCCGTTGAAAGAGCTGACAAAACTGACAGACAAAAACAGAGAAGACCTTCATCATCAATGCTCTTTTTGGAAAAGAAAATAAAAAAAATAAAAAAAAAAAAAATGATGGTGGTGGCTGGCTCAGTTGGGTTGCATCTTTCGTTTATTTATACAGTAAAACTATATTGCGATTACCATGCATATATACATGTTGTATACACATCCAACGAGTTTTGCTGGAGGAAAGAAAGAAAGATGAAAAAAAAAAAAAAAAAAAAAGACATGGGCAGTAGATGTTTTTTGTCACCAATAGGGCGTTTCTACAAATACAGACGTATACATGTACAGTATAGACAGATATATCTACATGTCTATATACTAAGGATGTCTATTTGTCAAACAAGGAATTCGATGTCGGATGGATGTGCTCCAACGTGTTTGCAGCCACATGGCTTATTTGCACATCTCTTTGTCTTACTATTTTTGGTCTCTTTCCTCTATCTCTTTCCTTTTTCTTTTCTCTTCTCTCTTTTCTCATCCTCGTTTAATTTCTATTTCCTCCTTCTCCCATGCATCCAAATCCATTCCCCAACACCCTTCCCTAGAAAAAAAAGTCTTCTCAACCTTGTTTCTTGCATGTCTCCTTAATTTTTATTTTATTTTATTTATTCTTTATTTTATTTTATTTTTTTATTTCTCTTTTCTTTTCTTTTCTTTTCTTTAGTGTATTTCACTTTACCCCATCTCATTACTTTCAGTTTTTTTTTATTCTCACCTTCACTTTGACATTCACACATTCAGATTCAGATTCAGATTCAGATTCAGATTCAGATTCAGATTCAGATTCAGATTCAGATTCATTTAATAATGTTTCAGGCCGATAATTACATTTCATTTCATGACCTCAGTCCCGAGGCACGCATCCTTTGGGTGTCACCGTCCATGATGGATGTGCTCGGGTATTCGTCAGAGGATGTGGTTGGACGGAATGCATATGATATCATTTATCCGGATGACCACACCCAGGGGCGAGTGGTTCATAAGGAGAATGTGATGAATGACTTTGTGGCCAGTCAGGTCGTCCTTCGATACAAGGCCAAGGACGGTCGAGCTGTGCCCTGTGTAGCAGTCTTCAGTCTCTGCTATGACTTTATCCTCAATTGTTCCACCCTTGTCGATCCAAGTGCTGCTGCCTGTGAGTTTTCTTTTTCTTTTCTTTCCCTTTCCCTTTCCCTTTTCTACCTTATCCTCACTCAATCCTCAATCAATCCTCAACCAACCCGTAACTGGTTTTTTATTATTATTATTATTATTATTGTTGATTCAGGTCCCTTTGAGGACCGTTTTTATCCAAAGGATATCACTGGTTAAATTTCTTTTTTTGTTCTAGTCTCCTATTTTCTTTTTTTTTTTTTTTTCTTCTTGACCAATTGGGAGAGGATTGCTTGTCCAAAGGTTGAAGCATTTAACAACATAGTATCAGAAAACTCAAACTGACAATGTCCAACTTTTTTTTTTTTTTTTTTTTTTTTTTTTACATTGCAGATAGACACCTTCGAGCGCATTCTTCTGCAATGACTCGCCTCGTAGGATCTAGAAAAGCGGTAAGTGAACTAACTTGTTAGCTAAAAAAACATTTATGCACTTTCTTTTTTAAAAAAAGAGTGTAACTCTTCCCTTCCATTCCTCCATCTATCTGTCTACCAATCTATCCATCCATCCATCCATCGGAGTGTAATAGTGCAATGCATTGCATTGTCCATATTCTGTATACGACTGTATACATATCTATATACATATATGTATACATTAATTCAAAATTCAAAATTCAAAATTCACTATTCAGTATTCAGTATTCAATATTCAATATTCAATTTGTACAAAAGATTAAATGCTGCATTTGCATAAGGTCTAGAACAGCTCGTATTCCATTGCTATCAATATATGACAACATGAACTTGTGGACTAGACAATTTTTTTTATTTTTTATTTTTTTATTTTTTTATAAATATATTTTTTTTTCTTTATTTTGTCGATCAATGGATGAATAAAAAAAAAAAAAAAAAAAAAAGACTAATGACAGCAATTTGCCTTTGATTTTTACTTGATCCGTAGGAATTCGAGCGGATCAAACGTCATCACGAGGCATTTGCAGCCAATTCATGGAATCATCACGGATTGGAACCAGAGTTGAGGGTTTGTATGATTATGAACCGGTTCACGCGGAATCTGGTGATCATGTACGCCTCCTCAGCATGTGAATCCATCTTCCATATCGATGCAGACTCGATCGTGGGCAAGCCCGTTCTGTTGTTTGTCCGTGCCGATGACCTGGCCCCGTTCGTGGAGCAGATGGACTCTGTCAAGGCCTCGTCCGCGATCTCCCATATGCGCTTCTGGTTTCAATCTCCTCATTGGCCACGGGAAATTCCATGCGAGGCCATCATGTTTGGGGCTGCAGACGGGATTGTGGCGATTATGCGGAGATGTAAACCTTTTTTGAGAAAGCAGTTTATCACGGACAGTTCACATTGTGGGCCATATCATCATCATAATAATAATAACAATAAAAGTTTGGGATCATCATGGTCTTCCCTTGCCAGTGCTGCAAGGTCACGCCTCTCCACGCCCTCGACCTCCTTCAACTCGACCTCATCTCTAAAATATCCATCCCAGACAGCAAGTCCAGGGTACTATGCTGCCTCCAGAGCCAGGCTCAATAAGATCCGCATTGTGGATGAGAACGATGGACGGTTAAGGCCCCTGGCCATTCCGAAGGACGATCCCAATCTTTTGTCAGACACATCTCTCCCTGCAGCGTTCAAGGAGCATCGGGCACAATATGTGGAGGAGGAGGAGGAGGATGATGATTCGATCGAGGTAGAGAATGAGGAGGAAGTAGAGAGATTGAGCATAGGTCTAGACGATGGAGAGACCCATATGGATTTCAATCTTGTGCAGGGTACAAAGGAGATGGACATTGGAGGTGGCAATAGATTTCATTACCAGCAGCAGCAACAGCAACAACAACAATACTATGACTCTCACCATGATCACGGGAGTGTATACAATTCTCAGTACTCTAGTCATTCCAATATATTGGATCGTACGCGTAACAATCGTACTTCACAATCATAATCCTAATCGAATTTGAATAAAATAAAATAAAATAATAAAAAAACGTGTCGTATATGTGATATATATATATTATACATGTATAGTTCAAGAAAGAAAAAGAAAAGGCAAGCAATGTTGCTTATGCTGTGTTTGTTTATAGCCGGAAAGAAAAAAAAAAAAAAAAAAAAAAAAAAAAAGTCTACTACATGTACATGTATATAGTCTATGCCTTTACACACATATACTGTACATGTACATGTACAATGTGAAAAAAAAAGACAAAGATTATAATTTATAGAGTGGAATATGTATAAATGTAAACATTCTTTTTTTTTTTTTTTATTTGTTCCTATTAGCAGACTATCTGCAGAAAAAAAAAAAAAAAAAATGCCATGCACGTTACATGTTACATGTTACAAAACCATAAAAGAGATGTGGATGTTCGGATGGATATAGACAAGCGGAAAAAAAGAAAGGGCTCTCGTCTGTCTGTCTGTCTGTCTGTTTTCTTCTGTTTGTTTTGTTTTCATGGGTTTTTGGCTTTTTTACCTCTGCTGTGGTTTGGACGGATGGATGGAGGGCAGGGATGTCTGCATCTGACTGGAAAAAAGTTGTTATCCATGCATAACAGTTACAGTTACACTTGCAGGGTTATACAGTTACACTTGTAGCGTTATTCATGTACATGTATACATATGTACAGTACAGTTACACTCGCACTCTACCCCTGCAACTCATGTGTCCATTATAAAGACATGGGACGGACATGGTTTATTGTTCATTCATGCATCTATTCCACTGGTAAAAAGCCAAACCAAAAAGCCGGGAACTTGCATGTTTGTGTACAGCAAAACATTGTTCGCTTGTTCCTTCCCGTCATCTTTTTTTTTTTTTTTTTTTTTTTTTTTTCACTTTGCCCAGGCTTCGACCCCCTCTTCCCCTTCTCCTTCCCCTTCCCCTCCCCCTTGACATCCTTTGGCTCCAGACCAAAAGAAGGGGGGCAAGAAACAACTTGACCTTGACATGTTCTTTTTTGTTTGTTTAAAAACATATTACCAATCTTATCCGGGATGCTGTGTTGTCCACTCATTCCCTATCACCCTATCATTGATACTTTTTCTGTTTTTTCAACTTCAATCTTTGGTGCTTAATCTTTAGCATGGCATCGTTGCCCTACCCAATCAACGTTCACCTGTCTTTAACAAAACCCGCTCCTGAGGGTTTTTTTGTCATGGGTAAATTCAAAAAAATATTTCTTCTCTCTCTCTTTCTCTCTTTTTGCGTCTCTTACAACACACAAACACTTACTTCTTTCATTTCATTTTATCACTCTCTCTTTTCATATCTCTCCTCACCATTTGCTAAATATATATATATATATATATATATATATAAAATCTACAACACAACACAACTCAATACAACACTACACTACACTGCACTGCACTACACTATCTATACCATACTATACTATACTACACTTCACTACAACTGCACTACATCATAAACACACACACGTTTATACCACTCTTAATCGAATATATACAAATATATATACATATAAAAATACACATACAACATATACATATTCACATAGAGCCATGGCCGAATCACCAAGTTACATCTCATTTCATGACCTGACTCCAGAGGCTCGGTGGTTATGGGCGTCTCCGTCGATTGTTGATGTACTTGGGTATACAGCAGAGGAGCTGATTGGCAGTTGTGTGTACGATGTGATCTTGCCCTCGGATGTGCAACAGGGAAAGACAACCCATAAAGAGAATGTGATGAATGACTTTGCCGCAAGTCAGACATTACTTCGATGCAGAAATAAGGACGGACGGGTGGTCCAATGCCTTGCTGTCTTCAGTGTCTGTTACGATGTCATCATCAACCGTTCCATCCTTGTCGATGAAACGGCCTGTCCATGTAAGCTTTTTTTTATTTTTTTTTTTTTTTATTTTTTTTTATTTTTTTTATTTTTTTTTATTTTTTTTTTTATACATATTTTACATAAAAAAAGGAAAGGAGAAGGAGAGGGGGGATTGAACTTTATGCGATACATGCCATTATGCCATTTATGCCACATGCCATAAGGGAAATAAGAGGAGAGTAAGGGGGGGAGAGAGGAAAAAGGAAGGCTTTTTAATTGGTCATTTGGTTGGCGATTTTTTATGCGCAACGTGAACATATTAGCTAAACACTAAATGCCTAAATGCCTAAATGCTAAACATCTTAAATATTAAATATTAAATATATGTATATACATATACATTAACTATATCTTTTCTATCATTCTAAACATCATCTACGGTTATTACTTTTGTCATTGTGTTTAAAAAAAAAATGTTCTAGATGTTCCACTTCGGGCCCATTCTGCTGCAATGACTCGTCTCGTAGGATCAAAGAAACAGGTACAGTCAAATTAAAAAAACAACAACAACGGTTCAGGAACCTGTCACGTTATTTCCTGTCTCATTTAGCATCGTTTGACATGTAGTTTGAAACCACATGATATGACGTCACGTTTCTTTTCAGTCTCACTGTTTTCAAAAAAAGTGGATTTTATATACGTTCTGTGATCCTCATTGGCTAGATTCACATTTAATTCAAAATTTTTTATTTTAAATTGGCTGGCAAAGGGTGAGAGGAGAAAGAAAGACAAGCAAAAAAATCAGCCAATTGAATTGTGGTTTTAGAATAAATATTTTGAATTAAATGTGAATCTAGCCAATGAGCATCGCAGAACGTATATAAAATCCACTTTTTTGCACATTTTGCAAAACAGTGAGACTGGAGTGTATATTTCTATTTCAATCTGATATTTGATTTGATTTGATTTGATTTGGTTTGATTTTTTAACATTTTATTCCTTTTTCTCTTTTTCCTATCATTTATTCCTACCATGGATATCCGATTGATTCATTGATAAAAAAAAAAAAACGAAACAAAAGGAATTCGAGAGAATCAAACGCCATCATGAAGCATTCGCAGCCAATACCTGGGATTCTCAGGGATTACAGACAGAATTGCGTGCCTGTATGATCCTGAATCGATACTCACGGAACCTGATGGTCATGTATGCCTCCCCCACGTGTGAACAAATCTTCCATATTGACTCGGAGCAAATTGTTGGCAAGCCCGTTCTGCTGTTCGTTCGGGCAGACGATCTGGCCTCGTTTGTGGAACAGCTGGATATGATCAAGGCCTCTTCCTCGATCCTGCACATGAAGTTTTGGTTCCAATCCCCTAACTGGGCTCGAGAGATCCCTTGTGAGGCCATGATCTTTGGTGCCTCGGACGGGATCGTGGCCATCATGCGACGGTGTAGACCCTTTGTGAGGAAACATTTCCTCACCAACAGAGCTCACTATGATGTCTACAACAGCAGAAACTCCTCCTGGTCATCAACCGTAAGCACAGCACAGTCCTATACCTCCACCCCTTCCTCCTCCGTCTCCTCCAGTCCGATCACGATGTCCAAACTCCGGGAGATCCGGATTGTGGAACAACATGAAGATGGGAAGGTCAAGCCCCTGACTATTCCTAAGGACGATCCCAGTCTAATGTCAGAGATCTCTAGTTTTCCTCATGGAGTCAAGGAGATCCAAGTCCGAGATTATGTAGAGGAGGAGGATGATGATGATGAGGATGGCGATGAGGATGAATATGAAGAGGATGATAGTTATTATGATGACATTAGCAAGGATGATGATATGGCTGTGGATGGTAGGGCTCGAGATGTTCGATATAACGATGGCAGAGTAGATAGTGCTATGAGAACTTTGAGACTTCGTGAGCAATAGTATATAATTAAAAGGAAAGGAATAAAATAAACCCCCCTTTTTTTAAAAAAAAAAAATAAGAATAATAGAGATAACTCGTGTAAAAGGATCGAAGGAATGGATGGTCATAAAATCGGACTCTGGCAGAGTTGCACGAGGCACCTTGTAAAACAAGAGCAAGAATAAGAGTAAGGGCAAGAGCAAGAGCAAGAACAAGGGCAAGAGCAAGAGCAGAGCAGAGCAGAGCAGTGCAGTGCAGGACCCTTTTTTTTTTTTGCGGTTTGATTTAATTTGATTTGATCAAGTTCTTGAGGACGTCCTATCCTCTCTCTCTCTCTCTCTCTCTCTCTCTCCGTAGAAGATGAAATTTTCTTCTATAATTGATTGATCGGTTGAATAATTGAACATGAATAAGCATGGCATAGCCTGCATTGGCTGCATGTGTTGATGTTCATTTAAATGGCTTTAGATGCGTATTTGCACAGACTTGTTGATGTGATCCCTTTTCTTTTAGGGACAAACGGTCTCTGGGCCCTTCCTCTCATTGGCCTTTTCTCTTCACTGTTTACTCTCTGCAGAAACAACAACAAAAAAAAAAATCATTGGGGAGGAAGAATTGAAGGAGGGAAAGAAGGAAGGAAAAAGGTTCCTTTTCCTTTTTGCACAAGTTTGGTTCAAATAAACATTCTCTTCATTGCTTCTTCTCTTCTCTTTTTCCTTTCTTCTTTCTTTCCCACATTCATTGCAAATCAACTCACTCTTCTTCTTTTTCTCTCATTCTCATTCTCAGTCTCATTCTCATTCACATTCTTATTCACATTCTCATTCAACTTTTGCTGTTGTTGTTGTCTCCCTTTTCCTTTCCTTTCCTTTCCTTTTCCTTTTCCTTTTCCTTTCCTTTTCCTATTTACTTGGACTGTTCAATTTTGAACCTTGGATAAACTTTTTCTCTCAATCTTCTTCCTTTCCCTTCTTCTTCCCTTCTCTTCTTCTTCCTCCTCCTTGTCTCGACAATAGTTTGTCATATATAAAGATTAATTGAAGACTTTTTCTTTTCTCAAATGTTTCAATCTCTCAATTACATTTCATTCCACGACCTAAGTCCAGAAGGCCGTTTCATATGGGCCTCTCCCAGCGTAGTCGATGTACTGGGCTATCAACCCGAGGAGCTCGTCGGTGTACCAGTCTATGCCATCATTCCAGAAGAGGACATTCCCCTGACAAAGACCGTCCATCTAGAAAATGTCCTAAATGACCTTGCCGCCAGCCAGATCGTTCTCCGTTTCAAAACCAAAGACGGTCGTCTAGTCACCTGCACCTCTGTCTTTGGTCTTTGTTATGATTTCATCTTTAACTGTGCAACCGTTATTGATCCAAATGCTGGAAGTTGTAAGTACATTTGTATTCATTTATATACCTCTCTTTCTCTCTTTCTCTCTTTCTCTCTTATTAGTGTGTGAAATACATGTATATATCTGTGCTAGACTTGTGCATTTTTAGTTGAGAGCGTAATGTGGAGGAGGAAAGGAAAAAAAAAAAAAATCAAATCAAGGAGCTACTTATTTTTAAGCTTTTTTCTCATTTACCCAATTTTCTTATGCCCATTTATTTGAAAAAAAAAAAAAAAAAAAAAAAACAGACTACAAAAAAGTTTATTAGCACTGGCCACTTTTTTCTATCCATTGAAGCGAATGAATCTACTAAAAAAAAAAAAAAAACCAACAAACTATATTAGCTAATGATCATTGATTATTTATTTCTTTTTTTATTTTCTATTATTATTTTCTAGACATTCAAATGCGCGCACATTCTTCTGCTATGACCCGTATCGTAGGTTCCAGGAAAGAGGTAAATGACCACAACTATTAAATGTTTAAAAAAAAAAAAAAAAAAAAAAAAAAAGAGCTACATTTTTACATTACACAAAAAAATTTGTACATGTACAAGTACATGTAATACAGTATGTGGGAGAGATCCAGGCCATGCAAGATCGGGGCTCTCTTTTTCCTTACTCTTTGGCTTTTTATATTTTTGTATTCATAGGAATTCACAAGGATGAGGAAGCATCATGAAGCATTTGCTGCTAGTACATGGAATGATAAAGGACTGTTACCAGAACCGCGTGTCTGCATGATTTTGAATCGGTTCACCAGGAATCTCATCATCATGTATGCATCCCCAGCAACAGAGCAAATCTTCCAGTTAGATCCAGACGACATCATCGGCAAACCAATATTACTCTTCGTCCGAGCTGATGACCTGGGCTCGTTTGTAGAACAAATCGACATCAGCAAGGCCTCCACTACAATCGTTCATACCAGATTCTGGTTTCAATCTCCCAATTGTTCACAAGCCATTCCTTGTGAAGCAATGTTCTTTGGCGCTGCAGATGGACTAATAGCAGTCATGCGACGCTGTAAACCTTTTGTTCGAAGGCGCTATATAGCCGAGTCTGCTTACTTTTCAACCGCTCATGACTATCAGTACTATCAGTATTGCTGTAGCAACAGCAACAGCAACAGCAACAACAGTCGTTGTTCTTCTTGGTCATCTGCAGGAATCGATACCAATGCGGTCACAGCTCCACAATCCTATTTACACACACCCATATCTTTATCCCCTTCACCATCATCACTCCATCGCTTATCAGCAAGTCCTGTCCGAAATGTACCCATGTCAAGATTACGAGGGATTAGGATTCTGGAAATCGGTGATGAACGGATACGACCTTTATGCATTCCCTCCAACGATCCAAGTCTTGTTCCTGAACCATCTGCATTACTTCATGGTATCAAGGAGTATCATTCACAGGAAGATTATATCGAAGAAGATGAAGATGAAGAGGAAGAGGAAGAGGAGGAAGAGGAGGAGGACGATGGTGAAGATTTTGATCATGATGGTGATGATGAGTTTGAGTATGAGTATGAGAATGAGCATGAACATGGGCATGGGAATAAATATGCGGACCAATTGGATCACCATGACGATGAGATGGATTACATTGATCGTGGTATTGGCGCCATAGACTTGGATCACAGGACATGGATACAGAGCGAACCAAGTCAAAATCGTTCTCATCCTTCTCCTCCTCATTACTCTCAACATCATAACACCTATCATACTCCTCGTCCTCATCCCCATCCCTAATTCCCATCCCCATAGGTTTAAACACATTGTTGGTTTAGTAGACTAGTGTCTTTTTTAATAGATTGTATATTATGTGTAAAAATATTTTGAATGCATTCTTGCATCAGATACGACAAGGAGAATACACGTTCCTCTCAATGGATATAATAAAAAATCTCGTTTGGCAGAATAGAACAAGAGATGAACAGTAAACAAAAACAAAAAAAAAAAAGTTCTTTTTAGTGCGGAACAGCGAATCTTGTGTTGTCGTTACGTTGCTGTCGTTACGTTGTTGTCGTTTTCGTTGTCATCGTTTTTTTTTTTTTTTTTTTTTCCTGCTTTTCCCCTTTTTCATTCTCCCCGTCGACGTACATTGTATCTTTTTTTTTTTTTTTTTTTTTTTTTTTTGCTCTCCCAATTCTAATAGGTGCTTGAGCAAAAAAAAAAAAAAAAAAAAAAGATATATGCACACGAAGCTACCTTTTTTTTTTTTTGCGGTTGGGTAATGGAGCCCCCCCCCCTCCATCTCCCCTTGTTGATGTTCTAGTCGGAACTAGGGAGTGGGTGGAGCCACATGCACATGCAACAAACTTGTTCAAGCGTAAAAACTAAATCAGCAAACCCAAACGAAAAATATATATACATGAACAGTACCCAGCTTTGGAGAGTCTAGAACCCAAAATGTGTCAATGCGCGTCATAACATCCCCTTCCTCCTCCCCCTCCTCCTCCTCCTCGTTAGTTTATCCAAACATTCCGGAAGAATTAAAAGCACAAAAGGGACAAAAGGGACAAAAGAAACAGAAAGGGACAGAAAGAAGAATGAACGAGCTAAAAAGCTTTTTTTTATTTTTTTATTTTTTATTATTTATTTTTTTTATTTTTCTTTTTATTTTTCTTTTCTTTTCTTTTTATAGTGGATCCACAGCATTGGTGTTACTATTATTATTCTATATTATATCTCTAATGTTTCGACTACAACTAATTCAAAAAAAAAAAAAAAAAAAAAAACCATCTATACCACTATCACCATTACCACCACCACCACTACTACTACTACTACTACCATCATTCTCATCAACATCATCATGCTCTCTATAGATCCAATATTCAACGAGATCGACGGCTATTTTGCAAGAAAGTTGCCCATTCCTCTGCCAGTTTCGGTCCTCCCTGAGCTAAAACTTGGTCCTTCAAACTCTTGCCTTCTGGGAATAACCGGTAATGAAAGTTTAAGATCCGAATTGTATTTACATTAGGTTGTAGCTTAAGTGATGGTGAAGCAGAAGCTTTTGTAGTTGTTGTTGTTGGTGTGGTTGTGGTTGCTGTGGTTGATGGTGATGGTAGTGATGGTGATGAAGGAGAAGAGGAAGAAGATAATGATGATGATGATGATGATGATGATGATAATGATGATGGTGGTGGTGCCTCAAAAGAACTAGCATTATAAGATGCTGGTTCATCAGGTAATACGAACAGCTCGAGACATCGTTTAACTTCGTCAAAAGCTTGATGCGAAATTAAACTCTGGAGGTACGTATTCAGTCCCTCAATCCGAATCGGGATCTTGTGTTCTATAACCCAATCCAGACTACTCTGCAACTTTTCAAGCTGCTCTGTCGCGATAGATAAACTCGACTGGTAAGTGCGATCTGGCAACTCTGACTTTGTCCCTAACTTTGGCTTTGCCGCTGACTTGGATCCGGATCCAGATTTGGCTGTCATCGCATTCGTCGCCGTTGTCTTGGTCTTGTCATCTCGCTCCATCAGCACTTTCAGAAACTCTTGTCGCTGCAAAAGAATCTGTACCAAGTCTCGACTCCTCTTGTTAAGACAAACATTGTGTGAGGAGAGCTTTGAACGTTCTAAAACACCTTTTGCAGCAGACGCACCAAGTCCTAATCCTAACCCTAATCCTAATCCTGCACCGATCCTTGCTCCCCCAAGACTCTTTCGAATCTGATCAAATCCCCATCCTCCTAATGTCCCATTGGATGTTCTTGACGACAATGACATGGTATTACCATCAGCAGCAGCAGCAGCAGCATCCATATCGGTCGTATCCTTTGGTTTAACGGGCTCAACCACAGCAAATCGTTTGCGCATAGCCCTTGCGACCTGCTCAAATGCCAATGCCAATGCTGATTTCTCCTTGACACTCAGCACTTCAAGGGGGCTATGTTCTTGTTCTTGTTGCCCTCGTTGCCCTCGTTGTCCTCGTTGTCCTCGCTTCCCTTTCTGAAACTTAAAGAGGTCACTCTTACGGCCTGCAACCTCCAGGGTCATCGCCATCCACTCATTCCAGACATCGTTGCGCAGTGCCAAACTATCGGTCAGAGCCTTGGCATGCATCACACCGACATTAGCCAATTGAATAGGCCCCTGACTCATGATCTGATTCCTCCGCATAGGATGTATGAGCTTTGGGTTTCGATAGCGCCCAGGTTTGCCCGTCAAAGAATAGAGCAGCTCATATACACGCTCTGCTGCCTCTGGGTAACGTTCTAGTTTCCAAATCAGCTCCACAACCTCACGCTCACTTGGGTAGGCAGTACCCTGTCGGATCATCATCTCGTACAGAGTTCTCTCTGCCAAGGACACTTTGTTGCGGTCTAGCAAATGACGAAACAGTTGGTGGTACAGTCGTGTGGGTACAACCTCCTTATTGGCAACAATGGAGGCTACAAGTTCTGGATCAAGGTCTCGGCTGCGAACGATCTCCGATTCACTCACACTCATTTGACGGGATTGGCCTATTGCAAGTCGCATCTCATTCAATGTCTTGAGTGCTGATCTATGATCATCTTGACTGAGATAGTACTCGAAAAATAAGATCCAGGTTTTGAGGGCTGGAGTATATAAATGAGGGCTCCCCCTCATGAGATTCAATGCATTTTTGGCCTCTTTCAAGTTATGTTGCGATAAAAGCCCCTCGATAAGAAGATCAAACATCAAAGCAGTGGGTACAAGTCGTTGGCTTTTCATGAACTGAATCAACTGTAGTGCCTTGTACATCCACTCTTGACGGTAACTGCTTTGTCGTGGATCAAGAGGCTTATCCTTCTTAATGGATTTGGGTGCTTCAATAACCTCCTGAATACAGGTTTTCATAAACGGATCCATCATCCTGGGTGTCACTTCAAAGCCCTGTCGTCTATACTCTGCCAGCCAGCGGTGCGCCCGCGCAAAGTCAAGCTCGCCTAATGATGCGTCAATGAGAATCCGAAAGGTTTGTTGATCCGCGACTAAACCAAGGCCGAGCATCTTTTGCAAAAATTCCTCTGCCTTCGCAGCCCCCTCATGTAATCCATTCGCTTTTAAAAGAGTATTGTATAGCGTTGTCGTAGGCTCCAGTCCATACTTTTGCATATCCGATAAAATAGATTCCATCAGCGGCTTTTGTTTCCTCATGGTTGCCAAAGCCTTCAAAAGCGAGACATAGTAGTCGATTGGGATCCTGTGAGGATATCGGCCATAAAGGTGATTGAGAAACGTTTGAACTTTTCTAGGTCGCTGTTGATGGATAAGAAGTTTCGAAATGAGATCGATCGTAGCAGTATTAGGTGCTGTTGCATCTGAAACAAAATCGAAATCGGGGGACTTGTAGCGCTTGACTAAAATGGATGCAATCTTATATCCAGTAGTCCATTGTTTGCGTTCTATACATGTTCTCAACATGGTATTGTAATCCATAGTAGACAAGCGCCAGCTCGAATCCCAAGAACGATTGATAAAAGAAGACTCCAGTGATGGTTCCTTGGAGAATGATGAAGACTTCAATAACGAGGATTGTGTTGATGAAAGTAAAGCTTCTTGACTATTCACATAGAGCGCTTGATCTGCTCTAGTGAGCATATAAAGATGAGCGCTAATTGGTAATCTGGCTCCCCATTGACGATCCCGGAAAACGATTTTTGCTATCCGCATTGCTCTTTCGACTTTTCCTTTCTGGAGGGCTGCTTTTAAGCTTTTTAGCCTATAGCTGTTCCATCTAATAAAGGGTCTTCTCCACGAATATTTGGAGTTCTGGACCTTGCGATAAATGCGTTGTAGATTCACGTTTTTGGCCCGTTGATATGCTTCTCGCCCAATGCCTGAATTGAATCGAGTGAGTCGAAGGAAATGTTCGAAACCAAGCAATCGTATCCTAGCAGGATATCGTTTGATGTGATGATAATGGACGTGAAGGTACCGTGGAAACTTTGAAATGCTTCCGCCTTCACCATCACCACTTCCGTTTATCTCAGCCCTAACGCCTGCTCCTTGTTCAGCGGATGAGCGGATCCACTTCCTTAGTCGTGCACGCCTCCGCAGTATACTAATTCGCTTATTTCGACTAATAGTGCCCGATCTACTTGCAGTCCCATTCATCCCCATAAGAAGCTGTGGTGAATGCCTAGGTATTGATGCTTGTTTCAATCGTATTTCTCGTAGCTGTCGAAACCGGTGCATGGCTTCGAGTCGCCGCCGCCGCTGTCCCAGACGTTTTATTTGACTAGAATTGAAGATTGTAGAGATCTGAGATTTATGTACGAAAGAGGGTGCAGACGTAGATATAAAACACGTTGAAGATCTAGATGCTACTGATTTTGATGCTGATGCTGATGCTGATGCTGATGCTGATGCTGATGCTGATGCTGATACTGAGGATGATACTGATGATGATAATGATGATGATGAAAAATATACTGCTAATGATGCGGGTGCTGAAGAAAATGATGACCGAGTCAGTTTGCGTCCTATAGATTTGTCACGGGTTGTGGTGAACTGCCGGATTTCTTCTGCAGTCATGGACGATGATGGCGACATATTGACATTTTGGTGGCGGCAACGTAAATGGATTAATGATGACGATTTCAAACTCCTGTAATGATTAGGGAATGACGCTTGACTGTGAAAACTAGATGTCTGTTGTCGATCGGAAGCATGATAGTAGTGGCAGCGATGATGGTGATGGTGGTGCTGATGATGATTATGGTGATTACGATGATAATGACATATCCGTGATCCTGCCGAGCAATGAGGAGTTGATCCGTGTCGTACCTGAAGGCGATGATCCGATTGGATTGTATGAACATGAAATAGACGCTGATTCCGCGTTCCGGTCCGACAGCTCTGATCTGAGTACGATGAATAGCCCATAGGGCATCTGGCTCTTCCTAGTACCTGTCTGGATCTATTGCAGTGTGTTTGAATGCTGGTACCTGACCCGATCGACCCTGACAAGCAATGAAAAAAGAGATTTGTGGAAAAATTGTATTTCTTAACCCATGGACAAGACGCGTGAAATAGCCTCCTGAAATCCATGGTGTATTATAAAAAGGCCTTTTGCTTCCCCTCTTTCCGTTAGATAGTCCAGACGAATCGACTCGATGTTAAGACTATGCAACAATGAAGGCATTCCAAAAAGGTTAGATCCCTTTTTTTTTTCTTTCATGACAACCGCATGTCTTTTTTTTTTAAAAAAAAAAAAAAAAAAAAAAAAGGTCATAGGTATGAATATGTGTGTGTTACCTCGGTGTAAAGGTGTAAGAAGTCTATGAATGTAATGAATAACAGCAAGACGCGCTGGGATTTGACTAGGTTGTTCGCGTGAATTAGGAGAGGGTAGGCAAAGTTCGGAGAAAATGTGTACGTCTTTTTAGAAGCGAAATGGAGAGATCCCACAAGGGTCCAAAAAAGTAAAAAAATGCAAAGCAAATTAAACACAAGCCACATCCGCAATACTAAAATGGAAAGATTCGCATAGATCAGGTCTTATATTTATTTTCGGTTACAATTTAGTCTAGAGAAAAGAAAAGAAAAAACGAAAGAGAAAAAAAAAAAAAAAAAAAAAAAAAAAAAAAAAGAATAACAATAATAAAGCCATCGATCCCCCTCCTTAAACTTCTACACTTTTGCAGTAGGACTGATGATGCACAAAGCACGCGCACGACGCACAGCCCTAGAAACTCGGCGTTGATTTTTGGCCGAGAGTCCTGTTTGTTCCCTTGACATGAGACGTCCGAATGGCGTGATGTAGTGTGACAACAGCGAAGCATTCTAAGTAAAAATATTTTCCCCCCATGTTAGTAATGTCGTTATTATTTTTATGATATTATTGTTTTTATAAAAAAAATATAAAAAGTCGTTTGATCAAGCTTTTCCATTTCTTTTTCCAATTGAAAAATGGAGTAGATAAATGAGCATTAGCATAAAATTCTTTACCTTATACTCTGCAACAGGATTGAGATTCAAAATCTTGAGTTCATCCACAGGTTTGGCAGGAGGCTCATAAACCGTAGCTTTGGTATCATTCAGGTCCGAGGGTTTATATGTCTATGGTCATTAAGATAAATCCGACAATCCAGAAGAAGGAGAATCTTAAGTCATCATTTTCCTGGAAGAGAATATACTTGAAGCGAAAAAAGTGTTGTTGATTCCTATGACTTATTATCATGATTCGCCCATGTCCTTACATCTCCTTTGCGGAAAGATCCACGAGACATCCTGAACGACTCAGCGCCTGCGGCCGGTGTTGCGTCTACAGTTTTTTTTTTTTTTTTTTTTTTTTTTTTTTTCAATTCAATAGAAACAAAAGAGGGTAAGGATCAGTTGCCAATGTTATCCGAAATAGGAACTCCCATCATCACTCCAATGGTAATTCATTATTGTATTATCTAGTTGGCTCCCTTACGTGTATTAATAGAAGTCGTGATGATATTCATCAAAACATCGGCATCTATTGTGGTTAAAAAAAAAAAAAAAAAAAAAGCTCTAAAGTTAGTTTACAGAATCTGCAAACAACACACTGATCAGAACTCAGTCACTAATTCATAAATGAAAGTTGGAATGATCTTGTCTAAAGGATTTTTTCTCTCCTCAGCCATTATAGTTGTTGCTATCGTCTTCCCAATGACAGTGTTGAGTAATCGATAAATGAATCCTGCTCGAAAGTCCTTAGCATATTATTATTAAAAAAAAAAAAAAAAAGTGAGCTTAATGGTTCTTACGTGGGCGAGATTCCTCATCCTCCAAACTATCCGATTTGAATCGGCGTGTGACAAGATTATGTGCGGGGAAATTAGTACTGGCAAGAGTAGGGACTAGAGTTTTGATAACCGACTTTGTAGCCGCGGTCCTATATACTGAAGGCAGCATTATGTATTTATGAATGAATGTCTTTAAAAAAAAAATGCACACACAGGGAGAACCTTCCTTCCTTCTCTGTCGGGCGCATTTGTTCAAGCAGATGTGGCTTAAACAACCCTATCCTACAATGTATCAACACAAATATGCGGTCACGTTAAGCGCTGCGCCGCTGCCACTCCTTTTATTTTTTTTTTTTGATATTCAGGAATGGAATGTCCAATTAGGCCAAATAACGTCCACAATAAGGTCTCTGATTTTACCTAGGGTTGGAATAGGGAGCTAAAAATCCTTTAAGAAGAAACAGTGCTGATTTCAATGGTAGTAATAAAATAAATAAACATTCTTTTATCTTTTTTTTTTTTTTCCCGTAACTTCTTCGAGTCCCGAATACATTTTAATAGAGGAGAGGGTAGCACAAGTTATAACCTATGGCTAAAGTGAAAAAAGTAAATAATGGAGCGAATGGAGAAGGCTTTTTGCATAAAAAGGAGCGCCGACGATATAGCCACAAAGGTATATTTATATATGACAAACATCCAGTTTCCGATTTCCTCTCTCTCACTTGAAAAGTTTAATCGCAAATAGGCGTATCATCCATCGAGATCTTGAGGATGCCACAGTCAAAGTTGGTGTCAATGGCATGAGTGTAGCCATCCTTCACAAAGGCGAGCTTATCTTTGCTGGAGGATTTGACGAAAAAAATGACCATGACCCGTTCACTCCAGAGATACTTTTTTGCAATGGATTATTCATGCCACTTTTTTTTTTTTTTTTTTTTTTTTTTTGGTTCATCAATTGAGGGACAGAAAGCAGAAATTCTATGTTAACGGCTTTGTTTTTTTGACATATGGCATGCATTTTCTCTGAAAACGATGATACATCTCAAGTATAGACAGTGTCTCTAACTGCTTCACTAACGAAGGCGTTCACTGTAGCAACCGTCGGAGAACTTGTCGCCGAAGGGGCGATAGACTGAGACATCACCCCCTGTATCTCAGTACTCTCCTGATTCCCAATTACAGGACCCAATCTTCATCTCTAAGCTGACCATCCAAGATCTTCTCTCTCATTTCATCGCTCAAGTTAACAATGATTACACTATTCTTCTCTTTGGATCTATGGGAAGGCAATAACTAATATTAACCCCCTAAATCCATATGGTTGAGTAGAGCATCTCGAATCAGGACACTATTTGGTTTCTAAGCCCTTTAACTCCCAAAGAACTTATTAAAGGTATCCATTATTTAGACCAGACATCAAGCTGCGACCCAACACGGTTTATAATAACGCTATGTATGCTGTAGCGGGAGAAGCAGTAGCAAACGTGGCAGGAATACCTTTGGAGAACTGGTTATGAACAAGTTCGTCAAGCCTCTTGATCTTCCCAATACCGGATATTCAGTTTCAAAAATGCTCAGAAAGCACAGTTCAAACTATGGAGCTCCTTTTGACGCCAGGATGCAAAGAATGCTAATTTTACACTACTACCCCTAGAAGGTATGACATCCAGGATGGCCGCTGTCGCAAACATGTACTCTAATGTACTGGATCTTGCTCGCTGATGCCATGAGAGTAAAAAGGAACTTTCCAAAACGTATTGAAAACAAGCCACTAACGCGCAGCATAAACGCCTGTGCAGACGTGTATATCCATCCTTACTGGGGCAACATGACTATCACTACCCAACCGACAGGCATCACCAGTGCTGGTGATCATTATGATAAGGATAGGAAAGATGACTATGATGATGACGATCAAAAAATCTTGGCCGCCAAGTTCCACGTTTTTGAAAGTCCTCTAGATCATTATCATTATGATTCATTCAAAACTCTGTTTGCTCGATCAACCTACACATTTGCGAGATTTTCATCTTTTTGACTGGTAAAGATGGCCATATCACAGATCTCAGTATAAATTTGAGTAACGAAGAGATTTTCGGGAAGAAGGTATAAGTGGTTTCTGGATGCCAAAAGCGAGCCTTAGAAAATAAGAAAGATATAAAAATCGTCAAATGGAAATACATGTGAATAATCTGGGTTGGAATGGAGCTTAATGGTTAGGTTTTCGCCAATCCCTTAACCATTTTATCCTCTTCTATTTGCATAGTAATGATAATAATATATAATAAAAAAACTAGCTGATATTGATGTTGAAGAATTAAATCCGAACGGAGTTTCGGAAGAACTGATCATCCATGGACAAAGGGTAGAGAGGCGTTGCGCAGAAAGTGAGACAAATAGGACTTTTGACCCAACGGAGTAATGGTATCCCCCTTGTCTTACGATAAACAATACATGTATATTTTTCTTCCTCAAAAGGACGCGTCTATTTTTATGTATTATCATGAACATTATCTTTCCAAGAATTCTATAGGATGCACAGATTGCACATGGGATCAAAAACAACAGTCGACAATTCGACAATAGAAGGCTTTCCTTTTTTTTTTTTTATCAGGCGGCTGTTGAGGCTGAATGAGACAAGCCTTTACGAATTTTCTTCTTGTGAAAGTGTTTTTCAAGCAAAATATCTCTCAAAGGCTCTGTCTAATGTCGGACTCAAATCATTGATGGTGGGACATGTCCAAACAATGTTTCACATCATTATATAATGAGCACTAGGATCAATTTATATTTATACTGTTCACAGAAAAATATACATCTTCTGTAATGTGTACATTATTAATCTTGTAAATGATACGATGGAGCAGTAAAAAGATCCAGCAGGGCATTCAATGATCAGCACGCGCGTTTCTTTACTGTCGGCTTTCTTTTCCAGAGGATGCAATGTCAGAATTTATTTTTTTTTTTTTGTTTGCTTTGTGTTTTATGAAGAATGTTCTGAATGCGCATGCATGATGGCTAATGATAGGATTGAATTTGATTGCCAAACCGAGTCTGAAGAGGACTAAATGAACCACTAGTGAAGATCTACAAATATATAGTTGCTTAACCGCTTTGATAAAGGAGACAAAAAAAGGCATTCATGTAGTCGGGTATAATCAGACTCCAGTGGAGCCAGGGACCTCTCCAGCAAAATGTGAATCAATCACAAAAAAAAAAAAGGAGCCCAAGTATTTATTAAATTACTAAAGCATTGAAGTGTGATCCTTACACACACTAAAAACAGAGCGTTTACCGTTCAGATGAGGGCTGCGCTTCTTTTTTCTTAACGCCAGAAAGGCGTTTCGCCATGTGTGTGTTTGTGAAAGGATGAGTCTGTTGACGCAGGATGATTGGGGATAGGGACCATCCAAAGTCGATAAAGAATAGTTAACGGATAGACATGTAGGTGAACCAGATCGCTGGATCCAAATGCCCAACTTCGATATTGAAAAAGAACGTGGCGAATAAAAAAAAATGATGTGAAGAGTATTTATTTTTATCATAGTTTAGATGAAAGACAATGGAATGGCATGATACATGAATAAATATAACACGCTTTGCTTACATGGTCATCGTCAATGCCCAATGAGTGCCAGGGGACTGAACAACGGTTTTTTTATTCCTTGGCGCTGGGTTTGTGGTCCTCCCTTTCTTTCCCACTTTTTTTTCATTTCAGCAAAAAGATGTTTGTTTAAATGTTTAGGTGAATCCCATCCTGTTCAAACTTCATCCCTCACTTTTAATCTAATCCTCCATCCTCATTTTTCTTCTATACCCATATTAATTCCCCTCTCTAATGGCATTCTTCTAACAAGAATAGACCTCTACTCTTTCTCTCATCCCTTGCTTTCTTTCACACTCACATTCACATTCATACATACTCATACTCTCTCACACCCATCCTCTTACTCGCTCTCTCATACCCACACTCTCACCTCCGGTCGAACACTTCATTCAACCGCCATCAACTCTAATCATTTCCTTCCTACACTCACACTCTCTCTTCTCTCTCTACTTCTACCACTACTTCAACCTATCTTCTTACACCTACTTTTGACTTGTCAATTGTCTCGTCCAATTGTCAAGCAAGCTTAGCACTCTTTGACCATGGTCAATCCCCTTCAAAAGATATACAACCGTACTCCTTGGCAACAAAAACGATTGAGTGAGCCTCTGAACGACCCCAACTATGTACCGTATCCGCTCCAGCACTCCTCCATCTCTGAAGAAGGAGATCAAACCCCTGACAACTATCAGGAGCAACTAAACGATCAGCCCTCGTCTTCAACATCACCTACCGCCAATCATCAATTACAACGGCAGGTGTCCATTGCAGAGCCATCCAGTAGCAGAAATGGTAATAACAACAACAGCAGCAGCAGCAACAACAGTAACAATAAGGACAATGATAATGCATCTCAACCGATAAGACGGGTCATGACCAGAGCCGACACAAAGATCTCTCTCCGAAAGTCTAAAAAGGACTCACGACGGGTCTTTGTCAACGTTCCACCATCTGCGCAGTATCTCGACAAAAATGGCGCTCCCAAGACCACCTATGGATCCAATCGTATCAACACTGCAAAATATTCAACGCTCACTTTCCTACCTAAAAACTTGTTTGAACAATTCCGCCGCGTCGCCAATATGTTCTTCTTGTTCATGGCCATCATACAATTGACACCCCTTTTCACTGTCGGCTCGCCCTTCTTGACCGTCTTCCCACTCTGCTTTGTTGTTGGTGTCACCGCCATCAAAGACGGCTTTGAGGACTACAAACGACATGTCGAGGACCGCAATTTTAACCAGCGGCTGTGTCTGCAACTTAAAAATGTGGTCAATTACAACTACACGACTCAGGAATACCTCGATAAACAAAGACAGCGTGGCTTTTTGGCCAGGGCCTGGAGCACCCTTACTAGTGGACTCCGAGGTGGTACAAAAAGGACGTCTAGGGCACTCAATCTCTCCAAGAAACCAACCCGCGAAGAGTCACCGCAATTGGACACCCAAAATTTCGGTCTCCCCGAAGACGATAGTCTTAGTCAACAAACAGATAAACACTCACACCAACTGCCCGATGGCTCTCCCACACCCCAGCCAGAGTTTGTCAAGGAGCAATGGCATAACCTTCGTGTTGGTGACTTCATCATGCTCAAGAATAATCAAGCTGTACCAGCAGATGCCATCATCCTCGCTACATCCGAAGCAGAAGGCTCGTGCTTTATTGAAACAAAAGATTTGGATGGCGAAACAAACTTGAAGACCAGAATGTCGGTTCATGAAACCTCCAAATACAATACGGCTCGTCGCTGTAGTCGGCTAAAATGTTATATTGATATGGAACCCATCAATGCCAACTTATTCTCGTTCAACGGATCGCTCACCATGATTGCTAAGAGGAGAAGTCCCAATAATGATCAAGGCACAGGTGGGGCTGCAGGACGATATGGTAACAAGCGATATAGCCACTATGCTCCCTCCATCACTTCTAGCATGATGTCGAGCGTCCGTGGATCTATGGATGATGGCCGTGACCACTGGGATGAGCACTTGAACAGCAATTCTGAAGGTGCTGATACACAATTCCCAGCACAAAGCGGCACGAGTGCTTCAGACTACGCGCGCTTGCACAAGAGCCGTAGTGCGAAGCGCCGTTCCAGGGCTTCAGAATCAGCAGAGCATCCAGCTTCGAACACTGCCATCTCTAGTGGCAAGCAGGAATATGAGGAACCAGCGGAGATGATTCATGATGAGCAGCCATCATCCTCATTACATCCCAGTTTACCGAAGCGCCATAGTTTGTACCGATCGTCGACAGGCATGAGTACTGGAGGTGCAAGTGAGATGGCCAAGAATGTTCTTAAGGCAAATCATGAGCAGCAATTGCAACAGCATCAGCAAGATGGTCATGATCTCCACCGAGTGCGCTCTTCTCGCCATGCTCAACGCAGTAGTAGCAATTTTGGAACCACGGCCCAGTATAAGGAGACCACTATTCCTGTGGATATTAACAACATGCTGCTACGTGGTCATGTTATCCGTAATACCCATTGGGTTATCGCTGTCATTGTTGCTACTGGAACCGAGACCAAGATTATGTTGAACTCTGGCGAAACACCGAGTAAGCGAAGCCGTATCGAGAAAACTATGAATATTCAGGTAAGCAAAAAAAAAAAAAAAAAAAAAAAAAAAAAAACTTCAATGGATATGAAATTTATGTTGTATGGATTCTAATGCTGCTATTAAAAAAAAAAAAAAAAAAAAAAAAAAAAAAAAAATGCATACAATGATAGGTTGCACTTAATTTTGGGATCCTACTCTTGCTCTGCATTGTTTGTGCGATTGGCTCAACGATCTACGACCGAAAGTGGCGAGGCACGACTGCAGAGGAGTTATGGGACAGATCGACTCGTGGCATAGTGACTGAGGGCGTGATTACTTTCTTGTAAGTGGGATAAAATCTATTTTTTTTTTTTTTTTTTTTGACAGTCCAGAGAAACGATTAATATTTTTGGGCTTTGCTCAGCACAATTCTACATACGCATGATGAAATTAATTGCCGAGCTAATGGAATTTAATGCCCTAACGGATAATTTTTTTTTTTTTTTTTTTTTTTTTTTTAGTACGAGCTTGATTATCTTTCAAAACATCATCCCAATTTCGTTGTATATCTCTATTGAGTTTGTCAAGACCTTCCAAGCATATTTCATCTGGCAGGATAGTGACATGTATGATATCGATCTGGACCAGTTCTGTACCCCAAAAACTGTAAGTTTACTTTAATTAAATTTGTTATTTTCCTACGTGTTATGTATCCTTAAATATATCGCTGACAATCAATACCTCTCTTTTTTTGCTTTTTTTTTTTAATTTTTGTTGCTGTTAGTGGAATTTGACCGATGACTTGGGTCAGATTGAGTACGTGTTCTCGGACAAAACAGGAACTTTAACTAGAAATATTATGGAGTTCAAGAAATGTTCTATCAATGGCAAGATCTATGGTAACAATGCGGTCTCTGGAAAGACTGATGCAGAAAAAGGTGTCGAGTTAATGAACAGTGGTATGGAGCCTGGCCAACAGGATGAAAGTGGAGAGAGCAGTGCACAGCATCAGGAGAAGCAAAAGAAAGATGATGGTAAAGATGCTGTCTTGAAGGAATATGATCAAGAGATCCGTAAGATCTTTGAACCCGTTTACATGGATCCAGTTGAGAGCTTATCCTTTGCCGATCCGGACCTTCTACGTGATATGGATGTTCAGAGAGGAGGCACTACCTCTAATACCACCAATAGTACTAATAGAGAAGGTAGCAGCTCAACCTCAAATCAGCATGTGACATCTGGTAATAAGGGACAAGAAGTGGCTCATGATGGCTCGCCAGCTAGCAACATCCGTGATTTCTTCACGTTGCTTGCTCTTTGCCACACTGTTGTGGTGGAGCAGCCTGAGGAAGAAATCCAGGATGATGAAGATGACGAATACGGCATTTACGAAGACCAAGACGACTCTAACAATGGAGATTTAAACGGTGAACGAAAAGGAGGATTGCACTTTGGTCTTCGTGAGAAGCTTAAGCAAAAAGCGGAAGCTGCGGGTCTGTCTGTCCCTGGAGCAAGCGGCTCAGCGGCCAATCAGGGCTCTGGCAAGAGAAGCCGTGCCAACTCCAACGCGAATCCAGGTCCAGCGGCGACACCCAGTTCCAATAATGGACTGAAGCAACAGCACAACAATGGATCAAGTAGTTCAGTGGATGAGCAGGGCAAGGCCACGGCCATGCTCCGATACCGTGCTGAGTCACCTGACGAGGCCGCCTTGGTCTCCGCAGCTAAGAATGTTGGATTTACGTTTGTCTCTCGCGGCGCAGTTTCTACTGGTGCAGACAATAGTGGTGAAAAATCTGGGTCTAAAGGAGCGGGTAATTCTCGGCAGAATGTCAATGTCAACTTTTTGGGCCAGGATCATACCTATGAACAGTTAGATGTGATAAAGTTCAACTCAACTCGTAAGCGTATGACAGTCATTGTACGAGAGCCTCAAGAGTTGGGTGGCAGGATCTTGTTGTTAACTAAAGGAGCCGATAATGTCATCTTTGAACGTTTGCGTCAAGGTGATGATGATCAGGAGCTGCGTGATCAGACTGAGCATGATATTGAGACATTCAGTAACATGGGACTGCGTACATTGACGTTGGCACAGAGGGTTCTAGATGAGAAGACTTACCTTGCTTGGTCTACCAAGTATGCTGAGGCTGGAAAGGCATTAGAGGATCGTGCCAAAAAGGTGGATCAGGTTGCAGAGGAGATTGAGAAGGATCTAACACTTATTGGTGCTACTGCCATTGAAGACAAGCTTCAGGATGGTGTTCCCGACAGTATTGCAGCTTTAAGACAGGCTGGCATCAAGGTCTGGGTCCTGACTGGAGACAAGCTCGAGACTGCCATTAACATTGGTTTTGCATCAAGACTGCTCGAAAAGGATATGAAATTGGAGATCATGAAGATGGGACGGAATGAATCTCCCGAACAGGTTCTAAAGCGGTTCAAAGTATTGGTAGAGGGCGTCATGAATGGTCATGGCAGTGCTGAAGAACACGCCTTAGCAGACTTTACATCCAAGACTACTAAGGACGAGAGCGACCACCATCAGGGTGCACAACAGAATCAGCGCGAACAACAACCTCTCTCCTCCTCGTCGACCGCACAACCAGCTCAACCATATGCTGTCTCGAATGGAAACTCATGGGATGAAAAACATCTTCCACCAACCCCTTCCGATGCCTCACTCCTTCATGACCCTCACCGCCAGGAAAATCATCAAGCACAACACGCATTGATTGTAGATGGTTCTGCACTCAAGATATTGCTTGACGATCCGGATGCTCGCAAGGATTTGATCCGATTGTCAGATGTATGCTTCTCTGTCATCTGCTGTCGTGCTTCACCTCTGCAGAAGGCTTTGGTTGTGGAACTGATCCGACGTGGCAAGAAGACTGTTTGTTTGGCAATTGGTGATGGAGCCAACGATGTGTCCATGATCCAAGCAGCTAACATTGGAGTTGGTATTGCAGGACAGGAAGGTATGCAAGCTGCCATGGCCTCAGATTACTCAATCACACAGTTCCGATTCATCCGTAAGCTGGTCCTTGTTCATGGTCATTGGGGCTACATGCGGATTGCCGAGATGATCTTGAACTTCTTTTTCAAAAATGTTCTCTGGGTTGCTGCCGTGCTTTGGTTCCAGATTTATTGCGGGTAAGCTTTTTTTTTTTTTCTTTTTTTTTTTTTTTCTTTTTTTTTTTTTTCTTTTTCTTTTTTGGCATTCCAAGCGATAACATTTATTTATTGTATTATCTATATGTTCGTTTCTTTGTAGTTTTTCGGCAATGCTCTTCTACGACTACACATTTGTGTCCCTATATAACTTGATGCTCACAGCGGTCCCTGTCCTTGTACTTGGTGCCACAGACCAAGACTTGATTGCTCCTTATATTCTCCGATTCCCAGGCGTATACAAGCTGGGTATTCACCAAAAGCGATATAACCAATTCCGATTTGCTGCCTATATGCTCGATGGCGTTTGGCAGTCCCTGATTGTTTTTTGGTTCTGGCGTGGTGTCTATGAAGTGAATCTGTTGGGCCGCTCCGGCATTGACGGCTCCTTACTTGAACTCTCGACCTCAGTTGCGATCACGAATGTGGTGATTGCTTCGTTGTATGTTGGGCTGCATACTTACCATTGGACATGGTTAATGCATTTTGCAGTCTGGGGCTCGATTGCATTCCTGGTCCTCATGATTTTGATTTATGGGGAATTCACAGCCTCACCAATCTATCATGTCGCAACCCAGCTCTTTAGTCAAGGCCCATTCTGGTTCATGCTGATCCTTGCGGTGATAACAGCATTCTTGTTGCGGTACACGGTCTTATTCATAAGCTTCTGGTGGTTCCCAGATGATGTCCATACAGTCCGAGGAATCATGATCGCAGAGAAACAGAATGCAAAGCAAAAGCACGTCAAATGGACGGGCCTTGGTGATGATGGTATGCAACCTCAAGAACAGTCAGAGCAAGAGAAGGCTATCTTGAAGAAGGAGGATGAGAAGAGGGCCATTAAAGAAGCAGAGAAGGCAGAAAAGAAGGCAGAAAAGGAAGCTCGCAAGAATGGTGGGCAACCGCAACAGGATACAAATGGCAACCGCAACGGTAACGATCAGCCCTATGACCTGACCATGGTTAGGATCAATGTCAATGACCATGAACATCACTCCCAGGAACCATCTTCAAGCCCTTACGGTGCTGCGGGTGTTATGGTATCTCCAGGAGTGTCGCAAGCTCGTAAGCAAAGCCCACTTGAAATCCAACAACAGCTGTTACAAGCTCAGAATGAACAGCGTGAACGACTCGCAACCTCTGGAGAGCTTCACCTTTCTCCAGACGACCCAGAATTCCCTCATAACAAGAGGACATCGTCTTACAACAATGTGAACTCATTGCAGAGCAAGCCTGCAGCACTACCACCAATCCCTTCACCTTCACTACCATCATTACCAGACATGTCATCTGAAACCATCCCCTCAAATCAATCACCCTCTACTACCAACAACTAACATTTGACAGCTCAACAATTACAGTAGATATGATATTCAACTAATCGATAAAAAAAAAAAAAAAAAAAAAAAGGCAGATGCGACATGACGAACTTTGTAAAAGGAGGATAATAATAATTTTATGAGGCAAGCGGATGATCCTTTTAGTAACGACCCTTTCTCACTAATTACAGCCATCACTATCACTTCATATCTCAAGTATTATGTAACGACTAGTAGTAAAAAATAAAAAGTTTATAAATAAAAGATTAACAATTCTGAAGAATGAGGCTGCTTAGTGTTATTACAGGTCTTGGTCAGGCCATCATCTGTGTAGTCGATAACCTCGACCTTGATAGTATAATAAATGGGGTCAATTAGCATAGCTACATCTGAGCTGTGGAAAGCAGCAGCAGCAGCAGGAACCAGAGAGGCAGCAGGGGCCAGAGTGGCAACAGAAGCAGGGACAGGAGCAGCGGCAATTGGACCGATTAGATGAGAGATATGAGCCTGATGCGATACGGCGAAGTGGAGCCGTTTAACAGTATTCCAGAACATTGCGAAAGTTCCTTATAAACGATGGAAGGTATAGGAGATTAAAGTGTAGGAGAATGAGAGGATTGGGGACTAAGAATAAGACAATATATCCTTTTATAGTGCTTTGGAGGGCATACAGAATAACCGAAAGACCAAAACGCGAGAGTTCGCCCAGCCGGTAGAGACTCATACCGATATCGGTATTAGTCAATTATAAGCCTACCACTTTATAAACCTTTTGTAATTGATAGCGGACTAACCAAGAATGGCAGCGGTAAGACATCGGTATGAGCCTCTGGCCCCAGCCCGCTTTGAAGTCTAGAATGTAGCACAAACCATGTGAGCCGCGCAAACATGGTAGATATACCCTCTAGGCATCCGCTAGTGATACTCGGTGACTCAAAGCGGGAGTCTAGGTTGCTTGTGAGAGCTTGAATTATCTGTAAGAGGAACAGAAGCAGTCACATTGGAGAGATATCATTAGATGCAAGGATCCAGACCGCAGTGACCGACTGGTTGGGAAGGAAACGGCTTATGCACTTGAGTGCTGCCTGGGCCAGACTTGGGTGGTTGTTTGAATCCAAGTCCCCCACGAAATACTGAGCAAAGGCCCGCACCAACTTTTGCCGTAGAAGTTCCCCCCGACCCTCTTTGAGATAAATATGCAGTATTTGGTAGGCCGAAAAGTGTGACTACGTGTCCCTGACCCCCAACAGCGCCAAGACTCTCTCCACAGAGACCCAGGTCCTCCGGATAGCTGTTACACCCACTTCTGATGATATGAGGACTCACCTCTAGGTTGCCAAGCATACGCTCCCAGCTTGGGACACGTACCGGAGCCGGCGGTTTGAAGGTGCCTTTCAACTTGTCAGCCGGCTCTTCCCTCGGCTCTTGGAAAGTGAAGGCGACGTGTTTTGGTGGAGTGATGGGCTGCTCCAGTGTCGCGTCCTCAGCCTTCCTCTTCTTGCTTGTTGATGAACCTGGATCTTTCGTACCATGGCTAGTGCTACCAGCCGCCACCAGTCGACGTCTCTTTGAGTTGGCTACTTGTTCAAGCATCGCATTTTCCACCTCTCTTTTCATGTTTGTGAATGTGTCATGGTGTTGAAGGGGTATGTATATATGATGGGAAAAAGGGGCTCTCTTTGAAAGGAAAAAGAGTGATGTAGAAGATGGAGAGTGCAAGAGAAGGGGAATGCGATAAACAGAAGAAGTAGGACGCGTTTATAAGAAAGGAAATAAAAAGAAGTGAGATAGGAAAAGGGATAAAAGAAGTGAGAAATTGATGGCAAGCATGTGGATTCAGGATCTTTGGGCTGTCTTTGTTCTATTGGCTGATTTTTTTCGCATGCCTCCAGACATTTGGCTGGTGAATGGGAATAAAGAAAGGACAATAAAATAATGCGATCGTATATAATGTAGTAATATATCCAGAGAAAGGATGATAGGTGTCTGATTATCACTATTTCCCACTGTCCGAATAAAGATTTAACAAGCATTTTAAACAAAGTGTCCGTACACACCCCTTTGTATAAATGCATGATGGAGTAGCAAACATGGTAGATGATGCTTTTGCCAAACTCTTCCCCATCAACGTAACCGCTCTTCCACTACTGGGCTGACAGTCTTGTTTGGCGATGTCATCGTTGCTGCTACCGTATCCGTTACTATTGTTGTTCCTTTTGGAAAGGAGGACTCTTCTCTCTTTGTGCCGTAGTCGCCGCCATTATAGCATATTTGAGCGTTTTGTCTGATTGAAATAGGCTAAATTCGTTTTTCAAATGCATTTGTTAACGGAAAGAAAAAAAAGCCATTGACCGAAATATGGAATAAACTTTATCTGAGCTATGTAGTCGAATAACACATATCTTGAGAAGCAACTCAATCTAGTTATTTATTCATGATTGCTATCTCGCAGACATTACGTCCATCAGTGCATTCATTTTTGTAATCAACAGAATGGCATCAGTCATAATTTCGATGCTGTTCGAGAAAACACACAAATATTAGCTACCATTTCTTGAAATTGTTTAAATATCTACCTTCCAAATCATTCGAGGAATTTGATCAGGACCCTCCGGAATGAGCTGATCTCAATGACGCAGAATGTACGGAGTTTGGATTTGCTGTCCGGGAGTATTTTCGGCTCGAAGATAGCCCTCAGTTACACTTGGAGAGCCGTTATAGGTCCTATGATATCCGTTTCGATCGCTCATTAACGATGACACGATGGTAGCTCCGCCTGCAGAAGAATTAGTTTTATTTACAAAAAAGGTCCTGATTTCCTTGATAAGCACATCCTAGGAAAACCCCATGAGCTTTTTCGGCGTTTAGAAGAAAAAAAAAAAAAAAAAAAAAGTATTGATTTGTATAAGCATCTAGACAGAATGAAGTCCAATGTCCAGTCCCTTGCTAATGTTGGCTCAATAATTTCAAAGGATACAAATACACAAGAGAATTCATAAGAAAAAAAAACGCAGGAATATCGGCGATGCAAACGAACCTGCCTGCCACTCCTTCGATCTCATTGAGCACGATATTGAGAACGCTGTGACAGGTTCGCTGCTCAGCAGCCTGAATATTTTTAAACCAATAGGATTCATCAAGAGACCTTGAGTGAAGCGATGGTAAAGAATTATCTACAGATGAAGATGGAGACAGTAAGGCAGAGCCCATAAAGAGAAGCGCTGTGGTCACCATGGCGTTTACAAGCCACACTAGGCGATTTATTCTCGCGATTGTAAAACAGACACCGCAGACGCTAAGGTGTTTTATCTTTTGAATTTTATTTTGTTATTATCATTGTGGTTATCATCCCAAAATGCCTCTAGGCATGGGGTCGGGTCGAATCAATTTTTAGCTTCTAATATTTGATACAAAATGAAGTGGACTCACTCTAAGCCATTATACAGTTAGAATAAGCGGAACAAAACAAAGCCTGCAAACCATTTATTATACATATTAAATAATACGCCTTTTGAAGCTTTCATAGGTATATCTATCCTGTAGAATATGCTATTTCTTGATGTTTCGATACTATTAGATTGATATGATCTACTCTAATTGTATGTGAAGGAGGGAGATAAGGAGGCGATGCCAAAAGAATTTGCTTTCATTTCTATTATTCATTAGTTAGAGATGTGGGTGGGAGTATAGATGAAACATATCTTGTTACGCCAGGATGGTATTTTGTCCAGAGATGCTCTTCAATGTACATTGGAAACGTACTTTGTCAGTACCATGGAACTATCTTATCGTTGCGGCCATATTGACATCCACTAATGAGATCAAGGATGGTAACATGCGGATATTGTTGAATGGGTTTTGAGCCCCTCTAATCTCGCCATTGTCTTGGGGAAATCAGACAAGACGATGGTACATGGCAATCCCTTCATACAATCAGTGAGGAGTAGGGATTCGCGTAGATGAGGAATATCGATGGCCAAAAAGGTGAAAGGTGATTCTTGAGATTGTTGCCTGCAAAGATCCAGCAACGTAGGCAATCCCACTTCTGGAGCTGACGGTGATAGATGTGTTGACAGCGATTCCTGTGCAGGGGCTGCTGACGCTACTTGTCAATGTTGGAGCTGACGTTGGTGGTTGTGTATTGCTCAGGTCTGCTTTACCATCTGGATGATCTCCCGAACCCAAGCAGTCACAAGCTCTATATTTTGTGAGGCGTCTTTTATAAATCCGCCATCGGATGTCTGTTGGTGTAGCCCCAAAGACCCTGACAGTGTTTTGTTAACAAATTTAATCCAGGTTTGAATGTGGTCTTCTGCAGTATACGTTGTGGCCAGAATATCTTGACCCCAGATATCAAAGCTATCAGTGATGTAACGCTCCAGCATCTGGTGTCCTTCTGATCGTACTTCTACTCGTTCAGGGCCGAAGAGCGATCCAAAATGGATCACTTTTCCTGGACGTATCTGTAGGTCTGAGAGTAAGATGGCTCGATTGTATCGAGTCTTCCAAGTATTAACATCCACTACACTGGCTGGCGGCTCTGTATGGTGTCTGTGACCGTATTCGGAGTCATCCAAGGCTCCAGCATCAAACCATGTAGTATCATTCACCCAACAAACATCCTTTTCCACGTCTGCATTTAATACCCCCGATTGTCCTTGTAGCCATGAGATGGTCATGTTTAATCGATAAAATACACAGATCGGGCCCACCAGCCCCAAAGATGCTGCTAATGTCGTATTCACCGTCAACCCCTTCAGAACTCTGGACAAAGTACAGACAAAAGCCCAAGGGATGGTTGTCCAGGCATGATAAATCCGACAGTTTATATCTGCGCTCCTATTGCTTGGGGCCGAGTAATAAAATGCCTCCTTCATTCCCTGTAAAGTTGGTCCTTGTCCTGATATCTTTGGCATCAATGTCTTACAAAATTCTGACTTTCTCGATTCACTGTCCCCCATCTCTCAGCCAACGCTTCAAGAGGCATCCATCCAATGTTGAAAGTCTTTTCAGTCATATAGAGCGGTGATAAGAGCAAAGTCCCATTCAGACATCCAGCCAGTCAAAATGCCGTCTCCGATGCCATCCACTGATTGTGAAGGCCACTATGAGGGAAATAACCAAGAAAGCGTTCTTGATCTGCAGGAGGACGGACTGGGAACATGGTAAAAAAAAGGTGCTGTGTTACCTGTTCCCTTGCAACTGCAAAGAACTGCCGCACCTTGCGCCTTAACCTATCTATGAGGAAGTAAGAAATGGGGTCCATTCAACTTGGACGAGTGATATAAATACGAGAAGACCGAAGATCACGAGACTGATCGATATTTTCTACTTGGAAGACTGGGCTGATTTGGCCATGTTAATAAATTGCCCTTTTGGTTCAGGACCAGAATAAATGGTTTTAATGAAAAAGAAATGACAATGCATTTCATAAATGTCAAATGAAGGCAGCATTCATATCATCCGTTGAATCACCACCAATAACAAAAAGGGATTCATCGGTCTTTATCTTTCTTTGATCAAGGTGTAGTTCTAGGCCGTCCTCTATCCACAAATCATAAATCATCCCACGAGGCATAAACTATGAGCAAAAGGTAGATACATGTATACAAGCCCCACATGACTCATATTTTCTTCCGGCGCAAACGTAACCAAAGTTTCTTTCCTCTTTCTTTTCTGTTTCTTTCAACAACAAGTTAATAACATTAAACAGAGCTGTGCCGCCAAAACAGAAAGAATGAGCGTTGAATTAGTCCCTATTAACACTGCCAAAGATGTGCTTGTGCACTCTGAGGATGGCAATACAAAAGAAAACCTCAATTTCTCTTTCTCCTTTGAAAACATGCCGATATCAGGAAAGATTGCCGTTATCGGAGCCGCAACAGTCGTCGGTATCGTCGCAGGCCCTGCCGTTGTCACCACTGCCATTACTAGCGCTGGCTTTGGCTCTGGTGGAATCGTAAGTGGAAGTCTAGCTGCAACGTTTATGTCCTCATATGGAGGTGCTGTTGGCGCTGGCTCTGCTTGTGCGACTCTCCAGTCTATTGGCGCAGCTGGACTAGGAGTAACTGGGACAGTTCTCTCTGGAGCGGCAGTAGGTGCTGCATCCGCAGCAACTGCAGCAATAGGAACCTTGGAGGGAGTTCAAGATGGAGTGAAAGCTGCAGCCTCAGCCGCAGCCTCGGGTGCTTCAATTGCTGCACAGGCCACAGTCTCTGCTGCAGCCTATGGTGCCTCAATTGCTGAACAAGCTATAGCTCCCGACGCTGCAAAGGTCGTAGCAGTCAATGCGTCTCTTGGAGTAAACACAATAGCAAGTGGAGCGAGTGCAGTAGGAGTTGGAGGATTATACTTTGCTCAAGCCGTATATAGAGCAGCAACAGGAAGAGAGAAGAAAAAGAGAGAATAATAAAAAATAAGAATGGGCAGGTCACAAGTGTTTCAGAGCACAGCAGCTGGTTTATATTTACATAGTCATTCCCCTTTTTGGTTAGCTTCATCTTATTCAGGCCATGTCGATCATTAAAAGCATACAGAGTGACGGGAAACACTATTATAAAAAAAAAAACAAAAAGAAAAGACAAATCATCCCCAAACACACTTTGTCCTCTGTATTAGGGTAAATATCATCACTCTCTTATCATATAAATAGGAAAGCATTATTGCGTTGCCTACGTCTCCTGCTGTCTCAGTCTTTGGTCTTCTATATCTTATAAAAAACCTCGGCCACGTCCAGAACCATTGCTTGTCGCTTTCCCTCTATATTATTAAATCCACGGGCCATGTTCCTCATCCAAACGGCCCAGTGGCCGCTGTCAACGTTCCTACTCCTGCTACTGATCGCTCCATTTTCTTATAGTATTAAGGATGAGATAATCGAATATATGCATAACTGATAACCAAGATCTACAGTAACACTAAGCAGCTCTATAGCCCATGACATTATAGCAAGAGGGGACAAGAGGAGCAAAAAGAAAAGGGCGCACTCTCAAAGTGCTACTGTACTATTGCCATCCAAGGATCGCAAGAGCTGCACGGATATGCCTCTTTATACGATTCATATCGCGTCATGGTTTCGTTCAAGCTCCTCAGACCACAATATTTTGAAATCCAAACGCAGGCTTATTGTACAATGAAAAGTGTCCTGGTAATAGTCCACGGTTTTTTTATTTATTTTTTTTCCTTCTTCAATAATGCCTGTTCACTTGTAGATGAGACAAGAAAGCAAATATACCGGACAATAGCGGCGCATTGGGAGCTTCTTTCTCGTCTTCAATTGCTTAGTGTCATGACCCATAGGACTATTTTTGATGTTACTACCGGCCCTGGTTGCGGCTGTTACCCTCGACCTTTATAGAGTAGTAAAGTGGATCAATCAGTACAGATATGTCAACGCCCGAGCTACGAGCGGCAATAGCAGGCACAGGAACAACAGTCACAAGGCCGATTGAGTGCTGTGTTGGGTCTCCCAGACACTATCCCTGTCACTCAATCTGCTGCTGCTATCATAGCCAATTCGCAGCCTTTAAAATCATGAGCAACGCGGAAGGGGAGATGTGATTAGGATAAAGCAAGGTTCAATGCTCACTGGGAAGGAAAAGGTTACATCTTAAAAGATGGTGAAATGCTATTAATGACACAGGCCTGCTGTTTGGTAGCCACAAAGGATTACACGTCAAATGTCCGAAAAATAGACGGGCAAATCAACACACTATATTTTTATGTTTGCAGGTAAGACAATCGAATAGGCACAAACAATCATTAGGGCCTGAATCATTTGTGTCACAAGAGCTCTTTTTTTATTGCCATACTCAATCATATCCCCTTCTAAACAGCCTTTTGAATCAAAGCACGGCTCTTTTTTTAAAAATAAATAAATAAATAATTGTTTGCTATCTGACTACCTAGATTACCTAGCTGCTACCTAAGTTACAAGAAGCCAGACTCTTGGTCGCCCTAAAAAGTGTTTTCTTCATTATCGCCAGAACACTCTCCTAATTTGTCATCGAGAGCACACCACGCGAAGCTGGACTGGCAAGCTGTAATCCTCTAAGTCAGGTCTTATAGCCTTGCAAACGTCCACGCACACGTACATACTCATTTACTCATTTCTATTGCTAATCTACTCACCCGGCTGAAGGGTTTACCATCACATGACATCCAAGAATCAGCTCGGGTGTATGCTTAGATATGCGTTGTTGCTATATAGGATAGCGCCTTGTGTTAGTGTGTTAATAATTCGCATGTACGCGCCAGTACTATTATTAAGATTGCTCTACGCTAGAATAAGCGCTTTTTTTTTGTTGTAAATCTTTGACTTATTTATTCTTTGGAATCTTTTTTATTTCCTTTTCATTTTTTTAATGAGGCATTTGTTTGCCTTGTTAGATCGTTTTTTATCTTTGAATTCGCTCTTCAGCGAGCGGCACTGGCCTCCCAGTATTGACAGCGCCCAGAACGCACCATGAAGAGGCGGTTTAGTTATCATGTCTTTGAGTTGTCCGAGGAGGTAGCGGCCTGGCTGTTTGGCCAAGGCTGCTCAGCTGCCTGACCATTTGAGAGGGCTTGAATGAGATATTCTGGCCGCCTCAGTGAAGAGATAGTGGCTGGGCGGGTCGGCTTCATTTCGTGGAGCCGGCTAGAACTACCACGCTCCGGTCGGATTAAGGGGCTCGTACCGTTCGTAATCCGACGGTGATATGAAAAGTGAGGAAGAGAGCGATGCAGAAAAGAGAAGCCAGAACAAGGACAGCATAGAGCGAGAGAACTAAGAGCTTCAGGAAGAGTTTATGTTTGGAGAGTGTTGCTTACGTTTCATGATGATCGAGGAGGCCGAGGAGACCGAGCGGTGAGTGGTTCTCGAAATCGCTCATAGGAAGAGTAAGCGGAAGCTATCAAGCTATATCAGCTGGCCACTGATCAAATCCACCTTGTTGCACGTTCTAGAGTGACTAATAAAAATCAAAGATATTTGGGAATTGAATAAGGATATTCTACGCGCCTCCATCATATTTCATATGAAAGAGTGAGAAAACGCTCACGGCTGGAGGTAAGAATAATACTCCACATTCGTGACTTGCAAGCTCACACCAGCAACAATCTGTTCACAAACAGCTTTAGCACGAATCGCGCTGTTCTAGAACCATTTACTCTTGATAGTAAGGAGGATCATATTCTTCATTCTCTTCGTTTGTTCGCTCTACACTCTTGACAAGAGATGGGATAGACTAACGTAGGAAATGTACTGTGATAGGCTGTATCCAAACTGTTTTTTTTTATATGACATGGGCCCTCAGATGATTAAAACACTTTATACTGCGATAATATGAGAAAAGACCTAAATGACGAGGTTGTAGCCTTTTGAACAAATTCATTAATCCAATCATAATTTTGATTGAAATAAATGGGGGTCTTATATACTCCATCTCGTTTCTATACGCTCTTTTTTTTTTTTTTTTGTCATACAGTAATCCATATATGCTCCATTTCGCTTTGGCGCTTCACGTTACAAGATCACCTTGCTATTTCCTTCCCGGTGTAAAACTGTAGTTCATGTGATTAAGAGGATGAAGGCTTCCTCACAGTAACCCATCTATGCTCCCGATACAATCAAAGTCATTCAAAAGATTTATGAACTACTACTGTTTTATCAAAACTATATCTTTTCTCTTTTTTTCCGTTTTTTTCTGTTTTTTTCTGTTTTTTACTTTCAACTTTTCATTCTTCGTCTTTTTTTTCTTTTTTTTTTTGACTATACACATAAATATGGCCCAGTACTCGCTATATACAGCTGTCATGCGAAGCTCGGCGTTGCTTCTAGACAAGTTTGCTACCTTCACTAGCCTGGCCGAAGAAGGCAAAGGACCGTGGACTCATACCAAGGACTCACAAGAGCAGTTTGACTACATCGTTTGTGGAGGTATGTATCTGAAAACGAGAAACTGCAGTTGCAATTGACAAACTATTATCATTTTTATACTGTCTGCCTCATTGCAATTAAACAGGCTCACAATAATCTTCGATTTCTAAAAGGTGGTGCTGCCGGTTGCGTGGTAGCTAGCCGTTTAGCAGAAGACCCAAAGGTTAATGTCCTTGTCCTCGAGGCTGGTTACTCGGATGAGATCCCGTCATCAAGGGCCCCTCTTCTTTCTATGTTCAATATCGATAGCAGTAAAGACTGGCGCTATAGAACCGTCCCTCAGGTCCACGCAAATGGACGGATTTTGAAACAACCTCGAGGCAAGATCTTCGGAGGGTCAAGCTCTATCAATGCCATGATGTATGTCCGTGGGGCACATTCTGATTACGATGAATGGGAGTCGCTAGGCAACCCTGGCTGGTCTTATGGGGAATGCTTACCCTATTTTAAAAAGCCAGAAGGGTTTAATGACCCGAATCTACCATCATCTCCTAGGCAGGGATCAACATACGAAGCCTACGAGCCAACGTACCACGGTACAGAAGGACCATGGCAAGTTGGATTTCAATACACTCATAAGTTCACTGAGAAATTCATCGAGGCAAATGTGGCAGAAGGCGTGCCCTTCAACAAGGACTGCAATGGCCATACAAATCTAGGAGTGACTTTGATCCAGCGGTTCGTTCAGCGCGACGGCGTCCGGAGCTCATTGGCTAGAGCATTTCTAAAGGGCAAAAATATTGTTCCAGGTGGGGGTGAGAGGGGAAGGATCAGGGTGGTTTACGGTGCGAATATCAGTCGTATCCTAACCCAGACGCGGAAGGGTGTCAAAACGGCTTACGGTGTCGAGTTTTTGGATCATAGAAATGGTAGAGTGACACCCAAATGTCAAGTTTCTTTTTTTTTAATTATACATGTATTTCCTTTATTTTCACAGTATTACAACTAACGCAATGTTGCCATGCAATAGTCCAGCGACGCGTTCTAGCTACAAAAGAAGTACTACTTTGCGCAGGTGCATTTGGCTCGCCACATCTGCTTCTTGCCTCTGGGATTGGTCCATCCCGTCAGCCCTCTATCCCTCATGTCCATACACTTCCTGGAGTAGGTGCTAACCTTGAGGACCATATACGTATGGAAATTGTATTTCGAGCAAGTACTGTTCATGACACTGGCATGAATATCTATAACTTACTGCCAACTGTCCTTAACTACAAGCTCCGTGGCGCTGGTGTCCTCTCTAGCAATGGTATTGAGGGCGCCGCTTTTTTGAGGCTGGAGGATATTGTTCCGGACTTTGTGGAGCGCGAAAAAGCTAACGGAACGTACAAAGAGAGAGCTAGTGGACCGGACGCGCCTCATGTCGAAATTATAGTTTATCCATTTGACTTTGAAGCCCATGGCGAGAAAATGGCACTCCATCCTGAGGAGTACTATTCCCTGGTGGTCTCACTACTCCACCCTTGCTCCTCCGGTACTGTGACGATTCGACCAAAAATGCAAAAAAGCGGTTCGTCAGCGGTGGAATGGGAGACAGTAATTGACCCTAACTACTTTTCGGATCCGTTTGATCTGCGTGTCGTGGCAGAGACTATTAAGTTTATACGTAAGCTGGGTCGCCGGTTGAGCCAAGATCCTGAAGTTGGAGGACAGGAGGTTTTTCCAGGCGAGGAGGCTGTTCCAGATCACGATGATGCCAAACTTCAGGATTTTGTGCGGCAGAATTGTAACACGATCTACCACCCTACAGGCACATGCCGTATGGGGCCCGCCTCGGACCCGCTAGCAGTGGTTGATCATCGGCTGAATGTCCATGGTGTGGAGAACTTAAGGGTGATTGATGCGAGCGTGATGCCGAAAATACCTGGCTGCCATACCTGTGCACCAACCGTTATGATTGCGGAGAAAGGAAGTGATTTTATCAAGGAGGACTGGAAAGATTTAGATTCAGCGTAGAAAGGAACCATCTCGCCGTTCTGAGCAATTGGATACATACAGCTCTTTCTAACACATCTAGTGTTTTCCGCAATAAAAAAAGAAAATCATAAAATAAGTGTTGTTCAAGTAACAACTTTCAATGTAGCGCAAGGCAGAGTGATATATTGGTTCGACGCCAGCCGCGCACGGACGAGCGTGCTGCAAAACGTGTCCCGATTGGTCACATGTTCCGGCTTTTGATGATCCCTGTTGCTCCCTTCGGAAAGAGAGCTCCCCTCTTTCTCTCTCTCTCTCTTTTTTTTTTTTTTTTTATTGTGCTACCGTAATACAGTATTTGTAAACAGAAAAAAAGCTTTTCGGGACTATACCACAAAATACGCATTAGGCCTTATCCAAGCAATGTACGTTATATAATATTGACCACTGTTGGATTATGTTACCACGCATAGAGCCTTGCCACCAAACTACTAAATGAGCAACCCTCACTATATCCTTGACAATCGATACAATGTCGTCGAGAAAGCCAAACAACTGGATTCAAGTGCCCTCAGGCCTATAAGATTGCGTCTAAGGAAACAGGTATCCGCCGGAAACTTGCTCCTCATTTCCTTGACCATTTTGAAGTCGGTAACGGGAATTTGGCCTGCGCTCGTGTTTACTTACACTTCGTCTTCCGTACTCCTTTCTTTTTTTTTTTTTTTTTTTTTTTTTTTTTTTTTTTTTGATCGAGTTAATTCCGGTTTATTGCCTTCTCACGGCAACTTTTCTGTAGTGGAGGCGTCTGGGCTCAACAAGCTGCCTTATTCCATATTATGGCTATATCGAAGCGCCCCAGTCCTTAGTACATTGCATTAACAGAGCATCTTTTCAGCTATCAAATCTCTTGAATGTAGAAAGCACGAAGAGCCACCTGCTCTGGCTGGAATACCAGCCTACAAACCTGTGTATGAGTTATGTTTGTTAATTTTGACAGCTATATGTTAGTAGTTTGGGGGTTGAGCAGTGCAATAGTAGAATTGGAAGTAACTACGAGTTGTCCTCATTGCTCAATGCTTTCTATTATTAATATAATAAAGCGCTAAATCCCTTTATTTAAAATAAAATAAATAAATAAAAAGCATGAATATCGGTACTCGTATAAACCAGCTTACCGCTCCTTAGATCTTATTGAGCGCGATATTGGACAGGTTACGGCAGGTTCGCTGCTCAGGGTTCTGGACATTTTTTATGCCAACAGGGCTAATCGAGGAATGTGCTTGAAATATAAATGTCATTTTTTATTTTTAAAAAGCAATAAGAAATAAAGCTAATTGAAGACTGGGTTGTCAAATAGACCTGGGCCACTTGGACATTTGGTAGGCCACACTTGCATATATTACCTCATTTATAACCCATTGCATACTTGCTGGCATCATACACGTATGATACCATCCATTCTTTTTCAAAGTTTGGAACATCAGGTATTGGTGATGTTGGCAACCTTTTTGTGTGTGTGTGAATTGGGCAGTCGACAGAATATAGGTATATAGAACACAAGTTACAACATGGTATACGAAACTACAACAACAGAAGCGAGTTAAAATATACCGACGTGCTTGAGTGTCTTTCTTAGGGATTGGGTCACCAAAATAAAATTTGTTTGTTTCTTCTCACATGCTCTCGAAACCATCTACACATTTGAATTGCCACACGCAAATATTTCACCATTCGCTCCAACGTATCACCATGAGTGTGATATGTTGAATTGGTTCCCTATAGCTTCAACAGACCCCACAAACCCTATTAGCAGTGCTTATCAGCCTAGATATATCAAGGGAACGCAAGAAGATGAGGAAGCGCCGGATGCGACAAACCAAGCTTCGCCGAATTGTACAGGAAAAGATCAAGTTAGTCAAGCTCTATGGTGCGGTAGAATGAATCAACTCAGATCGCCCTCCTTTCAAGTCGAGACTACGGCGGCGAATATTATCACTGCTATTACACTATTCAATAAATAAACGATACAATGGACTCCCAAGCGGATGCTAGGGTCATGCGAAAGTCCTCATGAGTTTTTTATTTGCACAAATAAAGAAACCAGGATAGCTCCATGACAATTTGTTTTCGGCCATTTATTTCGACATCGAAATAAGATTTCAAGACAATGCCCATGGATTGCTGAATTTTAAGCCCATTTATAATGGCAAATTTGCCCTTGTGATGGACGAAGGGATAAGCCATGAGTAAAAGATAAAAGGCAAGTACAAGCTCACATGCCTCTCACACGCATATGCGCATATACATGCATAATCGCAGTCTTCTTTTTCCTATAAAAGTAGGAAATCCTCTCCTTCTTTCTTTTCCTTTTTTGTTTCTTCACCTTTCTTCTCCCTCCTTTTCAAAAAAAAAAAAAAAAACCACTAACAAGATAACATGTCGGTATCATGAAAAGCTGTCACTATCGGGGCCGCAGCAGTCGTTGGCGCCATTGCAGGACCTATCATTGTCACTGCTACTGTCGCTAGTGTTGGTTTCGGCGCTGCTGGGATCGCAGGTGGAAGCCTAGCCGCCTCGTTTATGTCCTCATACGGAGGTACAGTTGCTGCCGGTTCAGCTTGTGCGGTTCTCCAGTCCATTGGTGCAGCTGGACTAGGGACAGTTGGAACGATTATCTCCGGAGCGACAGTAGGTGCTGTAGCCGCAGGAACCACAGCAGTAGCTGGACCAGAATCTCCAACTTCTGGCGCCACAAGCGTTGCAAAAGCCACAGTCGCTGGCGCATCGCTTGGAGTAGCTATAGTTGAAACCGCTACTTCTTTAGTGGCCGAAGCCATGCACAGAGTGCTAACGGGGAGGTGGAAGTAGACATGGAGAAGGGGAAACGACAATCAAAAGTTGGTGAACCACACGTGAGACAGGTGAAAATGGCACAGCAGCAACCGCTTAGTATCACAATGGCAATAAATCAAAATCTCTCGCTCTAACCTTATATTTACAAGCATTTTTTGGCTTCGCCAAAGGGAAAGACATGTGAACCTTAATTTTGCTTTATTAAGCGTACAGACATCGAAATGTAATGAAAAGTAGCTGCTTATTTTTCACCACAATATAATTTTCAAAAGGCAGTGAGGATCACTGGCAGATGCACTTTAGGTAATTGACTGGTGTAAAATGGCCTCTGCTCGTATCATGGGATAAACAGTTGAGTTAATCCTCAAATATTTTCATATTTGGCAAGGACATCCTAGGTCTAGCTTTGAACGGGCCAATAAAATGTTTTTAGGCTATGAGAGAGCGTAATATTGAAGAACATAGGCCTGATGTCAGCACGGCAAATACTTTCTACATAGCCCAGAGACAGTGGCGTTAAATTGCTTTTGCCTTAAAGGCAATTCGTGCGCTCTGTGTGTGTTGTGAGAGTAAGACCATAGACCTAATGCAAAATTATGCAAGGATATTTATGAAATATTCGGTGCGCTACTCTGCCTCCTCTTACCATCGTAGCCCTCATTGATATTGACCTTGCAGCACCAGTTTTGCTTTTGTTATTCCTAGTTCAGCAAAGCAGCTGGCCTGGAAATGAATAGACTGTTGCCCCTATGCTGTCGGCAGGTGCTCATGGCTCTTGGAGCTAGGGTAGAGGCTGTAGAAGAAAATGCAGCATTAAAGTCGATGCAGATGCTACAACAAGGAGGCAAGGAGGCAAGGAGGCTATGCGAAGCCAAAAAGATGTAATTTTAAAAATATAAGTTCTGTGACACAAACATAAAGTAATTCTGTTGATAGTCTCGACCAATAGTCCTGGCAAAACTGCTATAAATAAAGAAAGATGCTTCTCCTTAGAGGTATTACAAACTTCGCCATCTCTATGCTAAAGAAAGGCGAAGGTTAAAAAGGGTTCAGTAAATGCATTGTATCCTAGAAATCAAGACATTTGCTTCCTTGTATAATTGGCCTTGTAAAATAACACCTAACCACATAACAACGCAAATGGCAATAACAGACTACTGGACTAAAAAATGACCCTAAGCTCCTAGGGGGATACAGAAGCAACATTTGGCGTATCTCTACTAGCATATTGCTGGTATACCACATTTCGCTACTTGCTTTTATCAGATTTAAGAAAAGTTAATATCAATCTAAGGCTGTTAACATGAAAGTCCATTATGGTCAGCTTCTACGCTTGGTAGACTTAACGTTCTAGGGATTACACCTACATCTTCAGAGGCCCAAGGATAACTCTTCATAGAATATTTGTCCTGGAGTTGTTGCAGAATAGCTCTCGCTTCTGATAATATGATCTATATTTTTGACATGGGCCAAGGATGCAGCAATGCCACCGCTGCCGCTACCCCCGGTGACTCTAGCACCGACTCTGGAGCCCATGCAGTCTAAGCTGTAAGTATCATTTATCCCAAATGGAAAAAAAAAAAAAAAAAAAAAAAAATTATAAAAAAGTTCACAATTCTAGGCCAATACAGGTTTTTGGCTCCGATATCTAGCTTCAGCTCGATGACCATAGGCTCAAAAGCGGAAAGGAAGATTTGCAAATATTATATGTTTTTTTAAATGGTTTAGATACTTTCTTATCAACCAACAACCCATCACATATTTAAACTTCCTTTTCCGCTAAGAAAATAGAATACGCTATCTTTGGATTTTGGTAACGCTTGAAAATTTCGGTATGGAAGTGGTGTATTTAGACAAAAACTAGTCGACCACTATCTATTTTTAATCTTATTGAGCAGTAAGTAATCATTAATACTACTCAGCTCCATCCAAAAACAGCTAAAAACAATATGAGGATATGTATTGTTTGTCATTAAGGAGGCCGCAAAAGTTGTTGCATTTCTGGCTACGCTGCATAACATCTTCAGCAGAATTGATCTTACTAGGCACGTTCACCAAGAGACGAGGTCATGCTGGCTTTATTTATTTAATTGCCTCAAGGGGGGCAGATGTACAAGCCAAGTAAATATGCACATATTAATAAAAAATTACTTGCACGGTGTTTTTTATGGACATACCGATACCCTTAGTGCTGTAGGTAAAGTCATTCATTTCAAACCCAATTGGACTCGCTCCATCTGGAGCCACTAGCACTGAGCCTTCAGAAAATATGTATTTTTCAATTTTGAAACCAGCCGTGGTAAACATGTGCCAGTTACATAGCAAGAAAAAAGGATTTCCTTTAAGGAAACCCGGCTAGGTTGCGAAAAACAGTAATTATTAGATATTCTAAACTCATTGTCTTAAGGCGCACTACATAAAGTATTAAAAAATCGGGTCCATATCGTCCACACCGCAGCAATTGCCTAGGCAAGTGACCCCTGCTTTGGTTAAGCTCTGTTTCTCAAATTTATTTGCAATTTGCATTGTTCCAATGAGAAATAAGCCATATCCGATTTAAGCTAACATAATTATCCTAAAAGTTATCCGATTGCGCCTGGAATATTGTCCATTTTTCCAAACGCGATAACCAAATCGACTATCACAAATACCCAAACAACATGTCCTTTACATGTTCCACAAAATCCCATGGTTAATTCCGCATGGCCAGCTGGACAAAATTTGCAAACATTCTGATAAATTTCTCCACCCTTTTCAATAACTTACCTTTGGGCAATTTTTTTAGGCATTGGAACAATGTAATAAAAATAAGGAAAAAGATATTTGCACGACCCCGTACACACCTTATTTACACTGCTCCTCCCGTACAAATAAAAAAAAAATTATTTGCACAGGGGTCTTTTTTTTTTTTGTCCAGGTCTTTATTTCAGTCTTTAATACCACTACCAGGAAGCCGTCCACGACACAAGCTCGACACCCAAGCATCAAATATTGACTAGAATATTTATCTTATCAAGGTCGTACGTAGCCCAGAATAGATGCTGGTGTTCTTTATGCGATTCTGGGACTAAATAAAGAATTACAAACGATTTATCTATAATTCGGAAATACTATGCCGCTTTACTTTGCACTTTTGTTGGTCGTATTCTTATAGGTTGTGGATGGTTCACCAATGCTTTCTTTCATTTAGCGCGTGCATACATCTCTAGTGTTTCCGTACGCTATTAAGCATATAACGATGAGTTCAGTAATTAGGGACCCCTAATGTGTAGTTTGTTTCGGTAGATATATAAACGATCATACTCATTGCTAAGATGCATAGCGTGTCGTGTTACTACTCTCTTTCTTTTCTCTTTCTTCTATGTTCTTATCTCTGTCCTTCTTTATTAAGAGCTCAAGCGCCCTCATTACTACCAAATTCACCAAAATACAATGGGTAGACCTCAGTTTATTTTGTGGAGTGTCTATCCTCTCACCCGTTTGTAACTCGAGAGATTACTTATATTTTGATAGTTGGTGACAGTTCGCACTCAAAGCCGGTCGTGCCACACTTACCTATATTCCTATATCTAAATAGCTGAAATACTTTAATAGCATAACCGTGACTTATAGTGATAGAAAAGAGGCATAAATACTCTTTTCTGTTATGTTGATAAAGATCCTTATTTTGTCTCATTACATTCCAAGTTTGTTATCATGTTCAATCAGGGTTGATTTTTCACCAATAATAGCCAGAACTTGCCTTGGGTCGTCTTTAGCACGCAGTGTCGCATACTCAGCAGCACATGTAGATGCTCACTGCGTCTAGGGATTAGCTTCATATTGTACAATCATCTGAAAGAAAGTTTGGTCAAAAAAATTAAATTTTGAAATGGTTATGAAGAGAAGCACTGTCTTCAATCCTATTTCTTGCCGTTTTCCCTCAGCATGTACTGCCCAAAAACTTCAGTAGTTATCCACATTGGCCTCATTAATAAAAGCGCAAATTTCCATCTTGGTTGGTGAAGTGTTTTTATATGTCACAAATGAGCTGTTTGTCAGAGATTCAAAATAAAAAAATAATAAATAACCCACTTTGACCAGACTTTCTTTCGGGTGACTGTCGAGCGGAATAGAGCGTGAAAAATATTTTGTAGATAGTAAGCAGTAGAAAAGTAAATGAGAATAAGATATCGGTCTACACACCACACCCATGGGGTATTTATTCATTTTCTGCTAGAGGGACTTATACCAGGTAACTACGTATCTATCTGTAGGTTCGTTCTAAAAACTTCATATCAAAGATTTATCGCGTCTATGTGTGGCACGTTATTGCCACTAATTTCTACTGCTAACCTTTTTAGTGCATTAATGTTTTTTACCCTAATTTTTTTCTATCATAATATTGCATACTGTGAAATATGCAACAGAGCGCGATGAGTATCACAGCTCCCACGGCGCTGCAACTTCCAACAGTAATAATTCCAGACTCCCCTCTACTCTAGACTCACCTTCGCTTATTTTGATCGAAATAAAAAGCTAGAATCATGTAATCGTAGGATACACGTTGCTGCTTGTAGATGAAATAAAAACCCCGTACAAATGGATTAATCTATTGGCAACCAAATATGATCAGTTTTGAAAACTCTCTTTGGCAGCCCAGCTGCCAAATAGCACCCTCATAAAAGAAGTATTTGCACGGTCCCGTACACACTGCTCCTCCAGTGAAAATAAAATATATATATATATACATATATAACAGAGTGTTTCTTTATGGACATGTTGATACCTTGGAGCTCTAAGCAAAGTCACTCATTTTAAGTCCAATTGTCGTCACTCCATCCGAAGCCGCTACCAGGCATCGAAGCGCAACTTATTCATATGGGTTTTACTCTTTCTGACAAACACTAATACTTGTAATTATATGATGAGTACAACAAGGCGTAGTGTGTGGCCGATCAACCGCTTCAACTTAGTTTTGCAAAACATTATTTGGCAGCCCCAAAAAATAGGCTGCCAAATAGAGGCAAAAATTACTATATTTGGTATGGGCTGCCAAATAGATTAATCCTTTCCTATTTACATGGCTCCGGTTCGGACCTTTCATGCAAAGCAGAAAAGTAGCTAAACCCAAAATACAACTGTAAAAAAATGCATCCGACACAATTGTCGACTATGGGACTCGAACCCATGCACCAATTAAGGTAGAGGGCCTAAACCTCACGGAATAACCACTATCCGAAGTCGACCAGATGCTATTAATCTGTCCTAAATTGAAGCAACTTAAGCTCACGTCCTATAACAAGTGACGTCATGGTAGGTAGGACCAGAGGTATACCTATAGTGGTACCCTCAAACCCACCCCGTCCTGCCTGGACGTGAGCTCAGCCACCCGATCCTCCCCGCTATAATAAATAGTGGACTCTCCGTCCCTGAAGTGTTCCTTACCTTTATCTTGGTACAACACTTCAGGTATGCAACCTCATTCATCTCAGCACTAGTTACTTGTATAGTATTATATCATAAACTAATAAAGACCTTTATCTTGGTACAACACTTCACAGTGTTCTATGTATTTGCGTCTCGCTGCGGTTTTTAAGGGCATTTCAGTATAACCCCCCGGTTCTTAAGACAGTGATTTTTTCAAATCTTATGTAATAAAGATATATTTACTATACAAAAAACCGAGCTATTACCACGAGACTTAAATCATGTGATCAAAGAATGGTTTTAGCTTCCCAAGCACAAACAGGCACCATACCTTCAGGGCACCCCCCTGTCTAGCCCAGGGGCCGGGTTCGAGTCCTGGTTAAGGCACATAAAGTGAAGCAAACATGTACCAGGTCAGGGATTTGTCTGAGTTTTTATACTTTCTCTTCGAGACAGCCTAGTGTTCTCCGCTAAAGCACAAAGGGCCAGAGAGAGAGGTGTAGACCCACCAAGGACAAAAGAGCCAAATTTTACTGCGGCAGAGGAGGACTACATTTGGAAAACTCTGGGGATGCATATCGATGGTGTGCGAGAAGTACGACGCCGTGGTGACAGGAACGGCGATGATGAGGAAGAGAGAGAGCACACACCAGATTGGTCTGTGCAGGACATTTACCATGGACTTACGCCCAAGTCCATTGCTCAGAGTTGGAAAGTTGGCTTCAAGACAACAACAAGGATAGCTACATAAATGGCAGGGCGCTTCGTCAAGGCCATAGAAGAATTCGGTCGTACAGAAATCTGGAACAAACGGTGTAAAGTCACCGTTGAATGGGAAAAGGCTCGTGGAATCACTGCTATGAGCAAACGCGCTAGAGGACGCAGCTGTGTTGGGGAGCACAGACGTAGCAGCAATGATTTCCTTGTCCCTTCCCTCAGACAAAGACAGAAGCTGAATGTAAAAGAGATCTACAGGGTTACGGATAATCGAGTCCGGGACAGTTACCTTGGGAAAACCAAACTGGACGTGATGGAGCGGCTAGGTGGAATGAAGTTTTTGATGACTATGGATAGCGGATAATTTGTCGCGTTGCGCAACAGGCCACGTCGGAAAGGTGGACTTTGAGTACCAACCACGGCGGTCAGGGTTTATGAAATCATGGATACAGCGGCTTTCGCCGTTTGTGCAGTAATAGCTGTTTATTGACTATAGTTTCTAGAGCATTTTGTTCATAGAGTGTAGAAATAAATCCCATGGTCCTCCAGGTCCTCATTATTAAAAAAAAAAAAAAAAAAAAAAAAAAAAAAAAAAAGTCTTCATGCCCATAGCAATCAATGCCATATTCACTGTGTCTCTTTCACAGTGCCTAGAGCGGTCAGCAGCACAAGATGGCTTTTTTTTGATGGATTTCTAAGATTTCTGTTACACAAAGTTTTGATTACCATCCAACTAACAACTTTAAAAAAAATAAGAGCATAGAAAGAAAAGGAATTGCGTATAAGTTACGTGTTGTACATGTATATGGCTATGGAACTTACCACTCTCATGGCCTGCTCACGCACGACAATAAATTGTCTATGTTTTTATACATTTATACATTTATATGATGTATATAATAAGGATTGCATAACGTTGCAAATAAGCGGTCTAGAAGTACACATCTAAAACCCAACAAGAATTAAAGCAGAGTTCCTATTTTACTCCCTGCAACGTGTGAATCAATACCATTCTACATCCTGTATTCATGATAGGTTTTATTTTATTTTACTTTGTTTATAAAAAGGCCACTAACAAGTTCAAAAGAAATGAGGATTTTTTCTTTTGCCCATTTACCAAATCCAACTCTGTTTAAAGTTACTAAACAAGTTCTATATTCCTATAAGGAGGATTTTACAAATATATTCAGCGGTATATATTATATACTTTCCCAGTTGCCAGTGTGGTCCTCAATTTAGTTCCATTCGTGTCTTTAACTTGGAGTGGACTGTTCAAGATCATTTGCAAAGGGATCGCTAGTTTATTTTTATTTTTATCATTAATAGTTTACTAAATAATGAGATTGAAGAAATGGGTTGATGGGATACAAAAAATGCATTTATGCAATGTGATTTATGCCAGTAACTCAAGCACCTGTTTGATGGTTCATTATATATTTTTCATATGGGTCTTTCTTCTCAAAAGAAAAAAAAGATAGTTGTTTTGTAAGCTGGATCCAGCCTGGATAAATTGGAAGGTTTTTATATACCGAAGAAAGGGCTCAGAACTGGAAAAGGACGAAATGTTCATTAATATAAAAAAATATACATTTTAATTAAAATTATTGTACTATTGATGCGAGCATGAAAGAAAAAATACGCTAGTACTTGCACTTGTATTGATTAACCAACCACCCCAACGTCGTCTTGAAAATAAGCAATACAGATGGACGGAGAGCCCTTTTAGGTTTAGGTGCATTTGGAAAAGAACATTGTGACGAGACTAGCGAGGGAATAAGCTACTAAAAAAAATTATGTTGGTTGAACTGTCCACTACCATCCTACAGCGACATTGACTTTGTGGACCCGGTCCGAGAATAGGGGCATATGAAAAAGGGCAAATGTTCCTGAAGATCATAATCTTGATTCAAATCATGTTCTTATTCTCCACTCTCCCTCTCCATTCCTAAATCAGTTTCCCATTCATTCAGAATGTACTTGTGGTGATATACATAAATATATATATGACACAATACAATATGGCGAGAAATATGATACGAAACAGTGAGAAGACGATTTGACTGATTTAAATGATTGATTGATTAATTGATTGATCCTGACTGGGACCCCTTGTCTGGGGTATTCAATGAACAAATGAACAAATGAACATTAAATAACTGGAGGGTCTTATTGACAGATATAGAATGGCTACTTTCTCAATTCAGTTGAAAGAAAGATTAGTAAATATATATTGATATGGAGCACATACTGTTTGTATAGAGCTGTCTACTATAGTATCCTGTGAGCTCAACTATAAACACTATAAACATTGCCGCTGTCTACTGCAGAAGCTCCGTGTTGCCACTTGTTGACTATTGTTTTCTCTCACACTATATCTATTTTGATCAATCTTTTTTGTTTCGCTTTTTCATCTGGTTCCGTTTTCATTTTCTCTTCTACTCTTTTCGTGTTTCTATCCATCCTACTCTGCTCACCACTCTTTAACAGGTCATACAGAAAGAAAGAAAGAAAGAAAGAAAGATATATCGTCATTACCACAATAGTCATTCATCAGCGTCATATCTTCAACCATAACCATAACAATAAGGGCAATAACAGCATCATCCTCTATTCAGCTAGCAGTTTAACTTCTGCTTCGTTCCAACCCCTTTGCATATTCTCGACAAGCGCTTTTATATATATTTTTATTTTTACATTCTTACATTCTTTAGTGTCTTAGCTTGCTTACCCTTTTTTTTTTTTTTTTTTTTTTTTTGTTTTTTAACGACTGCCTCCTTTTCTTGTCAATTTGTTATATCATCATTATTTTAATCATTGCCCTGTTCGTCACCCCTCCGTTTCAAAGTCGCGTGTCCCTGTTTAAATCACCCTTTTATCGCCGATGAAAAAGTAATTTCTCGGTAAAAAACAACTTTTCCCTGACTATTTGATTCAACTAAACTCACTTGATATATTTCTGTGCTTTATTTCTCTTGTTCCTTTGGCTCGTTCCTTTCTTCAATCCTTTGGATCGTTCTTTTCTTCAGTCCTTTCCTTCATCTCTCCCTCTCTCTCTCTTTCCCTCTCTTCCTTGCTTCCTCAATATGACTGTAAAACACCCACACCTTCAACTCAAGGGCCTGTTGGCTGATAGTAATGGTCGGAAGCCCTCGTTGTTACCACTTCAAAAACCCTCTCCATTACCACGTACTGCAGGCTCGTTCTCTCTTCCTTATAAACGCACTGTATTCTTCTTTATCGCGATCTCCTCCGCCTTGCTCCTTCTCAACACAGCTAATATTCACTTCTCAGCGGTTTCAACGGCAGAAGAAAGTTTATCAAATTCAACATTTCCAAAGAATTCACCACAGTCATCAACGGGATCTCGTCACGGTTATGACTACGAGCATGGAACTAGCGTAAATAGGCCAAAGCAGTCAGAATATTCGCCCATTTACAATGATGAGGATGATGACGATATTGACGAAGATGAAGGGTGGAGGTTTACAGACGAACATGGTTTGAACGACAATGAAAACGAGGGCGAGGATGAGGAAGAACATGACGTAAATAATCTCCCCTCAAAACCACAGCGTGGTCGCCCTGCTCGTATCGTTCCTTTCAAGAGTATAGAGGGCATTCTCCCGCCAAATTGTCCAAACCTTGTACTCACTACAGAAACTTCATTCGAAAGCCCGTCATACGTCTCCTCCTCCACAGTTCCACCACCATCCACATCCGCCACTTCTCCCTCCTCGTCCTTGCTTACACCTGATCAAGTCCATTGCCAGCGAATCCCATCACAGTTAAAAAATTATTCTCTCGCCTTTTGTATATCCAATTCCGATTGTTCTCGTGGATTTATTCAGATTGTACATAAGCTCAGTGCCCCGGTTGCAAAATTCAAGACCTCAAAGGATACGAGCCATGACCTGCATTTCCGTCAGGTAGCCGGCCCTGACGACTTTTATTTTTTACTGGAGGGCGCGCAAAAGTTGGCTCTTGGAGCACATTTGGTACCAAACAACCTTGAAGTCAATGTCGATAATTCTTCACATTCTGGCGATTCAAACTCGTCATCGCTCTCTGATGCTGCGCCCTCTGACAAACTGGTCTACAGGGCTGATTTTCGAATGGCTCTCCCTGGACCAATACAGCTCTTTGGATGGCTTACCTACGAAAATTTTAGGGCTGTGCGCGAAAATCGTCCAGGTGTTTGGCCTCAATGGACCCATTCTATCTTGATTGACCCAAAGACAGTGGTCAATCCAACAGAGAACGCCACAACAAAATTCACTATTTGTCCTGACTGTGAGTTGAGTTCGTTCTTGGACCAAGTAAAGACGTATCGCGAGCAGCACTTTGAGCAATGCGATCGCATGGTGCCTGTTCGTGGATCATATTGGCGCGAGGACTTAGCCGTCAAAGTCTACTCAGGTCTAGACATCGTCAATAATGCACCAGGTGCTGGAGCCTTTTACAAAGCCCCGAATAGCAACAATGTACCCAAACCACAGAATGGGAAATTGACCAGAGGGTGGCGTTTTGTGCCAAATGGATGCACAATGACCAAAACATCTAGCCAGCTTCATGGCTCTTCTCAAAATCCTTACGTACCTACATGCGACTCTATTGCTTCGCCCACCGCGGCTATGCGCCCTCCCAAGCCCGCGGAGCAGGACCATGATACCAATAATAGTGATAATAATGACAGCAACAATGAGAATAATTACCCTAGACGCCGAATCCTCTTTACAGGTGATTCACAAGTCCGGACTACATACAACTCCATCCTGAGCCATTACCGCCCTGTTGACCCTCACCAACGTTTCCCTGCGCATAGCGAATTCTTACCCGTACTCGAGAATCTCAATCTTAATAACACGCAGACAGAGAAACCCAATTCTGCAATTACCACTCCAAGGACGGAATCGGACACGGAGATTGAGTTGGTGTACAGAGCAGACCAGTTCTTGGATTATCTGCTTGATTCCTCTGATGAAGAGCTAGATAAATATGACACAATCTATCTCAATATTGGGCAATGGCCGGCTAGTGGGCCTGTTGCAGGTGGACAATGGTCGACTGCAAAGCTGTTGGAGCGATGGGAGGGAGTCATTCAGCGGCTGAACCGGTGGAAGGAGTCTCGCGAGGCTCGACTTGTGGCACGGCGACAGCAACGATATGAACGAGGAAGCGATCCAGATATGAATATGGATCCTAAGGAAGACCCGACGGTGGGTTCTGGCGAGTCTTCCATTGTCATCTGGGCAGGAATGAATGCATTCCCTATGCGCACAGATACTTCTATCCGCGTTAAAGGCGATTGGAGGACAAATGCACGCTTGGGCTACTGGGATGATTGGATTGAAATCATTTCTCAAGAGGCTGGTGGATGGTTCCGACGATTGAACTCATGGCAATTGACCTTTGTAAGGCTCTATGACATCATATTTTCGCATTTTTGATAAATTTATCCAGCACATTGCGCATGGTCTAACCCCCCCCTTTTTTTTTTTTTTTTTTTTTTTTCATTTTTGTAGCCCATGTTGGATCAGGTTACTGATAAGGCTCATTTCCAAGAGACGGATGCTATTGATGCACTCAAGCTGGAAGCCCTTTATAAACTAGACCTTTGCTCGCGCATGAGTGCTGATACCCCCTATTCGGATCTTCTTTCAGAATCAGTAACCATAGCTACTTCTAATACCACTGCCTAAGTACTAACTCACAAAAAAAGAAGTATCATGATAACAATACCCTCCCTCATTAATGAACATCATTGCATATTATACACATACAAAAAGCATCAACTCCTATATATAAATAAACTCAAATTGAAGGAAATATGTAGATGCATGTGAGTTTATTGGTATTTAAGACTTTGGCTGATCGCTTTCTGCAGGAGGATCAGTCAACGCTGCCGTTGGGAAAACTTGTTCTTGAAAGCAAAAGCCTGGTGCAAGCAAGGCAACAGAGAGCCTAAAGCGATGCGCAAGGAGAAGCTCCAAGCATTAAAGATCAAGCCGTAAAAAGGATCTCTAGCTAGAATGAAAATAAACACTCTTTTTTGATACTTTGACATTTCTTAAATGCTTCAGCTTTGCGCATATGGCATCGAATTTGAAGCCGTCTCTGTCTTCTTTTAAGGCTAGAAATACTAGAGCAATAGCGTTTAACTGAAGGCCCTTGGAGAGTACTGCCTGCCTGCCTAGAGGTAACACGACCAAGGTCTAAACATGCTGGTCACGAAGCTCTGCATGAAGCTCATTCAGGTTGGCAAGGGATTGAAGACTAAAATGCAAAAACTAGCCAAGTGTTCCTACTATTTGACTCACAAAGGCAAGGGACACAAAAATACGAGGGCTTATAAGAATAAAAACACCATCTGGAAGGAACCATTACAATTCAATTCGTGTTTCCCTGCTTGGTGTAACAAGGGTCATCAAGCATGAGAAAGGGTTATGTTTGATTATCTGATCCTTGAACATGAGCACATGGCGCTTGCTTCTATCTGAAAGAGACAGACACGGAGTTTTTTTTTTTTTTTTTTTTTTTTTTTTTCTTTTTCGTGGGGAAGCTTACATGTTGCGCGAGGGCAGCGAGAGCAATAGCCATGACATGCGGCTAAGTAGAAGTGAAGATGGGGGGCAGCCGAAGTTGATACAGATGTTCAGTTTAAGGCAGACAAAATTTTGCTCCGAAGATCACACACTGAACATGCAGCCCAGATTTGCCAACACTAACCGAAAAGCCCTTATAAAACTCACTGCCTACTTTCTCCACGTCTTTTTTTTTTTTTTTTTTTTTGTCTTCATCTCCATCTATACCTTTTCTGCTTCGACCCAAGTTGTTGTTAAAAAGATTGAGAATTCAGTTCGCTCATTCATTTACCTCATTTCACTACCTTTTTTTGCCCATTTCCACAAATTAAATTTCCCAAAACGATGGCCGAGTCACAGAATAAGAAGGATCTAGCCCATGCTCGGTCCAAAGTCAGCTTTAAAATTGCCGATATGACTAACTATCTCTACGGTGGTGCTGCCAATGTGGAGCACCGTAGGCATCTCATCAGCCTGATTGCTAATGATCCTGTCTTCAATAAGGACGATTGGTAGGCAACTGATCATTTTTCTTGTCAAAAAAAAAAAAAAAAAAAAAAAAATTCTTTGTTTGTTATTTTGTGATACATGGAATGTTTCCCTGACGCGCGTTTTTTTCTCCTTCTGTAGGGGTTGGTTAAACCACACAGACGCTGTTAAGCGTGGCATTGCCATGTCGACACGTTTGGCAGAGCTCATGATGGAGCACGAGTTGAATGACCTTGACTTTGCCACCATCGTTGAGGCTATTGATGACCCTCTCCCTGTAAGCCCATGTTTCTTTGTTCTCTTCATTCGTACTTTCGTCAGCTGCTTTTTGGTCACAGTCAGGTCCTAAAATTTTCTGTAATAATCAATATAGATCGTGCTTCATAACGGGGCCTTTATTCCAGTGATCAACTCTCAAGGAACCGATGAGCAAATCGAGAAATGGATTCCTCCTGCAGAAAAGTTCCAAATCATTGGCTGTTATGCTCAAACAGAGTTGGGCCATGGATCTAATCTCTCTAAGCTCGAGACCACGGCTACGTTCATCAAGGAGACCGACGAGTGGGAGATCAACAGTACAACTTTCACAGCCGCAAAGTGGTGGATCGGTGGGCTAGGCGCACTGTGCACACATGCTGTTGTCCAAGCAAGGCTCTTTATTGATGGCAAGGATTATGGTGCTCATGTGTTTGTTGTCCCCTTGAGATCGCTGGAGGACCACAAACCCTTCCCTGGTATCCAGATTGGAGACATCGGACCTAAGGCTTACAACGGATTCAATAAGATGGACAACGGATGTAAGTTCAGCCTTGCCCTTGCTTCCTCATAGTCCACTATAATTGTATCCAAACCTTTATTCATTCACTTTTTTTTTTTTTTTTTTTTTTTTTTTTTGTAACCTCAAATCGATAGTCGCCCGCTTTACAAAGTATCGCATTCCTCGCGAGAACATGTTGATGCGATTCTCCAAAGTGTCCCGTGATGGTGTTTATACTAAGCCTCCCCATGCGAAGGTCAGAGCCACGACGATATAGTTTGCATTATATGTTTTATTTAATATATGCTTTCCATACTCTTAACGTCGTTTTCCCATCTTGGTTTGATCACCTATATAGCTATCCTATGGATCCATGGTCCTGCTGCGCTCGGTCTTGATCAAGCAGATGGCCCTTTATCTCTCCCGCGCCACTACTGTCGCCACTCGCTACTTGACGGTCCGTCGCCAGTTCAATAATCCAACCTCACGTAGTGCTGATGACCCTCATCCTGAGCTCGAAACCCAAGTCATCAACTATCCCATGGTTCAGAATCGGCTCTTCCCAATGATTGCTCAAGCATACGCCTTGTTTGCTGCCGGTTCCTGCATGATGGATATGTACATCAACCTGATGACAGGCCTTTCCTCTGGCAAAATCGATGCTTTAGCTGAGGTTCATGCCATGTCTTCTGCTCTCAAGTCATACTGTACTACTATCGGTGCCGCAGGCACAGAGGAGTCTCGCAAGCTCATGGGAGGACACGGCTTCTCCTATTTTACTGGTCTCGCTCATTTGTTTGCGTCGATCGTGCCTTCAAATACGTACGAGGGTGACAATTATGTGCTCACTCAACAGATGGCTCGATACTTGCTCAAGGAAATCAAGACTGCGCGTGCTACCCCAGATAAGGTCACACCCTTCTCTCGTTACCTGCTCTTGGGATTGAACAAGAATGCGCTCGAGCGTACTACTTGCGCAGTCGCTCAGCCCGAGGATTGGCTCAAGCCCGAAATCCAGCTCGCAGCATTTGAACATCGTTGCGCACGTCTAGCTTTTGAGTTGAGCGATGCAGTTGACCAGGCAGGAGAAGATCTAGCCAATGTCAAGACCTGGTCTGATCACAACATTGAGTGCTACCGTATCTCCCATGCACATGCACAGTACACTATGGTCCTCTGGTTCATTCAGGCAATCAGGGATGCTCAGGACCCCGAGACCGATCCTGAGCACCGTGCCGAACCTGCGTCAATCAAGGTATTGGAGCGGTTGTCAAACCTGCATGCCTTGCACACGATTCAGACCAACCTTGCAGATTTTGCAGAAGATGGATATCTTTCACCAGCACAATGCCAGTCGTTGAGAGCACAGGTCAAGGCGCTGGTAGCATCGCTAGCTGACGATGCTGTGGGTCTCGTTGACGCTTTTGATCACCCAGATTATTTGTTGAACAGTGCGTTGGGCGCTAGCGACGGAGATGCATTCAAGAGATTGTGGGACAAGGCTCAGACAGAACCTTTGAACAAGAGAGGAGTTTGCGATGGATATGAAGAATATATCCGACCATTGCTTAAGAAGCATGGCGAATTCAAGTTGTAAAACAAAAGAAGAAAAGAATAAAAATTCAAAATAACTTAATAGAACTCGTAGACACTCAAAAGAAGATATAGATATTAAAAGAGGTTTCTAGCAAAAACAAATATTTATCAGTGGGACATGTCATGAAGGCATAGCAATGTGTTCTCTCTTTTCGTTTACCAAGCGTCTTCTTTGTTGCAAATAAAAAGTGATATGTCAGCCTATGATTGACCAACGAGTGATCAACGTTTGTCGCCGCAGTAGAGGGATGGTAAGCATATTCTCGATGCCATGGGGGTTTCCTTTTTCAGGGCCGGTAGACTCAAGTCTGAAAGCGATCGATTTCCGAACGTTTACTGTTAACGTTTGCTGTTTCTGACGATACTATACCTAAGAAAAGAAAACGCGTATATTGGATTTTTTTTTTTTTTTTTTTTTTTTTTTTTTTTCCTGTGATGAGATGATTCCGTTTTCCTCTTCATTCTTTATTTCACTATTATACTTGTGTTTTAATTAATGGAAATGAAAAGCGATAGTTGAAATGAACTGGTCCTCATCCCCTCTTAATGAAGATTTGTCTTTCTGTAGTTCAGGACGAGGGGATGGGATACTGGAAATAGCTAATAGAAGGAGGAGGAGGATGGGGTGAGTAGAAGCTTGTTTCAATTCTGTTCCTGAGATTGTTCCTTTTTTTTTTTCTTTCAAGAGGCAAGCAAGATATAGCACTACAAATATCTTTCAGAAGTATATGAACCGATGCTTACATGGCTTTAGTCCCAGGGATACTGGCGTTGAACGCAGTTGCTCTCGACTGTCGATGGTAATACTACAGAAGGATTGCACCATTATTCACTACATTTTGCTGAATCTGCAACGTACTTTCACTACAATAAACTTCATATTAATTACAATATGCCCAAAATGATCTACTATTGTAGCTGGGACCGCTGCTGTTACGATGATAAGAGCATCAAAATAGAAGTGTGTTTAATCATCTTGACATTCCCAAAGCGAAGGCAGATTTTTGGAAACTGCATGAAAATGCAAGAAACTACAGGGTTATTTGTAATGTGTGCGTGCGTGCGTTTTTTTTTTTTACATTGTATTATTAGATTAAATTATAGTTTAGATACGAAGGAGCTAAAATGAAAACAAATAAAAAAAAAAAAAAAAAAAAAAAAAAAAAGAGGAGAGGGGATCTATTTATGAAGGGTGCCTGCCCTCTTTCGAGTCTTAAAGACTCCAAGAGGTGAGAAAGATGTTGATCCGACAGCAGAAGATGAGGAAGATACAGGCGGTGAGGATGCAGTCGACTGTTGGGTATCAGAATTTTGTGAGTTGTCGCTGCTGTTCTTTGTGCCTATTGCTGCTGCCGCTGCCGTAGCCTTAGAAGAAGAGGGAGCAGAAGCCAGTGCCCCATGAACAGATGCAGATTTCTTTGATGTTGTTGCTGCTGCGTCCATTGATTCTGCTGTAACGGCAATTAATTTTTGAACCGATTGTTTTCTCAGTTTGATCTGCAAAGCGGTCTCCAAAAGCTGTTTAGGTGCCAAAGTTTCCAATGGAATATGTAAGATATAGGCCAGTAACTCTGAGGAGCTCGGACATTTGCTCAACAGATGATCTCGACTCAGCTGTAAGATCGCTAATCCAACCCGAAACAGGGCCTTGACACCATCAAAATAGAAAACATCCCAGACCCGAAGAACAGATGCCCAAGGAAGGCTCATCGTATATAGGGTCATAAACCATTGAGTCATATACATCAACGGAATCACATCGTTCTTTTCCAAGTGTGAAGCCAGGGGTGGGTCTTGTTCCTTGAGCAGACGTTCAAACACCTGTGCATCGACTCGTAATTGCCGAAGTGAAGGAGTATAATAGTCTTGCATATAGCCTTCTATCGTCGCTACCAGCAACCAGAACGCATCTTCGACCGGCATCTGCATCAACATCATACCGACCAATCGACCCATGCCCTGACAGTATCCTACGCTGGGTTTATAGTGAGCATAGGCTTTCAGGATCGAGTGCAAATCCTGCTGTCCTGTGCCCCCCATACCATCTCGGAAGTGAACATGATCTGGGTAGCAACGATGAATATCCCGTTCAATGACCTCATGTATTGGCAATGGCCCTCGTTTACAGAGTTCCTCAAAAAGCCCAGGCTGGCGGTAGGAGTCCGCTTTTGCCAAAAATAACCAAACACGGCCACGTACGGATGTTGGTAATCCCCTTCTGACCAGTTTTTTGTACTAAACAAGAATAAAATAGTTTATACGTTGAGTACAAGTCAAATCGTATAAGAGTTGGGAAACCTGATGAAAGTCGAAATCTTTTGTATTTTTTAGCGACCCCTTTTTTTTTTTTTTTTTTTTTTTTTTTACCTTGCTAGACTTCTTGACGGTATCGACTTGAAGCCTTGTCACCGCATGAATCCATTTGAGCTCGTTCTCGCGGCTGAACTTTTGTTTTCGAATCACCTTCTTGCGCTCGATTTCTGATATGATGGAGACGCTGGATCCTGTCGACCCAGATTTGCCTATAGACGAACCTGTTCCTGACAAATCCTGGCCCTGATTCATTTCATCGTCCAGATCATAGATAAACCCATAGTCATTGATAAACAGCCTATTGGGCTGATCCATCGACTTTCGTCCACGGAACGCCTCTGTGGCACCGATAGCACCAGCTTCATCCTCAGTATAATCATCCTCATCATCATCCTCATCGACTAGTGAAGACACATGGCGATTTACAATGCCACCTTCGATTCCGTGACCCAGCGGATGAGGCGCTCTTGTGTCTTCCAGCATAAATGTAGAATTTCTTCTTATTCCAAACCAATTTTTGGTGGTTCGTAGTTGTTTCGAAGATATTTGCGCTGCAGACACTTCGTGTTGTGGTGGTGGGCATGAGTGTGTGGTTTTAATGCTAGCCATGGTCACAGTTGTGGCTGCACTGGGCCTTCTTGACCTTGGTTTTCTCTTTGTATCTTGTGGTGGTGATGGTGGCATCGATTTATCGTTATCAATAGTGACGGGGTCGACGTCACTACCAATGGACTGTTGATACTCTTCTAGTTTTTGCTGGATACTTGAATCTGAATGGCGAGCTGGTCCTGAATTGGATCTCCTTCGCTGTTCTAATCTTGATGGCCGAAGTTTATCAAATATGGATGGCGACGCTCCTGCTGGTCCTGAAGAGTCTGCTCCTGATGAACCCAAAAGTGTAAAGGCCAGAGGTGGACGACTATCATCCCTTACAGATCGGCTGCGGGCACGTCCTCCGATACGACTTATTCCACTAATACCAGTCTTTGCTTTCAAGCCACGTTCCGGTGAATCGGGGGCCGGGATCGCAAAGCTGACTCCATGACCGGAAGTTGGTGATGAGGGCGCTGTTGCCGATGCAATTGTTGATGCCGGCGCTGGTGCGGCAGTCGACACGCTAATATGAGATGGCGGGCTTTCAATAGGTGTTGAAGGCATTTGAACAACACTTAGATCCAAGTCCTTCGACCCATGATCCGCAAACAGGCCTGCTGTTGGCGACATCTTTTGAAGTACATGACTTGTCTTTGCGCGAATGTCTTCAAGGACTGATGAAAGATAATTGTCGTTTTCCTGTTGTTGCTTTCCTTTTGTTAATTCATCTTCTTGCTTCTGATCTTGTTGTGGGTGGTTAGCTTCAAGAGATTGATTTGGACTGAGACGTCCTATAGATTTGAGTGGGGATTGGATAGACCCCACATCGACACTGAGGGTACCGGAGACTAGAGTAGGTGAAGACGGTCGAGAAGGTTGCTGCCGTGGTACAGGCGTAGGATGATGGTGTTGTTGCTCTCGATTGGCTTCATATGGTCGGCCTTCCAGGGAGTTAGTTGACATGGTTGCTGAAGAGCCGTGAGGGTCTGTTGATGTCGCTACTTGTGAGTTCATGGATGATATTGAAGATTTAGTTGCCAAAGAGTGTATGCTTGGTGAATCGTGTGGAGAATGTATAGGTGAACTAGCTCCGTTTGGCAATCGAGAGGACGACCGTGGTGGAATGACTGGTGTAGTGGCAGTCGTATTGACTGTAAGTAACTCTGGATGCGGTGCTGGTGGAGATGATATGACCTGTCGTCGTCTAGCAGCGATGGTTTGAGCCGACACAACCTTCAAGTTCTCTTCACTCATTAACTTCCTTGGACCATGCTCAGATCGATCTGTCTGACTAGGATCCGTAGCCATGGCTGCCACAATTAATGCATGTTTCGTGGGAGCAGATATAGCGGGCGATGGTGAAGATGACGATGGTGATACTTCATCCATGGTGGTACTCTTTTTTTTTCTCAGTCTAGACCGCACTGGCGGTACTTCAGTTGCCTGATTCTTCTTGTTTGATACTACTGGTGAAATGGTCCTTGAGTGGTTCCTTGATGAAATAGGTGATGGGTTAGAGGAGTTGTTGGAAAGAGGGTTTGCTGCCGTAGTAGTGCTTTCAAAATCAACATCTACTTCGTAAAACCTGCCGTACACACCTTCACAGTACCCCTATTAGGAGATCCAAAAATATAACAACGATAAGAAAGCGTAAGTAAGCAATGGTCAGCATACATCACCACAAGAGCGGATGTCTATGACCATGACGATCACCCTGTAATCAAACAACAATGACAGCATCAACAGCAGCAACTAATAAGTTAAGCAGGAGGTATATATGATCTCTGACTGTTTGTGTCACTCCACATCTCCACACTGTTTGAATACACAATTAAGGGATGCAAAGTTGTAGTGCAATGTTGCACATCCTTTCATTGGAAAGAGAAAAGGACAGAGAAGAAGAAATGAAGGTTTGTGTGGGTTATTTGCAGCAGATCAGATATTTCAGAGCAAATGTTAATTGTTGAAGAGCGGAATAACAGTTCTATGAACTCGAATGGGCGTTTGAGAAAGAGCAACAGATATAAAGAGAGCGAGGTCAAAAATTGGATTAAAAAGTAGGAAGAAAGAGAGAGCATTGAGATTTGCCTAAATACATGTACCATTCTACGGTCTACATGTACAATGTACAGTATTTTACATGTTAGAGCAATGGAAGCTGCTCATTTTGATGTATTGTAAAATATTAAAAAGCGCCAGTCGAAGAAACTTTACTCCATCCTCCGAATATAGTCCCAGGTACCGACCGACACAAGGAAAATGAGGAAATCATAAAGTATCTGCATGCTCCTGTATTCAGTACGATGCATTCTCGGCATACAGCGCAGGGAGTATATGAATGAAGCATGTCCCTAGACTATTCTTACCACACAAAGTCCATCATTATTAAGGCGTTCTATAAGGACCACTCGTTCTCCTGTGAACACCATGATAAGAAACAAAGAAGAAGATAACGACCATAGTATAGAAGGGCAAGACAGATCAGTAAGGAAATAATAATAAAAACTTGTTGTGCCATTTGGGAATAGCCGGGAAAATGTTACATAAATGATCTGATTGAATGCTGTTCTTCCCGCTTTGCCGATTCTATGTAGCATACCTTCCATGAATATAAGATCATCAACGTTGCCTGAAGCGACATTTCTTATTGCAATCCCCTCTGCAACTCCTTGAACAAGTCCGGTTGTAGAACCATTCCCATCTAATCCAGTCGACATGAATATTAAAAATAATATCGAGGGATAAATTAGAAAAAAATAAAAAAATTGAAAAAATAAAACAAAGTCAGAAATAACTTTTAGATACCATCGGAGGGGATACTAGCAAGTAAACCCGCCTTGGGTCCAATATGGCCCTCAACTTCGAGTCCAATCATCTAGTGGATAAGATGACTTATTACTGCCAACATACAATGGCGGTGAAAAAAAAAAAAAAAAAAAAAAAAAGTGTAATGACAACGACGGTGTGAGAGTATACGTGTCAATGTGTTCTTGCGTCGTTTATGATTGTAGAGAGCAATTAAGAGTAAAGGTAAGACAACAAGGACAAGAAGAATAAGAGGATTGATGTTCGGTACAGTCGCTAAGGACTTGGAGAGCAGGAGAAGGGAAAGAGAAAAGCAAGTTGTGGACTGTGCGTGAGAGTGAGAGTCAGGATGTGAGATTTGTTTAATATGAGATCCTGAAAAAAAGCATCAAGTGTAAAAAGGTGGAATAAGAGCAAAAGAGATAATCAAAAGAGTCGACAAGAATGTAAATGGTATTGCATGAAATTGTCATGTCCGCAGGCCATTGATCACATCTTGAGATGTGTGATGCTTTCTTTGAATCAATGGGGTATGCAATTGAAGAGGGCTGGAAGCAACCTCTCTAATTGATGCGTAATAAATATATTCAATGTATTTTTAAATCAGAATCGCGCGAGGGCTGTGTAATTGGTGTGCTAAAATAAATCTTTCATTGAATTAAGATTGAGCAGAGCCTAGGTAACAACAATGCGTCCAAGAATATCTAGCTATAGTGCTCCATGGCGACCCAATGTGTGCAGCAAATGAATGCCTTCCTGTATGAGCGCCCACTTCCTAGTTAGAGGGTTGGCTACATAAGCCTTGATGTTCATTTCTTTCATCTGCATATCACAGGTATACATGCATTCTGATCTAGTCAACTAGAAATAGAAACAAGATTACAGAATATATTTTTACTATGGGCCGCTGAAGAAATGATAGACGATATAAATCGCGGATCCAGGCTCGAGCAATGATGACGAGGTTATGGACATCAGCGCTACCATGGCCCTTCCACCTTTGACGCCCATCATGGAAACAAACACGAGGCCGACTCGTCGGTTTGGCTCGTCCGGAGTCGTGGTTTTAAGAAGCGCAGCTTGGACATTTCGTCAACGTCAAGTGCAGTCACGACTCCCTAATTTAGCAAGCAAGGAAAATATTTATTTGAAACATTTATTGCTGTCGGACACATGACGATCACTGCAACCATTACCTTCCATCCTTCTTACTCCATGCATGACCAAAAGACATTCAAAATACAAGCAAGAACGTCGCCTGAAAATATAAGGGAGCTTGGTAGTATGTTCAACCCAAGCAGAAAATCGTCTGACTATCGCTGACAAAGCTGCCTTTGTCATGAGGGTTCAACAGGAAATGGCTCGAAGTCCATATACATCGCAGAGCTTGATAACAAAGTTATGTGGCATCAACCCTCAAACAGCCTGGTACATCCTCAAAAACGCAGACTTCTGCCTCCAAAGCTCCCAAAGACTCTCACCTTGAGTCCCTCAGCGCTTAACACGTATTCGAACGACAATAGTTTGTGGTTTGGACATCATATTAATCCACTGGTTTAACCAGCAAGTTAAACGGAGTACGCACAGAATGTTGAATAGTTAGGTTTAAAACATAAAGGTAAGAGATCCCTAATCATTACAAAGCCTTTCAATAGAAATTAAAGTCACTAACGCCCGTCTGCAAGGGACAACAGCCGTAATATGGACCGTCATCAAGGATTACTACCGTCCAGGGCTCCACCCTACGCCTATAAACTTTTCTCGCGGTTGGTTATACATGTTTAAGTTACGGATAGGAGTCTAGAAGTTTGTTGCGCATGGGAAGAGTAGCTCTGTTGATCTCTTTATATGACAGCTGGATCCAAGAAATCCAAGTGAGCTTGCACGATTTGACCCCGAAGACGTGTATAACTGCGATGAAACCGGTCTCTTTCTCAAGGCTATCGCAAATAAGACCCTTGTTACCGGACCTGTCCAGGATGATAGGGACACTATGGGGCAAGATCGAGATTATGATGCAAGAAAGGATGATAATTCATTTAATTGTTTCCAAGAAACTCTCGAAAACTTTTTGGGGGCTGCTAAGTATCCGGATAGTATAACCTATAATCCTGAGCTCATAACCCACTTTAACAATGCGGTGGCCGGCATGGAGATGTTTGTTGAGTATAAGCGTTTGATTTCAGTTCAATTTAAGAGGTTGGAATGTATTTCTGAATTGGATAGAACACCTTGCTTCCTTATTTTTGATAAAATATCAAATTAGGGAGTCATGACTGTTAGATACCACCATGGCCTGAGTCCTTTGTCATCCAGTGATGTCTTGATAGATGAACGGTTTGGGAACTGCATTTCATGTCTGGTGCCTTGATCCTCGACTTATCCGATATGAACTGCTTTATAATACTATATGCATACATAATTGCTCCCAGTCCATCGGTTTGTAGGCAATTAGAGGCCGCATATCGATAGAGAGTCAACGCGGTGGGGAATGATGGAGGAGTGGGTTGATTGGATGGTGTGCTAGCTGAACCCTGGCGTTACTTCGAGTATTTGAATAGCTCATCAATGTAATGCTTCATTGGGCCATTGCCGAACGTGTCTGGGGCTTTTGTGGTAAGCTGTGTTATTATCGCCAACCGTGTTCCATACGTTGTTTGATGGGTTCTGGGTCTGATGAATAAACGGTGCAATAGCGCTTCATAGTTGCTTTTGGTTATGGGATTAGTCTGGGCAATCTTGCGAGAAGGATCATAGGCAGGGACCTCTCTTGTACCCTTAATAAGTCGGAATAGCCCGCGAACCCCCATCTAAATAGGAAAGATGAAGTGTATGGTAAATAGTCAGGAAAGCGCTTGGTAGATATGGCTGCCAGCGAATGCTCTTGGGCCTTTCGGTTGGTTGGCACTGAAAAGTTTTGTTAGAGTTAGAGGGGATTGGAAAGTATTTCTTTGGGCAATTATAGCAGTTCGCAGTAATCTTTTTTCATAATAAGATAATGAAGCCTACAGAATAGGTTCTTTTTCCTTTTTCCTCTTTCATCTCTGCCTTCTTTAGCCCTCCGTGCATACCCACTTCTTTCTTCTTTCCCTTACTTCACGCTAAATGTAAATGTAAAGAAGGTACCGCCTGGGTGTGCTTTGCTGCCATGACCGTTGCTAGAAGATGAAGAAGCAGCGTTATCAGAAGATGGAGTGGCGGTAGTGTTTTTGTTTTGTATTATTTATTGGGAGAATTACGTAAATATTTATGAGTACGAACAAGCATTGCAAGCGGTTATTACAATCGTTTCAGTGTATTGCAGAAAGAAATGAAAGAAATATAAGTGAGCATGCTGTTTTTACATTTAATAGATATTTAAGTCTCATCTTTCAATTGTTCAATCGCTAACAATTATTATACTTGTTATTCATTTCTAAGTTGAGTCGCATTGACGCTCAAGTTTTGCTGACGCTACATACTTCAAAGCTCACGTCGGTCAAGTACCATGCTGCTTCTGCGACGTGCAATCTTGCCTCCTCGGATAACAAATCCAGATTCACGTGTGAAGTCATTATCCCCGCCCATTGTAAAAGAAGGCGATGATCCTCTGGGACCGATTTTGCCACTGCTCGCTTCAGATCCACTTTTGCCATGCTGTGAGTGGATATCATCCTCATCAGATTCAGATTCCGATGATGACTCAAGGATATGTCGATCCTCATCTGAGTCTGCTTGTGAGCCATGTGTTGAAAGCTATAAATTCGAGCAAGATGAGGAAAATACATGGGATAAGTGTTAGTCAACCTTAGGAAGGGGAAGCTTAAAAAAGGTCAATTCTAAGATCATCGTGATTCTTAAATGTTCATCCACTTACTGCGTTATATGGATCATAATATTCTTCACCAGCTTCAGCAGTCCAATGCCTAGGTTTTTTTCCCAGCAGTTCTTTCCAATTCCATTCGATTCTATAATTTGAGAACCCGGTGTCTAGAGGTGCTGTTTGTTGTGCAGACGGCATTACTGCTGATATATTATTAGGATTTAGTTTAAACTCAAAGGGTTTCTTTGATAGTAACTTGGGAGTGCCTGGTCCTAATCGCGAGGGTGTACCCGGCCCAGGGGTCGTTGGACGGCTACCAGCGCGACTGGAGTATCCAGACGCTGATGCGCCATACCGATGGAAAGATGGTGCTAATGGTGTTGAGGGCATGTAAGGTGAGCCCAAAGGAAGATTTGTCTGAGTATATCTTTCTCCAAAGTACTCTAGTTCATCGAGATCCTGTCCTTGATAGAGCACGTCCTCCTCGCTGTCTGATGAGGTGGCAGTGTGCAGAGCAAGAGCTTTTGGGGCCTTCCCTTTGCTCGTCATGCTTGTAGACGTCAAAACACTGTGGCGAGGGAGGTTGGGGTCATTAGCGTATAGTACACCGCCGGTAGAATGCCTACTAGAGCTAGTGATGGTACTGGAAATTGTTCGCGCCCCTCCGAAACGACTAGTTGCTTGAGGATATCTCGACAATACTTCCATTGCTTCTGCTGCTGCAGTTGCTGACGCATTCTTCTCGCGAAGGTCTAGTAACTTTTGCCGGTCCTGTACCTCAACGGCTTCCTCTTCTCGTTCATTACGCTTTAGGATAGGGCTCTTGGTATCAATTTGCAATGAGGATCCGCCATTCTGCTGTCTTCTAAAACCACCTGCTTCAACCTCGAACATTGAACCTGAGACCTGAGTGTTGGTTGATATGAAATGGGAGGATTCAGTCTCACTCTCCATCTTGGAGACTGCCTTGCTTGTCATTGTCGTAGTTTTGTGTCCAACCTTTTGCAAGCTGGCTGAAACTTCTGTACTTTCTGTTTCATCTGATCTTTGCGAGCGTGAGTCGCTACTAGTGACACTAGCATTAGTAACCGCACTAGAACTCTTGTTTGTAGTAGTCTGGCTTTGTGTAGTAGTTCGCTGCTCCTGTTGGGCGCTAGTTACTTGGGCATCAGATGTGAGGCGACTAGCCCCTTGCGTACTACTGAGTGTAACAGCTCGGCGACCCTCTTTGCCAAAATAGCTTCCCGATCTGGGTCCAGCAGGGATCTCAAACATCTTTTCTCCACCAACCGTGCTAGTGTTGGAGGTAGAGCTAACTTCTACGCCATCCTTAAACTTGCGACGAGTGATTGTTGTTATTACAGTAGTTCTGACGAACCTATATGAGCCGGGTGTGGTCATTTTGACAGTGGATGAGGCAGATGAAATGGACGAGCTGCTCAAGGCTGCAGTTGAAGTCGCTGTCGTACTGGATTTACGGCCCACTATATTGTCCTGCGTTGAACTTCTCTCAGCACCTCCAACAGTCGTATGGCTGCCTGTTACCGTAGACAGTTGTCCCTCAGAGCCTTTGGTAGCTTGTCCTGCACGTGTTCTACCTGGTTGAGCATTCTTTTCTGTAGTATTAGTGACAGCAGTGTCTGTTGCTGATTCAGTAGACCGATGAACTATACCAGACCGGTTTTCAGTAGCAATTGCGATCCCCGCTGTGCCAACAGCAGCAGCAACAGCCGCTGCGGCTCTACCACCAGCCCTTTGTATCGCCGTAATATTCGTTGGTTCTTTGTTAGTAGCGCCAGCGCCACCAAACCATGAAATGTCTCTTGTAGTTCGACGATCCTGTCGAAGAGGAAGAGCAATATCAATCTCGTCATCCTCAATCCGAAGCTTCTTTTTAACCAGGGATACATTAGGAGGATCCCAGGCATTCCTAAACGTATAGGATGATTCTTCTTGCTGCTTCTGCCGTTGTAGTGCTCTCATTCTTGCGAGCTTAGCTAGCCTGATCTTCTCGAGTCGCAGCTCTTCCTCCTTGATTCGAGCTTCCTCTTGTTCCTTAGCCCATCTCTCTTCCTCTTCTAATCGTTTCCGGACAATCTCGGCCTCATATTGTTCTTGGCGTTGTCTAGCTTCGTATGCAAGCATATCCTCAAGGCCATACCCCTTCCGAATACCCCCAGCGCTACTCTTGCGACTCCTTGGCCGTCTCTTCTCAGTCTGTCGAAGAATTGATAACTGAACTCCTCGGTCAATATCCCAGGCATTGACCAATCTGAAGTTCTCGAATGCTTGACTTCCAGTCATTTGCTCATGCGCTTCCTCTTTCCTACGGTTTTGCTCATACCGTGCGTACTCTTGATGTCTAATTTGCTCAAGGGCTGCCTCCTCAAGTTCAAGACGCTTGATTTCCTCTAACTTCTTTTGACGTCGTTGTCCCTCTGCTGTAGCAGCATAATTGTAATATCTTCGAGTGGGCATTCTAGGGCTCTTGGGCGCGTTCGAATCAGTAGGAGTCTCCCAGGGGAAGACAGGTTTGCCCTTACCAGATGGCACAGGGGTGTCTTCTCCATTCGTTGTATCTTCAATCACTAATGGGACTGGCTTCATTTCTGGATGAGTCTTCCGTGGATCTTCAGGTAGATCCCATGCGTTGGGGTAGTACATATCAGGAAGACCCACGGGCTCGGGTATAATGCCATTGAAGCTAGATCTCCTGTCATCAACATGGGAGTCAATGTTAGTAGGAAGACGGTAGCGGTAGTCTGTGAGGTGATGTGGATTAGTTTCCTGGCCGATTGAGGGCTCTGAGCCCTCAGAATGAGGATAAGTTTGTCTTCTCTCTGGACCATTGACATTTTCATTAGAGTCGTGTTGGTGTGAGTCTGATTGAGGTAGCTCAGGGATCTTGGGAGGAGGAGGAGGGGGTTGATAATGATAATCAGTTAGATGGTGAGGATTATGGGGGTATTGTGGTTCGTGATGTTCGTGATGTTCGTGATGTTCATGACGCTCCTGATACTGATGAACCTCATGGTGATAACTTTGCTCTTGATGGTTATGACCATGGTGCCGATCTACTCTTTCGGCTATACGTGGCGGAATAGGAGGCCGCCATTGTTCCTGGTGGCTAGGCTGATGAGCATCAGTTCCACCCCCATCTGCATTGTGATGGTGCTCATGGTGATAGTCCTGTTGATGATGTTCTTGGTGGGGATGTTCATAATGTTCTTGATGATGATGCTGCTGCTCTTGCTGTTCCTGATGGTGATGCTCCTGATGATCGTTATTGTGTTGCTCTTGATGGTGATACTCGTGGTGATGCTGGTGATGTCCTTGATGTTCTTGATGATGTTCTTGATGGTGTTCTTGATGTTCTTGATGATGTTCTTGATGATGTTCTTGATGGTGTCCTTGATATTGATGCTCCTGGTGGTGATGATGCTGGTAGTGCACTACTGGGGGAGGAGGCTGCTGCTTCTGACCTTGGTGGTCATAAGGCTTAAACCAGCCTTCATAATGGGGTGGTTTCTCAATCTCTGGCTCATGGGTTTGGCCATCTAGGCCAATATAATCCCATTTGCTTTTTGGCGGTAGATCGTAGCCATGCTCTACCTCATGAATATCGGATGGCTAGGATGGAAATATAAACATGTGCGGTAAGTCTCTAACATGGCAAGGAGATAAGGGAGGACTTGTTTCTTTTGATAATATATTATATGTTTGTTGCACTTTTTTTTGTAGAACCTCTTGAACACCCATGGATTCCCTCCATTTCTTTTTTATCTTTGTTTGTTCCTGCATACATCCGACAATTTGTAGTCCGCCAAATAGATAAAGAAATTTCAGAGAGTACAAAGCACAAACATCCCCTCTCAGAAAAGAGCTCAGGCCATCCCCATCCTTTCCGAGGATTGCTTCAAAGAATGAGAGCCCAGAAATGGTATCAAGAATATCATCACTGATAAAGGAATTTAGAACTCAAATAATAAAAAACTCAGATTAAGCAGCATTGTGCTTTCAATTCCTCTCGTTAAATTCATTACTCAAAGCATGTACCGATGAAAGTTGAAGAGCTGACATACCTTGCCTCCAACATACTGGTCAAAGACATTCCACCATTGCTGAACAAGCGATATCGAATCTGTAGAAGAGGTGTTCCGTGGGAAGACTGTTCCATCAGCAAAGCGGAGCCACTGCCATGGTTTGAAAGTGCCCACAAAGTGAATGACCGCTAGTTTATCCTTGTATTGTTGGAATGCAGGAGCATAGCTAAGAATAACAGTAATTTACAACAGTATTAATAACAGTGTACCGAGTACCAGTGATCTTTTTTTCTTTTCCCAATAAAAATAAATAAAATAAAAAGCATAGAAGAAGAGAGGAGTGATGCCGTGTTTTCGCTGATAGGATTTCATTGAATGAACTAATATAGCCAAGAAAGTAGCGATTCAGCTAGCAAAAGAAGATAGAGAATTACCCTATCCCTCCTGTTACACCCTTTGCTGGTTACTTTCACGATTGACTCCACCAGGCTTCTTTTTTTTACCCCTGCATTTTGGCATGAAAGCAATTTAACATTCCCTCGCACCGATCAATCAGTTTGTCGCATGGGAGTGGCCCTTTCATGTAACTGTATAACCAACCTGTATGGTAAATCCGCATACCAAGCCTGAGCACATTTATCTTCATGTGTCAACGTAGGGATATGGGTATTTAAACGATGTCATCATTATCTCCAAAGAAATAAAATATAATAAAATAAAAAAGGACTTTGTGTCCCTGAATTCAATCTCGACAGATACAAAACTGAAAAACTGAAAATGTCAATAAACTAGCTCCGCTCACCTGTAAACAGAAGTAGGCGTTGTATTGTAGATGAAAGGAAGGCGGTTACTGACGTCGCCTCTAGACCAGCCATCAAAGTAGCTATTAAGCAAACCTTGATCACCACCTTGAATCATGATAAGTAGTCAACGATATAGAGTAAAGAAAAAAGCTCGTTAACGCTTGGGAGCCTTGCCAATCAAAAGGTAAAAAAAAAAACTTTCTTTCCTTTTAACGTCTTCATTAGATGGGAGGTAGTTAGAATGAGAAACATACCATCAAAGGTGCCCTGTTGTTCTGCCACCTCAATCAACCCCTTGTAATCTTCATACTTGGGTCGACAAACAAACACTCCAGAATTGAAGCAATCGGGCCACCCTGCATCGGGAGCCGCTGCGAAGCGTGTGTTGCGGTCTGGGTCGTCCAATGCGCCGTTGGCTGCAGAGTCAAAGAGCTCATCAATGTTTCGCATCACGAGCGTATCAGCATCCAGGAAAATGACCTTTGAGTACTGGGTTTGGTTGAAGACATGAATTTTTGTCAATGTGATGCCTAGTTCGGGTCTTCCAAGTAATTGTAGATTCTTTGTGGAATGAGAATCGATCTCACCAATCTCGATGACAGCATCGTAGACTTGTGCGATCCGGTCACGAATGGGGCGTGAGACATTAGCTGTAATGAGAATGGCAAGCTTCTTGGTAGTATGGGCCGCACGGAGCGAGTGACCGAGCACAAGTGCGCCACTAGCGTAGTTATTATTGGTGAGGAGGGTAATGTAGGCCTCCATGGCAAGATGCCTAATTCTGAAGGAATGAGGAGAATGGAAAATGGACTCTGAAGGATGAAGAAAGAAAGAAAAGAAAAAAAAGAGAGTGAGTATGAGAGAGAAGCAAAGAGAAAAGGCGACGCGACGAGGACCATCTGATTCGAAAAGTCAAATGATTTAACATGGCAACGGCACGACACTTGCAAGCCATATCAAAACGCGAGTGACTGACAAGCTTTGCTTTTGCTTTTTTTTTTTTTTGCCTTTTCAGTTTTCTTCTTATTCCAAGTGTTACAAGTGCACGAGTGTACGGATTTTATTAATGATGAAGAAAATACAGGATCCAAACGGATGGGGTGAGCACAGACAACAAGCAACGAAAAAAAAAAAAAAAAAAAGTATTATGTCGTTTGCATGTTTCTTGCATATGCCTTTATGCATGCCACATACTTTCAGCCTAACCTTCTTGCCCAATCTATCTTCCTGCATGTCTACACCTCTGCATTAAGGAAAGACATGGATGCCCAATGCGCATGGTCCATCCATATTTGAACATTAACGAAATGAAATCGGATAACTTCGTTCTGATCTAGTACTTTCTACAACTGTTATTAGTGATGCTCATAGCCACATAGTGTTGTTAAAAAAGAAAAGAAAAGAAAAGAAAAGAAAAGAAAAGAAAAGGGAGCGCGGTACAATACATGTGAAAAAAAATAAAAAAATAAAAAAATAAAAAAATAAAAAAAATACGGTCCTTCCGTTTTCACCCCTCAAATCCCAACTTTGAACATCATTTACCCAACACAAAACGCATTGCTTGTTGTACTCTTGTTTGCTTTGTATTAAGGTTACTATCTTTTATCAGTCAGAACCACACGCTTAATGCTCGTATCCGATACAGAGCAAACAACGATAAACAATCATAATCATCAGAAAATCCATCAGGAATTGCTAGTAAAAATGGATGTGAGCTTATCGAAGGGGAAAAAAAAAATGGGTTCAAAAATTTTTATCAATTACATCTAGGACGACAAACCACAAAAGAGGATTGAGTTTCTACATCACGTTCATTTCTATTTCCTCCGTGCAGTTGAAATACAACAATTATACATGGACCTGCATAGTTTGGTTAACAAAAAATAAACAAACACCAAACAAACTAAGGAAAAGGACGTGCGCATGTGAGTTGTCTGTTTAATCGATTGGGAGCTTGATTGTTAGATGGTCTCTTCTTTCGATACTGCGGATGTAGAATTGTAACATATTGGATTTGTCGATCTCCAAGACAAAAACTACAACCGACAAGGGATCATGAGCACATTGCCCTATCAGGTTCTTCATTCTGTATACTTGAACTTATTTTTTATTTTGTTTGCTTATTTTATGTTATCTTATCTGAGTCTTAATGGATCTATTCGTGCAGATTATTAATCACTGTCTGTGTCAGGCTAAAGGTTGCCGCCAAAAGAAAAAGAAAGAGAAAGAGAAAGAGGTGTATAAAAAAGACCGTTAGTAAGAAGGCAATACTATAGTATTTCGTATCAATTAAGGGAAAAGCAAGTAACAGTATTTGCTACTCACCGGCTTAGGAGTTCCCTTGTCTGAGGCTAGCCATTCCAAATGTCTTAATCGACGGCGTGTTTCCTGTGCTTTAAGCTCGTTTCTTGACTTCTTCTTCTTCTTGTTTACCACCACTATCGGCTTCTCTGCATCTTCAAAGTTGCCCTCCTCCACCGCTGTCTTACCATTGATCGTTAGGTGGCCTGTGTTCATCGACCATGTCTCAGGACACAATGCGCTCAAAAACTCATTGCTATGTGAAATCATAATCACAGCTCCTCCCCAGTTGCGAATTGCTACTGCTAGACCGCCCAGCGCTTCACGGTCCAGGAAATTGGTAGGCTCATCCAAGACCAACATGTGTGGGTTATTCCACATCGCTGCCGCAATCACCACTTTGACCTTTTGACCCCCTGAAAGGCCACTGATCGCATTGTGATCTGCAATGTCCCCGTCCAGCCCTACATCCTCTAAATGTCGACGAATACTGGATGGTGTCAACTCACGATACCCTAATCCTTCTCTGGACGCCTCCTTATCATCAAACTGGCGCACTAACTTCTCAAATCCCAATTCCAACAGCCTCTCGCGCGTCATCCATGTGTTAAACTTGTGTACATGATTCTTCCACTTGATCTCGTATTGATACGATTTCTTTAGCTTCTGGCGGCCCATGATCTGCTCTACCTGTCGCTTGCTACCGTCTTTACCTGTCACCCATGTGTCCATCTGTTTCAGCTCTTCGGGCGTCATGGCCACTGTAGGCTTTTCAAGCACCTCGCGGTCTGCGCCCCCTTGGTACCGCCATTGAATGTAAGCATTAGGTGTCTTTTCTAGGTGCTGTTCCAGATGATGGAAGGCATGCTGAGCGACATATCCGATACGGAGATTGGGATGTCTCCATGCGGTTCCCTCTTGAGGCGAGATCTCTCCTGTCAGAAGCTTGATCATCGTCGATTTTCCGGCACCATTGGGGCCGACCACACCAACGCGCGATGACAACGACAATTGCACAGAGACGTTATGCAGTGAAGGCTTGGAAGCCCCTGGGTATGTATATGTACAATTGATCATCTTCATGATGGATCTTGTGTTGGATTTGACACCCATCAAGAATGATGGCTTGGGAAATTCAAATTTGACAGAGGTAGCTGCCAGGGTATAATAGGACTTAGCCTCAGGCTTAAGTTTGACGAACTCTGACAAGTTGCCCTTGTACATCTTAAGTTTCTTGCGTTCAAAATGCAGGATATTGGTGCAAACATTGTCAAGAAAAGAAGAGTCGTGCGAGACGATAATCGACGTAACATTAGTCTGACCCACCAGATACTCTTCTAACCATTTGATGTTCGTAACGTCCAGATGATTGGTCGGTTCGTCCAAAAGCAAGATATCAGCCTTCATAAGCATGGCGCGCGCCAACTCTAGCTTCATCTTCCAACCCCCCGACAGAGATGCGACCTTGCGCTTTTGCATCTCGTCTGTGAAACCGACAACAGCAAGGGCTTTTTTGAATTCCTCTTCGGATTTATCCGTAATTTTGGCACCCAAAACAACAAATTCTTCAACGCTCATCTCTCCTTGTTCCCCTTGCAGTGCATGCTCCACAAAGACTGTACGCAGGACATCGGAGGATGGGAAGCCATCTACTTTCCCTTGCGCTATTGCGCGCATCAATGTAGTCTTTCCAGCCCCATTGGGGCCACACAGACCATACCGATGTCCACGATGAAGTCTGAGCTGGGTGTGATTGAGTAACATCATACCCCCATATGCCAACGAAAAATCAATATTGCAGAGCTCCTCGCCTTCTTCATTATCCTCAACAACAGCTTCACCATTTAGCTTATGATTAAGATCAATGTAATGACTGAGGATGGTCTTGACAACGGCAGCTGCATCGTTCGCAGGCATGAATGCCAGAAAATATGGCGTCACGATTTGATTCCACTCTCGTGGTGATAAGTTCTCCTCCTTGATTAGTACGATCGACAAAGCTGCCACATGCTGTTTGACAACATCAAAAAACGCTGGAAAGAATCCAAATTTGCTAACAGCGCGATTTACAACTGTGCGTGCCTGAGACTCCGTAGGCACGATGGATCCTTCTCGTGTATAAGGGTCAATTCTGGTGGCACCACCAGCCCTAATAAGCGTGTTTTTTGCAGCAGTAGCCAAGGCACGGATCTCAGGCAGAGCGGCTACGTCAATGATACGTTCTAAACCGGGCAAAAGATCCGGCAAGAATTGACCAGCTTCTGCTGGATCCTTGACGAGCTTACACAGATTATCAACAATTATAGTAGTCTGACGCTGGATAGTCGAAGACCGTTCATTCAGAGCACGTACCAAGAGTGGTACCATAATAGCGAGTGCTGGTCCATGCATGTCTGCCACAAAAGTTGTGGCGGAGAGCTTTTCTATGACTGCTGGAACTTTATCTGGATGCGCCATGCAGTCACACAAATCCTTGAGATGACGAGAAATATCTGGGTTACCACCCACATTGCACACGCGCAGCATGGTTTTGCTTGCTTGTTCTGCAACCTATATTTTCAAGAGGATATACAGAAGGGCTCGCTTATTAGGAATTTGATCTTTACAACAGCCTTTCTAGATTTCTCTACGCATACATAAAACGTAAGGCTTTACCTCGCTTTTTGTGTCCAGAAGACAGTCCTTGACAATAGGAATGATCTCTGGCAAAGCAACGCCAATCTGAATAGGCGATGCATTGGAAAGATCCGCTAACAGTTGTAACGCACCAACTTTAGCCTGCCACTTCTTGCCTGGTCCTTTAATGCATTCGAACAATACTGGTAGAACAGTGGGTGCTGACTGGGAAGGCATGATGGCTATAATCGCTTCCGCAGCTCTGGCAGCTGCATCCTGTACCACAGGTCCTTTGTCAGCATACAAATCCAGTATCGTAGGAAGCATAGGAACCAGGTAGGGCTCTGAGGCTTGACCAATGACATCTGCTAAAGCACATATTCCAATTAACGCTCCCTCGCGTGCAAGGCCAGACTTTTTGTTTTTAGCCTCTGTCTCCAGATTACTGAGCATGTTGGTGGTTTTAAGATGAATGAGACCATCCTTGACCAATTTAGCAGCCATTGCACGAGCAATGTCATCACATTCCTCAGAAGTGGGGGCGGTGTAGAGCTGTGAGAGCATCTCGGTGAGCTCGTCCACGTTATCCTTGTTCTTGGCTTGCGTGGACGAGCCTTGAGCAGGAGTCGGCCCTGCTTGCGATTCAGACGAGGGCAACATTGGTGATGGCGATGTGTAGTTACAAGCGTGCAGAAATAAGTTTGTGAATGATTTTGTTGTGCGATGCGGCACAGACGCAACTTCAACTTCTGCGCCACCTTCTTTTCCTTCCCCTCCTATTGCGTAGCGACACATACCGTTGAAACGGTGCCAGCTTTCTTTTAATAAAGAACGCTTGAACTGGCCTGTGCTTACACATTCTGTCGCGTGGGAAAGAAAGCCGTGACACCTTTTCTTTTATTTCAAGTACCGCTTACAACTATTTGACTACGCGTACATATTACCTACTGAGCACTTTCACCATGTCTGTTAGAATTTAAAAACGATTAAACCCGATGAACCTTAGTTTGAATACTACAAGCTTTATCTTCATTTTTATTTTTTTTATTTTTAGTAGACATATTTTAGTCGAGGAGAGTCGACATGTTTTGTCTCCAGCCACGAAGATAACATTTATCCGCGTGAGAGTATGTGCTCTTGAGGATTGATGGATAGATGAATAACAGTAATAGCCTGAAAAAGCATCATCTCGCCAGTTAATTGTTGGGCCATAAAATGCTCCTGGACATGGCTAACAGAAAGAGAAGTGGCAAACTCTCATATAATAGGACTGCTACGAATTACAAACACTTCATCAGCAGAGTGACCATAGTAGTGAATGTAATCTACAGACTACACACGTTTTCGTCTTCAAGACACCTGCTTGTTATCATGACAGGTGTTAGACATCTGGCGTGAATCATATTTCTAATATTCAAACCCTCTTTTTATTTATTGATTTGCTTATCGTCTTCCTGCAGCAATTGTAATGTCTTCTCGGATATTTTGATCACACTCGTGGGCATACCTGCTAAGCGTGCTACATGAATTCCATGGGACTTGCGGCATACTCCTGGAATAACCTGATGGATATAAGCAAATGATCCATCATCTTGCCTTTCTATCGTTGTTTGGTAGCATCGTACACGCTCCAGGGGCTCTTGACCCTTCCACAGTTTTAGGGCCTGGTCTGAACGCACAGCGGCTACAGTCTTCGGTGTTGTTTTGACCCCAAAGGTACCATCGATGGCACCAACCATATCAGCGAGCTCATGATAATGTGTTGCAAACAGGGTCCTGCACCTGTTAACATGGTAAAGGTGATGCAGCGTAGCATAAGCAATGGCACATCCGTCCAAGGTTGCAGTACCACGGCCCACCTCATCCATGATTACAAGTGATCGTTCAGTAGCGTGCTGTAGGATCGACGCTGTCTCTGACATTTCCACCATAAACGTTGACTGCGAGTTAGCAAGGTTGTCAGATGCCCCAAGCTGCTTGACGAAAAAAAAAAAAAAAAAAAAAAAAAAAAATTAAATGGAATGACAGGCAGCCAGTCCAAAAAGTTTATGCAATCAAAGTTTCGAAGCTTACTCTACTGAATACTTTATCGACAATGCCAAGGCGAGCACTGAAAGCGGGTACAAAGCTTCCCATCTGGGCCATGATTGTCAGAATGGCATTCTGACGTAAGAACGTGCTTTTGCCACCCATGTTGGGGCTATCAAAGGCCATACCAGAAATAAAATAAGTAAACTCTGTATGTAGAAGATAAATTCAGTATTCATTGGTTGCCTCTTTATATGTTACCCAGTCAATAGCCAGATCAGTTCGTTCTGACCAACCGAGCAGTTATTTTCTACGAATTGACGACCTTCGCTTTGTAGCGCCAGCTCTACTACGGGGTGACGACCCGAGATAACAACCGATTCCTCACTAGAAGTAAATTTTATATGATAATTATAATTCAATCAATCGAAATACTTTTTTTTTTTTTTTTTTTTTTTTTGTTAGACTGAACATACTAACCTGCTGTTCAGAGTAGGACGAACATAACGACGCTCAAGCATCATCTTGGCAAATGACACAAGGACATCCAACTGTGCGATATATCGGCAGTTCTGTACAATGGCTGTACTCTCCTCTAGAATTTCTGAGCGCGTGGCACTAAGAATACTCTTCTCTTCTTGGACGATTTGAAATTCCAGTTTCTCAATAGCATCCATGATTTGAGATAATGCCTACACAGGCAAATAGAGCGAGTGAGCACCATCCATTACTCCAAAAAAAAAAAAAAAAAAAAAAAAAAAAATTCTGAATGAGCATTTGACTTACTGGTACTTGATATCTCACTCTGGACCGCTTCTGCTCTGTGTGGGACACATCTACAACATGTCCTTCCATGAGAGCCTTCAAGCGCTCCGCAGTAATAGTACTCCTCATTTCGACCACATGTCGATATCCAAAGGACGACTTGATTTCAAACGGTCGCGCCCCGCCTAGATAATCAGTCCATGACGCCAATAATTTTGTTCTTTGGGACTTCAGGCTTTTAAGCTCATCATGAAGATTGTTTAAAGTTGGACTCACACCTTGATTGATGAACCCATATTCTTGGCTCTGCTGTCCCATATTTTCATCCACCACATCTCTAATCAATTTGCAGATATGTTCCAGCCCACAGATATTGTCTACGGTTTCCTGGACGAGGACTGGTATAGAAGCGTTGCTTAGACTTTGTTCGATAGGATGCTTTCTAATACTTTGTTCAAGCATTATCTTATCTGACAGCCGAAGCTTGATTTTCTGAAGCGCTTCGAGTGTAGTTCGAATGGCAACTAGATCTTGTGGGTCGATCTGTCCAAGAGATAGTTTTTGGATGGCACGTTGTGCATCTCGGCACTGTGTCAAATAGACCTCAATATCATGGATTAAGTGGCTATCTTGACCAAAGAATTCGACCATGTCCAAGCGATTATTGATTTTGTCAACGTTGGTTAAAGGTGAAGCTATCATGAGAAGAAGTTTTCCTTTGATTTAGATGCACATAGTTCACCTCTTGCGAAATAAGAAATGTCTTTGTGAAGAGAATATAACCTTACTCAACCAGCTGGCTAGTAATCGAGATCCTGCTTTAGTCTTTGTCTTGTCCAGATGGTAGAGCAAGCTTCCTGTCCTGGAAGCGTCTCTCAATGTTCTGACCAATTCTAGCGCCTCGATTGTGTTCTTATCAATCTTCATAATTGAGTCATCTTGCCATTTGGTTGGCTGCTGCACTACTGGTCGCCTTCCCATTTGTGTATGGTTAACATATCTCAAGATGGACAAACATGCTGACTGCTCTCGATTAGAGAAAGATCTGAGATACTGTGGATTGAAGCCAAGTTGTTCTTCTGCCTCTTTGAGGATTTCATTCTCGACTTGCGCTGCCATCTGGGCCGCACTTCGCATGTCCTCAAAGTCTATAACGAATTTCCCCATCTTTTGGATAGTCTGCAGTACCGGATGTTCCGGGTCTCTGCGCAGATTTGAGTTTAAGATGATTTCACGTGGCCGAATACGAGCTAGATCATTGCCAAAGCTGTCAAAAGTAGTTTCCTGTGTGAAGAAGTCACCGGTGGAGAGGTCAAGCCAGGAAAGCCCTAAGAAGCGACTTGTTTTCTCTGTAGCTACAGCCAAAAGCCAATTGTTTTCGCCTTGATCCAAAAATTGTTCATCAATTAGTGTTCCTGGAGTCACGATACGATAAACTGAACGGCGGAATGATCGACTACTCCCTCCATGCTGATGGTCTCCTTGGTATTGTTCGCAGAGCGCGACTTTAAGATTATGTTTACCAACAAGAGTCTCAAGATGACGATCAAGTTGTCGTATTGGAAAACCAGTGAAAGGTACAACTTGCCCTCCAAATGCCTTTGAGACTACTTTGAGGCCCAACAGATGGCCATACTCCACTGCATTATGGTCGTAAAGCTAGGATAATGGTTGATACCAGCGTCGATGTTGACATTGGTTTGATAGTCCAGAATTTAGGATCCTTAATGTAATTACAGAGATATCGAGTAAACTTGAACCTAGAGAATTATTTACCTCGTAAAATTCCCCGACTCTGACCAGTAATACACAATCAGGATAAGTTTTCTCCAACTCCAAAATCTGCTTCCGTAATGGAGTTAGTCGTACTTTTGATTCAACTGGTTGCGTTATGGTGGTTGTCATTTGAATGATTTCATCTGCTTCTGCCATTTCAATGTTCTCAATGGTTTCAACACTACTCTCAGCTTCAAGTACTGGCTTATCTTTCTTTTTTGTGCGTTTCTTCCTCAGATTTGGTTTTGATGAAGCTTCTAAAGTTGGCCCTGTTATTGGTATCATGATTGGAAATGTTGTTGGATTCGGATTCACGCTCTCCAAATCACTCAGAGACAAGATAGACCTCTTAGGAACGCCACCTAACCTTCTCAATGCCTCTGATTCTAAATATCGCAGACTAAACTCCTCTGGCGGCTGTGCCGCTACAGCAGCGTTAGTTTTTGTCCCGCCATTTGATTTGCCCCACAGCGGTCTCGAAGGGCGAACTGTGCTGGAGGAATGGTTGCGACGTATGGTGGAATTGGTGGCAACAAGAACTTTTTTCCAAGTCTGACCTAGGGGTTGTTGCGAGATCCCTTTCCATAAAGTAGATGAGATGGATTGTGGGCAAACAGTTTGGACATGTACAAGTCTGAAGTAATACTGATGTCGACATGGTCCATACATTGCATCTGCTCGTCTTTTTTGAGGCTGTCGAGCTGTGCAGTATTTCAAGGTAAAACAAAAAGGATCTGACAGACCCATTTACCAGTCACGACAACTTAAAAAAAGAAGCTCATCTTTGGTTATTGACATTGTCTTCATCCAGGCACATTCTCATCACCATGTCTGCAGGTACATACAAATTGGCTGAAGATCCTAAAGCTTGTATCGAAACAACAAGCTATTAAATCAAAATTTTTTTGAACACTCCACTTCACTCAACCTCTTTCTCTCTGTTCTTTACGCTACTAGTATCTTCAAGACCTATTGTCCTCTCAGGCCCCTCTGGCGCCGGAAAGTCGACTTTCTTGAAGCGTCTCTTTACCGAGTATCCAGACAAGTTTGGATTCAGTGTCTCTCGTATGTATCGCTTGCTTTATTGAGTTTTTTGTAATAATGCGCAAAGGACGAAGCGTTGTTGAGGAGTGGTTTTTTAATACTAGATTAGGTCCTCGTTTTCGTTTTTTATTTTTATTAATTAGATACTACCCGTGCGCCTCGTGCTGGAGAAAGAGATGGTGTCGAGTACAACTTTGTGACTAGAGAAGAGTTTTTGGCTGGTGTTGCGCGCGGCGAATTCATTGAGTACGCAGAATTTTCGGGAAACTTGTACGGCACCACAATTAATGCTGTTAAAACCGTTGGTGATAAGGGCAAAATTTGCATCTTGGACATTGATATGCAGGTAGGAAGCAGCATCCTGGTGGAGCTTTATGAGGAGAACCATCTACCGATTACAATCGATTAATTATTCCTTTTGGACAATATGATAACTTAGGGAGTCAAATTAGTCAAACAGACTGATCTGAAGCCCTACTATATCTCCGTCCAGCCGCCATCAATCGCAGAGCTCGAGAAGCGTCTTCGTTCTCGGGGTACCGAGAAGGAAGAAGATATCGTTTCGCGTCTTGCCGCGGCTCAGGGCGAAATCGATTATGCTAAGGAGGAAGGCACATACGACGAAGTCATTATCAACGACGATCCTGAAACAGCTTATGCCAGATTCAAGGCCTTTATTAATAAGGGTAAATTGGAGTAAAGAATTGAAGGAGCAGACAAATGTGTTCCATGGATGAAAGTCTATAAAGTGCTAATGTTTTTTCTTGTTTTCATGCTTTCAATTCTCATTGATTGTTCTTTAGTTACCATCTAATAGTTATAACGTAGTTACTATAACGACATAAATCCTATTAGAGTAGGACAGACAATAGATATTGTAGAAAAAAAAAAAAAGGTTTTTTAACTTATACGTTGGTACTTTGTGCTTACAAAGATTTTTATTTTTATTTCTTGATGAGTGAGCCACGACTGAAGGCGTTCAGGGTATATAAATGAACGTATATGCTCGATACGTCAGATCCTATACCCGCTCTATCCATCAATGATTTATGCAATTGGCCGAAAGAAAAAAAAATGTATCTACACAATTGTGCACATGTTAGTTCATTCAAGCCCATGGATGGGTATATCCCGTCCTATCGGTTTCCGATACACGTTGGATCTGGATAAACTGGTTATGGAAGGTGACACAGCCATGCGGAATGGATAAAATGATCCCTCTTTTTAAAGTCCATGTGCTATTATTCATTTTACACACGAAAATTGTATCCGACATTTTTTGCTCACTATCAGTGTCAGCGACAAGTAATTAATGACCCAAGAAGGTCTTTAAACCAAATAAAAAAAAGAGCATTGTAATCATCATAGTCAATGGGATAGATTGCAATATATATCTCCTTACTACCACAAGGATAAAGAGACTTCTTCTATTACATGTGTTCTACACATAATCTGCAATCGTAGAGACCCTTCTTGACTTGGTTGACCAGAGCAAGAAAGGAGTTGGCAAGGGTATCTTCTCCCTTAGTTGGATGATCTCATCAGAGGAGTCTCCATCCATCGGAAGACAAATTGGTAGCACCCAACGCTAGTACAATTGATTGCTATTTGGACCTTTTATTCCTTGTCCTTGCTCTGATAGCTGCATTTGAACCCAAATTGCTTTTCTCTTTAGCCTCTTCGAGCTTCTAGCCCTTTTTTCTTTACCTTTTACTCTTAACAAGTCTTTGTCAACAACTCACCCTCACCTTGGTCCTCTTCATCTTTACTCTCTCTTGATCTAAGCATTCGTTCTTTACCACAACTATTATTAGGCATGTTCTATTACATTACTACATTCCAATGGCAAATTATTCATCAAAAAATCATTTGGCTACTTCCACCTATTTGCTCATTCTCTTTTTGAATTATAATGCATCTCTTTAGTCAAACACGCAAAGTAAAAAGAAAAGAAAAGAAAGGAAAAAAAAAAAAAAAAAAAAAAAAAAAAAAGAGAGAGAGAGAGAGAGAGAGAGAGAGAGAGAGAGAGAGAGAGAGAGAGAGAGAGAGAGAGAGAGAGAGAAAGAGCAAAGGAGTCAGGAAGCAACATCACGTAACTCCATGTGTGTGCAACGGTACCATTTGTGCAGTACATTCTTCATTCCACCACATCAGTTTTATTTCATCTTCTATGGCTGATGGAGTTGTGCCTTTTTTATTTCTTTCTGTGGGTCTCGCGGGAAAAAAGTGTGCGTCAAACACTTCGTCTCAGTTCATATAACCTTGCTCTTGATTAAACGATGATTGAAAAGGAGAAAATCAGGCACAAAGCACAAACAAAAAACCCTGACAAAAGACAGTACATCCCCTCCATCATTCTCCACTCCACTATTGGACACATTCATCGTTTGGTTTCCTTAGCCCAGTCTTTTGTAAAGTTTATGATCTACCCTGTACTTTTTACTGTGATTGTCTGTTTTCATTGGTTTTTTTTTTTTTTTTTTGTCAGGGGCAGGAGAGACATCCCTGGAAAATGTTCCTGGATGCATTCATGCGCAATTTTTTTTTACCGTCCTTCATCCTTTTTTGCCACCATGAGAATTTTTCGTTCTTTTATTTCATGAAATATCCTGGCTTGAAGTATCAGTACGTGTTTATGCGTATATGTGTGTGTAGTTTCATGACAAATGCTCTTTGGCTTCGCGGGTTTGCCTTTTGTTGCTTTGAGGCTCAGAAGAGAGGAGTGTTCTTGTCTAGAACAAATGATTGGGCGTTCGCAACGTCTTGTTTTCTTGATTTCTGAACCGGAGAAGCGCTGTTCTCGGCTCGAGTATGGTGCTGTCGTCTACTCCTCCTATCTTCTATACTGTATCAAAAAAAGTAGCGACCTGGTTGAATGTTTGCACTGTTCGCTACTACAACATTGCTTCTTTTTGTTTTTCTTTTTCTTGTACTCTTGTTTGAATGAACACATGGCGAATATTTCATTCATATCCTTGCATTTAGACCGTTGGTTGTCTCCATTTCATATATCTGCTATCACTTATTTCCTATAGTTTGTTGTTGTCACATTTCATTTTCACTTATTGTTTGGGATTGCTTTGATCACAATCAGGTCACCCATTATTGCATTCAAGCATCAACAATTGATGTATATCTGTTTTTATTGTAAGAAAACACAAAGAAAACATCTGGCGTGACAGCAACAGAAACAGAGGAGGCTGTCTTTTATTGCTATTTCTTCGTCTCTGTGATATCCATCGACCCTATCCATGTTTATTCCCCTCGTTCCTCTTTTCATGTGCCTGTTTGACCAAATTGTACTCAAATGCACAATGCACAACCCTATCATCAATCTTTGACCAATGGACTAAAAAAGCCATTTCACACCTTGCTAATCAACTCGCCTTCCTTACTCCTCCTTCTCCCCCCTTTTTTTATCCTCTGCACCTCTTGTCTTTCTTCTTTTTCTTTCTTATCTCTCACCACTTTAACATTGCACGGATACAGATATAACGATTTATTTCAAGCTAATCAAGCAATAGCCAGTCATCCGAGATCTCACTTGAACGATTTACAGGAAGTGATTTTTATTCAAGCAAACGCATATCTCCTGAATCAACGTACCCTCTTAGTTATTATACGGCAACTAGTTCCGTCCTTTGCTAGCTGTCTAATTACAGGGGGCATTCAACTGATATAGTTGCAAAATGGGAGCAGGATGCTGTAAAGAGGAAGCAATAGATTTTGATGGTGAAAGTAGGTTGATTTGCAAAGAGTAAATGTATCAAGCAGATTATAACATTTTGATACTTACTCGGTTCTCTCTCTTTCCTTTTCTTTTTCTTTTTTTTTTTTTTTTTATTTTTTTTATTTTTTTTTTTTATTTTTTTTATTTTTGTTTTCATACTATAGTTGAGCTATCACATTTTCATTTGCTCCGGTCAGTTGGAAAGGGTGCATTTGGGAAAGTAAGGGTTGTTCAACACAAACGAACCAAGGAGATCTATGCACTCAAATATATCAATAAGACAAAATGTATCCGGATGCGAGCAATCGAAAACATCATTCAGGAAAGACGATTATTAGAAGAAGTTGAGTTCCCACTGATCTGTAACTTACGATACGCATTCCAGGACGACGAAAACCTGTTTATGGTTTTGGATCTAATGTTGGGAGGCGACCTTCGTTTCCATCTGGAGCGAGCAGGGCCTATGAAAGAAGAGGTAGTGCGGTTTTATGTTGCGGAATTAGCTCTTGCGCTGGACGCACTTCATTCGAGGAGAATTATACACAGGCAAGTTTTTTTTTTTTTTTTTTTTCTTCACATTCATTCAATGTTTATCTATTAACGTCTTTTTTTTTTTTTTTTTTTTTGACCACGCTGGACTGAATTTACATATAACAGAGATCTAAAGCCCGATAATGTGTTGCTGGATGAACATGGACATGCGCATTTAACCGACTTTAACATCGCAGTATATTACAGCCCCGCCAAACCATTGCTTTCAATAGCAGGAAGCATGGCATATATGGCACCTGAAGTGCTCTTACGCAAAGGATATTTTGAATCAGTCGACTGGTGGAGTCTAGGTGTAGTCATGTTTGAATTACTTTTTGGCAAGGTATTATTCCACGAATAAGCTTAGGAGGACGTCACCGTAGTAAAATAGACTCTTGATCATGTACTGACCAATGTATTCTTTTATGTTTCAGCGACCATTTCGAGGAAAGAGCAATGATCTATTGAAAAATTCAATCCTACGCGATCCTTTGCCATTTCCAGAAAATGCACGAGAAATAGTTAGCGCGAATTGTATTGATGTTCTTTCAAGGGTATGTGAGCAATATATTATTACTGCCGCCTATGTCTTCGAATATATTATTTTATAGACAATGAGGGGACTAAATTAATTTGACAATCAAATTTGGTTTTGCTTACACAGCTCTGTGAAAGGGACATCAAAAAACGGCTCGGTTGTACGCCTGATGGTTTGAATGGATTTAAGAAACATCCGTGGTTTGAAGGTATTGAATGGGATAAATTAGTCACAAAGGAGGCTACTCCTCCATTTCAGCCAGATGTAAGTGTTTAAAAATAAGATGATGTGCTTTGTGCATGCCAGTATATCTCCTGGGCAAAAATAATCTCTCTAGTGTAGCTAACCCGTGTGCCTCATTTGCTGTTCATTTTGTAGTCAAAACGCGCCAATTTTGACGCCACTCACGAGCTAGAAGAATTGCTGATGGAGGATAACCCATTGAAGGCCAAGAAACGCGCACAGACTACACCAGAGACAGAACTGTCTACAGAGATGCAAATTATGGAGGACCAGTTTACAGTATATGATTTCACAAAGGTCAAACGTCCTCATTCAATCAACCGTGGTCGCATTCTTCGTCCTTCGAATGATCCAAAAATGAGCAGTGGAACTTTGGATGGAATCGTAACACGGACCAGTAGTGGACGAACTGAACACATGCCTATGATATCACAACCTGCCAAAGTTTATCGGTCAGGAAGCCCCAGTGAACGCGTTGGACAGGATCGATATAATCATGACGAGGAGCACCTATCACTCACTAACCCTGGAAATCGGAGCTCACCTCTCAGTAGTCCCACGTTAGGAGCATCAAATAGCTCAGTAAGTAATGACGACTCCAATAGATATAAGGCCGATTCAGAGAAGGGTGGTTATCTTGAATCACAGCAACAGCAACAACAGCAATCACAACAATGGCAAAAGAGGAGGCAGCAAATCCAACAGACATATGAGTCTACACCATTCCAGACTAAAGCTCTAGATGACCTGTTACAAAGTGAGGCCATCATTTTACCGCCATCATCATTACCTCGTCCATTACAGCCACGAGATAGCGCTACAGGTCTGCGCGCAGGAACTCCTCGGCAACATTCAGATTCGTCTTCGCCGTCTTTGTCAGCTCATCCTAATGCTCAGTCCTCAGTATCATCCTACGTCACTCCTTCATCTACATGCAGTGTTCCACCTACGTCTCAGAAACCAGTACAGCAGCATCAGCTGCAGCAACCAAGTTCATACCTCTTCTCGTTACCGGACTCTGGCACAACCTTATCATCCTTTGGCCCTAATTCTAATGTGGCAGATCCTTTACAGGATTCAAGCAGTACTCCTCCTGTAGTGCGTAGACCAGTTCGTAGTCGTGGGTCCTCTAATAACACAGTCAACTCAATGCCTGCAGCAATATCTCCATCCACGGCGAACAACCCAAGAATACCGACACAATACCAGGGAAATGACAGCCCTGATTCTTATCAATCTATGAGCACTGGTAGGGCTATGAACAGCAGCCAGCCTTCATCTCAGTCATATCAAATCCACGATCAACAGACACGCCCCACAAGTGCCTATACACCAAGCTGTCGAAATGGATCACTTGTATAAGAGACCGAATAGCATCTTATCATTCAGGACAACATAGCAAACCAAACCAAGCCTAATTAATCATACAAATCTTGAACCCACACCTCAAAGCATATGACACAAACTATCACGAGCATACCTGTAATATATACACTCTCATTAGAAAAGATACATAAACGTAGCAATGATAGGCGAGCCCAATTATGAATGTACCAAAGTAGAAGATAGCACTTAAGTTTGCGTGCAATGTGCTAAAGACAAGAAATAGCGTGCTAGAAAATGATGTTGATCGCCACATTAGGATCATTGATGTTACTTGATTAAATAGAGCCAGTATCCCTTTCTTGTATCTGCACCAGATTTGGCGAAAAAAAAAAAAAAAAAAAAAAAAAAAAAAAAAAAAAAAAAAAGAGAGAGAGAGAATTTGACTTAGATACGAATTAAGGCATCTATTTATTATGCTACATCCCCCTCTTTCTTAAGCTAATTTTGAGCAAGTTGATCTCAGGAACTTGAAAACGTAGAGAGGATCGGAATTCACTATGATGATCTAATGACATGGGCAATCTAATGTCGTCCATCATGTCGCAGAATAAGGTTCAATATATCACAAACAACACAACAGGATAAGGGATAGGGGATACGTTTAGTTGCTAATAATGGACTTGATGAGGTTACGAAAGCCATACAGAAAACTAACTTTGTCGGTATCATGAGGCAATCTCGTACCCAAACAATGAAGATTGACTGAAGATGATTTTGGGAACTCGCATTATAAGTATTTAGAGAGGATGCTCCAGGCCACGAGAGCATGCGGCATGTTATAAAGATGTGAATTAGTTCAACAATCATCGTACCCAACGTTTTGCAGGGTCAAAGCTGAGAGGTAAAAGCAAGCAAAGCAAATACACGTTTTTTTGGGAATGAAACAATTCACGCACAAGGGGTCTTACCAATTTATGGGAACTTAATAAAGCAAAATTGAGTAAAAAGGAAATAGTCATGTTTAAGCATGCCAACGCGTTTCCGAGTCTACAGTAAATTCACTAAACTAATAATTAGTCAAACAAAAAAAAAGAGATCGATGTCTTGATAGACTGTTGGTGGTTTTCATGGTAAGAGAGCTAATTGGTAACTGGAAGAAGACTGCATAGAGCGCACGGACGTGTTCTTCGAATATTTCATTTGCGATTTTGAAGGATGATTACAAAATGATTCTGGACAAAACATGATTTTTTTTTTTTCTTTATTTTGAACCATCAAATAAGCAGGCTTGATTGCTGCAAATAAATGCAGCTCCCAACAGTAATTGATTCAATTTGTTCATAAGATGTGAATAATACTTTGGTGTGCCGTTTTAACGAGAGTGTTGGGTTTGTGTGCTGATGTTAAGAGAACACAAGCCCAGATATCACCAGGTGCAAAGGGCGCAGATCCAATCTACCAAGTGCTTAGTAGAGACGGACAGGCTTGTTCATCGAGGACTTGATGTACAAGGTCTTGACGTTCTGCCAGTGCTTCTTGAGAAGGGAAACCAAGAAGTTGACGGACATCATGATGTTAGCGAGGAGCTCATCCTCGGTCATCTCAACGTGGCCGACAGCAACACCCAAGCAAAGAACCTTCTTAAGCTGGAACTTGATGGTGGCACGGATCTCATCAGCCTTCTCACCAATGTTGTCAGAGTGAGTGACTGGGGTGGGGAACTTGCCGGCCTTGTGGAGACCAGGTCCGAGAAGACGGGGAATCTGCTTGATCAAAGCCTCAGAGGCAATGAAGGCATCGTACTTCTTGGCGAGCTTCTTGATCAACTTCTTGTTCTTGTTGAGCTTCTTCAAGTCATCAACAGACTGGTATTCCATGCCAATCTCCTTGGCCTGGTCGCAGTGAAGGGCATCACCGAGAATGCACACGGACATCTTGGGGCGGGGGATGTTGGGGAGACGGACAGAGCCAGAGAAACGCTTATCACGCTGGGGATCGTAGTTCTTGAGACCAATCTGGAGCTCGACAGTCTCAACGAACTTACGCTTCTTCTCCTCGGACTGCTGCTTGACCTGGCGAACGCTCTCGCGGACGGCCGAAACCTGAATTTTGCTGCTGTTAACGTTGGAAGTAGAAAGAAAAAAAAAAAAAAAAAAAAAAAAAAAAAAAAGACGAGGGAAAAACGAATATGATATCGTCAGTTAGTTAATGATGATACAATTAACTGATGCTCCTTATTTTCATTGTATTCTTTTCGTAAACTGCTGTATCCTGCGAACATCGAATGATGTCTATAAAGTATATCGCACTCGCTCATTCTGAGTATGTTGCTCCTTGTAGAAAGATTTGATGTGAAAAATAGAAATCTTTAAAAATGAATAGTGCGCCTTGCTACTGAATCGAATTAGCCGTCAAGTCTATTAATTAGAAGTGATCCATGCTTTAATCTATTGTAATATTGTTGACGATGAAGATTATGGCCGCGTGCATCATTGTATCCTCGTGTGGTTGTTGATTATATAGAAGTTATTGCTAGACACATGCGTTTATAAGAATAGATAGACATATAGATAGATGGGTGGATGGACGGACGGATGGATAGATGGATGGATAGGCCAACGCAAATTCTTTATCACACAGTGTTACATGCCTCATGTTGGTTAGATGGCTACTAAAAATGGGAGGGAGAACAAAGGCGACCACGGACAAAAATGAAATTTATACTTGCCGCAGGCCAAGAAATACTAAGCCGCACGTTTCTCTTTTGGAACACAACGGTTATTGCTGTGAATACATCCTCTTTCATTTCCCCACATTCTACGCCGCAACAAGCATGTACTTTTGCCCAAACTGCTCCAACTTGCTGCTGGTCCAGTCTGACGGTGCACAGCAGCAACTGTATTGTCAAACCTGTCCATATATTTATCCTATTGTCAAAACTGTATGCTTTCTATCAATTGTGACGATGTGTTTATTTCCAGTTCCTTTTTTTTTTTTGTCAAAAAATTTTATTCGGCAACTGTAATCTCAGCATAAATTCTAATAAAAAAAATCGATAGATTGTGCAAAGGAAGGCGTTAGAGAGGAAGCAGGTCGATGATGTATTGGGAGGAGACGATGCTTGGGCGAACGTAGATCAGACTGAAGGTAAAAAGTCCTTTATATGACTGAGTTTATGCTTCACCAAGTGTCTTAATAACCGAAAAGGCGCTGTGGGAGATAGCCGTCATGGTTAGCTGTACATTGCTGGTCATGAACTAACATTCTTTTATTATTATTCATATAATTTGTTCATGGCAATTGTCTCAGCTTCCTGCCCTCGCTGCGAACATGACCGTGCTTACTATATGCAGATTCAAACGCGCTCCGCAGATGAACCTATGACTACGTTTTACAAGTGCTGCGATCTAAAGTGTGGCTGGCAGTGGAAAGAATAACGAGATCAGGGATGGACGGATTGTCTCCAAACTCTGATCATACTTCTTGGATTTATTTCCTCCGTAGGATATACTAGACCTCTCTTTAGTATTCCTCGACTCGGAGTCTACTCACTTGCATATTTACTCTACTAATTAATGTATTATTAAAACGTATTAATATTTTTTTATTGAAAGATTTCCACCAAGACCAGTGTGGTGAAAATTTGTCCCTGTATAAAAGCAATGAGAGTCACGGTGCACGTGCACAACTTTCTTACATGCTACATGTCATTTGGCAAGTTGCTTTCATCGCCATTCCCATCTTGTCATTTTTGTTGAAATACCCCTGTCTTCTGCCCTATTCAGCTTTAAGTAATCTGATTCATTTGGTTTCGTGCCTAATAACTGAATAATTGCGCTATCAATATGGCCGCCGAGTTTATTAGACAAAACGCGCACAAGTTTTTTACTTCGAACAGGAAGGGTAAAGAATAAAGAGGTTCTTTTTTGACTGAAGTATACATACCACTGAACTATTAATACGGAGGAGAAAAAATTCGGTTCAAAAGGCTTGGAGTGTCTAAAATATGTAACTCCTCTAAATTCAATTACAATGTCGAAAAATCACGACGTATGATAATAAACACCTATAATAAAACAGGAGAAAATGCTGAACTACTGGCTGATCTGAACAGTGAGTACCGCGATCGTCGCAAGGATGCTGTTAAACGTGTCATTGCTAACATGACGGTGGGGAAGGATGTGAGCTCTTTATTTCCACATGTCGTCAAGAATATGCAAACGGAGGATTTGGAGATGGTAAACTTGCTTGGATACACTTTGGGCTGTGAGGAATGTCAACTTTATAGTCTTTCTAATGTATCTTCAGACATTAATGCCTTCCCCTCCCCCCTAATTTCTGTGAATGATAGAAAAAACTTGTATATCTTTATTTGATGAACTATGCAAAATCAAATCCAGACTTGGTTATCCTAGCTGTCAACACGTTTGTAAAGGTATGGGTCTCATTAGAACTAAACAAACGTTGTCGTGTTGATGATGAGACTATGAGGAAAGTTCGGTTTTCGTTGCAAGAGAGACTTTGACAAACCCTTTTAATCTATTTTATTATTATCATAATTTTCTGTATTCCTTTGTTCTAGGATACGGATCATGTTAACCCACTGATTCGTGCGCTTGCCATTCGTACTATGGGCTGTATCCGTGTCGATAAAATTTTGGATCACTTGTGCGAGCCGCTCAGGAAATGTTTGGAGGACGACGACCCATATGTGCGCAAGACTGCTGCTATCTGTGTCGCTAAACTATGGGATCTAGATCAGGAGAGAGCTTTGGAGAACGGATTTGTCACGATTTTGCAAGGACTCGTCTCGGATTCAAATCCCATGGTAAAAGCTGGGCCTTTCTGCTCATAAGCGTACCCAGTATAGTAAGAGTAAGGGGGCTTTTCCTAATATCGAATCAATTTGTTAACCTCTTATAGGTCGTCGCGAACGCGGTTACGGCTTTGGCTGAAATGCAGGAGTCTTCGGAAACTAAGGATATATTTGTAGTAAACGTGGCGATCATGAATAAGATGCTTGCAGCTTTGAATGAATGCACAGAATGGGGTCAGATTGCAATCTTAACATCGTTAGCAGAGTACAGGCCATTGGATTCCAAGGAGGCAGAGAGCATTTGTGAGCGAGTGATGCCCCGTCTGCAGCATGCCAATGGTTCCGTAGTACTATCTGCTATCAAAGTGCTCATGATTTTATTACGTTATATCAACAATGACGAATTCGTTAAAGGACTTATCAGGAAGATGTCTCCACCACTTGGTAAGCAACGTGCTCATCATTCATGCATGTTCCTTTATGAAATTATATCTCATTCAGCTCTTACTAACCCACATTTTTTTTAGTCACTCTACTTTCCTCAGCGCCTGAGGTTCAATATGTGTCACTCCGTAACATCAACTTGATTCTTCAAAAGCGACCAGATATTCTACAGAATGACGTCCGCGTATTTTTCTGTAAATACAACGATCCACCATATGTCAAGAGGGAAAAGCTCGAAATTATTATTAAGCTCTGTAATGACAAGAATATCGAACAAATCTTGTCTGAGCTCAAGGAGTAAGTCATTTTCGATAATTTATGACGATTCAGCAAGTATCATTTTTTCTTTTTCGAAATGAAATGGGATAATAATAGCATTACTGATGGATATTCAGGTATGCATCGGAGGTCGATGTTGATTTTGTCCGGAAAGCAGTGCGCGCTATTGGAAGATGCGCTATCAAGATTGACGAGGCATCTGAACGATGTGTCAATGTGTTACTGGATCTCATTAATACCAAGGTTAACTACGTCGTCCAAGAAGCTATCATTGTGATTAAGGTATGATGACATCCAGAGCCCTATCGGTGCAGCAATGTTGGTCGGATGATTGTAAGATCATATTAAGCTGATATATTTTATTTTGGTTCCTTTGCTATCGTAGGATATCTTCCGCAAATATCCTAAGCGCTATGAGGCTATCATTCCAACACTCTGTCAGAATCTTGACTCGTTAGACGAGCCTGAAGCCAAGGGCTCGTTGATCTGGATCATTGGAGAATATGCTGAGCGAATTGATAATGCAGATGAGTTAATTGAAAACTTTTTAGAGACATTCTTGGAAGAAAACTCTAGGGTGCAACTGCAGCTTCTGACTGCGACTGTCAAACTGTTCTTAAAGAAGCCTTCTCAGTCTGAGGAAATTGTACATCGAGTCCTCCAGACAGCAACAGAAGAGATCGACAATCCAGACACTAGAGACAGGGCATTTGTATACTGGAGATTGCTCTCGACAAACCCTCAGGCCGCAAAGGCGGTAGTTTTGTCAGAGAAGCCTCCTATCTCTGTGGAAACGAACACAGTTTCTCCCGCACTGATGGATGAGTTAATTAATAACATTTCCACACTCGCCTCGGTATACCACAAGCCCCCAACAGCATTCATGGGCAACAAGGCTTATAGTGCGGACGCTGTGAAGAAGGCAGCAGCAGCGGAGTAAGTCGAAACTTTTTTTTTTTTTTCTTTTTTTGGCAATAGTTGGTTGAATTGTATGATCAAGACAGCAAAATAACAAGTTTTTTCCATTATCCTTCAATTTCTGTATCTTAGTGCGAGAGATCAAGAGCAAATTATGGGCGACGCTGGTTTGGTGGATTCCCCTTCAGCACCAGGAGCACCCAAGAATGCAATGGCGGATCTGTTGGATCTCGACTTCGGCTCGTCAGAGCCTGTGCAAAACTCTTCGCCTGTGCCAAGTAATAACGCTCCAAATTATAACGCTGATTTGTTCGATATATCATCGGATATGTTTGGAGGTTCAAGTAGTATGAGCCAAAGTAGCAACATTATGTCGACCGGGCTTTCAGGGACTTCAAGCAATAATAATATAGGTGGATCTGGGTCTGACTTGTTTGGTGATCTCGGAGGGTTTGGACAGCCGCCTCAGCAGCAGCAGCAGCAGCAGCAGCAAAAGCCTCCAGGACAGTCTTCAACAATGAACGACCTCCTTGATTTATTTTAAAGACAATTGTTTAAATGCAATAATAAAAATGGCACATGTCATATACCATTGACTAAGAAAGTAAGGCCTGTCCACGTGTGGTGTAAACAGTTCTTCTGATTTTAGCTGTCATACAGCCTACCAATACCTTCTGCCTGCTGTTCATTGTAGATCATCCATTTTCTTCATTCCACTCCATTCCATTCCAATACCTTAGTTAAATCGCTGATAATGACCAATTCAGAAGGTAGGGTGATTTATTTTTTTTAATTCTTTGACGCCAATTTGCGTTGGTAAAAACTTTATTGACATAGTGCAATATTTATAGACGCCACTAAAGGTTTGACAAACCCATTTGCAGACAATGGAGATCGGACTCCACTCCATAGGGAAGAGCCAACAACTATGGATATCGACGACGCATGTGACGATGCCAGTGACACAGATTCAAGTATTTCGTCGTCATTACCTAGTTCATTCTACAGGGAAAACAGATTTACAGGACAAAGACGAGCATCAATCTCCGGCCTTTCTACACCGAAACACACTGAGCATCCTATCCTTCTCGCAGATGCAAGAGAAGCAGCAATACCCCGACGCCGCGTCATAACTAGTATTCCCACAGAGAACTCTGATGATGAGCTTATTTCGACCCCTACAAGAACAGGGCTTGGAAAGCAACGGCCAACATTTTCGAGATCAAGTTCATTATTGACACGTATGTACGAGAAAGGAACTCTTCTTGGAAAGCACCCACAATCGCCAAGCCCAGGAGATGAGCTTGGGATTCGGCCCAAGGGGCTTAAAAGTAATGGATCCAAAGGTATATAAGCTAGTCTGTAGTGCAATACATCATATCCATCGGAAAAAGGTTGTAAAATATACTTTCCTCTGCTATTTGGTTTAGTATTCATCAGTTAATTGTATCTTCGTCCCCACAACTTCATACTATTAAAAACAGGTAGCGATAGGATACCCGCTCTGCCCGATTTTTCGCTACTGGACGCAACAGAACTAGACCAGAGCACTCGATTATGTTCGCCAGTACATCCACCTGATTTTGGTACACCTCCGGGGACACCAAAACAAACACAGTCAATATTTGAGCCTTTTGACAACGATAGCAACAGTAGTAATAACGACGACAACCCATTCCTCGGCCCGCCAACACGTAAGGCGCGATTTGAGATGGATTACCTTTCTGAGAGTCAGTGGTATTCGGACTATCCGCATCATTTGACAGTGGATTATCTAGAAGATTTATTCAACCTGGATAGACGAGGTAAAGGACTTGCAGGGTTTATCAAGTATATCCTTAACCAGTTCTTCTTCTATTTTTGTTGTCGCTCGCATATTATGTCTCTTAATTGCTATGTGGTCACTCATGTACTAGTTTTATAAAATACGGTAGTGATGTTTACGAATACGAAATCAGGTTCAGGAAATTCTCCTAATTACTTAAAATCTAATTTTTATATCAATGAGCCACCTATTGGGATCGGAGCGTATTCAGACGTTCTCAAGGTTCAGAGCAAGCATAACAAAGAATTTTACGCTGTCAAGAAGCTCCTAAAGAGAGTACAAGGGGCAAGGGAAAGGTATGAATTTGCCCAAAAAGTTTATTGTCCTAAAGTCTTTTTTTTTGTAGCGCTTTAGAAATGTGATTTAATGGCCCTTTTTTTTTTTTTTTTTTTTTTTTTTTCTACACATACTTAGGAAGCATTATCTCAACGAGGTCAGGAATATGTGGCGCGTGGAAAAATCGTCTAACGTGTTACAATTACTAGAGGCGTGGGAGCAAAAGGGCAAGATCTATATGAGGATGGAATTGTGTAAGCTTGGAAATTTGAAATCAGCGCTGATGGCACAAAAGAGATATCGTGGAATCGATGAAAAGAGAGCATGGAAGTGCCTGCGAGACTTGGCTTCTGTAAGGAGAAATAGATACTTGTTATAATACGATTTAGATTACGGGCAGACTTTTTCGAAAAATCATTAATTTTTTATTTTTTTTATTTTTCTTATTTTTTTTATTTTTCTTATTTTTTTTATTATATATATACTCTAGGGTCTGAGGGCAATTCATGACAGCAACGTTATTCATTTAGATATCAAACCTGAAAATGTCTTTATCTCTTCTACAGGGGCTTTAAAGATAGGTGATTTTGGGCTTTCAATCACATATCCTATTGAGGTCAAGGACATCAATGAGGGAGACAAATTCTATTTGGCACAAGAGTTGCTGAATGGCCAATGCGGGAAATATTCAGACATCTTCAGTTTAGGTATATCCATGTATGAAATTATTACAAATCAAATTGGGGATCTACCTGGAGAAGGCCCTGCATGGCACTACCTCAGAGATGGTGAATTGAACATGAGTCAGTATATGATTCTGGAGAGTCAAACCAATGAGCCAGCTGTCACGCGTTCTATTCCAGTATTAGTGTCATCAACCTCCTCAGTCTCTCAAGAAGCAATAGTAGGGGGAATAGGAAAAGCAAAAGAAGCAGAAGGTACAAAAGAAGCAGGGGAGGCAGATGGGGTGAGAAAAGTAGAAATAGAAGGGATAGAGCAGGAAAGCGAAGTATCAGAACCATCGAGAAAGGAATTATCAGCAGAGTCTCCGGCACCATCACCGGTTGGGGAGGAATCTGCTAGCTCACCTGGTTCACCACTCAATCAGGCATCAAAATCGACCCATAGGTTCTTCTCCAAATCTATGGTAGATCTTATTAAAGAGATGATGCAACCTTCGTTTGAGCAACGGCCAACAGCAGCAACGATCTTGAAGCACCCAATGATCCAAAGCATTCTGATCAAGCGTGGTGGGCAATCGAGCAATGCAGGAGTGCGAGCATCTGATGAAGCCATGAGTGGGCTACTACTTCAGTCGATTTAAGAAAAACCTAGGCTTTTTTTTTTTTTTTTTTTTTTTTTTGCAAAAGGTCTTGATTGCTTCAACTTGGACCCTGAATTTCTATCGTGCGAATAAAGAGCATTGCATGTTCATGTTTAATCATCAAAAGTTCCTTTGTTGATATTCCAGGCATAGAAGCAAATGAAGTTGAGGTGTCCAGCATAGCCACTTTGTTAATACATTATCAAATGCAACATAATAACTATCATTTCTCTTCGCCCTGGATATACCATCAGCTCTTCTCATTTTTACTTGTGTCCTCATATAAGTCATTTATTTTTTTTACTACTCTGTTTGTTTTTTCATTTTTCTCAAAAAAAAAGACATTGCACTTCATGGGATTAGAAGAATACTTTTCAATTCCAATCTTTTTCATCATCTTTCGAGAGGTGACTGAAGCTGCCATCATTGTCTCTGTGTTACTGTCGTTCCTGAGTCAAGTCATTACTGACGATGGTGCCATGCGTAAGAGACTTTCTCATCAGGTACGATCTTTTTTTTTTTTTTTTTTTTTTTTAAATACCATTAGTGCGTCAGAGGAATGTTGATTTTTTTTTTTTTTATACGATATAACAGGTTTGGGCGGGAACTGCACTCGGGCTGTTTATATCGCTTGCAATCGGGGCAGGGTTTATTGTAGTTTGGTAAGTTAGCACAATGATTAAAAAAAAAAAAAAAAAAAAAAAAAGAATAGTCAACTTATGCTTGGAGCTGTTTGCTTTGAAGGAGCTCTCACACCTCACAGCATTCTTAAAATGAGCACGAGATAAAAAAGAAAGTGTTCCAGTGAAGAGGAACGTGCGCAGTATATTTGGGCAAAATGGCAATTGGCCGAACATTACTTGACACACGGTTTCTCTTCTATATATATTGTTAGGAACTTATATGCTACGAACCTTTGGGCAGCTAGTGAAGGCATCTGGGTTGGATGCTTTTCATTGGTTGCAGTAGTCATGATCACTGTGATGGGAGTAGCCATGTTGCGTACGAACCAAATGCAAGAGAAATGGAAGCAAAAACTAACGAAGGCCATGGACGACGAAAATGCACGTGGACTAGGTAATCAATCCCGTCGATACGCACTGTTTCTTCTTCCTCTGGTCACAGTTCTCCGTGAAGGGCTAGAGACTGTGGTCTTTATTGGAGGAGTAACCTTTGATGCTGAGCCCAAATCAATCCCTATCGCAGTCTTATCAGGTGTAGCATTGGGTATTTTTATTGGATTTGCGATTTATCGGGGTGGAAATAAGATGAGGTTGCATCCATTCTTTGTAGGATCAACATGTTTGCTATTGTTGATTGCTGCTGGTTTAGTAGCAAAGGGCATTGCAGCATTTGAAGCAGATCAATGGAGCAGACTTACAGGAGCACAGTCAGATGATGCAGGCACATTTGATCCTCGGGTTAACGTCTGGGCATTGAAGTGCTGTGATCCCAAACAACTTGACGCAGGTTGGTGGAGTGTTGCAAATGCATTAATTGGATGGAGCAATGTAGCCTCCTACTGGACATTAGGATTCTACATCTTTTATTGGACTTTGGTCTCGCTTTGGTTGATCCGCCTCAAGACCAAGAGGATTCAAAAAGCCATCAGGGACATTGCTTCATCCCAAAAACCTTTGCTAGCCGTGTCACCTATACGAGGTGTAAACCGACCTAGTGAGGATGAAGGGGACAGCGATAATTATCGCCCAGTTATTGTATCGTCATCTATATACCCGACTGACCACTATCATTATCAGTCGTTGGGAGGAGGCAGTGATATGACGCGTCGACATGATGGGTATGGTACCACTGCAGGGAATGAAGCAGCAGTTCCAGCTGCAGCAGGAGCAGAGATAAGCCCTGGCTGGCACGAATGACTCGCGATGGTGCCGCTGGAGTCGATCGCTTCCAAGACTCCAACGGTGCCACGACGATCAATTGTAGGTGGGATGGTGACGTCTCCAGGCAAGAAGCAAGATTAAGGATGTTGTATATTTTAATTTCTAAGGTTGCCTTTTTTTTTTGTAATACATATTAGCATGTAAAACCTCGTTCAATTTCTCGAATAAAATATCGTGCAAGTAAGATACATGATATGCGTGATGCATGTGAAATATGAGTCTGCATTTCAACATTTCTTGCAGATCCGCGTCGTGTTTTGATTTGTTGGATCAATGCCACGAGGAATAAATCAGAATGATTATAACCCTTAAGGTATTACTGGATTAGGTCAAATAGTATGTTGATGACAGGCTTTTTGATCAGATGGAAGTCGAATGAACAAAACACACAAACCTACTTTATCTGTTTTACTTTTATTCCTCATCCTTTTATTACATCCATTTCTTTTTTCTTTCCATCTTCCCTCCATCTTTGTTCAAAGGACTACACCCATTTCCAAATAGGCAGTTTTATTTTTTCTATTTTTTATTTTTGTTTTGTATATTTTTTGTAAAGCGACAATTTCCTATCCACTATAAGAGCAGGATAAAAATGACAGACCAAGCGGAAATTCTCCGGAAGCGTCGTGAAGCGCGGCAAAAAAAGATTCTTGCCTCAGGAGAGTCACGTCTGAGTAAGATTACAGGCACAGCTGGAACAAGCGCACAGGTGGCTCCTTCTCCTGCAGTGTTGCAGGCTCGAGAGGAGATGTTGAGGCGGGAACAAGAAGATGAGCGTTTAAAGGCTCTCAGAGCCGCAGGTGTCAATGTTGACAGCAACGGCAATGTTGAAGGTATACAAAAAAAAAAAAAAAAAAAAAAAAAAAAAGATAGGGACTACAGGACAATGGCGAAGTTAAAAGAGAAAAAGACGTGCTGTATCTTGAAATGCGGTGTAGAAACACAATTAATATATTTTACTAAGACTTTCTTTCTTTTCACCTTGGTGAATAATGATAGGCTCTCTGCAAAGGAGTATTGACGGTGAACAGGAGGAAGAGTTGGCTATGCCTAATTCGTCATCATTGCGTACGGGGACTCAAAGGATGAGTCGTCAACCCTCGTCATCCTCTACAACAACTACGACCCAAACAAACGCCACTACGACAACGACAACAACCGAAAAAGCATCTGATGCTGAAGCATTTAATAGCTCAGCTGCGGGGAGGACAGCCACACCTCCCAATATCCCAGACTATGATGCAGATCCAGATGATTCCATAGGTGCACCACCAGCCTATATTCCATCGAATCCATTCTTGAATAGTCCGTTTGCATCAGCACAACATCAAGCATTGACTAGAATGATGCAGGATGAAAGTAATAGCGGTTCAAGCTCTAGCAAGGCACAGGCCATGCAACAACAACAACAACAGAATCCGTTTGGAAATGTACCTCCAGGATTCACAGTGATTACACCACAAGTGGATCACTCTGCACGTTGGTGGAAGCTCCTGCACTTTGTTTTGTCAGTGCTGTTAGGATTTGGTATTGTATATAGAGAATACAGTCGGAATGGGGATTTGAGTCGATTTGAAGCATTGGCAGTAGAAAAACCATTGCCCTATGGCGCGTATCAAGTCGATCCTATTGTAAGTGATAGCTTCAATTTACTTTCAAGACATTTTATTGATCAGTTAATGTTAATCAACCTTTTCTTCGTATGACATATCCTCACTTTTTTCTTTTCTATTTTTTATTTTTGTGATATACTAGCCTGTGTTCTGGTACTTCATCACGATGGAGCTTATTTTGCAATCAACTCGAATGGTATTACATGGCGTGACAGCATCACCTAGCAGTACTTTAGGAACCATTGCAGGCTTCTTGCCTCCACCTTTTTCGGATATGATCAGAGTCTTTATGCGATATCGTCTAATTTGGACTTCAATGGTCAATGACCTATCGGTAGTAGTCTTTATTGTTGGCCTCACCATCACTTTTACTTACATGTTCTCCTAAAAAAAAAACATATACAGTCTACTTCTTCTTCCTTGGTTTTTGTTCCCTTGACAACTAATCGCGTATACACAACAATAACAAACGAAAGTTAAAAGAAAAAAGACAAAAAAAAAGTCTCTGAATGAACACTATGAAATGTCAAATGGATAAATATTCTTTATCAAATGCGTCTTTTAATTTTTTATTTTTAACCCTGTCTTCCTTTATGCTGATGCTGAACCCTCAGTAGTGACGCTCAGGAACTGCTTACAGATTTCACTAGACTGTGTCCTGGAGCAAGGAATTTTCTTGATCTCATTGTTAGCTATGAAGACATGATTAAATTTTTAAAATGTTAGCAAAAAAAGAGGGAAAAAAAAAAAAACAAGGCTCCCTTCCTTTTTTTTTTTTTTTTTTTTTTTTTTTCCTATCAAATCAAGATAATTGGCTATTCATCAGTTACCAAACTCAACGGTCAACTCAGGGCTGACACCAGGCTCCTTAACTTTCTTTACTTCGATCTGAATAGTAGGATTGTTATACTGGATCCTTGGTAAGTTTTCACGCAAAAAGTATCTAATTCCAGATTCCGGAGAGTTGTTTTTAGAGTGATAGGCGTGAGTGAATTAAACGAATGAACTAGGGGAGTTTTTTTTTTTTTTTTTTTTTTTTTCTTGTATCTTTCAATCCAAGATTCCTCTTCATTTAAATAGTTTTGTATGTTATTGAATCCAGAGAATATTTTATTCCTTGTGAACTAGCCGAGTCTCCATATTATATGTGCTTTTTTTTTTCCTATTTTACCTGGCGCCAGCATTATCAGATTTCCGAGAAAACATCAATGTCACTTTCTTGACATCAGAACGCAGGCGGATGGCACCAAGGCCATTACGAAGGTCATTAACAATAGTATGAATCTTAGACATGGTTTGCGTTGAAGATTCAGAAATGAATATGTGTTTTCAGCGCTGGTTTGATCCCCTTTTCCCTTTTCGGAAACAGTTGTCCAAGTCCAAATATTTAAAAAAGCAGTCTTGTTTTTTTTTGTTTTTTAATGAATTGCATGAAGCCACTTTGAATTAGTGCATTTTCAAATATGAATGGAATTGACTTTTAGTCTCTAGATATATTACTGTACAGAAAAGGATGACAGGCAGGTTGGAGGATTACCATTGTGGCTAAGAAATGAAATGAAAAAAAAAAAAAAAAAAAAAAAACGAAAACAAATGAAGTGAAAAGCTTGAAAGTATCCAGGAAGATAGATATTGAGATATGGCAGGAAACAGAGCGAAACTTAGAGCTCGGCATCTTTCATGTCCACATCTTGGCTCTGGGTTGTTGGAAGGACTGGTGCTGATGTCGATATTAATTCAAGTACAGGCCCTGTCGATGGTTGGTTTTCATAGGCAGTATTTACATGGGCAGTTGTGAGGGTTGGAGCATGAGCAAAAACAGATTGCGAAACACTAGGAAACTTGACATCATCCTCTTCGGGCTCCTCCTTGAATCTGAATTCTTCTTCCTCATCATCGCCACCATCCATACGTGCACGCTGTAGAGCCATTCGGATGGACGTATCAGATTCTCGACCCACACTTGATCGGGTACTTGATATATCGTCGCCTTCGACAGATGAGCCACGGTCCTTATACTCGTCATGTTGTTGCTGTTGCTGATGAGGGTGATGATAAGAGTCACTGTTGGTATTCCTCAGAGATACCTCAGTGCCGCCATTAATGTGATATTGATCTGCAGACCCTGTTGCTGTATTGAAGAGAGTGTTAGACTCTGTAGAGATATCATTTGTAGTTGTAATAGGAGTATCATTGGTGTTATCAACTTGGTTTTGGCTTTGATTTTGGTTTTGATCTTGGTTTTGATATTGGTCTTGATTATGATGAGGAAGTTGGTTATTGTGCCTCCGCCTGCTGGAAGGTCTTCTGTAAATTTCATATTCGTCCTCTTCAAAATCGTCATCATCATCAAAATTGTACTTTGGTTGGTTGAGTCGATTAGAGGATCGTGTCCGAGTTGTTCTTGTTGCTGCCAATTGATGTAATTCTGCTAGCCTTTGCATCTTCTTTTCCAAGCGCTCTTGTTTCTGTAAGCATTTAAAAGTATGAAGAATCAGGAGGGGAAATGACATATTAGGACATATATAATTGGAAAAAGAAATCCTTCCCAGCTATAAATCTGTGTGGGAGTGAGATAGTGGCGTACCAATTTCTCCTGGGCCATCTTCTCCTCAATAGGATCAATGATCTCTTCACGTAGTCTTTCTTGAAGTGCCTTCTCTGATTTTGAAGAGGTCTGGTTGAAAGAATCTACGAGAGCTTTGATCTCATCCAGACTACTAGCCACAGTCTCCCATCCAGTACTCTTCTTTTTGGGATTTTTAGTTTCTCTAAATACCCTAAGTGTGCCCTCTATCGGATGAGGCAGTGCAAAAAAGAAAAGAAAAAAAAAAGTTAACTCTTAGATGCAACAGCAGACTTGGTAAAAGAAAAAAAAAATTCAGTTGAAACTTACCTCCAAAATACCAGTAAATCCGTTTAGCTTGATCGATTCCGAATGGTGTGATAGAATAATGTTCCAAATCTTCTTCTATGGCTTGTCGGATGATGGCTCCTTCCTGCAATACCCAATGGACCAAGCCCTTAAGAATCTGGACCCTATCCTCAGGAGGGATCAGATAATAGTCGCCATAGTATTTCAATAGATTTTGATCGTACTCCATCTCGCCAGTCCTGAATTTGGAATCCAATGTTTCAGATAAAACTTTCTGCCATGTTGAAGAGCTTGAAAAGAAGATTACCAGATGTTAATCTTACACGGGTAGTCTTTTTTTTGGGGGGGAGGGGGGGTATAGATCATTCGAGACATGCATAGAGCAGAAAGATAAGGACCTACTCAACTGCCTTTTTACGGTTCAGCATATTAGAGAGTAGATTGGAATGAACTTCCTCAATACAAACGTTAGGTGTTTTCGACAATAGGCCAGCTTCCAAGTCCTAAAAGCAGAGATAGTATATTCCAATCATTCAGAAAATTTGACGGATATTAAGAATACAGATGTCACCAAGAAATACCCTCGGGAGAGAGTCATTATTTTTACCCACCTCTATTGAGAAATCATGTAGTGGACAGTTTTGTCTAAGCAGTGTCTTGAACTTGATCATAAACCCATAGACTAAAGCGATCTCCCAGTATGAAAGCAAGTTGGGATCTGAAAATGGTTTTGAAGGGTCCTGCTCATCTTGCTCCTGCTGTTGTTGTGTTAATGCACTCCTTGTGCGGGAGGCGAGTGCTCTTGTTTTTGTTATTGATTTTTTGTTACTGTGCTCATTCTCGTTATCACTGTTGAGAGATGCGGAATCGGAAAGAGCAGGGCTCAAACTACGTGAAGAGGATGTTAATGAAAGAGTCTCATCGTTGGTAGTGTTGTTGTTATCCTCATTACGTCCATTAGTTTGTCTTTGTGTCTGTGGAGGTTTGACAGTATCAGTAGCAGTAACGGCTTCAGCTTCAGCAGCAAGGGTCCGACGTTGTTTTGCCTCACGTTCAGCCTCTAGTTCCTGTTGCCTACGTGCTGACTGACGTGCTGATGCGCGAGCAGGTTGTGCTGATGACATGATTAAAACCAAGGTGGGATGTAAAAAGATAGAAAAAAATTTAATTTTATTGATGGATTGGGGCGCGTTTCAAAGCCACCGATCACTTTCCAAGATGGACAGGCAAAGCGACAAAGCACACGGATGTGTTACTGCAAGATGTTTTTTATCCTTTATTGCACTGAAAGTAGTTTTTTTTAGGACCGTATTCAATTCAAAAAAGGTCATGTCCTTTCGGCTGACTCTTTGTTGCGTATTGTACGCGTGTTTGTGTGTAATTTGATACAATTCGATTGGCCAGTTCCCCATAGATGGGTAGAAAACATCCTTTTTATTTCTTTAGGCTTCTTATTCCTTCCAATCTACTACTTCACTTTTTTTTTCCCTCTTTCTCATTTTTTTCTTTTCTCACAGACACCGATTCCTTTCCTTTCTGTACAGCAACTTTTGCAATAATATCTTTCAATCATGTCTGATCCCATTTCAATCAATGTCAAGGCTTCAAATGACCAAAAGTACGTCATCTCCATCAGTGTCACAGAGACTGTGCTTGACTTCAAGAAGAAGATTGCAGAGAAATGTGATACTCCTGCAGATAAGATGAGACTCATTTATTCAGGACGTGTTCTTAAAGATGCAGACACTCTTGAGACCTACAAAGTCGCAGAAGGTCATACCGTCCACATGGTCAAGAGTCAAGGTGCTGCTGCTAGTACCTCGTCAACTGCTTCTACAGTCCCTTCTACTACTACATCTTCGTCTACTACATCAACACCCACTGCTACTACCACAACATCAACCCCTACCACGACCTCAAATACAACATCGACTTCAAGTGGTACTACTGCTGGTATGGGAAGCAAAAAAATAAAAAAAAATAAAAAAAAAAAAAAAAAAGAAAGTTCTGTTGTCACAGTTAGTCATGTCTACGCAAGCATGCTAACATTTTAATTTGACTTTATTCCGAAATAGATCCCTTTGGAACTGGAGCTGGAGCGTTGCCTAACCCTTGGGCTAGCATGATGGGTGGCATGGGCGGTATGGGTGGTATGGGTGGTATGGGTGGTATGGGCGGTTTTGGAGGAATGGGAGGCATGCCAGGCATGGATACCAATATGATGAATCAAATGATGCAGGATCCCAACTTTGCACAGTACATGTCCAACATGTTACAGAATCCTCAAGTACTTGAGTCTATGATTGCTATGAATCCCACTTTGGCTGCTATGGGTCCTGAGGTTCGCCAGATGCTTCAGTCTCCACAGTTTCAGCAGATGATCTCCAACCCGGAAATGCTGCGTCAGGTTGCACAAATGAGCCAGCAAATGGGTGATATGGGCGGTATGGGCGGTATGGGCGGTATGGGCGGTTTTGGTGGTGGCGCACCTGGAGGTATGTATAATCCTTGGGGATCCAATACGACTACTACACCAACTTCAGCAGCTTCGCCTAATACTACTTCGACTCCTGGTACAGCCGCTGGTACAACACCTGCTCAGAACCCCTTCGCAGCATTTGGTAGCTCCGGTACTCCAGCAGTCGGAAATGTAAATCCTATGGCGCAATATTGGGCACAACAGATGGCTGCCATGGGCGGTGCTGGTGGATTTGGAGCACCTACTCAACCTACTCAGCCTGCTCAGCCTCCAGAGGAACGTTTCCAGGTCCAGTTGCAACAGTTGAACGAGATGGGATTCTATGATGCCGCCAAGAATATTCGTGCATTACTTGCGTCTGGAGGAAACGTGAACGGCGCCATTGAGATGTTGTTTGCAAACAATTTTTGATAGATAAAACGAAACGACGACAATACATTCTTTGACTGTGATAAAACAAAAAAAAAAAAAAAAAAAGGAAGCATAGATGAGTATATGCTCCCTTATGATATTTGTGCAAACATGAAGCCGATTTTTCTTAATTCATTGTACAAATTAGAAGTCGTCCTTCAACGCATGAAAGTCGCATTGTTCACCACACTTTTAATAAATAAAGCAAAATTTTGAAACCCAAATAAGCATGGACTCGTTTTCTTTGACTATACTTAAAGAGTTTATTTAATCAAATAATTATTGCAAGTAAGGCAGTTTTACAGTTTTATTATTTTAGTAGGGAGCCAACATGGGGCCATTGTATATAAGAAGAAAAAAGCAGGATCGGAGAGATTTTTAAAAAAAAGCATGTATTTAATAATATCCAAATCTACAGATACCAACAATATCAAGAATATCAAGCAAACCATTGGTTACGAGCTATTTCGAGGATATTGTTGCTAATCACTAGTCTCTCGTTGTGTTACACAGTCCCGACAAGGTTCAGATATTTATTACGACCTCAAACATAATATATCAGACAGCTAAACCATGCTAATCAGACAAGCAGATGGAGAATGAGATGAGAAAGATGAAAGATGATGCCGATAAAGAAAGTAGGTATCTTACTTTTTTTTTTTTTCTTTTTTAATTAACTCTTCTTCACCCTCGCTTCTTTTTTTTCTTACCTTATAATTACTTCTCTGTCCCTCATCTTCCATCCATCCAACAAAGGGGGGTGCCAACTTTCATCTTTCTCTTTCTCTCTTCCTGTCTGCCTGTCTGCCTGTCTCGACAGCACCCTTTTCTTCTCTCTTCCTCTCCCTTGCACTTTGCCCTATTCTTTCTTTTGCTCTATTCTTCTTTCTCTTATTCATTCATTAATATCTCTTTTACTTTTGCTGCTCTCGGCTCCCTATAGTCTTGTGTCCTGTGCCTGCGCCTGGCTTCTTATCCGTTCCCGGTCTTCCATTCGTGCCTCTCTTCTCCCTAATTTGCATTCATTGCTGTAATATCATTCTTCGAAATTTAGAACCATGGCAGGTCTTTTCACTAAAAAGAAAAAAGAAGACAGCAATGCAAAACAACAACAGCAACAGCAACAGCAACAGCAACAACAGCAACAGCAACAACAACAGCAACAGCAGCAACAACAGCAACAGCAACAGCAACAGCAACAGCAACAGCAACAGCAGCAGCAACAGCAACAACAACAACAGCAGCAGCAGCAGCAGCAGCAGCAACGACCAGCCCCACCATCCAGTGGTCTTGGACTAAATAGCAACAATGGCAGTTCAAACAACTTGCTTTATAATAATAATGACAGTAACAATAGTATCAATAATCAATATCAAGCGCATGCATATCAACAATCACCAATGAGTCCTATGAGTCCTACAAGTTCAATAAACAACAGTATTGCATCTAATTTTCAACCACAACAACCACAACAACAACTGCAACAACAACTGCCATCAGGACACAATGGTGCGCCAGCTAACTCTAATTCATCAGCAGCTGTAGCAGCTCTACCGCCTCCACAATTGTTTTGGACACAACGTCGCACTCTTGGGATCAACCCCTTTCCACGGTTTCAGCATTCGAGCTCTGTTACCGCCATAGGGACTGAGATCTTTGTATACGGAGGCATTCAGCATGGAGTGCCTCAAGATGGACTGTTTGTCATTGATTCTGGTAATGAATATTGCTTGCATGCATATAAATCATAGTTAATGAAAAGTCATTTTATTTTTATATATGTCTGTCCCATCTCAGGAGCAAAAAAGAAGAGCATAGGGAGAAATGGTAGTAGAGTTATGTTTGCACCATGAGAAGGGAGCGAGAGCAAAGGTTCCTGATCTGGTCGAGGAAGGTCTTTTTGATATGCTGCTACAGTTATTAAAATGCATCTTTTTTGAGAAAGATGGACTGGATCGGCGAGAGCACAATTATGCCCTCAACGTTTCTTGTCCCTCAATCTCGGCCTCCTGGAGAATACTTTTAATTCTTTTCTTGGAGTGAAGGGTCAATGGCTCTGAGCACAATTTCCCTACTTGCAGCTCTCTCTCATTTACTTGCAATCTTAATTTTTTTTTTTTTTTTTTTTTTTTGCGTGGCTATCAATGACAATGCAATGCTCGCTTTCCATAATTATACATATTTCTCTTTCTTTTTCAAATGTGCCTGATTTTAACCCTCTGGAGTCAGCGTGGCTATTCTTCATTGTTGCGTTCCATGCTCATTAATTAGTTCAACCATAAAACCATTAGAGAAGGGAGGGATGACAGCATTGCTTTTTTAGGCTCATACTTTTTACCTTTCAACCACCAATTCCAATGCTCTATTTTTTTTTATGCAGCCCTAAAAGCCAACAAATGGGTTAATGTCTCGAGAATTGCTAATTATAACCCTGACTTTCCCTTTTTTACCCTTGATTTGCTTCCCACATCCTTTCTTGTGCATACTTGGCATACACAACTGACAATTGTCATTTCTTTTATCTGATAGTTTCTCTACAATGCCAGGCTATTACCTCCACAAGTCCGGACCGACCAATGGCCAAGAGCGGGCATACTGCTGTGAATATTGGTCAATATATCATTTGTAAGTGGAAATCCTTACTATTACCACTGGTATTGTCACTTAGTTTTTGTTTTCCATTTTTCATGTGGAATTGCAGACACGCCGCTTATCTGGGGCTGTTTGCATATTCCATCAATATTGGTTTAATAGAATCTGAATAATAGGATTCATGATCATGTCGCACCAACTACAACAATAATCGACAATAAAAAGAGTTAACATCGACATTGCTATTATTCTCAACAACTATCTAGGTTTTGGTGGTTGGGACCAAACGACAGGGCAATGCGATGATAGTCTGCATGTGCTGCACACCGTTCGCAAAGAATGGAACAAACCACCTATCCAAGGACCACTGCCCACACCGCGTCACTCGCATTCTGGATGCGGCATTGGAACCACAATGTATATTTTTGGAGGACAGATTGATAACTACTATCTTGGAGACTTGGTCTCATTTGACATGAAAACAAGTAAGAGAAATATCAATCTTTTTCTTTCCTGATGAATGAACTTTTACTCGCTCAGAACTGACTGTGACGAATGTCTCCTGTTTATGTATAACACAGTCACGCAGAACCCTCGTTGGGAAGTGATTGAACCAAAATCAGAGGCATCACCACCAGCAAGAGCAGGCCATTCAGCAGCGGTGTATGAAGGCAAAATCTACATCTTTGGAGGAGCGGACGCTGATTATTTCTACAACGATATCTGGTGTTTTGATGTTCGAACCAGTATTTGGAAACCGATTGCAGCATCTGGATATTTGCCCTCTGGACGTTTCGGACATTCCTGTACAATTGTCGATGGTGTTCTGTATATCTTTGGAGGCAGTAGCCCCGATGGTTCAGAGCTTAATGATGCCTATGCATTCAAAATCAATGGTAATCATTAATAGTCTGATTCTAGAGATACAAACAGAGTGTGATATAGCAAAAGGATGCAGATCTTGATCGATTTTTTTCCCCCCCTCCTCTTAGAACGTCGATGGTATCTCTTTCAAAATATCGGCCCTGCTCCCAGTCCTCGAAGTGGACACACCATGTGCACAGTTAAGGACAAGATCTTTTTACTTGGTGGCAATTCTGAGCGGGCCGACTTAGATGATGGTGGGGCGCTCTACTACATCGAAATTCGTAAGTTGAAATCCGATTAGCATCAAAAAAAAAAAAAAAAAAAAAAGTGGTGTTCCTGGAGAACTGATCTTTTCACTTTTTGATGTGTCTTTACTAGCGAAAATCCGCTTCCCTGATGCTCAGCTAAATACACCCCGTCAAGCTCCATCCTCAAGACTCGCTTCTCAACCCTCACCATCTCTTCAACCACAACAGCAATCACAACAGCAATCACAGCAGCCATTGCAAGCAGAGGTACCTTCCGAATATGACCCTCAGTCTGCGCAAGGAGTAGGAGCAGGAAATTCTAATAGGCTAGATCGGCCAGATCGTTCGGCACGCCCTATCACACAACGGCCTACTTCACCAGCAGCGTTTGGCTCCAACAACATGGATCAACAACAGGCATCAGCGAACATGAATAACTCACAGCACACAAGACAGCCAATGAATTCTCAACAAAGCCAGTGGCCCATGGGTGTACCGCCTCGTGGAGCAAGTGCTGGACAGACCACAAAGAATGGTGGAGAAATGGATAATGAAAGCCCTGTCATCAGTCGTAGGACCATGCAAATGTCCTCAGCACCAATTCCAAATACTGGGGGAGCAGCACCTCCCTCACTTCGTAGTGGAGTGAATAACCAACCACCAGGGTCAGGGGAGTTGAACCCTACAATGACCAGATCTGAGAGAGACCGCTGGGCTAAGAATAGCAACGGTATGGTTTCACCAGCAGCTCCAACGAACATTCGAAGAGAAGATGAGATCAACTCAGATGCAGCAGATACCTTTGCCTCCTCTCAAGGATCTCAAGTGGCTCAAGGGGCAGGGGGAGCGTCATATTTCCCCCCACCCCCTTCATCTTCTGGATCAACAGCATCTGCAAACATGCGGCAAAATGGTACATCGTCTCCAACGCTCTCTGCACAGAATTCTTCACAGCATGGAAGATCGCCATCACCTGCTACAGCTTCACAGCGAGCACATGCTCGTGGACAGAATGCCTCTGCTTCATCGCCCCATTTGCCATCAGCAGCAGGTGGCGAAGCTTATCCCAATACTTCGGCCTTATCTTCTACAGATATGGGACGCCTGAATCAACTGGAACAGCAGATGAAAGAGCGTGATGAACAGTTGGAAGTGATGAGGCGGCGCGAAAACTGGCTGGTGACTGAGGTTCTATTGGCACGACAGGTCTCTGGCAGCAGAAGTGGACAAAATAAATCGGAGCAAGATTCGAATGATGACCAGCTGTTGATTGCTGAGCTTGAAAAGGAGATGGAGAACCAACAGTTGGAAGATCATCAACTTAAGGTCACCAAAGCATTACTCAAACTCAAGGATGAATTGCGACGTGCCAAGGTAAGAGGAAATAGGAAATAGGAAATAGGAAATAGGAAATAGAAAAAAAAAAAAAAAGTGTCGTTGCTTATATTAGTGAATTTTTTTATGATTATGCTTTTAGATGTCGATTGCAACTCAATCCCAGGCTGCATCATTCAAGATCAGAGAAGCTGAGCGTATCCGCACAGGTGCCCTTCAAGAAGCCGCATACCTAAAAGCCAAACTCTCATCTTTGTCCTCTTCTAACCCTGATTCATCTGCCTTAGCGCGGATCGAGACTGACAGAGCCATGGATCTTGAGAAGCGATTGACTTCAGCCCTTTCAGAAATGGAGACTTTAGAGCTACAGTTCACAAAGAGTCAAGAAATGTTGCAACAAGAAAAGATGGCCAGACTGGCGGCTGAGGAACGATCGAATGATTCCACTATTTTAGCAGAACAGGCACAAGCAGCTCATACTAGAGCTCTGGCTGAATTGGCGAGTCTGCACAGTCGAGCTGCCAAGGCTGAACAAGAGTCTCGAGAGTATGCCACTCAATTAGTAGAATCTCAAGCTGGGTTCTCGGGACATCAATCTCAGTCATCAGGTCTGATGGCCAAGATTAAAGAGCTAAAGCAACAAATTGAAGAGCATCAAACAGCTCTGGAAAGGACTCAAATGGCATATTCTGCTGCAAATGAACGAGCCTCGAGAGCCGAGACTATGTATGAGGAATCTTCTGGAAAGTTTGAAAAGATGGAGAGTCTCCGAGCAGAGATGGCTAGTGATCTATCTCGGTACAAGACTGAGAATGAGCGCTTACAATCTAAAGTCGAGGATCTGGAGGGGCGATGGCAAATCTCGAAGGATGAGGTTGTCACGCTTCGTAAACTAGTTGAAGATGGGCTGGGTGCTTTCAACCCTCGTAGCAAATCGCAGAATGAAGGGATGCCTGCGGCACGCAAACATGATAGTATTGCGATCTTAAACACAGTCTCCAAGGTTTCGGAATTAGAGCATGAATTGAGCTCCCTTCGAGTGTTACACAAGAATTCCCAGGCCGCTGCCTCGAAATCTGCAACAGAATTGGCAGATGCCATGATTGAACTCTCAAGACTGGAGCAAAGTTCGATGAAGTCCAAAGCAGAAACCATTTCGTTGCAGCGTCACCTAGCACAGGAACGAGAGACTGCTACAGCTTTGAGAAACGAGTTGAGTAGGACTGAACAAGAGTTAGAGGTCAAGGTCAAGGAATTGGAAAATAATGAGGTTCAATTGGGATTACTGAAGGATGTGATGCGGGAAAAGGGCATCATTGCTGAAGATGTGATGATGCTTCGGTCCGTTTCAAGTTCTGCATCAGGCGCTCGCAGCGCTTCTGGTGATTCTGCAGCCGCTTTAGAGGCTAAAGTTAGGCAGCTCGAAGGAAGAGTTCAGTCATTGGAGCTGGAATTGGAGCAAGTAGATCAACAGCGTCAAGCAGCAGTCCAACATTCTGAGAAATCAACTTCCATGTCAAGAAAACTCAGAAGCGATCTTGCAGCAGCAACTCAAGAGAAGGAGTCTCTCCAAGCCATGTTGGAGCAGCTTCAGCAAACTCATGCTCGATGTGGCAACGAACCGCCCTCATCAGGTGGTTCTCGCAACAACGCTGGACAAATGAATGATGATGAGCGCCGAAGCTTGCACAAACAAATCAAAGAGTTGCAGAATCGCCTTGCAGAATCCGAGAAATATGCTGCAGAGCTCTCTCAGAAGGTTGTGGCGATGACAGAAAGAGTCGATGAAGTCCAGACTTTGAATGAGGCTATTGCTGAGCAACTTGAATCTGTTCAAGAACAGGCGGATGCGTTCAAGAAAAAGGCCCAAGAGACAATCCAGATCTTGGAAGGGGATAATTCTGTTTTGGAGGCTAGATTGCAGGATTCTGAAAAGAAGGTCATGTTGTTATTGGATGATATGCAAAACAGTCTCACGACCACAGATGGTAGCATCGGCGGTGGTACTGTGGGACAAAACAACAGTTCACCATACGGCTCTGCCAATCTTTTGGGGACTCATCAGCAAGTGAATCAGCAGATGGTGGGGGGATCGCCATCATTGAGGCCTATGAACGCTCGTCTTCACAATACTACTGGCGGTACTCCTAGAAGCAGCAGTCGGACCAGCAACGGCCGTTCAGGAAGTGGCAACAGCAGGCCCATCAATTCTACGTCACCCTCAGGTCTTTCAGGTCAAAGGAGGAACAACAACAGCAGCCTCGGAAATAGCCCTAGCCCTAATCAGCAACAATATATCCCCGAGGAGGATGTGTACAACTATGGCGGTGTAAACAATAATAATCAGCACCAGACCAATGGAAGTGCTGCAGGTGGACATGGACAGTACCCGCGTGCTGAGTTTGAAGATGAAGAGGATCCTAACTCGATTGCGTATCGTGACTCTATGGATTCAATCACTCGTGAACTCGAGATGCTGAAGGTACCATGGAACAAAGCTTCTGGAGGAGGAGGGTCAGACACTAGTAACGGTAGTAATGGTCGAAAGTCGACTTCTCCACTTCAGAGGCCATATCAACAGCAGCAATCCCCATCTCCATCTCAACAGCAACAACAGCAGAAGACGACAACAAACGGTAATTATTACGGTAGTGGGAATGGGACTGGGGCCGGAGGTAGAAACAAGTATATGTACGACGAAGATGATGACGAGGATGGTGAAGCAAGTTATTTGACTCATCTCCAACCACGTCAATACCAACAACAGCAACAGTCCAGTGGCCCTCTCGATACTACCCGCTCGTTCAATGACCGCAGCGCTTCACGACTCAAGGAGTATGAACAGATGATTGATGAGATTGAAAATGCAAGAAGACAGCAATAAGAATCACACACTCAACCTCAGTCGCGATCCATTTAACAACTTGAACAAACGTTTTAACAATACTCAATGCTCAAGTTCGTTCTGATGCTCCCTTATGAACGTATGCACTATAAAAAAAAAACTTATGACCATTTAGATAATAGACTATACGATACGCAACTTCATTACAAATAGATGTAACAACAAAAGCATTACACACCTTCATGTAAAGAATAAAATAAACAAATGCCATTTCCGCTACCATTAATCTTCATCGAAATATTTTACTGATCAGGGAGCTTTTGTTCAGAATGGACGATGGACTGTTTTTTCTTCAGGTCACTCTTCTCACCACCATTACCTCATTCAGGTACCAACTCTAATTTTTTCTTTATCTTCTTTAATCCCCTTTTTTTATTATTGGCAGAGAGGATATCGATAGCGATGATGTCTGCTCTTGAAAAAAAAAAAAATAATTAATAAAAAAAAAAAAAAAAAAAAAAAAGAGTTAATAAATAGGGTAAGATAATTTATTTCTCAATTTTGGCAAGGGGCGCTCTTCTACGCAGAGCAGACGTCAGCTCCTTTGGTAAATCCAAGTCCCTAGTACCGTCACCGTCCAACCGAGTGTTGCCAATTTGGAGCAACCTCAAAGGTGCAGGCTTCTTGCTATCTTCTGGAAGACAGTTTGCTAGCACATAGAGCTGACCCAGATCGAAGTTTGTCTCCCGAACAGATAACTCATCCAATGCAGCATAGTCAATTGCTTCGATCAAAGTTTGCCATGTTCGAGTCGAAAGCTGAATCTCTTCCAATCGAATGAAATCCAAGGGAGTCCACATATTCAAGGCTTTCCCTTCTTCGCTCTCCGATTTGATGAGCTCAAGTCCTGTCGTAGTCTCCTTCTCATTATCATCATCTTTATCTTCTTGTTGGGCAGCATTTGAGGATAATTCATTCTGCTTGTTTGGGGAATCGGATGAAGGCAATTTACGACCAGGCCCCAAGACCATGGCTGTGATCCATTCAGCAATTTGAGGTGATGTATCAAGTTTCTCATGGCAGTTGATCTCAAAGGTATCCAAGTGAGGCAGGCTTAGTCTTGTAGGTATAACCTTACTAAATCGAGGCACCCACTCTTCAGCCAATGAACCATCCAAGCTAAGGCGAGTTAACCTGGATGCATGTTTAGTCAAGAATTGTTCGGCGAGCGCCAGTTTCTCCTTGTTATCTATATCAAACAAATCCACACCCAACCGGACCAATTCTGGAGAACGTGAAATGATCCGATCAATGCATTCCCACCCAACTGAGGTAAGGGAGTCAGGTCGAAGTCGAAGAGATCGAAGTTTAGATCCTTCATCCTTTGTTACCATGTCTAGGGTCGTGGCATGCTCATCTGTGAATTCTGCATCTAAGGTCAGTTGTTCCAAGAGAGAACCTTGCTTTCGTAACAGTTCCTTCAGTCGGTTGAGAGGTGCTGTTCGTGGGAACTTTGAGGTGTTGAGGTCGACGGTGTAGACTGCTGCTGCAGCCTCGACTGAGAACTCGAGAGTGATGAAAGGGACGCCATCTTCCTGCAATCTCAAAATATGAAGGGAGCAATAACCTCCAGAAGAAAATACTTTGGGCCGAATAGACGAAATCAAGTTGATAAAGCCGAATGAATAGCTGCTGTTGCACTCGATCTGGATCTCAGATAATTTTGGGCTATGTGTAAGGATCTCCATCCACGCGTTCTCCTCAATATCTTCTGTCACCTGCTTAGCGAATATATGAGTTAGATGACCCAAGCCGATAAACTGTTCGATATGAGGGCAAATAGGCGTTAGTTCGGCTGAAGTTGTTAAAACGGCTCCTCGGACAGTGCCTTGGAAGATCTTGATGTCCATCGAGAAGGACAAGGCATTGTCCACAACCGTCAAGGTATCCAAGTTGAGAACATATCCCAGTTTATCTGTCAAGTAAAGAGCAGTAACTCGGAAATCCGTGGTCCAAACTGTCAGCTTAGCAAGCCCAGAACAAGCCTGTAGGATTCTGGTCAGTATAGACTTGGATTCTTCGTCTAGGGGGTTAAAATTACTGCCCAGAACAAGTGTACGCATTTGAGGCGCCTTTCCTAGGCTAGCTGTCGAAATATGATCATAGAGATCTCTGAATTCATATAGTTCGAGTGCTTGGATTCGTTGGTTCTGAAGAAGTTGGAGAATTGGATCAAATCGACGACTGTTGTTAATGATGTCTCGGTTGGGGCCCTTGAAATGCTTGCCATTCAACTTGAGATGTAGGATATTGGATGTTGTGGCTGTATTAGCCAATTTGCGGAGATCATCCATAGTTACATCCCAGCCCAAAGTAATATCAAGTGTCTGGACGCCACGAGCCTTGACGAGTACATCATAAAACTGTTTGGCCATAGAACTGCTACTGAACGTGATGACAACTTTCCCTTCCCCTTTAGGAAATTCTCCACGGTTGGCCGTCACTGCATCCTTCAGGTTTTTGATCGTTGACGTTTTGTAGTTTTCGCGGTAGTGGTCGATGCAGACCCATTTGACCTTGCCCTCCTGGGTCACGATTCTGTAAAGATTACCCAGGACACGTCCAGAATCCTGAACCTTTAGATAAGACTCGAGTTGACGTAAATCAGCGCCCTCTAGGACCTCCAATTTATCGAGTTTGAGGTGGTCATTGCTGTCAGCGGCGGCATCCATGCCCCCATTTGCATTTGAGGTTTGGTCGTTGATGAAATTGATGGTGTCATCCACTAGGGAACCAAAAGATTTTTGGGCGAAATCGAGGCCACTCTTAACGGCATCCATGCCTTCGATTAATCCTGTGTTGTTCAATGCTGGTACGACAACTCCTGCGGCTGCGAATCCGAACTTGACCATCTGCATCATAGTCAACACGTAGGGGCCATATTTATCAAAGAAGTCTGTAGGCCGATCGATATCATATCCTTCATGTTTAGCTAAATGGATCTCATGTGGGATAGTACTGTTTTCTGTCATGGTATGTTTCCCACATTCGCACAAGAAGAAGAGCCGGAACTGGTTCGAAAATGGTTTGGAATAAGAATCTCTGGCCCTGACGACTTTAGGCAAGACAATGAACAGATGTGGAATTGGATATTCATGCAGTTCATAGGTCTGTGTGAGCACTGCTTGGACTCGATCCTGGATAATCACGAGGCGCTCCAGTGCCTGTTCCTGCATTTGGATCATAAGATTTTGTTTCTCGTCAAAGGATTTTTGCATCTCCCGTTGTTGATCTACCATCTTTTGATGCCATTGTCGATTCTCCTCATCAATCCTCCGTTGAGTCTGGTTGATTTCCTCCTGCAATACGAGTTGTTGTTCATGCAAACGCCGGTTCTCTTCGGCCTGTGCCTGCAGCTTATCGAAATAGTACCGTAGAGCTTTCTTTACATTTTCGGCATGTAGCTTTTGACTCTCCATAACGAGATCTACATTCAAGCCCTCAGTCGTTGCTGCCAAAGCGGAAGAACTAGGGATGAGTTGGAGTTCTGTGATTCCGGCCTCTGCAAGGAGGAATTTGGTGTCAAGAGTCGCAGTCGATTCTGAGATGGGGAGATCTTTTATTTCGAGCATGTCCACTTCTTCTTCTTTCTTTAAACCTTGTGGATGCGTCACATCCGATACCAAACCCTCACTGACAGAGCTATTGGTCTCTATTCCAGCATCGGGCACAACTACCTCAAGCACTTCTCCTGGTTGCGCAGAGATCCTCTTTGGGTTGTAGCTATTTATAAAAAACATAAAATTATGAACAAACAAACACACAAACTGAATACTGTCAGTGAATCTGTTGACATTTCGAATTATTTTTTTTTTTCCGTCAGTTAAAAAAGCGGTTCTGAACTACCCGGTGATCAACATACTACTCAAAGTTTTCATCTGTCAAAAATAAGATAGATTGACCCTCCTTGTTAACAATCCGGCTTGCGTTGGGGAACTCACTGCAGATATCATTCCATAAGATGATTCGCTGCCCGGACTTTGTATCCACTCGAGTAGGAATGACTCGTATCTCAGAAGAGGAGGAGGGAACTGGGGGTAATGCGCCTTTTTGAGACGTAAAGCGGGCACGAAATGCCTGCGACTCATTGCCCAAATGATTGATGCTGGCCATCTTGATCTCGATCTTTTTTCTTTTACAAGGAGCGAAACAAAAAATCCTTGGAGCTCCTTATTATCAATTATAAGAATGACAAGGAAAAGGAAAAAAAGAAAAAGAAAAAAGAAAAAAAAAGAGCAGAGAAGAAAAGGAAAGGATGTGTTAAAGTAATGAAGGAATAACCAGAAGTAAAACAAAAGAGAAAAAAAAAGAGAAGGAGATCTTGGGGACCAGGCTGTGTGGCAAAAGCAATTGATGATGGGCGAGGGGGGCGAGGGCGATGATGGAGGGGGAGAGCGAGGGCAAACAGTTGCTTTAAATTGAGAGCGGAAGGATTTTCTTTTTTGTGCAACCAATTGGCCCATTTCCCAGCCACACAATTTACCCCACCAACCTCTTAGTCTGTCTATTAGAACAATTCATGCATAAAACTAGACAGCGCTGTAGCTCCGTTTCCTTTGGTATGTGTTGACTTCATCCACTAGGCACAGGTCATGCACATCGTGTAAATGGAAAGAAAGAGAGACTCGCTTATGCCAAAAGCTGTATATAATATACAGAACAAGTGATGCTGTGCATGTGTATAGTACTCGCAGTTTCTCAATAGAATGAAGGCATAAATAATTCTCATCGAAATGAAAAAGTCTTTCTTGGAATGCACTGCCACACCACGTCTCCATTTACGCTTGTTTGGGAGCCCTCGTTTCGCGACGCGTTAAAAAAAAAAAAAAAAAAAAAAAAAAGCCAAATGCAGACAAAAGCAGGCTTTTGCAAGATGTGTGGCGGATGCTCAACGGCGCATGAACAGGCAAGACATTGGGTGGGCTATGAGAGGAAATAGGAGAACGACGAAAATCAGGGTCTATTTGAGTGGTATGACATGTGTCACCGTTTTGCCCTTGCCCGATTGACCTCGTGCCTCGTGCGAACAACAGATACACTTTCCTATTCTCGATCAAATTCAAATTCATGCAATGCAGCAGAAGCAACTAAAGATGGGAAGCACGCTCGTGCCCAGTGGTTCGTGCACTGGTTTTTATGCGCTCGAATATGAAGGAAACTTTCATTTCCTGCCTTCACTCTGCTGTAATTCGACAACTAAAAAGTGGAGTAAACCATCATTATTGCACAACACTAGGCATAAGACCTAAGACCAGTAGGCTTGGCAGACGCAGGAACAAGCTTGCGAAAATAAGATGCACACAGACCACAAGCCTTGTAAAAATGTCATTATTGCCATTTTTCTTTTTTTTTTTTTCCTTCTTCTAGCCAGTTTGGTTCTTTGAAAGGAGAACTTGTCTCGATTATGCAACGTCCCGATCTCTGTTTTATGCGTGTCTTATCAATCTCCCCCCTAAATTTGGGGAACACTGCAACAGCTCAATCTGGGTGACAAGCGGTACAACATGCCTGGAACGAGAGAAGATGCGGAGACTGACCCAAAGTAGCGCACAATTAAAAAGAGGCTCAAGACTATTTCCAGGGAACGGATGACTGTGCCACAAAGATGTGCATATCACTACAACCACGAGTATAAAAGATGAGAGACAGGGCGAGGAAGGAGTGGGAGAGAGAATATGCCACGGGACCTTATGCATTGATCTTTTTTACTCGTATGCGTCCATTGATGGCTCATGAGAAGGGAGGGAGGAAGAAAAGGAAGGAGGGAAGTAAGGAAGGAAGGAAGGAAGGGAGAGAACACAGTGTTGTAATTCAACAATTTGGTCCATGGTTGATCTGTCCCCCTTCCTCTGCCCCGTCTTCCTTTCGTTTTTTTTTTTTTTTTTTTTTTTACATAAATATTCGCTTACATCTGTCCTTTTATATCCCATCCCATTCGAGCCTTGGCCATGAACTTGATCAAGCAGGGTTAAAGACTTCCTTTAGTCTCTTCACTCCCTCGTCCTTTACTCCCTTCACTCCCTCGCCTGTCCCACTTTCGCTTTCTCTGCTCTCTTCTTATGCCACACACAGTTTTTTACGCCATTAGATAATCTCTTTCCTTAACCTCATTCCTATCCTCACAGAGGAGCACTGCCTCCCTTCTATTATTCTATTAAACATCCCTTGATTGACCATCTTTTCGTACCTTCACACTATCCTTTTTTTATTCACGTAATATTAATGCATTGTACCTTTGCTAGTCATCAAGGTCAAGGTTAGTTAGTTTTTTTTATTATTTTTATTATTTTTTTTATTTTTTTAGCTGATAGTGCAATACACGTTTTTGCATTCTCAAGCCAATTCCATTTTCTTGACTTGTATTGATGTTACAAATGGGATAAACAAAAAGGACACGAACATCCCGATACCCTCTCCCCTAGATTTTCCTGCAAACAAAAAAAAAAAAAAAAAAAAAAAAAAAAAAGTCCCTTATGCTGAATATATTAATATTTTTTATGCTTTACGAAATGGTGTGGGTGATCATGACTACTATGATAAATGGCCATCAAGAAGACGCCATTTTTATTTTCTTATTCAGATATCAGTCGTAGAAACAGTCAATTTATCAAAATGCTTATGGATTTAGTCACAGGTACCTGGAGCATGAACGATCATCATCATTTTCTCCTGCATTGATTAGGAATAAAGAAAAGGATGTTACTGTCTCTTTGTGTCATCAAATACCCTCTTGACCTATTTTTTTTTTCTTCCTCCTTTTTGTTCCCTTACCCCTGTACTTGAAAACACGAAACAAAGGACGGCAGACAGGTAAAATGGGAGAAATGGCAGACAGATACACACTTAGTTTCATCCCCTTTCTGAGAACATTTTCATCTTTTATTCATTAACTCTCTCATTCTCTTCTTGTAAGAAAATAGTCTTTTTTTTTTTTTTTTTTTTTTTTTTTGTTACTCTGGTTGACATGAGACAAGCATTACATCGCTTTGACCAAGTGAATAAGAACAATAAAATATGATAAAAAAAGTTGAAAGCTGAATCTCTTGATCTGCTCGAAATCTCTCTTCCATCTTTCATACCTTCAAAAAAGATACACCGCATTGTTACCCCATAATTCATTCGACTGACAAGTCATACAAAGTAAAAAGTACAAAGGGTCTCAGCACCCTGTATGAAGAAATTATATAAGAGTTTACGCATTCACTTCGTTCCTTTTTGCGTCGTCATTTTTATTTTTTTTTTATTTTTTTTTTTTTTTCCTTTTCAACTTTCATCGTATACCCTTTGCATCTCTTTCTCTCTGTCCCAAACTCATATATCTTCTATATTGATTTTCATATATTCCTTTTCGTAGTCGTGTCTTTTATCATCTCCAGGTCTATCTGGCACCCTTCCATCCTCCGCAGTCTCTCTCACATCTCGACTGTGTGTTCAGTCGAGACACATTATTAAACGTAACATCGCAACCAAAACACAGAAAACAACTCCTCAACAACACAACAAACATCATCTCCAAGAGACATTGATAGCTCCGCATAAAAAGGTATACACGTCTTCTTTGCCATGGATGCGATTTATCAGAAGCACTAGGTTTGCAGTCAAGAACAAAAAGACATCACTTTCCCCATTCTTTCCCTCTTCCCTACCCCCGCTCCTTACTCCCTCCTCCCCCTCTCTCCTTTCTCCTTTCTTCAAATGTACACAAGACTATCTTCCAATCTTTATTCTGTACCACCGATCAAACTATTCATGCGTAATGCTTCAACAAGAAAAATAATAATAATAATAATAAAAAATAGACCACGTCGCCACTCTTTTATTTCATTTTATTTTATTTTACTTATTTTTCACTTCACGTATCCTTAATATTCTTAATCTTATATTTTGCTACTCTTTATTCCTCCTTGTAACACACACTAGAGGCAATTAACCATGTTTACTCAGATCAAAGTATCTTTTCTGGAAGATGGTCGTAAACAGGGCCGGCTTTTCGATTTCGATACACATTTCACGTGTCGACTTGCTGTTGAACAGGTAGGTGATGTAGAATAACCTATAAAAGATAGAGACAGGACTGGAGTTCCCAATCTAACTCCTTTTCGGAACCACATCACTTCGCCACTGTAATCTTTTGCCTCGGACAATGATAATCATAGGTTTGTTCCTCACTCTCCATACCCGAAGACTGGACCTTCGCAATGTATGCATTTAAAAGCATGACGTTTGTTTAAATCAAGGCTATCTACTCTCAATATAAGGCTATGCAAACGATTGCTTACTAGGCTTGTCTTATATACTCTTAATAAAAATGAATTATAGGTATAGCAAGAAGCATGGTGGGTGGATTCATGATGATACACGACTTATAGATATTGCATTCAAGAATAATGTAAGACACTATTTATGCATATTCAGAAAAGAAAGACCACGTCGAACGTGGGTGCATTTTATTTTTTTAAAAAAAATGCCATTCCCAATGCGCAGCCTATCATTCCTTCCATCATATCCTGACCATAATATGTATTTTCACTTTTGATTTTACTCGTGTCGTGATGTGATACACAGAAATCACTTGAGATGCGCAAAAAGACACCTTCATACTTCGAGTCCCGTTCATGCGCATCTCTCGAACCATCCAAGGTGAGTAAGATCCTTTGATAGATTCCTCGTAATTTCCTACCTCTCAGAGCTTTAACCATGGTTCAATTCATGCTATTCATAAAAACCCGGCACTAGTCCTCATTACGTGACTCTACTATCCTTCGTGGCGCCACTTCGCCTATCGATCATCACCGCTTTTTCAACTTCTTTCGCGCCACAGACGATCAATTCATATCAAAGCTCCACACTGGAAGCATCTATCTCTCGCTTGTCGTTATTAATAGTGATAACAAGGTCCTCCTTAGTCCGAGCGGACTCCCTCCAACTGTTCTCATCTCAACAGTTGCAGGCCTTGCTAGCTACTACAACTTCGATTCTGAGTCTTCAGACTTTGCGTGGATGTTCAAGACAACGCTGGATTGGGCTACGGACCCTGCATCCAACTTGAACAAAATCCGTCTTCAAGAAGAGCACAACCGCCGGTCAGGGACCGTATCGCCTGAACCAAGGCCCCTGTCGCCCAGTTTACTTATTGCAGCCGTCAATTCAACACTGTCTCCTCCATCTTCAAGGGGATCATGCCCAAAATCCAAGCGAGGAAGCGTCAGCAGCACAACCGGCTCAACCACTAATAACAACAGCAGCAATAATAATAATGAAAAGGCCAATAGCGGCAACTCCAGTAGTAACGGTACCACCATGTTCAAACACTCGGCGGCGAGTTCTGTTTCATTCGATCGTGTATCAATCACGTCCGACTATTCTATGCGCCATACAGCATCTATTTATGAATATGTAGATCGAAGACGCGATTACAGAGGCGAGAATGCATTACGTCAAGAGTATGTCGCAGCCGTAGATGAGCTGCAACGGAAGTTAGGCTGCCCGCCTATCGATCTACTATACGATAAGGTGGTGGATTTGCCCTTAGTAGGGGCCAAGGCACTGATGGCGATTCAATATGCAAAAGGATATGACGTCAGGGATCACATTGCACCGGAATTAATGCAAATGGGCTCGTTTCGATGGCGAAATATTGATTCAGTATCTAACGCTGTCTACACAAGGAAGGAAGAAATTTGGTCACAACTCACAAATTATTATGATTGCGTGCGAGGTAAGAGCAGGATCTTCTTTTAAATCTTTTTTTTTTTTTTTTTTTACGTGCTTTCCTATTGACTGTTTATTAATGCTCAAATCCAACTATCAATTACTTTCTTTGCAGTATCAAGACCCTCTCCAGGCCTCTATATTGGACTGTACTATACTGAGAGCACCATGTCTGGTTTACAGATTCTGGTCCCTCGACAGCGCAGAACATTTATTCCCATGGTTAAATTACGGAATGATGCAGACCTGACTCCTGAAGAATGGGAATGGATCAGATCAACTGCTTCTCTAGACATTACTGAACTTGCTAGACATTGCGCAGTGCCCAAGGAAGATCCAATGTACCATCTCAAGGTCGGTTTTGCGCTTTCGACTGCAAGACTTTCTCGGCTTACACAGCTCAAATGGAATCCGGCTGATATGTATGATCTGGACACATTGAATGTAGTGATGCAAAAAACCACACCAATACCAACAGCAGCAAACAGCAACAGCAGCGGGGGTAGCAGCACTAATGGGAATACCAGTATCCCAGCATCGAGGCGGATGTCCCATGATTCTCACTTTTCAGCTACAGTTCCAAATCCTCAATTCTTACCTTCACCACCAATGACCGCTGATCAATCTGTAACAGCAACAACTGACCAGGGGAGAACAGCAGCACCAACAATAGTGCATGAGTTACCATTGCAGAAGCTAAGCATGGCAGCGATGGACCAGGATCCAGCCTGGAGCACCTGTATTATTGATACAGACGCCTCTAAATCATTTCGAGTGATTCTATTTGTTAAGCCAACTCGACATGCCACGCAGTCGCAAGAGAATTACAACAAACAATTTTTCGAACTCTGCCCTTTCCCGATTTTCGATGCTCTTCACCATTCTGTATTTAACACGTCAACCTATCATCAACTCAGGAGATCGATGTTGCAGGTGACAAATGATATTGCGGATCTAGAAATCGAGCTAGAGCAAGAGCTAGAGAGGGAATTGGCACTGAAGCAGCAGCTACAGCGGGCAGCGAACAAAGAGAAATTGCTGCGCTCCAAAAAGGACGAATTTGGTGACGATTTAGATGTCAATGGTGATCTTGAACCTAGTCTGGGGGCGGCATGGGAGAAGGAGGATAGAGAGGATGACTTGATGAATTCGCTCATGGTCAAAGAACTGGGCATCAAAGGTAATGAGTTGCGGCCACCTCATCCTTTGCATTCACATCTCCATCCACATTCACAGCTGCGATCTAGTTTTATTGGCGATGGCACAGTCGACGGAACAGACAACCATGAGGAGACAGGAGGTAGTGAATTTGGGAGAAAACCCTCTAGCGACTCATTGATGGAAACCTTTGAAGCAAGGCCCGCAGGCTCATCTGCTATCTCTCTTGCTTCATCTTTGTCTTCATTTGGGGTTGGAAACGATGCTCCGGTGAGCGCCATGGCTCTACTTTCACAAGGGGGACGCCCTACAGGATCCCGATCAGTTCGAAGTCGATCACGGTTGTCCATGATTGAGCTTGGCTCTACAAAGCTTAATAACACGAACAGCAATCCGAGAAGAGGCTCCCATCCTCAGCGAGGGATTGCAAAGGATGATGATGACGACGAAAAAGCGCTGTCATTCATGGATATCATGCAGGATTTGGATCCAATCACCAGCGAGGCCATTCTGAGCGCTACACTCAATAGCATCAACAGCATCCAGAGCGATAGCGACTCGTCGAGTAGCAGCAGTGAGAGCGATGGTAATGACGATGATGACAATGATGATGATGATGGTAATGGCTCAGGCCCCTATGGAAGTTATGAAGACAATGGACGACGATCGAGCCTAGGCATCCATTACCAACCAAAGCGGGCGATGGATGGTAGGTCAGACAAGGCGACATTGCCTCCATTGCCAACTCTGCCTCGCCACCGTCGAAGCTATAGCCTTGTCCAGGCAAAAGGACTTCGGATGACCTCTTCCCCAGATATCCCTAGCGCCAGTAATAGCGCTGCTGAGGCTGACGAGCTCAAAAACAATAATGTTAGCAATGGCAAGAACAGTGGCCACAGCAATATTTATAGCAACATCAATTTCTTGTTAAGTACTGCTAGTCGCCCAGTAGCCAGCGGCAACAGTAGTGGTAATAACCGTAGAAGCACCTATAGCAATGGTAGCCCTAGTAATACCAGCATCAATGGTACCTCTATCATCACCCGAACAGCACGATCGCAAACGACGAGCCATTGCTCATTCACACACCCACAATCACAGTATTATTTTCATCAACACCATCAATATCAGCAGCCCGTGTACAAGAATAGATATCTTAGCATTAAGAATTACCCACATTATTTAACGGATCTTCAACATCTGGAGCAGGACTTGCAGCTCCAACCACAACAACCACAACCACAACCACAGCCACAGCCGCAACAGCATTTCCATATCCGTGAGCGCCACAACAGTAGCCCCTTGAGTTTCAACAGTTATTTGATTCAACAGCCACTACATCCTTTAGCAGCAGCGCCTAATGACGATCCCACCTCATCATTCTCTAATAACGACAAAGATTTTAATATTAATGACATTGAATTGGTGAGGTTACGACAGGAGCAACAAGACTTGCAAGAGCAATGGAGAATGGTGTCGTGGACAAGACAGCTGAATGAATGGGATCATGCACGGATGCTCAAATCTCAGGGAAATTTATTAGGAATGAGCCTTAGCCTGAATATGGGTATGAACCTATTGACTTTAGATGATGATGATGAGAATACCAACAACGCTCATAGAGCTGAAGTTGACCTGGATTCAGCGAGAGGAGTAAGAAAAGAAGGAGGTGAAGTAGGCATCGATGCCGGTGTTCCTGTTGCTGTCGCTGTTGCTGTAGCTGTAGCTGTTGCTGCTACTGCTACTGCTAATGTTGATGATGATGATCTAGATTCTGAAACTCCTACTGCACCTGTTCCTGCACATGAAGCTTTGTTTGAGCAATTGTCAGAAAGTGAAGTCTCCCTTTCAGCTTCGTAAATGATAATAATAATAAAAAAAGAAAGATTGCAGCAATATCGTTCCGAGGATAAGGTCGTTGAACCTACTCTTTTCAGAGCATTTTTTCTTTTAAACTTTAAGGTCTTGATTAGTCACATGAATAGGAATGGTTAACAAGTGATAAATGAGTCGATCAAACAATGGGGTCCAATTTGGATCCCGAAAGAGATAAAACACCACAAAGCTTTCTATTGTATTTTTTTAAGAGTATCTGAATAAGTACTCTATTGGTTACAGTTACCAATGTAGACACTTGTCAGGCGATTGGCGATTTTGAGTGTGGGAAGAAAATTGCTACCTTCCTAATTTGGGTCGAGTGAGGTACAAGTCAAAAAAAAAAAAAAAAAAAAAGAGTCATCAACTGCGAGAAACGAGCCCACGGACTAGATGTCATTGAAGCTTTGTCTAATACATCGAGACAAGTACCTATCAAAACTAAAGAGATGTATCGTCAACCGAATCCATTGAAAGTAAAAGAAGGAGGAAGGAAGGGACGGAAGGAAGGAAGCGTGACAGTTGATCATAATACCCCACATTATACACATTTATAACCTACATGTTAATCCTTTGTCCTTTTTTTTTTTTTTTTTTTTTTTTCTCTTTCTTCTATTACCCCATTGTTACTCTCATTCATTCATTCGTTCATCCGTTCATTCTTTCCACTCATTCTTTCTACTCCACTCTTTTATTCATACTCCTCAAACATATACTCCATTCATAATGTCCCTTCGCGTTCTCACAAAGGCCATCAAGCCCACCATGGTTGCCAACGTGCGCACCATGGCCTCAAAATCAAAAGGTAAAAATTGATCATGTCTGATGAATGACCATGTGATTCATTTCAGCTCCTTGTATTTACATTTTTCAAACTTTTCACACGCCTCCATGAATTGATACAAACCTATGAAGCATTCGTCAAGTATGACTGGACCGATCCTCTCAACTTGAACTCACTCCTCACTGAGGAGGAGATTGCTGTCAGGTAAATAATATTGTAAAAAAAAAATAAAATAAAAATAAATACATCCTCCTTGGATCATACTTCAACTGATTCTGACTTGCCCAATTTAATCCGTTTGGGGACGTAACTTATAGAGACGTTGCTCGTGAGTATTGTCAGGAGAAGTTGATGCCTCGCGTTACTAAAGCCAACCGCATTGAACAGTTTGATCGCGAGATCTTGTCCGAGATGGGTGAACTTGGTCTCTTGGGATCTACTATTCAGGGCTATGGTTGTGCTGGTGTCTCATCTGTCGCATACGGTCTCACTGCCCGTGAGGTTGAGAGGTAAGCCATGTAAACCAGTCCTTCATACCACACAGCTTCTTTTTTTTTTTTTTTTTTTTTTTTTTTTTTATTATTGTTGAACACAAGTGGCATATCCAATGTTTGAAGGTACAAGGAACCGAACTAATACTCACAATGATGATCTATTGACAATACAACAAATTAGAGTTGACAGTGGCTATCGTTCAGCCATGAGTGTCCAGTCTTCGCTAGTCATGCATCCCATTTATGCCTATGGTACTGAGGCTCAGAAGGAGAAGTGGTTACCTCGATTGGGTAAGTGTGCTCCTTGCTACAACTGTATTTGAAACCGGGATAGTGACATCTATAATCTATTTGTTTATTTATTCATCTATCTCTTCTTTCGTCCGTCTTTTAGCTAAGGGAGAAATAGTTGGATGCTTCGGACTAACTGAGCCCAACCACGGTTCAGACCCTGGTTCTATGGAGACTGTTGCCAAGAAGGTCAATGGCCACTATGTTCTCAGCGGCTCCAAGACCTGGATTACCAACTCACCTATTGCTGATGTGTTTGTTATCTGGGCCAAGGATCAGTCCGATGGCAATAAGATCAAGGGTTTTGTCCTCGAGAAAGGCATGAAAGGTCTCTCTGCTCCCAAAATCGAGGGCAAGTTCTCACTCCGTGCTTCAATCACAGGAATGATCATGATGGATGATGTCGAAGTCCCGGCAGAGAATTTGTTGCCCAATGTTCACGGTCTCAAGGGACCTTTTGGATGTCTCAACAATGCTCGCTTCGGGATTGCGTGGGGCGCACTCGGCGCTGCTGAGTTCTGCTTGGCTCAAGCAAGGGAATACACTCTGAACCGTAAGCAGTTTGGTGTTCCATTGGCTCGCTTCCAATTGATCCAGAAGAAGATGGCCGATGCCAATACAGAGATTGCGATTGGTCTCCAAGCATGTTTGCAGGTTGGACGTCTCAAGGATGAGGGCAAGATTGCGCCAGAAATGATCTCAATGATTAAGCGCAATTCGTGTGGAAAGGCATTGGAAATTGCTAGAAACTCAAGAGATATGTTGGGAGGCAATGGTATCAGCGATGAATACCATATTATTCGCCATGTCATGAACTTGGAGGCCGTTAATACATACGAGGGTACCCATGATGTCCATGCATTGATCTTGGGTCGTGCCATCACCGGTTTAGCCTCCTTCAGTGCCACTGATTAAAAACAACAGAGAGAAATAGAAACAATACGTTCCTTATCATCATAGCTTAGCTTATTTCATTTGCCACCATGAAATTTGTTTTTTTTTTAAGCCAGTCGCTCCATATTGTGTTTATTGATAAAAAAAAAAATAGTAATAAAGAGCTCATAGACCTGCTCATTCCTTCACTCAGCTCGTTGAGTATCGTCTGATGTTACTTTTTTGAGAGTGAGTTGCGGTGCGGGTGGAATGGATCCAAGATCCTTTACATAGGGCAAAAAATTAACTTGCGGCCGATAGCCATACATCCGCTTCAAGACGATTTGCCAGATAAACACCGGCATGTTTTTCAAGAGAAGCCGCAGGAATGCATTTATAAGGCTCTTCAAAACAAAAACAAAAAAAAAGAAAAAAGAAAAAAAAAGAGATGAAGCGGACAAAGCTAACAAAGTAAGGAAATATACAGAGTCCCTTTTTCCTTTTTTATTACCTTTCCAAGGATGCGACCCATATAATAGCTAGTATTATATGAGGTTTTAGAAAGTGGATATCGCTCTTCACGGTACCGTCTGAAGGCTTGAGTGATGCTATTGGGTTCTATATCTGTTAGGTCATAAAGCACATTGGCAAGGGCCACCGCATCATGAATCGCACTGACGGCTCCAAGGCCACCATTAGGATGCAACTGTTTGGTTATAAAATGCAGGGGTAATATATAAAATATATTATTATAAGGAGGATGCTATTCCACATAATTGTTGATCTAATGGGGTTATGCTTTCATGAAACGATTACCTTATGACACGCTAAATAGCAGATGCAAAAAGAGAATAAGCAACAAATATATAATATAAAAACTCGAATGAGGATAGATATTAACACATATATATGATGGCTATCATTCTTTCTCTTTCTTTGCTTACCATCACCTAATAGTACAGTACGATCACTGTACCAGGTCTCGAACAGTTTTTCTTCAAGCATGACTTTACTGACCAAATCCATATCAGTTATCTTGAACAAATCGCCCAAAGTCAAACCAGGATAATTTGGCAGTAGGAAATCCTTGAATTGTTCACACATCATCTTTACTGCCTCTGACCTCCACTCGAGGTTATGTTTCCGATCTTTGGACTTGTCGGAGTCGCTGCTATTACTGTTTCTGTCATCCTTATCAAGGTGCTGGACCAACATCCAACAAATCGTGTTTTGACGTGTTGTAAAGGTCGCCCACTACATCAGATCAAAAGAAAGTGGTGTTATTACTTTGAGCACAGTTTTTTTTTTTTTTTTTTTTTTTTTTTTACTTTATTTTACTTACGGTATACGGTTGGCTATTGGCCTCAATGATATCAACTCTTGAAAGCTCTTCTGAGAGACCCCTAAATTGTTTGCCATCCTTTTCTGGGTTCATAGTTCGTGTTTGCCCCACGAAACAGACACTAGTGAACGGTAAATGATCTGAATTCTGATCTGCCTTCGGTAACAGGCCCTTGTGGAGTAATATCTTGTACATTGCCTGACGTATGCTTGAATATGCGCCATCGGCCCCAACGATTATGCTTCCTTCATAGACAGATTGATCCGCGCACGTTATTGACACTGAATTATGACCATTGTTTTTTTCTTCAATAGACAAGACCCGTTTCTGAAGATGTAGCTTATGAGGAGGTATGCCTTGAAGCAAGAGGTCGTAAAGCTGTGGACGGGAGATGACGTAAGGGGGATAACCTGCCCTATCAAAGAAAATAAATAAGAAAGGGCTTCATGAATTTATTTACAGCGAAAATAGCTATTATTTATCATTCACTACTGCTGTTCTTACATACATATCTTTAACTCCAGAAAAATCGCGCACCCAAAATTCATCACTGTTTTCAGAATAGATCCGTGGCAAGTCATAGGGCTTAGCTCTTGCCTGCAGATCTTCAAGCAATCCGAGCTGCTTGAATAGATAGAACACATTTGCTCCAAGACTCATGGCAGAACCTTAAAAAAGAAGAAGAAAGGAGAGTGTTCAACATGCCTTCAATCATTAATATTACACATCACAATGATGGTTCGCTTAAAAGAGTGTTGGCAATGATAAATACATGGTTGTAATTCTTATTACCGAATGGTTTAATAGCAGACGCCCGCTCAAATATTGCATAGTCAATGCCTGCACGCTCTAATAGAGTGGCAAGCATAAGGCCCCCTACGCCTGCTCCTACGATTAATACTTTGAAATCTTTTGGTGGTGGCATAGTACAAAGGGTAGAGATAGAAAGAGAAGGTTATGGAAAAAGCAGGACAAAACTGACATTTATATACTATTTCGGCTTGCCTAGTTCTAATTGAGATTTTTCTGATCCTGTTACTGTGAGAACTGCGATTATATAATGAGTCCTTACTGCCCTATGTAGTTTTCCATTTGCTCTGAAACTAGGTTTTTTTTTTTTTTTTTTTTTTTTTTGACAACAAGGGTCAGTTGGAAAGAGAAGTAGGTTTTGAGAAGGCATTTGCATAATGGAAGTAAGGCCTTATACGAATCCGATACGAGGGCTTGTGGTTCAGGTTCATTCAATAGGCATCGGAGCATTAAGACAGCCTTTGGTGACCCTTTTTTTTTTTTTTTTTTTTTTTTTTTAATGCCTTTCTAAATTTGGTAAAATGAGTGCCCTCAAGTGGTGACATCCCCACAGAGTCAAATAACCGCGAAGTAAATAAGGAACGACCGAGAGTGAAGCTACGGACCGCATATCTAGTGATCATTGCAGCTCTACAATTCATTTCGTCAAACAACGTACATTAACCTCAAGATATATAAAGAAAAAAGACTATTGTTAGACAAATAGATTGTCGTTCAACTACACCGTATGAAATTATGTATGCGAAAGACTATCTCTCTTCTCGGTTTACTTCATACAGCTATAAAGCCACGTTTACGGAGGCTAATAGGCTTGGGCTTTTTCAAAAATTACATGTAGCTTTTTACTTTAAGCTGCAGGCACAGCGCCATCATTCTTCGAACCTGAAGTAGTGTTCGCGGCAACAGCTACCGAAGTTGAGCCTATTTGCAATATCTTTTGGCGTTCTTCAGGGGTAGGAATAGATACACCGCCCTGGCGGGCACGGCTCAAAATCTTTTCAGCCCACTTGACTACTGGCAGGTCGATACTATGAGCAAAATAAATGAAAGGTTAGACGAAAGAATAGAGGGCTTTTTATTTTCTACATCCATATAATAATAATAAGACTTACACTTTGCCATTGTAGTTGAATGCTCCGACACCACGTTTTGAATACTCTTGGTACCCTTCGCTGATATCAGCGGCTCTAGCAATCTCTATAATAACCAGTGAGTAGTGTCTGTGTCAGAAATGAAAAACTCCTAAAACGCATGCAAATTTCTACAACTTTCGTACTAACCATGATCTGTGGGCAAGAAACAGCGTTGGATGATGTCAAGTTGACGGGGATGGACAGCCTGCTTGCCCAAGAACCCCATCCTGCGTCCAAATTCGCACTCTTCCCGCAGGACTTCATCGTTTTTATAATCCATGCAGACCTTTTTTTTTTTTTTTTTTTTTTTTTTTAAAAAAAATAATAATAATAATAATAATAATAATAATTGGTTGATTATTATGTTAGAGTTCGGAGCCCAATTACGTTTCCTAACATATTTCCTTTGAAGATGTTCAAACTCTACCAGATCAATAGCTTGAAGACCATAGGCATGTGCTGCTGTGACGAGTGCTGAGCGACCGTAAAGCATTTCTGTACCCTCGCGTGTTCTTGTCAGACCCATGTCCGCACAATAGTCTTCAGCGGCGAACTATTTCCAAATAGCCAAAAAGCCAAAAAGCCAACAAAAAAAAAGACCATATGAATGTTCGACCTCATAAATTCCAAGCCTAATCAGGATCGTTGCATGTGAGTCCAAACGTTCCATTGCCCCTATTCTGACGTACCACTAATGCATCTACACGAGGATCTGATGTTGCAATCTCTTTGAGATTCATAATACCAAGAGCGCTCTCAATTGAGGCAATAATCCGGACATTTTTACGCCTATCACAGATAAAAATGTATTTTTTTATTTTTTGTTTTTTAAATAACAGGTCCAAGATATGTTTATTATATGTACACCATACTAGTCAAAGAAAAACGAAATAAATAAAAAATAAAAAGACTTACGTGATAAATGGAGCGACACTATCAACCATTTGGCTTACAAATTGAACATCCTTGGCTGATTGAACCTTAGGAATCACAATTGCTTGCAACCTGCTGGATCGAAGCTATTTGCGAAAATGAGAGAGAGACATTGTGCTCCGTTGTGAGCCTTATTGTTTTCTTTATCCGCGTTTGTGCAGTGATAAAACCCAAATGCACATGCAAGCACATCCGAGCATGAAAAAAATTTATATCGTACCACAACGTTTAGATCATCAAACTCCAGGCCTGAACCGACCGCATTGATGCGAACTGCCTTCTCAGCCTTTCGGTGCTCGGATGCTTCCAACGCATCGAAAACCATCTCACGAGCAATGTTCTTGCGGTTATGAGCTACACCATCTTCCAAATCGTAGACCAGACAGTCGGCTGCTAATGATAAGGAGGACTTGAGTTTTCTTTCATCGCTTCCAGGGACTAATCACGAATAAGTAATCACCAAATGAGCAGCCATCGAACTATTTTGGTTAGTCATGAAAATGCTTTTTTTTTTTTTTTTTTTTTTTTCGCCATAGTTTACTTGTCATCCAATCGCTATCATAAACGGAGACAATTACCATAAAAAATAGATCTCCGGATTCGTTTTTCTGACTCTGTATCCAGCACATTTGCTCCTGGACCAAGCCCAATGCCGCCGCTTGTCGACAAAGTGGATGTAGGTGGTGAGGTGACAGAGGCGGATGTTACCGTAGAACTCGTTGGTGAAATTGGTTTGTCAGTCGCGAATAATGCGGAGCTGGAACTCAGATATCGACTCCTGTGAGCTACTGCGACAACTATTTTTTTTTTTTTTTTTTTTTTTTTTAAAAAAAAAAAGATCAGCAAAAAAAAAAAAGCAATAGAAATTAGAACACGGTCGTGATTGTGCTTTGTCTCAATGTCAAGCTTTTACATTTCAACTACGAACTGTTTCACGAATAATGTTCTTCCATGGTCCTGCGTTCAAGAAAGGCGCCTTCAGGACGTTGTTCTGCTGATAAACACCGTCTTTAACCTCCATTTGCTTGACTAAACCTACCCTGACTTGCATTAAACCTTCTGTAAAATGCATTGTACGAAGGACTAATCCTGAATGCAGTAAACATGACGTTAATGGCGAGAAATGGACCAGGAGAAGCAAAGTGACAAAAAAGAAGCGAAATTGGGGTAGAGGCGCGTGGCAGCGCTTGTCACGTGTCAAAAGAGCGAAGACGCCACCAAATTCCCAAAAGGAGAATCAGGGCCGAAGTACAGTCACACTTGTACACACACAAATAAAAAAGGCACCTCGGACACAGTATGCACTTGTAAGTTGCAACCACTCACTGAAATCACAATGGCAACTCGGCATCTCACACGCAAAACCGCTGTTCATGTCGACTCACTCACATGCCGTCTTGGGGCTCTGTCATTCGCGCCCCAAGCGGGTCGTCGCTGTTATGCCAGAGCTCGGTCTAAAATTCCGAGGATTTCTACTTCGGCCATATCATCTGATAGCTCTCCTTCACGCAGTAAACCTCCGTCCGGAGCATCCCATTCTCAGTCCTCAAAGGCTAGCAATACTAGCGTTGAGGCCACAGCCGCAGAGCTTCTGAAAAGCTTCGATTCGCAGGCTGCACAAAATATCCATCTACCTTTTATTTCCAATCTGAAAGTGCCTCAAGTACAACAGATCGAGAGTGTGCAAGAGTATGACCCAAATATGGTAATATTTTTGGATAAACATGGAAAGGCGACTATGATCCCCCATGATGACAGAGTCACTGGCCAAACTCGGGAAGAATATGAGGTATCGTCGATTTCAGAGGCGAGTGTGACTGAAAGCATGCAAGCGCATCAACGTGGATCAAAGGAAATGGAGTACGGCCGTAAGCGCATCGGGCAGGTTGAGATGCCCATCGATATTCAGGATGCTATTCGTGCAGTGCTCGGTGGTAAGCGAACAATTTTGATAGCATATTCAGTGGTTTCCATATCGGTTGTTGTTCTTATATGTTCTTATCGAGAAAAAAAAAAAAAGAAAAAAGAAAAAAGTTATTGAGACGCTTGAAACAGACTACGATAGATCTTTAATTAGGACAGACGCACTTAGACTGTATGGGTCGCTTCGCTCAACTGGAACATTAGAGGGCAATGATCTGGTTGAAACCCAAACAAAAAGTAAGCAAATGCAGAAATTATTAGCTGCTCAAAGAATAGAATTCCCTCATCCGAGTCAGTTAGTTATCTCTAAACATGTGAATAACCGTCATGCTTTTGTTGATTTCTAGGGATGAAAAGTGGATCGGCGAGCATAAGGAGGAAAGATGATAAATTAGTCCCAGCGCACATCCTGGAATATGGTCACCGAGAGTCCACTGCCTACATTGCCGCAGTCGCACCTACAACCTACAGTGCAATCGTAAATGTGCTTGAGGAAGTACGCCGACGTCTACCAGCCCTTGATCCCAAGTCAGTACTGGACTTCGGAACCGGACCAGGAACGGCAATTTGGTATGAACAAAAAAGGAAAATAATATCATCCGCTTTTACGATCACGGGAGTCATAGGAAATTTAGATTATTTCACAACGTCCGATTACTAACTCGTTACTTTCATGTCTTAGGGCTGCGAATGATGTTTGGAAAACATCCATAGAATATACAGGAATTGATGTGTCATTAGACATGTTGGAGACTGGAGAGAAGATCTTGGCAGCTATGTCTGCAAATGGCAAACCAATTCCAAATGTCGCCTTCAAATCCTTTGCCTCACATGGATCACAGGCCCAAAAGCATGATGTTGTTATTAGCGCATTCGCTCTGAGTGAACTTACAACAACTGCGCTTCGTCGTTCCACATTAGAACATCTTTGGGATTCCACAAATGATATTTTGGTATGATTTTAAGGATCATGGACTACGACGAACCAAAATGGATATAATAAAATTGGCACTGGTATTCATTATGGCAGGACAGATATTGATTTAAAATCCGCTCTACTTGAAATCACTTTCTAGATTCTAATTGATCGTGGCACACCTAGCGGCTTCAAGATCCTGGCAGAGGCGAGGGAGCAGATTCTAGGACTGGATCTTGATCGATTGAAGCCAAAGCCTACATATGATACATATGGAAACTTGATACCGCCAGAGGAGCCCCAAAGACCAGAGGCAGGCTATGTCGTGGCGCCTGTAAGTCACTACTTTACTTCCCATAAGCAGTTTATTACTTGTAATGGAGGAAGTCTGAGCCCTTTTTGAGATGGAAAACTAAACTTTTGTGTTTATTTTTATATTTCATTTTAAAAAAGTGCCCTCATGATAAGCTTTGTCCAATGTATGCGTCTTTGTCCCATGACTCACAATGGTGTCACTTTTCACAAAAAGTGCAACGGCCTGATTTTTTGGTAAGTTTTCTATTATTTTTATAGTAATATCTGGAATATTTGGAAACGAGTGCCCTTGCCGTTCGTCTTGACAGTTATGTTGCCTTCACTAACCTATCGCTTTCTTGCGCTTACACGTCTAGCGTAAGACAAAGCATACAAAAGAAAACTACGAGGACTCGAAGTATACATATGTGGTCCTGCGCAAAGGCACACGTCCAGTCTACATGCCTCCAGCACAAACACTGATACCATCTGATCCGCCGTCAATACAATCCTCCGACTCACACAACACAAGTGATGCTCCTATTAATGAGACAGTAAAGTCTAGTGGAGGAATTGACCAAAAAGTTGCTGAAACAAACGCTGGAAAGAAGAAAAAGGTTAAAAAGCAGCCACCACCGCCTCCAGTATCATATGACAATGCTGAAGACATGCAGGCTGCGTCGCACTCCTGGCCTCGGATAGTGATCCCACCACTCAAGAGAGATGGACACGTGGTCATGGACACTTGTGCTGCGAGCGGGTTTCTAGAACGAATCATCATCCCAAAATCACAGGGCAAGATCCCATACAGAGATGCACGCAAGGCCATGTGGGGAGATTTATTCCCGCACGAGCCCAAGAATAGACCAGTGCGGAAAGATATTGTGGAAAATGTCAGTGATGGACAAGATAGTGGTAGCGGCGCTAAACCAGAGGATGATATTGAAGGCAAGAAGTTGAAACAGAGGCGAGGCCCGTTAAACACAGGTGGTCCAGGAATGCTGGAGCGGATGAAACATAAGGAGAAGAAGCAGAGCAGGCAGAAAGTGACATTAGAAGCAGATGGGTCGGCAAGTAGTCGGAAGAATAGGAGGAGGAACGAGGAGGACGATATCATCCTTGAGCTTTAATTGATTTTCATCTACTGTATCATAAATTGTTTGCATTCTAACTCTTCACGCACACACTCTTATGCTTATAATCTCCATACATCTCTCTTATTATAAATTTTTTTTTATTCTCAATTTCAATGGATTACATGACCACGTAATAACTGACGGTTGAAGAGAAAGACATTCAGATTTAAATTGCTCTTTTTATTACAAAGCAGCATGGTTTCTGGTAGCTTTTCTCAATATATTATAAATTGATCTAAAATTTAACAAATTTGACCAATGGTGCCTTCTTACGGAGCGCCTGTATCATAGGTTTAGGGACCTCTACGTCATGACTTCCATGCGCATCAAACTTAGTATTTTGAAGTTTTAAGAGTCGCAGTGGTGATGCTCGCTTTTTAATTGTTTGAATTACATCAATCAAAAGTTGGAGTTGGTCCAAATCAAAATTGGTATCTGCAAAATCGAGTTCTTCAAGAGCTGTGTAATCAATCGCTTTGAGTATCGTTTCCCAGTCCTGAGGCTGGAACTTCGTGTTTGTGATGAAGATTTTTTCAAGCGGGACCCATGGTCGAAGTTCTTGAGTGAGAGGCTTCGCGAGTCCAGCTGATGTTTCTACCACCAAGCTCGCATTGAGTGTTCGCCGCGATAGTGCTGTTGTCGAGGTGGAGTCATTGTTCTGTTCTGAATCAGCATTATTTGCCGCTGTAGCCGTTGAAGGTGGGCCCATGACCATGTTGGTGATCCACTGAATAAGATTTTCAGGAGCCATAGAGTCCTTAGAAGAAAGGTTGAGTTTTAAATTTACCAGCGCTGGCACATTATGTCGTGTCGGGACAGCTTTTAGTAGCTTGGCAACCCACTCCGGATCTCCTAACTTGAGCATTGCGAGCTCTGTGGTTCGTTTCGCGTACTGCTGAAGGATCCTCTCGGCTCGATCCTGATTCTCTGGTACGTCCAGCTTGGCGAAATACAGTTGGAGTCGACTCAAATTAGGTGAGCGCTCAATGATTTGACCTAGCTTGTCTCCGCCCTCAGCTGTTAGCGCAAGGTCTTCTATTTCGATCGCAACCAGCTTTGACCCCTGTGCTTTAGTTACTTCGTCCAGGATACTGGCATGACTGTCTTTAAATGGAAGGTCAATCACTAACCGCTCGACCATGGATCCGTATCGAGTCAGAACACTACCCAATGGGTCCGCAGGATGGCCCCGTTCGAAATTGGTCGTATTAAGCTTCGTCACCACAAATGTGCCAGCACTCTCCATGTTAACTGCATTATTATTTTCGTCACTGAAAACGTATTCAAGCGAAAGGATTGGATTGCTTCCCGATGATAACTTCAAGGTTCGGAGGCTTGTGTGGCCTACATCGGCCACCATCTTCATCCTGACAGCGGATATTAGCTGGATACGTTCGAGAGCCTGACTACTACCCTGACAGTCGATATCGATTTCCGACACGTTCGGATTAAGTCGCAAAATCTCAATCCATAAGTCTTCAGTAAATTCTTGGACCCGTTTAGTTATCACCTTGGTAAGAAGTCCACGCTTGAGGAACTCCTGCTCTTTTGCTACGACCCCAGCCAATGGATCAAGGGTTCGCAGGGAAGTTGCGTGAATCTTGCCTCTAAACAACTTAAAGATGGCATGAATGTCCATTTGAACAACCTTCAATTGGTCCAATGTGGGAATAAGGCCAATATGGCCCATCAAAAAATCGATCGTCGGACAAAAGTGTTTGGACCAGAGCGTCAATCTTGCAAGGGCTGGACAGCTCTTGAGGATCCTCGTCAAAAGTGATCTCGAAGCTTTGTTTGTAGCGTCAAAGTCGGAGCCAAGAGCAAGGCTTCTAACCTGTGGTGCCATTCCCAAGGGGGTTGAGGACACATGTGCATAAAAGTCCTTAAAATCAGCTATCTCCAGTGATTGGATGCGTCGATTCTGCAAAAGCTGAACGATCGGATCATACCGACGACCATTATTGAAGAAGTCACGAGCGGAGTTTTCAAAATAATTGCCATAGAGTTTGAGATTTGTAATATTGGCATCTGACACAATTTGTGCAAGCTGACGAAGATCATTCAGAGTTGCATCCCAAGCTATTCCAATCTCCAGGGTCTGGATACCTCGCATTTTGAGTAAGTTATCATAGAAATCTCCTGACAAAGCCTTTTGTCGAAGCGTGAGGTAAACCTTTGTGTCATCTTCGTCAAAGACTGCTCTATGCGAGATAAGTGAATCCTTTATCTGTTGCAAGGTTGCTGATCGATAGTTCTCGCGGTAATGATCAATGCATACCCACTTGACTTTGCCTTCTGTTGTCACTATCCTATACAGGTTACCAAGGACTCGTCCTTCGTCATGAACAGAAAGGAAAGACTCTAGCTGTCGAAGATCTGCTCCCTCCAGCGCCTCTACATCGTCCAGCCTGCTTTGTCCATCCTCCAAATCCATTCCTCCATCTGCGTTGGCAAATTGGCTATTGATGATGTTAATGGTTTCGTCAACTAGTGACCCTATGCTTTCGTTAGCTATATCAAGGCTCCCCTTGATAGCCTCAACACCATCCACCAGGCCTGTGTGTGCAAGAGGTGGTACAACCACCCCAGCCACCGCAAATCCAAACTTGATCATCTCCATCATCGTTAGCACATAAGGTCCATATTTCTGGAAGAACTCCGTAGGTCGCTCGATATCGTATCCTTCATGCTTTGCCAGATGGATTTCATGTGATATCTTGCTGTTCTCTGTCATTGTATGCTTGCCACACTCACAGAGGAAGAACAGTCGGAACTGGTTCGAGAATGGGTTCATGAGAGCATCACGCCGTCGAGCAGGCTTTGGAAGGACAATAAATAGATGTGGAATGGGATACTCGTGTAGCTCGTATGTCTGACTGAGCACAGCTTGGATACGGTTCTGGATCAGTGCGAGTCGTCCCAATGCCTCTTCCTGCATCCGAATCATCTTTTCAGACTTTTCTTCAAATGATTTCTTCATGGAGATCTGTTGGTCCATGATCCGCTGCTGCCATTGCTGGGTTTCTTCTTGTCCCTTCAGCATGAGTTCCTTGGCTTCCTTTTGTTTTGCATACACTCGTTCCTGAAGCTCGTTACTCTTTTGGACCTCAATCTGGAGACGCTCATAGTAATATCGCACTGACCGCATGAGTTCCTCAGCCTGCAGCTCCTGTCCTGTGAGGATAGTTTGGATCTGAGAGCTCTGCGACTGTTGGCGCTGTGTGGCAGTGCGGAGAGATATCTGAGAATTTGATTTTACAATTGCTGTCTCAGTCGTCATGCTTGCAGTTGAAATGGTTGTAGAAATAATATCAGAAGTAGTCGATGGAGTGATGAGAGTAGTGTGGTCAAGGACCTGGACAGCGTTGTCATCATTGAAAGTGGGCAGGCAGGACGTTTGAGAAGAATGGATGACTGAGGGTGTTTGCTCCACTTCCCCACTAGTTTTCTTAAGTGACACGAGAGCCATATCGTCAATACTAGGGACAAAACCGTAACCCGAGTCATACTTAGGAGCAGGCAAGATGATATCGAGAACTTCGCCTGGATGGTGAGGGATCCGCTTCGGAGCAAGGCTGGTACGAGTCGGGGGAACAGGTCATAGAAAGATTAACAGGTAAATAAAAGTAATTAAATTTTGAGTGTCAGAGCCTCCATTGGCTTCAGCTTGCAGTATCTAATTTATCCTATTTGCAGACCACTTCCCTCTCCATCAACACCTAATGTGGATACAACATAGATACATACTATTCAAAATTATCATTAGTGAGGAAGAGGATAGCGCGATCTCCATTGACAACGCGCTCAGCTTTTGGGAATTGGCTCACGATATCATTCCAGAGAATGACTCGCTGACCAGACTTTGGATCGAGTCGAGTGGGGATAATGCGTAGTTTCGCAGAAGATTTTGGTGATGATAGCTGAGGTCCTCGAGGGAACGAGGGGCGAGGACGAAACGCTTGTGAGGGGTGGTCAAGGTCGGTGGCGATAGCGACAGTAGTAGCCATGGTGAATTCTCTTTGTCTGCCTATCAGTCTGTTTGTCCCTTTGTCCGTCTCTTTGGTTGTCTGCTTTTCAATCTCTTCCGTCAGTGCTGTGCCTACTCAGGCCAGGTTGAATTGTAGGGAAATGAATAGGGCGGGCGAAAGTACAAAGAACTGAAGTTAGAAGGAAAGGAAAGAAAGCAGAAAGATGGTGTGTTTGCATGGGGAAATACCCAGAGGGGCGAGGGCGGAGGCGAGGGCGAGGGTGAGGGCAAGGGCAAACCCTTGTATTTGGAAAGATCCCCAGTCGATTGTTTTTTACTAAACAACTAAAACAAAATTTTTGCCTAACCAGAAACGGCGAGCACAAATAGATTAACAGTCTCTTTCCTCAGTGTTATTCAAGTGGGCTATCGTATTTATCAATGCATCCTTCAAATACAGTTATTCACCGGACTATTACTCATGTTTTCATTTCCCAAATGAAGGAAGGAAAAAAGCACTTTATATTTGTATATTATAAGTATCAACGGTGCCATGAGTTGGTATTATATAATTCTTCACATCCTTCAAGATTGGATCTTGGCCAGTGGTGCCTTCTTCTTCAGCGCTTTCGTATACTCCCTTGGAATTTCTATTGGACGACTACCGTGCCCATCAAATTTAGTTTTACCAAGTCTAAGGAAACGTAGTGGAGCTGGATGCTTTTTGGCCTCAGGGATAGTATCCACTAAAGTCTGGAGGTGGTCTAAATCAAAGTTAGAATACCAAAAGCCCAAATCCTGCGCGGACGTAAAGTCAATAGCCTTGATCAGAGCCTCCCATTGTTGAGACTGCATATGAAGACCAGTCAGCCAAAACACCTCTAGGCTTGTCCATGCTTTGGACGCCATTGCCTTGGAGGGATCTGAAATAGGAACGGTTCTCTTTATCGACCGTTGTACAAGTGAACGAGATATGGGATCCAGAGCCTCTACTGCTTCCACTGTGGTATCAAGAGTGTAAATAGCATCACTAGAAGTTGGGGGAGGAGGAGGGGGAGTGACTGATGGGGGCGCTGTTGCCATGGCGACAAGCCAGTCTGCAATCTCCTGTGAAACTTCTACTTTCTCGTTCGACTTGATATTCAATGTGTCCAGGACAGGCAGCTCACGGCGGGTTGGTACTGTGTTCGCTACGATTGGCAACCATTCTTCTGCAGAAGACCCTACCAATACAAGCTCATTGATGCGCTTCCCATGCCTAGTCAACAACGTTTGGATCATCTCATGTTGTTCTTTGTTGTTCATGCTGTATTTTTGGAGAATGAACCTCTTCAGGCTGTGGGACCGCTCCAGAACTCGGTCTAAACTTTCACATGCTGCAGTTGTAAGAGAGTCCGGTTCCAAATTCATTTTTAGAAGACGGGAACCTCGTTCTTGAGTCACTTGGTCCAGAATTGCTACATGATCATCTGTAAACTCGCCATCTGCTGCCAATCGTTCGATCGTATGACCGTGTAGTCGTAGTACATGGGTCAAAGGATTAGATTTGTCTGCTTTGGGGAACTTGGCGGTGTTAAGGTCGGTCATCGTATATGCTGTAGTAGACACTGTTGTCGCCCCATCCTTATATTCCGTATCGTTTATTTCAGGCTTATCCATTGAGAAGTCAATGACAACGAAAGAAACATTATCCATCTGCAACTCAAGCCTTGCGAGAGAACAAGTGCCGGTTTGAGAAATAGTTTTGTCCCTGGTAGAGGAGATTGCTTCGATCAGCTCTAAAGACCGGCCACCATGGCAGCTGAGGTGCACTTCGGACAGATTAGGGCTCAACACCATGGCATCGAGCCAAGACTGCTCGTCAAGCTTATCAGTCAACTCTCTTGTCACAAATTTGGTAACAAGGCCTCGCTTGAGGAACTCTCTTTCGCGTGCGACAATCGCACTGAATGACCTAATGGTTCGCATGGTGGTGCCACGAATCTTGCTTTGGAAGAGCTTAAATGTGACATCAAAGTCATCCTGTAAAACTTTTAAGCTGTCCAGCGTGGGTACATATTGAAGTTGTGTCATAAGGAAATCGAAGGTAGGGATAAATTGGGTGGACCAAAGCGTCAGTTTTGCAAGAGCAGGGACGGTCTTGAGGATCCTTGTCACAATTGCAGTAGATTCCTTGTCCATGGGATCTATCTCGCAACTTAAAGCCAAGTTTCGGACCTGAGGAGCCATAGCAAGGGGAGCTGAGGACACATGTGCATAAAAGTCCTTGAACCCAGTCAGTTTCAAAGACTGGATACGTCGATTCTGTAAGAGCTGGACGATGGGATCGAAACGGCGCCCTCTGTTGAAGAAATCACGGTTAGGCCCAATAAGCTTGTTGCCGCTGAGAGTGAGATGAAGGATGTTAGCATTTGAGACCGCTGCAGCCAACTGACGGAGGTCATCAAGAGTTGCATCCCAAGCCAAAGTAATATCTAAGTATTGGATTCCACGTGCCTTGGTAAGGACATCGTAAAACTCATTAGCTCGGTCTCTATCTCCGATTGCAATTATAATTTCTCCTTTGTCCTCCTTGTACAAGCCTTGGTTGGACGAAATAGAATCGCGGACCAACTGCATGGCTGATGTCCTGTAGTTCTCGCGATAATGGTCAATACACACCCACTTGACTTTACCCTCTGTCGTCACGATTCTGTACAAGTTACCAAGGACTCGGCCTTCATCATGAACAGAAAGGAAAGATTCTAGCTGTCGGAGATCTGCTCCCTCTAGCGCCTCTAATTTATCCAAGCTCTGGCCGCCGTCACCATCCTCTAAATCCATTCCACCATCCGCATTCGTGTATTGGTCATTAATAAAGTTGATTGTGTCATCCACAAGAGAGCCAATGCTGCTGTTGGTAAGATCAAGGTTCTTTTGAACCACATCCATGCCTTCAACCAACCCTGTATTGGCCAGAGCTGGTACGAGCATTCCAGCTACTGAGAACCCAAACTTGATCATCTCCATCATCGTCAGCACATAGGGGCCATACTTCTGGAAGAACTCTGTAGGCCGTTCAATATCATACCCCTCATGCTTTGCTAGATGGATTTCATGCGAGATCTTGCTCCTCTCTGTCATTGTATGCTTGCCGCATTCACAAAGGAAGAACAACCGGAACTGGTTTGAGAACGGATTCGTTATTGTGTCTCGACGTCGGGATGCCTTCGGTAAGACGATGAACAGATGTGGGATAGGGTATTCGTGTAGCTCATATGTCTGAGTGAGTACGGCTTGAACACGGTTCTGGATCACCGCAAGCCGTTCCAGAGCCTCTTCCTGCATGCGAAGAATTTTGGCTTGTTTCTCCTCAAATGACTTCTGCATATGGACCTGTTGATCATAGATTAGCTGTTGCCATTTCCGTCCCTCCTCCTCTCCCTTGATCAAAAGCTCTTTGGCATCTTTTTGTTTTGCATAGACTCGTTCCTGAAGCTCGCGGCTCTTTTGAACCTCAAACTGAAGACGATCATAGTAATATCGCACCGATCGCATGAGATCCTCAGCATGTTGCATTTGTCCTGACATAATAGCTTGGATATCAGAACCCTGTAGCTGCTGTTGCTGAGAATCAAATTTCACAAGAGAAGTCACATCATTATTCTGAGACAGATGTACAGCCGTTGATACTTTTTCTACATCTGGAGCGCCCTGTATACTCTGGTTAAATGACGCTTTGTTAGAAATAATAGGGCTATGACTCAAGTTGGATGCATCTTCCGACGAAATGATGTCAAGTACTTGGCCTGGGTAATAGGGAATTCGCTTCGGAATGAGGCTTATAAAGTCGAGGACGTCAAAAAAAAAAAAAAAAAAAAAAAAGAGTCAGAAACAATTCTCTTTCCTTCATAGTTGAAATTATTCATTAAAAGTTTGCTATTTAACCTTACTATTCAAACTCACTGTCTGTGAGGAACAAGACAGCACGATCGCCATTGACACGATTGACAACACAGCACTCTGCATTGGGAAACTGGTCCAAGATGTCACTCCAGAAAATGACTCGTTGATTGGAGATAGGATCGAGACGAGTGGGAATGAGCTGAATATTTTCCTGTGATGATGGCGAGAACTCTTCAGATGAGTAAGCGCGGAAGGCCTGTGAGTGCTCGCCAAGTGTATCGATATAGGCCATTTGGTAAAGAAGCTCCTTGTGTAGGGTCGCTTTTTTTCGGTCGATATGTGTTTTTGATTTTTTAAGAGAAGAGGTGTGAGAATGTCGGCTGTGTAAAGAGGGAAAATAATAAAGGGCGAGATGCAATTTATGACGAGGGCGAGGGGGGCGAATGCATTTTTTTTTTGTGTGTGTGTGTTTGTTTTTGTGTCACTATTGAGATGTTAACGGCATGGCACACAAACCTTTCTTCTAATTACTGGAGCTACTCAGGTGTGAAACAAGTCTATCATAGCTGCATCTCAATATTTGTACTCTACTTCAGTAGGCCATACCTTCCAGACACCGAACACAGAGCATTAAAAACTTCCTGATCTCCAGGCTACGTCACGGCATTGTCTTATCCTTCTTGTCATCGGCTTCGCTTCTGTTTTAATTTTATTTATTTATTTATTTTTTTGCCTTGCTACTTTCTCCGGTGTCCTAGCCGAAAGCCAAACATTCAACTAGATTTCATTCGATCCATGTCAAGCCTTTTATTATATAGGTTCAATAGTTTCAAAGATGAAAAAGCAGTTAATTTTAGGGTGTCTTCCTAACTGAATATCAAAATGCGTGTCCGCTTAAAGTATATGCTTTCAACGGTTGGAACATACAGGTCGACTCTACTTCTGTTCGGAAAGAATCAAAGGAGCATCAAACATAGGTTTGGTTCTAACTTCTCTGCCCTATAATATGTAAATTGAGCTCGGTAGGGATATGCGTCCGAGGCAGAAAGTGTCAAGCTTAAGTAGATAAATTTCGTTGAAATGGTATCGAGAAACTACAGGAGTACCAAATGTTGCCACACATCGAAAAATGAATACCTGTTGCTATGCTCGCCTTGAATGCTTTCAACTTCGAGTCTCTTTTGAACAATATCTTAGATCATTGATGGAACCTACTCGTCTGTGAATAAATGTTTCACTCTCGATGCTTAGTAAACAAGCCAAGCAGACAAAAAAGACGACCATGGGTGCTTGTTATTTAAATCAGAAGGAGCAGCCATGCTTCGATTTTATTCGATATAGTATCATTATGAGAGCGCTTCAAAGAGTCAGTAGCCATGATGACATTTAGTGCCTTATCTGGATGGATCGCCTTCGTGCGAAATTGTTACAAGCCGAAGGGATAGGTCATAGGAATTAAGCAAATAGATGAAAGTTTCCACTCCTTTGTCTGCCTCTCTGGCGACTGTCTATTTATCAATCCTTTCTGTTAGTGTAGTATTTAGTCAGCCAGGATAGGTTGTCAAGATCGAAGTGTATACTGCTTTATTTTCCTTTCTACAACGAAAGATCAATTATCATAGCTCCTCTCACTTCCAAGCTGCAACTAAGCTTTTGGTACAGACTTAGCGTCCAACGCCACTAAACTCTAGCTACCATCAGTGTTGTCAGTAAAAGTTTCCCGTACCTTAAATACAAGTGTCGTTTCCGATAACTGTTTGTCCCCATCAGTATTACTGTTTCTCTCGTGAGCTCTCCTCAAATTACTTTGATGGCTACTGCCACCATCACTCTCCTGTATGAGAATTAGGGTAGGGGCGACTTTTAAAGGAGTCGGGTGTACGGGTGATGCTTCAAACCTCTGTCCTTGGCCAACAGTTTTTTCGTCGTTCAATTTTGACTGGATTAATGCCATTCGGGTCAATGACAAGCTATCGGGCCTCAGGAACGATTCCTCACTAATCGCTCGCCTCACTACATGCTTCATTTTCCCTTGATTATTCGCCACCATATTATTCTTCATAACTGCCGCTGTTAACTTTAAGTCAGAGCTAAACGTATCGTTATCCACTGCGGTTGTATTAGTGTTCGAAGATGCGGACGATGAGGTGGATGTGGTTATTGTCCTGGAGGCTAAAATCGGGTCAAACTCTGTCAACATACTCCTACTCATGCTCATACCCCTTTGGGGATAGTCCTCATTTATTAAATGCTCCGCGGTTGAAGACACTTTTGGAGCTGTAGGCGCTGATGTGAATGCGTAGACGGACATGCTTTCGGATGGACTGATCACTTCAGAAGAGGGGCTGAAAGTTTCAGAGTGTGGTTGTTGCCGATGTATTAAATCATGACTCGATGTCGTGGAAGCAGGTTTGGAGTTCATGTAATCGGCCCTGGGGCCAGCCGACGGTGGAGGTATAAACTCGCTTACATAAAAAGAAGCTGAAGCAGGTGTTAATTCAAGAGCAAGTGGTGATCCCAATGAACTTTTTGAGTCGATTAGCCTTGTTGAAGTGGGTGTGTAGGTTAAAGGTGATTCTGAGAAACTACATACTGGAGTCTCTAAGAGCTCATTATCATTGTCAGTAATGCTGTAACTGCTGGAATGGTCGCCAATAGTTAGCCTTGGAGGGGAATGCATAACAAGGGAGGGGGATGACAGTATTGTAGCGGAGCTTTCTATCACGTCTAGCAACTGTCCTGACTCTTCCATCTCAAGAATCTCTATACTCGCCTTACAGTCTGAAGCCGAAAAAGGGGGCCTCCCAGTGAGCATATCCCTTGATGAAACTGTTCGAAGTGATTGTGAGAATATGCTACTTTGAGATGATGTTGATGGCGTTGATGTCGGTAGCACGGCGGCAACAGTACTGCATAGATAACTGTGCGAATTAGAATTTCCTGTACTTGATTGTAATGGGACGGAGGGTATAGACTTATTTGAGGTGTCCACAGGCGAAGGCGAGGAAGGAGTTGCCGAAGCTAATGGTGAAGGCAAATACTGGCGATTGTAAGCAGGAGAGTTCGAATAGTTGGCAACCTCGGTTGCAGTGGGAAGTGAGGTGTTGATATGAACAGGAGCCTTAGAACCAAATCTAAAGACACCCTTGGCCTTGGTTGGCTCCCCGACTTTAGCAACTGGGGTACTTTCAGCAGACTGATGACCTTGTTGGTTACAAAGTTCTGGACTGAATTCCAATGGGCGTGAATGCTGATGGAACTGGTACTGATGATGATAGTGTCTCTGGCAGCAGTTAAAGTATTGGCAAGGCTGCCGATAGCGCTGCTGATCGTGATATGTACAGTAAGGATGATGCTGCATATACTGATCCGCTTGGGTTCGGTATGTATGAGAGCTACTCCAGGTTTCAATGGGCGCCAAGGAAGTACTCAAATTTGAGGGCTTGGGCCTTACAAAAGTCGTAAGTCCAGGAGTAGAACTATCGTTAGAACTTGCTCTTCGCTTGACCAAGGTCGCCAAAAAGTTGTGGGCCCGACCCTTCATGGATGAATAGGACGGTGTTACGTTCACTGTCGCTACATTAATAGTCGTGTGAGGCATTGATACTGGGCATGGTGGACTATAATGGTTCGGGATTTCACTCGGCAGATGACTTTCGTTAAAAGTACCATTAGGCGAATTGCAATGAGTCGAAGTAATGCCACTCATTGTTACTGCCGAGCGTTTAGTGGTTGGGGTTTGAACCCCTTCCTGAGCTGGCGCTAATAATAAGTTTAATTCCGATTTCGACTTGCCTTGAACATTAGCTGTCAATACTTCAACGGTTTCACCCGGGTCTATTGCAAAAGACAGTATACAGCAAATAAAACCATTATATCAAAAACTGGAGCTTTGTACATGGGTCTCAAAGAGATTTACAGATAAAGTACTGGTATATGTTAACTTACTGATACACGTATTTCCTATTCCCTCGCATTCCGTTTCTACTGTTACTGCGCGCCCTTTCAAGGCTGGATGGCCCCATGGATGAGAGACACGCCTCAAATCTGAAACACTGCTCCTTTTGATCACGAATCGCGCTTCCGTGGGCGAGGATGTTTCAGAGCGAGAATATGTAGGTAGATTAAGTACCTCATCGTTGATATGGTGTCGCATCAAGATGTTAATTTTAGTAGGATAAGGGGTTGGGACTTTCTCTCTTTCGGAGCATGTCATTTCACGTGTGCTACTGTCGCAGTGGCTGCATATAATACTATTACAAGAGCTTGTACGACAGTGACAGTAAGTTTGGACATGTGCAAGTGCAGCGGGAGTGGACTGACTGGGATGATGACTAGAAGTTGATAAATATGTGGTCTCTTTTTCGACGACAGTTATTGGAGTTAGTGCTGTGCTGGAGATCAAATGAGAGGAAGGTGGTGCTGATGATGAAATCACTTTCTCTAAGTGCTCCAATCCCTCTAAAGCATGCTCCTGAAGCTGATACCTGGTTAGTTGGCTGCGAATGCGGGGTGGATCAGACCTTGACGCTTGTGCAGACCTGGAGTGCCCTTTACTCTCATCAAGTATGATCCCTGGAGGGAAACTCGCCTCAGGTGCCTTGCTTACATTAGTATTCGGATGTCCTCTCCGAGATTTGAATATAGAAGCTCCTGGGCCCTGATTACCTACAAAATGTGGATGTTCCTGGCTCGCATCATTCAAGCATATGGCATGAGCGCCTGGCGAGACATCTCTGCAACAAGGGGATATGCTTTTTTGGTAAGGTCCTGAGCGATGTCCACTGTGAGCTGCATGACTTTGTGGAACATACAGACAGCTGCACGGATGATGCAGTGGGCCATGGAAATTATCTGTTACTGCTGCATCCACACGAGTCGAAATGGGTTGCGGTGGGATTGGTGCTGGATTCGGTTCGATCGACGGTGAGCTTGAAGACGTAATTGGTGGTACTATTGGATGGTTCAGTGTTGCTGCAGCTGTCTGTGTCGTTGTCCTTTGCTGCTTGGCTTGCTTCTTGTCAGAATCCTTATCCTTAGTTAAGCAATTTGCTTTTGCCACTAAATCTTCTAACATGCCTGATCGAGCTCGTTGATGAGGCTTGGTTAGTCGAGGAGCTTTATAGGCCGCATTTTCGCCATTAATCATCTTGCACAATAAGTAAGCTCTTAATTCTTGAGATGTTTTGAAGATGGGTGGATCTGGAAGCGGCGGTCCAAATTCTGGCACTTGTTCGTCAGAAGCAATTGCCACACTGTATCCTATAGTCCCATCTGGCAACGCAACTGGGTGGATAACGACGAATATATGAAGAAATTGCGATTTGATAGCACTGGGTATAAAGGGCTGTTCTCCATCTACGAATATTATGCATACAATATCGTTTCCGATATGTCGCTTGCGTTGGATCTGTTGACGATCGCCGTTTTTAAAAGGGAGGAGGGTCGATATATGGTACATGACCTCAAAGCCGTCGCCCCAGGTATCGTAATACGAATAACTTCCATTATCACCTAATTGCTCGGGTGAAAAAGGAGATAGAAAAGACAATGTAAGGATCATATACCACTGCCTCATTATCGCCATCAAGCTTGATTAGTAAGAAACGAGCTGATTAATAAAGCGCGAATGCTTTCAGGCCGAGACCTAAGAGGATACTTACTGCGTGTATCCAATCCAGCCGAGAACCCTTCAAAACCCTTGAGAAGCACTTTACTACCAAGAGCGCCACTTTGCAAAAATCCTTGAAACCTCTTGCTGGATCCCATCTGATTACTAAACCACTCTTCTTCTTTGGTCTGTCCAGGGCGGACCAAGAGGACCCCAAACTTGTAATGGAACCGTAGCATGGTCTCATCGAATTTGGCAAGCTCTTTTTCGAATTCTGGGTTTGTTTGGACTTTCTTCAACTTGGAAGCCACCTGCTGTGTGATTGCTGGATGAATAGATTGAAGAATTGTTTTCCATTGGGGCTTGCCCACGCGTCGAGCCAAATTATTCAGAGGGCCTGGTTCAGGTTCCGGGAGCGTGATTCGAAGGCTGTCAACGTCCTTCTGTCGAAGAATACAACGGTACTGCCAACGTGGAGGACCGTTGTAGCTGCTGGTATTAGCAGCGACACTGTTAAATGCAGTCCCGCTGCTGTTGCTGCTAATTGAAGTATTGATATTCAACTGAGGATGCGTAGGGACTAGTCCTCCTGAGGATAAGCTTGAGTCCGCTTGGAGGCTACTGTTGATATGAGGGTTAGACCCGCTGCGCACATTCAACCCATTGGAGTTCAATTTGTTATCTCCAGAGCTATTTTTCATTTTATTTTATTTTTTTAAAAATAATATAAAAAGGTTAGGCTTTTTCATAATACGTGACTAGACATGGCTTTCGGCATTAATTTTTAGCTTGCTGACCTTTCCTTCCCGTTAGTAGTAGATTTGGACGAGGAATGAATCATTTTTATGGCTTCAGAGCTCGCCCGTGAGTTCGTTATTAACTTCCCCCCACCTGGCCCATTGTCTCCTAAATATTGTCCGGATCCTCGCGCAGGGTAGAGACTATGGATAGAGCGAATAAGTTCAGGCCTTGTGACATGACCGCGACCAGGGCTACCATGACTGGCATTTGCTCCCCAGGTGGACCCGATGGACGAGCCTGACACAGGCGATATGAATGGTGCTAACAAAGTATTTGGCCGTCCAATATTTAGAGCTCGCATTTCGGTTGGGGTAACCAAGTCCTTGATGATCGATATAATCACAGCCCCAAGCCCATCGACTTGTCCCACGAACGTACAGTGCTCTATTAGTTCAACCAAGAAGGAAAGAGGAAAAAAGTGTGAGAAGTAAATTCGGCCGCTGTTTCAACTGATAGACCTCGACAGCTTTTTATGAACTACCTCTGCCAAGGAACCAGTCTCGATAGTAATATGCTTCATGGCCCATATGATCCTTTGAACAGTCTCTAATGATTGAAAAGCCTGGCGCTGGCGGTGATGCAGAAGGCGGTACTTGAACAGCGCTATCTGGGCTTGCTCCTGTACCAACCATGGGAGCACTCCACGGATGTCTCCTACCAAGGGTTGGATTCCGCATGGCCAGTGTACCTACTTGTCTTACTCCTACGTTGCTACTCCCTCCTCGTATCTGAAGAGTTTCTAATACATCTTCGGCTTCGGACAGGTCCTTGACGCGATCAATTTGTCGGTTTTCATGATAGCTATTATGTAGAGAATCGGTCGAAGGATTTTTGAGTGCTATCAATTTCTCTCTCTGACTTTCAAATTGAGGAATTCCTTGCTCTTCTGTAAGGCTGTCTCCGTTAGTTTCACTGAACTCAGCTACTAAACTGCTTCTAGTATCTGTGACATTGCTTGTGCCCTGCACAACAGTAGCTCTGCTCAAGAGCGAGAACTGTAATGAGCTTGAGGGTTTCGTAACGAAGGGCAATGGGAGCGACTTTGGAGGGGGAAGGTCAGGCCGTAGTACTCTCTCAATTTTTTTTAAATCATTACAACCTTCAATCCTATACCCCGCGATCGGAACAATCAACATCTTCATTTCATGAAAAGCAAAAGGTTGCAGCGTCAGTGGTAATGATTGCTGTCCATTTCTTATGCTATAGAATAAAGAAATGGTAATAATAATAAAAGTAGCAACCCACAGCAGCGTATCTGTCTTACCCGATTGTAGATACGCATATGCTCTGCTACAGAGTTCTCAGCTGCTAATAAAACAGCATTGATCTAATAATAAAAGAAGTCATTTGTTTTAGAAAACGCGGCAAGAAAAAAAAAAAAAAAAAAAAAAAAAAGAGAAATGAAAAGTTACTCACATAACTCTTTAATGTTTGTTGGCGTCCCTTTTCCGTCACCGCTTCAGGTGGAAGACAAGTATCTTCGGAACTAAGGGGAGGCAGTGGCTGATAACGGTACTGATGCTTATACTTGTGCTGATGCTGGCGTTGATTCTGTTCCTTGCGGACCATCTGGGCATGACCATTCGATAATTCTTCATACACGATCCCCCTGTCTGTATACTCTTGCGATTTATCATCATTCACTTCTGGCATTGCACTTGACGGGTTAGCTGTGGAAGCTAGCTTTACTGTATCCGTAAATACATCAGCTTGGGGGCTGCCACTATACTCTTTATCAGATCCTTTGGTCATTGACTGGTGCTGTGTAAGATGCCCCCCAATCATTTCCTCTCGGGATTTATCCAACTTCTTTTGACGGCGAGCTGACTCTGCACGAAATACCTCCTGCGCTAGGAAACACATGTCGTTTAGCTCACTCGCAAGCTTTGAGAACTGATCCGCGGAAATGTGCTTGCTCATGACGTCAGCCATCCTTGACATGGTATGGTCCACCTCATCAAAAAGCGCTGAGACCCTATCCACTACATTTACTCCAAGAACAACAGAGTCTCTATCGTCATCAATATCGCTACTGCCCTGTGATGCTTCCATCTCCGGCTTTGCTTCTCTTGCTTTCTCATCAGCTATTTTGATTAATGATGTCGTCTTTGATATGGAAGTTGGGGTTGGTGTTGACGAGAGCTTCATGGAAGATGTTCGACCGAAGCTTGTCTCTGGTAGGGCGTATTCCTTTAGAAAGCTAGCGCCCTGAACGCAGGTTAAACTGCCTCGTTGGGCTTCCGGATACGTCGTTGGATGAGCTGATTCATGGACCATTTTCGTCCTTGGTATTGCTGCTGGCTCCGATAAGATCTTTACAATCGACGAACTCGTTTCAATAGAGCTAGATGAATCAAAAGGACAAACAGCTGGAAATGAGGCCACTATGGCTACAGGCGCCTCGCCATCTGGGCTCGTGGCTGCTCCATTTGTGCTAACTGCTGCTGAAGTTGATATATTACAGGCTTTAGTCGCTTTTAGCTCTTGCCCTGCATCTTCTGCCTCCGAGCTGTTGTGGTTGCTATCGACTGTCATGGATTCTGAAGCCGCATCAAGGTACTTCATAATAAGAGCACACTTTGACTTGAGCTCCTTCAAAAGCTCACGTAAAGTCGCAGATGAGTCTGTTGGTGGGCCTTTCCTCCTTCTAATGTTGCTGCACCATGGGTTTTCCGGAAACTTTTTTATTTTTATTTTTATTTTAAAAAAAAAAAAAAAAAAAAAAAAAAAAGAGCAGAAAAAAAGAAAAGGTCAATATGTTTGTTATAAGCAATAATAGCCTTTCTTGGACAGACTTAGAAATTGACTTACTGGTTCTTCAGAGCTGAATCTGCGCCTAGGGGGCGCTTCATCCGGCATGAGAGCAGTGAGTTGGTCCGCTGTCAGGAGATCAGCATCTTGAAGAGACATACTTCTCTGCCGCCTGTAGTTAACGATTGGTGCATAGTCAGCAGCTTGATCCTCAGGCGCCAAACAAGGGACGTTAGAGTTGCTTGTTTTGGGCTCTGAGTCCGTCTTCGGAGTGGTGATGTTATTACTGACCCCTGGATGACTATTAATGGTTGTCGAAGGCATACTGAAGGCAGTAGGCTTGCTAGACATCGATATAGTGGCCAGGTTCAGCGCAGACATAGTCGTGCTTGATACTAGTGCATACCCATGGCTGGTAGGCGGCCGGCTTTGTAAGTAAAAAGGAGACGATTTTGCTGATGGATTGGATGATGATGCCGATCCGATTGTTGGGATTTTTGATTTTATTGTAGAAGTCGGTGACGGCACTACAGGCCTTGGATTGGGCAACGACTGGTACCTACAATCGCTTTTTACAGTAGTGATTGTTGTTGATGGAAGTGGTTTTGTGATAAATGGATTTGAATGAGATAATGATGACATCTCAGGTGAGATACACAGGGCTGGGTTCTTTGATGTGGTATGGTTTTTAAGTATTTGCAGAGATATTGGTACGATATTTGGTTCAGATGACTGTCGAAGATTGGGTGGAGTGTGTCTACTTGCAGATGCATTGGATCTAAGCACAGATGCGGGTGGCGGATGGTGCGTCGGATAAGCTATCTCTGCTTGATTGTTGTGATATGATCCTGAAATTCTCTTCCCATACCATCGATTATTGTCTTGCGAAGGTAGTGAATACGAAGGCATTGTTGAAGATATCCCAGTAGCCGCTTCAGGGCTCGAAAGCGTGCCATTTCTTACTAGAGTTGCATCTCCATCCACATTGCTCTTCAGCTGATTCACTGCTGTATCCACACTCATGTTCTCCTTGATCGTGCTCTCCACCCCAAGGTCCCCAAACGACATGTTCCTCAACTCGCTTCCGAATAAATATTCACCTACGTGCCTATCTTCATCGCTTTGCTCTTTTTCCTTCTCCGAACAATTACTGTTGTTTTTCATTCCCAGACTCTCCTCTACCCTTGTTTCATCTATTTGCATTGCTATTATTGTAGAATACATATCTTGTTCATTGCGAATAGGATCCAATGGCTCGCCTAAAGTCGTTGATAAAGGTTGCTGTTGTCCCCAAGGCACTGGATTTGTAACTAAGTTGGACAAAGATGACTTGAATTCTTCGCCTTCTTTGAAGAGAGCCTCGGAAGGAATATGACTTGCGCTCATACTCCTTTTCGAGATTCGCTTCGATGAGGCTGAACCAAGGCTAAGTTCTAAGCTTATTCCTGCTCCGCTCCCAAAATCAAATTCAGAAACATGAGCTTGCTGTATGTTCCAGACGCCAACCTGTTTCTTACTATCTTCCGGTTCTTGAACACGTTGGCTCCCATTGATTCTTGAAAGACCGTCTGGCCCAGACATGTGTTTTTGTAAATCCTGATAATGGTTGAGATTAGGCGCCAAACTAGGGCTCTTGTTAGACCTTAATTTTTCTTGTTGATCGGTATACTTATGGTTAGGCTTCACTGTGGTCGAAGAATTCGTGTTGTTCGAGTTCGTATCGATGTCGGCCAAAGAGGTAGGACTATGATGAGGGCGATATGCTTGCTCCAAAAATCCAGGTAGTGAGTGCCTAGATTTTTTACCATTGCTGCTATTACTACTGGCATCACCGCTAACATCCAAGCCGCGTTGGTGACTGCTGCTGATACTGCTGTAATTGCTACTCCCAGGCGTTGTCTTTGAAAGTGTAGCCATGGCAGTCGTATGGACAGATGCAAATGTCGAATCAGATGCAGAACCATGGATTATTGGCGTCGCCATATTTTTGGTAGAGGATTCAGCTCGTGGGGCGAGTACAAGCGCAGGTAGAGATCCGCGCCTAACATTGCTCGGAATTGGTTCTGGATGCCGCAAATTTGGCCCTGCATGTGCCTTATTTCTGTGGATACTGCTTATAGAGAGTGATGGGAATTTGAACCGTCCTAACAGCCCAAGTCGGGAAGAAGCGAGAGGCTTCGGGCTTCTGGTGGTGGCACTCACATAGGCTGGATCCATGAGAACTACAGCAGGCACAGTAATGTGGGTGTCAGAGTTATGGAGATGTTCCTGATAATTATTGGCGCTACTATTGTCGATGTCGCGAAACACCGGTGCTGCTGTGGATAAACTATTACCAGTACTTTCCCTTAACGAGGCATCATACAGTTGTTGGCCGACCCCCTCCGTTAGCGCTAATGTTGGTCCTTCAACTGCTGTCACTGTTATATGCTTGTCTCGAGTCTGATGCGGGTCTAAATAACTGAATAAGTCAGAATTATACCTATTACCAGAGTTGGAAAGACCATGACTATGAGCTCCTCTGGACGACTCATTGAGATCAGTGGCAGTACTCGAAGGTGGCGGTGACGATACTACAAGTGCGGTTATTGGAAGCGATCCCCGCCTATTCTTGAAGAAAGCTGGAGAGCTGAACAAGGACGAACATCCATTGCCACTATTCCTTCTTGTGTGCCCAAACCCGCACCGCCCAAAGAAGGAAGACTTTTGCACTTTTGGATCGTTCCCTTCGCTCCAATTGGCCTTGCTGATCCTCTTTTCATTTCCAGTATCAGGTTTCGGATCGCTACGGAGACTGGTATCGCTGTCGCCTGCAGAAATAGCTACTGATGAAAATGCCGTCGAGATCGAAATAGGGGTGAGATATCATTGCTGATCAAAAGCAACATCTTTTAGGGACTTTGGCGCCTTTGCTGATATGCCGGTATTCTTTCCCATATTAAACCCCCATTTTACTTTCTTTGGTCAACGTGAAGGAAGAAGAGGATGTCGTAGGGATTATTGACACATCTGTACCATTAGTCTCGGTGATGGTTATACGCGGTCGCTAGAAGCGCCTCGTAATCCTGCCTGCCCTCCTCATCTGTTTTTTTTTCCTCGTTCTCTTTATCAGGAGCGAGTGCTCGCTTTCGGTAGCGTTGCTGTTGCTACTGTAGCCCTCCTGAGCTCGGTTGGGCGTTGAAATTAGGTTCTTTGCTGAAAAGGCTATCCATGAGCTCCTGCCTCGCACTTGAATACATCACTGGGGGATGATAGAGCGATGATTCAAAGAAAAGGGCCTTTAGCCTACGCAAGGTCGATGGTGATTATATTATTGATAGTGACGACCACTGATGTACTGGACGCTTAAATCCTGGTGACGATATCTGTAACACTGATCATAGCGAGAGTGCTTCGCTTTATACTCAGAGCGACTTTTCCCAGATTTATTCCCGCTTTTACACTTCCCCAAATTTCTATCCTTGTAGTAATAATCACAGAACTTACGGTGTGGTTGCAGGTCTTGCGGTTGCCTCTCATTTGAACAACTACCAAGATACGCGTTCGGCTGCCTCGAAGTCTCCATAGCCTTGTAATGAGTAGTAGCATGCGCTTGACTAGAAGTCGATATCATTGAAGGAAGCACATCATGAGATGTAGTAACAGAAACCAAAGGCATAGCTGTTATGTCTGTAGGCGTGATATTTGCCATTGGTGGCGGTACTAGGCATGCCTCCTTTGTACCGTTGTTCTGTTTGTTCATCCTCTGTTTACTGTTTTTGGGGCTGAGTGATCCTAGGAAACCACAGGCTTTATTCCCAGAGTGATGGTCTGATTTGTGGAGTGAAGCATCTGTGGAATTATAGACAACTGTTGCGGCAGTGGTGGCGAAACGCGATTGCTTATTAAGAACTAGGCCACTGGTGCTGTTGTTAGCACTATGAATCCCATCGTTGGTGTCATGGGCATCTTTACTGTTAGAATTATGATTAGTATTATTGGACATTTTAGTATAAATAAGTGTAGGAGTGGAGGCGGGTGGTTGATTATATGTACAAGGCTCTATGATTACAAAACTATCCGTAGTAGGAGACGAAGGTAGATAAGGTGTAACGGTGTCTATGTATGTATCCGTCATAGTAAAAGGAGACAGCGGTGATGACTGAGAAGAAGCAACGGAAATGGAGAGAACGGGGAGAGATATTGAGGTCGGAGAAGATGATGTAGACAATAAGGGCAAGGACGCTATTGCAGTTCTAGCTGTAGCTGTAGCTTTAGTTACTACTGTTGTTATAATTTTGGAGTCTTTTGTTGGATGTTCAAGCTGATGCTGTCGATGCTCCTGCTCCTGTTTTTGCCCTTGATTTTGCTCTTGCTTTTGCTCTTGCTCTTGCTTTTGCTCTTGTTCTTGCTCCTGCTCCTGCTGTACAGTTGAAAATAGGTTCATGATGTCTTTGGGCATTGCGTGGGATGCTGGATCTGGGTCATTGGACGAAGGAGTAGAGTCTGGGACTGAAGAGACAATCATGCAGAGGAGCCACTGGATAGGATTCTTCCCCTTTTAAAAATTATCCAAAAGAACTATAAAAATGAAGAATACACCACACAAAGGAAAAGATACCACAATGTGATCTTTGATTAGAGGTCAACAGAGATAGACACTGGGTTAAATGTCTCTCGCTTCAATGAAGTGATTGATTAAAAAAGAAAGGACGATCAAAAAAAAAAAAAAAAAAAAAAAAAATGCACAGCAGGAGATATTGATTAGAAATGAAGGGAAGAGGCAAGATCACTGAGAACAGAGGTGCCTCGGGAAAGGGCTCTTAATGCAATACAGCATCGTGTGGTTAGTCTGTCGCATGTGGAAAGAAGCTCCCGCCAGAACGGGAATACTATCCCCATAAATTACAACAACAACACCAACGTTCAAGACTTGTCTTCTCTTCTTCACCCATCTCTTTCCTTCTTCCTTTTCTCGCGTTTTGGTGATTTAGGAACACGAAGAGACACGTGTTTTACTACTCGCACAAAGAGAGACGCGTTGGTCTTTATAAAGATTCATGAATGCATTTGACATGTAATGCATGCTTTTGATCTCTCTTGAATCCCAATTATGCTCAAGCGACTCTCTATTGTTTCAATGCCACTTACGCCCGTCAGTACCATTATCCATATTGTTCTCAATTCGTCACTTCACCCAAGGCTTTTTTTTAACCCCCTCATCCTTTTTTTTTTTTTTTTTTTTTTTTTTGGTGTGTCCTTGGAAAGGGGAAAGCCTCATGCTGCTATAACTCACAGGAGGCAAGGAGAAGGGGAGAAGAGGGCTCAATCTCAATCTCTGTCAATTGCATACATTGCCCGTTAATCCTTTTTAGTTGCTATTATTGTTGTAGTTTGCTGCTTTGATATGGCCAGGTGAATAATTGGAAATGTTGAAGCCTATCGCCTACAGGTGACGTTTATAATCAAAGGGGCTTTCATCATCTGTTGATCACCCTATCCAAGGAGACTTACAGAAGAAGTTTGATGATACTTGTTGAGCCTGTTGGGGAGTAGGGGGGCATAATAAAGCTTGTGGAGATGTAACGTAACAGAAAAGATGCTGTTGTGGAGAGAGTAATAAATAAAAAGAAGAAAAAATGCATCGTGCAAAAAAAATAAAAAATAAAATAAACCTAAATACGCCAATATAAAAAGCTCTAACAACAACCAATGTTTTCACTCCAAAATATGCAAGATATTGTTGTGCGTCTTCAGACCCAAGTTACAAGAGGTGGAGGGGTAGAATGACATTTTGCTGTCAATGGACGATGGTCAAAGTCTTACCGAATACAGTGTGGATAGCTCAAACAAAAAGGCCAGAATGCAATGAATGCGAGAATGCTTTGTTATTTGAAGAGTATACACAGGGTCAATGGTTCTAAGAAAAAAAGGATAAAAGAGAGAGAGAATGAGGATATGAAGGATGAACAGAGAGTGTACGTAAGTGCTTGCGAGGGCGAACTGTATAGAAAAAAGATCATAACAATGGATCCACTCTGCTGGAACTCCCGATCCAGAAATTCAGTATGGTGAAGAAGCTGCGTATAAATATACATATATCCCATAAAAGTCGAACAGACAGGAAAACATTGAATGAAGTTGTTGAAAAGCGATGGTATAGAACCAAGTCCTGAGGACAGAAGACCTCTATGTGCGTGGAAGGGACTGTATGATTGCCAAAAGGATCAACACTCTGATGAATAAAGAAGGAAATCTCACCGAAGCACATACAACAGAGAGATTATGGAAATGGACGATAGACAAAGGAACAAGTCATTGGAATGGCCTTTTATGAAGATAAAAAAAAAATAGAAAGAATATAAAAATAAATAATAAAAGAGTAAACGAAATGAAGAGTAATTCTGTCTGTACAACGGACCGGGCGATATGGGAAATGAATCCTAATGCGGGTGAGGGGCGCACTTTAAGCAAATCGGCCAACAAATGAACTAAAAGTCAATTGTATCTGTGCATGTTGAACCTTGCAATGATTTGGAAGTAAAAATGGAAGGAGTGTGCGAGCGTGCAAAAAACCCGAGTACCATTCAAGAATGAAACAAAAAAAAAAAAAAAAAAAAAAAAAAAGGGTGACGACTACCATTGATTACCAAAGACATTGAAAACGCAGCAATGTCTGGAGTGCAAAACTTGGTCAACACAAAAAAAAAGACCACCATCAATGTTGATCTGAGAAGGCTAGAGTATATTAAAGTGGAATCGCTTACTCACTCCATCCACTCATCAAAAACCGGTGGACCTGTGTGAAGATGGATGGATCGGGCTCTGAACAGGGACTAATCAAACATGGACTGTGCAATGTTGTGGTTGCGTTTTGTCAATAAATAAAAGAATGATAAGAAAAGCAGAACGTCTATCGGGCGTCTTTTTTTTTTTTTTTGGTTTTTAGTTTTTGCTCTGTTCTGCTCTGCTTTGCTTTGCCTTCCTTTCTCGAGGAAGTTTTTTGTAATAAGAGCAGGGTAGGACCGTCAGAGTGAATTAGGGTGAAATTGAAGAGTTGATTACTTATGAAATGAACACAAGCGTAGTTGAATCAGACGGTGGAAGAGAAGGCAAGGGGATGAAGAAACAGTAGAGAAGGAGAGGAGGATGAGATGAAAAAAGGGAAAGAGAAAAGGGAAAAGGAAGCACGGAGGAGGAGAAAGAGCGAGAGATATGCAAAACAAGGCATGTTAGCTGATGCATTTTCTCGATACAGGATGCAGCCAAGGGCTGTGAAGATCTCAAAGGATATGAGGGTTTTCCTTAAATGAACTCCACCAAAGAGGGGTTACAAAGGGAAAGAAGGGGAAAGAATCAGGGTATTGAAGGTACAGGACATGGGCATCAAAAAATCATCTAAAGACGAAGCAATTTCATCCGATTGTCCCATCTTTTTCTCTATTTTTTATTTATTTATTTATCTGAATTATGTTGAAAAAGAACACTTAATACTTCGATCCTGTTCCGCGCACAGATCATGTACCTGCCGTGCCTGTCAAGACGAAGTAAATGGAACCGCATCTGAGCCTCACTGCAAATGGGTCGCATGATGAGAGAAGATGTAGACATTAACTAAACAACTGAAAAGTCAGTATGATCAATAACCTGTTGACTGACTCCTATCTGCCTATCAGTCTTCAGTTTGTTCATCTTGTCGTCGTTACCTCGTGGGCCAGGATGTTCCTGAAGTCCTGAAGTCCTGAATTCTTTAGACATAAACAAAAATATATCACGTTCCCTTTGAAGGAAAGATGCAGGGGGGAGGGCCATTGCGTTGACCAACAGCATGACGAGACCAAGCCATAAAGATCATTAGGGAGATATCCGTCTGATCTGTTGTAAAGAATGATCTCCGTCAGGCCCTTATTACCGTTAAAGAAACAGCGATTTATGTCTTACCTTACCAGTACGCGAGAGCATTCGTCTCAGACTCAGATCTCAACAGCTAAATGTCTGTTGGGGTAGCATTTACACCCAGTGTAAGTTTTACACACTGCACACTGACAAGATCGTTCCTCCCTTTTTAACATTTGTTTGTTTCTCCCGAGAGTCAAGATCTTCATTTACGAAAGAATAGGGTCAAACAAACAAAATCTCTTCACTCTGTCTGTTGATATATATTTACATTACTCCTATTTAAGTCTTCGCGTGCTCCCTGAACGATGTGCTCCCTTTCCTGACTAAACTCATGCAATATATATATAATTATATATCACTTTTTTTTTTTCTTTTTTTTTTTTTCTTTGGATGTACAACCACGTCAGGGGAGGTGATCGAAATGAAACCCATGAACTCTATGCCACTTTACCACATTCCATTGATAAGCAAACTACATAAGAATTTTGTTGTTGATTGAATTGATGGAGTGGCTGATTTATTTGTTTTTGGTAACTCTCACACACTCTGTTTGAATTCTTCTTTGACACGTTGCAAAAATTTAGGATCAATAATACACTCGATGCCTGTCATGGCTAAAGCCTTGGATGCTCTCAGCGTTGCAACATGTGCTGTAGGTAATGCTGCTGCTGCCTCAAACTCTTTAGTATGTAGCCCCACGCGCATATCATCAACACCCTTGAGGTTCAGAATGTTGAACATGGGATGGATGCCCGGCATTGCGTAGGTTAGGTTACCCATATCGGTTGAGCCCGAGAGCTTGGACCGCTGCTCCTCTTTCGGGGCATACTTGACACCGAAGCTGTTCATTACCTGCTCGAACTTGCCGCTCAATTGCCCATTTGTTAAAATATCTATTATTATGTTAATTTGTTATATTCAGAAAACTAAATTCCCATCCCTTTAACTTTCATTAAAACCTTACAACCCACACTGCTATAGAATACCTTTAATAAGATGTCTCCAAGTGATTTTCAATTTACACCCTGTAGAATCAGCGGCGGCTTTAAAGACTTTTTCAAACTTGATCATCAATTCCTCAACCTGTGATGTCTTGGGTGCTCGTGCAATATAAATACTCCTGGTATACTCCGGGATAATGTTGGCTGCTTGGCCACCGTTCTCAATGATGCCATGGACACGGCAATCCGGCCGTATCTGTTGACGCATGAGGCCAATATTGGTATACACCTCCATGGCTGCATCCAAAGCATTGATACCTTCCCATGGCGTCGTCGATGCATGCGAGGCCTTGCCAAAGTACTCCACTATCGCGACATTTAGTGACAAGAACGGAGTATAGATTATATCCGAAGGAGCGCCGTGCAACATCATACAGACATCTACACCCTCGAAATCGCCTGCATCCAGCATAGTAATCTTGCCTGCATCGTGTTCCTCAGAGGGTGTGCCAAATAATTTGATCTGGGCTGGTAGATTGAATTTCTCGATTACAGCCTTGATTGCCAAAGCTGTAGCAATACCAGAGATGGCAATCAAGTTGTGCCCACAAGCATGACCGATCCCCGGAAGCGCATCATACTACAAGACAACAAAATGGTGACCAGAGATAGAAGATACACATCAATTATCTTGCTTTTGCTTTGCCCACGAGATATTCAAAAAAAAAAAAAAAAAAAAAAAAAAAAAAATACCTCTGAGCAAATACCGATTGTTACTCCGCCTGACTTGTCTCCAGCACGAGCTATAAAAGCAGTCTGAAGACCGGATTTTCCCTGCTCGACAGTAAACCCTTTGCTAGCCAAGTACTCTGTCAACCAAGCATGCGATTTGAACTCTTTAAGACCAGTTTCAGGGTTGTCATGAATCTTTAAAGACACAATAAAGTTTATAGTCAGTTTACAATAAACAACTGATTGTTATCACTAAGAACTACTCAAGAAGTAAATAACCTTTAAGCTGAGTGTGCGAAGATCATCAGAGGCATCCTCAATGGTATCATATACACACTTGTAATACTTGTTTGACCGCCACATATCTGCTGTCATGTTATGTGATTTGAACTTTTTTTTTTTCGTTTATAAAAATCTGTGTGGCTCACTTCAAATTAGATAAAAGTTGTACGTCGTGCCTGTATCTTTTTACTATGATAAAATACATGTAAATGTGTTTTAAACAATCTGTAATGAAGAATGCATGAGAAAAAAAAAAAAAAAAAAAAAAAAAACTGTATTAGGATGAGAATGAAGAGGTACAGCACGATAGCGATTATTTTTCTTTCGTGTTCCCACGGCTCATGTAATAAAATGAATTTGTGCAATTACAAGTCATGCAGCAATGGATCGTACATATTTCACCAGCAGTCGGTGGCCATATTTTTCTGTTCTTTCATTTGCTTTTTCGCCCGCCCTATCCATTCCCCTACATCACAGCCTTGGGTTGAGTAGACGCAACACTGGCGGAAGAGATTGAAAACAGACAATCAAAGAGACAGCGTCCAATAGAAATACCGAGAGAGTACACAAAAGCACTCATGAAGTACCGCTTATTAGGGTTCGAAAGTGAACAGTGCAAGCTTCATAATCATAATGTTTATAAATGCTTATTTATTACTTTGACATGAACAACTTTTTTATACAATACAAGGCTTAATTTCGTGCCTAGCTTTTCTATTCTTTGTTTTAGTCCTTCTTGAGGTTAGCCTTGGTCAAGGTAACCAGTTCCTCTGCGCTAGTAGGGTGGAGAGCGACAGTGTTATCAAAGTCGGCTTTAGTGGCACCCATCTTCACGGCGACTGCAAAGCCTTGCAGCATCTCATCACTTCCCTGTCCCACAAGATGAATACCAACAACCTTCTCCTCAGGTCCTGCGCAGATGAGCTTGAAAGCTGAGGGAGTCTTATGGGTCTTCATGGCGTTATACATGCCCGAAAATTTGGTCACGTAGATATTCAAGTTTTCAGCACCATATTCTTTCTTAGCTTCCTCCTCTGTGAGACCAACAGCCCCTGCAGGTGGGTGTGAGAAGATGATAGAGGGAATGTTCTTGTAATCAAGCTTTGAATCCTTGAACTTTTCGGGTCCGAAAAGGCGATCTGAAAGACGGCGACCAGCGGCAATGGCTACAGGGGTTAACTGCTCAACTCCGCAGACATCTCCAAGAGCATAAACTTCAGGCACAACCGTCTCTTGGTACTCATTGACAACAATGTACCCTTTGTCATTCAGAGTGACACCAGCCTTGTCCAAACCGAGTTTCTGAATAAGAGGTTCGCGTCCAACGGCCCAGAGGACAGTGTCGAATTCGCTCGAGGCTTCATTTCCATTAGAGACGTAGCTAACGTTGATGGCGTTGCCGTTGGCCTTGGCAAGAGCCTTGACCTGACTGTTAGGAACAATATCAATGCCAACAGTGAGCATCTCTTCCTTGAGAGTGTCCTTGATAATAGAGTCAAACGAGCGCAAGATCTCAGTGGTTCTTGAGAAGATGGTGACCTTGGAACCTGATTATGAAGAAAAGGTCAACTTAAAGCCCCTTTTAATATTGTGCAAAAAAAAAAAAAAAAAAAAAAAAAAAAAGTAACACTTACCGAGTGCATGGAAAATGCCAGCTAATTCGATACCAATATATCCAGTTCCAACAACAGCAACACGCTTAGGTTGATGCTCTAGAACAAAGAAACCATCGCTGTCAATGCCCAATTCGGCACCAGGGACCTTGGGAATTTTAGGACGACCACCTAATCAATTGTTCGAGTTTAAGTAAAAAAAGATCATTTTAACACACACACACACACAAAAAAAAAAAAACTTGATCCGTACCGACTGCGATAAGAATCTTTTTGGCATGAATTTCTTGTCCATCGCCAAGAGTGACACTGTTCTTGGAGACGAAAGATGCCATGCCACTGATATATTCGACGCTATCCTTCTGCAAATTGCGCTCATAAATGCCATTCAAGCGCTGAATATAAGCATCTCTCTTGTTCTTAAGAGTGAGCCAATCAAACTTGGGCGAGCCAACCTCAGGGAAGCCATACTCCTTGGCATCTTGAATGGCCTCAGCGATAGTGGCTATTGTTGATGTTTAAGATAAACAATGGATATTGTGAGTGAGTACCTGAATAAAACATTTGAAAATACTCGGCATCCTTGCGCAGCGGATATTGCTATTTACCTGTGCTCCACATAACCTTCTTTGGAACGCATCCAACGTTGACACAAGTGCCTCCGAGGCGCCCACTTCCTTCAATCAGACCGACTTTGGCGCCATATGAGGCAGCGCGGCGAGCGGAGGCAAGACCTAACAAATAAAAAAAAGTTGTGGATGGTTCCTTTCCAATTAATGCCAATATCATTCATTTAATACAAATTTAAGAGAAGTCTTCTTTCCTTCTTTTTTTTTTCTTACCTCCACTACCGCCACCGATGACAAGGTAGTCATAGATTGTTCCAGTTGGTGGCATTTTGAATGACTTTGCGAGTTGGAAAAGGCGGCGCGTTGGAGACGTCAGGGTTGCAGTATGTAGTAATGATCCGATGTCGACTCGATGAGAAAGCTACACCAGGCGACGGGAATCCGATCAAAGAAGAAAAAGAAAAAAGATCTGATGAAGAATTAAGGAAGGAATAATGAATAATCACAAAGAGAGGGGAGGTTTTTTATTTCTTTTTTTCAGCCGTTATAAATATTAAATCTTCGCATGGCGAAAAAAAATGATTTGTCAGTCACCCCTGTGCTCTTGATGAACAAGCAACAGGCAAAAAAAGTCGATCATATCATTGGCACTTGCACTGGCGTCAGCGCTCACAGACAATACGCATTGGTCATTCTAACAGTTGGGTACAGTATAGTCCTCCCTTGAGCCCAAATCAATTCAATCGAGTAAACAAAAAAGAATTTCCATTTATAATTCATGAGGACGTGAAAAAAATATTGCCCTGGATGAAAGGAATTGGAGGTATTTAAGGGGAGCATATCAATGAACGAATTCATCTTTTTTCATTAAATATAAGACATTTTCTTTTTTGTTTACTCGATTGAATTGATTTGGGCTCAAGAAAGTCCCTTGACATAAGGGGCTGAGAGTCCCTTTTGTCAAGGGAGGACTGTACAAAAATCAGGAATATCTGGTATACATATATTATTTGTTCACTCCTTTCAACCAACCGTCCTTTCCCTGGATAAATTGGAACACTGATCCTGATTAATTGCGCAGCTTTTGATACCATATCAATTGATCACGTGAGACGCCACTAAAAAATAATCCCTAGTTCTACGAACGAGTGCATAACTCTCGGCCCTATTACGTCACTGAAAACAGCCACGCAAATGGTCCTCAACGCCTGCACCCTAAACTACGCAGGTATTGTCTAAACTGTAAAAAACTAGGTGAACTATACAGTATACTCGACGTGAACCCTCTTGCTGCTCTGCTTCTGGGCTCCTCTTCTCGCTCGGTCGGCGCTTGTCGCTTGACTGCTCTCTTTTTTCATTGTCCATCCTAGAAATGTTATTTTGCTTGCCACAAGATAGGATGGTCGTTCTTGATAAAGTAGATGACCCTGAACAACGTTGCAAATGTTATACCCCGCCATGGCATCTCTATGCATGAATGACCTGCAGTTGCTGCAGTATAGCCGACGGATCTCAACCTGACAAACAAATTCTTGACAGATCGGACATTTTTTTGAGGTATAGTATTCGTTGCGCCTACGACGATGTACCCAAAAGATCGAGTCTAATGGGACAGGAAAGCAAGATAAGTTACGATATGGCAACAACAATGATAAAAAGTAGTGGGCAGCGGCTTTGCCGCGGCTAACTTGATCAAGCTCTGTTTATAACTGTTGGTAATCTTCTTGATTCTTCGATTCGGGCTCTTTTTGCATCCCATCTATGTTTCTTGATGACATTGTTGCTGCTATAGGAGGAACCTAGGTCTTCCTCCACGTCTCTGAGCCTCTCGATGTAATTTTTTATGCCTGCATCATTCCCACGAAGAAAAGGTAGGCTACCCTCGATGTCACTGATGGACCGTGAACCGTAGACCGTTGTTACCTTCCGCCGCTCCATCCAATGTCGGTACTTGAGGGTGGGCTGGTACGCTGCTTTCCGATTGACAGCCAAGCTGTAAAATTTGACCGTCTGGGTCGCCGTCTTAGTGTGCTCGCTACTTGGCAACAACGCGCTCGCTCCGACGACGAAAGTGTCCTAAATCTAGATCTAAACCTTGATTTCTTCTGGTTCGCAGTTACGAAGGCCAATTATATCTTGTCTAGCTCTCACCACGTTCCTTATCTCGGCCAAGTAATAGTCTGTACCGCCTAATAGTCTGTACCGCCAAGAGTAGAATTGATTCTGGAAGGTAGCCTATCCTCGGGAAGTCGTCTATATTTCACCACATTGAGTTCGTTCAGTTTGAATGCTAGCAACTGGACCCGAAACCCGTCAGTTCGAATTGACCCCCATAAAATGTAGCTGAATGTGATGAGAGCTAAGGAAAGGGAAGAAAAGAAGAGAGAGAGGGGGGAGGCCACTGCCAAAGCGTTCGAAGAGTGTGAAGAAAGATTTATGGGCCTGTGGAAGAAGCTAGGACGTATAGCATATCATAGGCAAAAAAGAAGGTGCACATTGAAGGATATGCAAGACTCAGTAGCAGACCTGAGTAATGTAATCGATACAATGCTAGTTCAAGAGTGAATAAACTGTGCGAAAAGACAGACCTCTTGGTTTTTGGGCCAAGATTGTGCGACTTCCCTATGAACTGTTGACGTGTTGATGATATTGTTGGATAATTTAGGGGTAGATTAAATAGGAGATTTTGGTCTTGATGGTTTATGAAGCTGGTCACTTCCAGCTACAGATAGATAAAATAATTCTTGAACACAACACAATACAAAAAGAACAGTCAGTACTTGTGCAAAAGAAGGAACAAAGAACCAGAGCTTCCTGAGCTGTTGCTCGTTAAGTAGTTGGTGGCGAACCCTCTCCACATGACTAAAATAAAACCAACAATATGTACAAACTATCTCTTTTTCTTTCTCACCCTTTCCTCTTCTCTTTTCTCTTCTCTTTTCTCTTGCTTCCTTTTTTCTTTCATTTTGTCATTGATATATACTTCTCATAGCCATCCATTTACCGCCTCACACAAAGCCATCCACTATGACCGCCTTCACCGACGATGACAAAACAGCCATCAACACCATCCGTGCACTTGCTGCTGACACTGTTTTCAAGGGCAAGTCAGGTCATCCTGGTATGTTTATTACTTCTCACATCTAAGCACGTCTGTATATCTAGCCCTTGATGTTTAAACATCTTCCTCAACTCCGTATTTCTATCATGTCTGCTCTAACTCTTTATTATGATTACAATTTGTATAATTAATAGGTGCACCTATGGGCCTAGCACCTTTAGGTCATTTGCTATTCACAAAGTCCATGAACTATAATCCCAAGAACCCACTCTGGGTAAGTATTTTCATGTTTGCAACTAGTTTGTATGGGTGTGAATGTGTAGATTGATGCGATTGACGGAGCAACAGTTATTCAAGACAACTCTGGGGATTGATGTCATGACACAGTCATTTAAAGATGAATTCCTTCTATGCGCATCATATTTGTTCTTTCTATTTAAATGTGTTCATTTCTATAAATATTCGAATATGTCTTATCATTTTAGTCTGACTAGTTTTTTTCCTATTGCTTTAATGATTTTAATGATGTGCAATCTTTTTTTTTTTTTTTTTTTTTTTTTTTTTTCTTCTTCCTAACATCAGGCAAACCGTGACCGATTCGTGTTATCGAATGGACATGCCTGTGTACTGCAATATATTTTACTGCATTTGTCCGGATATCCAACTACAATGGATGATCTCAAGAGCTTTCGTCAATTGAACAGCAAGTAAGTTCGATTATGATAAGAAATGGAAATTTGATAGCCTCTGGCATAATTTGAGGCAGAGTAATCAGGAAGTGATCATTGTGAGGGACATGAAAGCATGGGAATTTTTTTTAAGACCTGTTACATGATCATGACGCGAAGGAGGGAAGGAGGGCGGCAAAATAAAAGAAAATTAATATTTTAGTTAGTCAATTGATTGGTGTAGATTTTCTTAGTTGTAATTTAACCGTCCTGATAAATTCCTCACCGCTTTCTATGTTTCACACCTTCATTTAGAACACCTGGACATCCCGAGTCCCATATAACTGTTGGTATTGAGGTTACTACGGTAATACTACGCAGAAACATTATGATTAAATATATGCTCAAAGATGTTCAAGGGCTGAGTGTCTTCGCCCTGCCACTCAGCTGTGATATGTCCAAATCGTAATTCTATTATATTTACGTGTTATATCAACACATTACTTCATTATAAATAGGGTCCCCTAGGCCAAGGCTTCGCTAACTCAGTAGGCTTAGCCATTGGGGAGGCCCACATGGCTGCAAGATTCAATAAGCCGGACTTCGAACTGTTTAATAACCACACCTTTGTTATTTTGGGTGACGGATGCATGCAAGAGGGTATTGCCAGCGAGGCTGCTTCCCTTGCTGGGTATGTATTACACCTGCCAGTCTAACAACAGACTTTCGCTATTTTTGCACTTTGGCAGACGTTGGCACGCAAAACTCATTCCCTTTATTTACTATTATTATTTTATCAAGCCATTTAAAATTGGGGAAGCTCATTGCATTTTATGATGACAATCACATTTCGATCGATGGTGACACAAATGTTGCCTTCACTGAGGATGTCACTAAGCGCTTTGAAGCCTATGGATGGCACGTTCAGTCCATTGAAGACGGTAACCATGATCTAGAAGGCATTGCTCGTGCTATTGAGGAGGCTAAGAAGGTCACCGATAAACCTTCACTCATCAGGGTCCGTACCATCATCGGTTTCGGCTCCTTAAATCAAGGCACTGAAAAGGTCCATGGCTCTCCTCTGAAGGAAGATGATATCGCTCAGCTCAAGAAGGCCTTTGGCTTCAACCCAGATGCTAAATTTGAAGTCCCCAAGTCCACATATGACCTGTACCATTCTAGAGCTGCTCAAGGCGAGAAGGCGAATAAGGAATGGGAGGAGCTCTTTGAGAAATACCAGAAAGCTTATCCAAAAGAAGCAGCAGAACTCAAGCGTCGTCTGGATAACAAGTTGCCAGAGGACTGGGTCAAGGAGCTCCCTCGCTACACACCTGCAGACAAACCTACTGCCACTCGCAAGTTATCTGAAGCTGTCCTCAACAAGATTGCAGATGTATTGCCCGAGTTGCTTGTAGGATCTGCAGATCTGACAGGATCCAATCTCACCCGCTGGAAGGATGCTGTAGACTTTCAGCCAGACGACTCCAACCTTGGCAGCTACTCTGGACGCTATTTCCGTTATGGAGTCCGTGAACATGCCATGGCTGGTGTTCTTAATGGTTTGGATGCCTATGGTGGAATAATCCCAGCAGGAGCAACATTCCTCAACTTCATTACCTATGCATGGGGTTCAGTTCGTCTATCTGCGTTGGCAGGTCATCGCGTCATTTACATCATGACTCACGACTCTATCGGTCTCGGAGAGGATGGCCCCACTCATCAGCCAATTGAGACCTTGGCCGCCATCCGTGCCACGCCAAATCTTATCGACCTTCGCCCTGCGGATGGTAACGAGACCTCTGGAGCATATCGCTTTGCCATCGAGAATCAGACTCGTCCAAGCGTGTTGGCATTGACCCGTCAGGATCTGCCCCATCTAGAGGGCTCATCGATCGAGAAGACATTGAAGGGAGGATACGTATTACAGGAGGTTGACGACGCTGATGTGACACTTGTAGGAACAGGTTCTGAAGTCTCCCTGTGCGTTGAAACTGCGAAACTGTTGAAGGAACAAGGAAGTGTCAAAGCTCGCGTAGTCTCTATGCCTTCGACTAAACTCTTTGACGCACAATCGCAAGAGTATAGAGCTTCAGTCCTAAAGGATGGTATCCCTATAGTCTCGGTTGAAGCCGCGTCCACTTATGGATGGCAACGCTATGCTCACGAGTCGATTGGTATTGACACATTTGGATCTTCAGGACCTTGGAAGGAGGTATATGCTCATTTTGAGTTGGTTCCAGATAAAGTCGCAGAAAAGGTTAAGAAAGTCGTTGCTTTCTACAAGAAGGAAGGATTTGTGCCCTCACTCGTTCGCAGGTATTTCCACTAAGCGGATGTCTTTGCACGCCACTCTGCTGCATCTCGCCTGTACCATTTGATTAAAAATTAAATAAAACAAAGCAAATATGAGCTTGAAGCGGTTTATTATACAATTTTATTATTTTTAATCTATTTGTTTTCTTAAGGGAGCGAAGGACTATACTCCCCACCATGAGAGTAAACCCAAGCCATCACCATTGATTGAGCACTAAAATGGAGATCAAAACAAGAAAGAAGCTTATTAGTTGATCCCAATCAATTGCTTCACATAATTTGCTTTCATACTTTCTACTTTCTTTCGACTTACAACAAGAGAATAAGGAGCCTGTTTTGTAGAATTTGCGCTCAAGTCTGGAGTGTCAACACCTTCCTTTTTAGGGCGGACTGAAGGTGAAGTGTCAAAGAACTGTTCTGACTCGACTCTGAACCGAATGCTCTCGTCTATATCCATAAACATTTCGTTCTCATCATACATCCATACCCAGACTTGTTCTTCAGAATTAAATTCGGTTCCTTGCTGTAAATAGCCAGCTGGAATGAAAATGTCGTCAAAAAAGCCAAGTGAAACTGTAATGATAATAAACCCCCCAAAAAAAAGGAAAAAAAAAAAAAAAAATGAATTAGCGCCTCATAGGAAAAAAAAGGGGACAATGTTAAGAATGTTAAAAGATGTCCCGCCAGCTACTATCGAACCGACGCCATTGACTGGCAGCCTGTTAGCGATCCAACGGAGAATATTCTTCGCAGTTTTAGGTAAGAACAAAATCTCCACAGCTGCAATGGATGTATATGCTTGCTGGGAGTGTTCGTCTGCGGTAAATGTGTATATGGATTGGGTGCGTTTTTTTTTTTTTTTTTTTTTTTTTTTTTTTTTTTTTTTTCACTAACCACGAATGCCTTCTCTGCTACAAGACCGAATCTTGCCTATGATGATCTCTCCGATAAATGGACGGAAGATCACCATACGGAAATGAACAGTGACATAACTGCAGCCGTCGCCATGATGAATAAAACCTTCGCTTGCAGAGAGAATATCATGCATTGCAATACATAATCCTACATTCTGCAATACCTAATGAATAATGGTAATTTTTTTTTTTTTTTTTTTTTTTTTTTTAATTTCGTGTTATCAAGATAATATCGCGCGCGTCTTTTCTCCAAGCCCTGTTTTCCAAAAAAATACCTTGTTGGCATATTTGCGATTGATCTCATCTGTAATCGCCTGGGGTTTCTTTTTCCTGAATCCTGAAGGCTCAATCTTGATAGTATCTTTGATTTCTGCGAGGTTGAACATCCTAGAGATGCGTAGCCACTGCTCGTCTTGTGTCTTTTTTTTTTTCTTGTCTGGTACGCGCGTAAGTGTACGTATGTGTGGATTGAGTGCGATGTGATGTATATCTGTTGCAAGTGCTGTTTAAAAAAAGTGTAATATGTAGTCGTAGTGATCTTATACTTGTGTTTGTCCTCCAAAGCTAATCCTAGTCGCCATAAATTTTAGTCCTTATTACTCTTTTTTGCTCTTCTTTGCGGTATTGTTCTGCCTTGAATTTGAAATGCTGCTCAGTCTTTTGATGGGATGAATCCTGAGGTTGAGTGTTAATGCTGGAGGCTGCAGCAGCATGAAGTCTGTAAATAAAAAAAAAAAAAAAAAAAAAAAAAGTCCAAGCCACACTAAGTGTATGATTTTCGTTTCATCTGTCGTGTTAAATGCAAAATGAAAATTTATTGTGAAAGTCTTCATCAGCACTGAGGTGAAGCTTCACGGTAAAACACCATAAAATATAAAAAAGGAGTCATGATAGGCTACAATTGTGCTCTACTAGAGATCCATCCTTGGCTTTACTTGTTATAGATTTACTTCCCTTTACTTAAGGATATCTTGATAGTCTACACATATTGTCCAGCTTGCTATCATGATTCTGGCTACAAATGTATTTAAAATTACTGTCCATTGCACTGCATTGTGCAACAGAAAACTGATTATCCGGGTTATCAATTCTGGCAATTGTAATGAAATCCCAACGATTTCTGTCCGTAATAGTTTTTTTTACCAAAAAGGATTGCAAAACGTTGATCGATCACCTCATATTAAACCTCTCCGTGCATTACTTTTATGAATCAGCTTTATTGCACAATATCAGCGAAGCTAAAGATGATACCATCTCTTTTTTTTATTGCCCTCATATAATACACTCCACAATCAGGGTATCAATCAAAATGAAAAAACGAAAAGATAAAAGGCCCAATTGATAGGTGGTTGAATGATGAGGATGGTCGCATAAGTGGGCGAATACCAAAAAGCATATCTGGTGTATATTATATAACATTAAAAAAAATCTTTTAATGTATTGTGATCCCATCTCACGAAGGTTCCTTCGATCTAAAAAAATTAAGTGCCATGTGAGGAGTAGAGACCCCTTTTTTTGGAGGAAAAAAAAAGATAGATCATGAACCATAAACAGAACGTCCAGGAGAATTAGCCATCCTCAAACGTTGAGCATGTGCTTGATTTTAAAACTATATCTGTGCATGAATGAAATGTCAAATCCACAGGTCCATGTTCAGCATATCCACATCAAGCATTGAGTTTTGTTCGAACTATGGCATCATTTTTAAAGTTTCCATGCCTATATATTTTTATGCTTCATCCATATACATATATATTACATATATTTTATATATATACAATAGTTTATTCATCCTTTGCACATCTTACTAAATGATCCATGGATTGGACATACAATGTTACAATGTGGCGAACAATTGCTTCACTTTTAAAAAATGTGGTTGTCCTAGCATTGGGATTGGTTGACCAAGGACGAAAAACTAGCCACTAGGAACACGAAGCCATACTTACACACACGGAAATAATAATTGCAAGGAACACAGAGCACATGGCAATTGTCCTAAATGAAAGTTCATTTGTTTTTGTTTTTTAAAACAAAGAAGAAAAGAAGGTTTGCATGTATATATAATTATAACATGTCAGCCAAGAGATGCTTTAAACAAAAAAAAAGAGGGAAAAAATGGAGATATGGCATCATATCGCTCTCGAAAGGCTCACGCTCCAAGGGTTTGCTTATGCTTTGCCCATTAAACGCCTGCAGCTTCCCTTATTAATATTGTAGACATTACAAAGCATATAATTTAATAGACATTATGCAATAAGTCAATGAGCTGCTTCATGTCCAACTTCTTTGTGACCCGTGAACCTGACATATATACATGTGTGGGTTCCTGAGCAGGCATCATTCCTGTGGATCTCTTGTTCATGGCAATTGACAATCAAGATCCAGCTGAGATCCCTTTGCGTTATTATAATAGTATGCGCGCTTTAAGACCATTGTAGCTTACCAAAAGTGTTTTGCAACTTTTTTTTTTTTTTTTTTTTTTTTTTGAACTTTACGGCAATTGCGCCATCTCCTGTATTACGAAAATTTAGTGCCCTTTTTTTTTTTTTTTTTTTTTTTTTTTTATAATACCATGTTCTCGAACCTACCTCTTTATTTTATTTTCTATGACCACCTTCAATGCATCTAGAAACGCTTTCTTTTCATCAAATTCCATACCGTCTCATCATCTGGCGTCATTAGCTAAACCGTAGCGAGGCCTTGCATCGTATTAATATGAAAAGAGGGAGATCGGCCCGATACTATGGAAACTTTGATTAATCCATATTAGAGATCAGATGAAGGCCTATTGTAACACTTTTAAAGACCGAGAAAAAAGCCTGTAGTAGTCGAGGAGGCTTCTCAGGTATATAATATCACGTGTACATCTTGACGTATATGGCTGTATTACCAAGATTCATTGCCTTTGCAAAATACATTCGAAAGGTGATGAAGGGGAGTTTTTACTAAATATGTCAATGACGATGTGTCCAAATGTGTCGTATTTGTGCTTTTTGACGGCCTGGATCCAGTTGGACCTGATTGATTGAGGAAAATAGAATTAAAAGAAGGTGTTTGGATGGATCTTTCCAAGACTTCAAGAATGAGCGAGCGAGCTAGCTGCGGGAGTATGCACGTTTACATGACATGGCATGATCAATAGATAGGCATGGCTGTTTTTTTTTTAGTCTTGCATTTGTAAACTTTTTCAGATAGAATTGAATGACACCCAGTAAAAGAATAAAAAAGAGCGACAATCGCGAACAGAGACGTTAAAATGTCGCCATTTTTGTTATTTCTTTTACTGTTTAGACTTTGTTTTGGATTTGCATGCCTGCATAGTCACATTGTAACACAATTCAAAAAAGCTAAAGTATTCTGCAAAAGAACCATGCACTCTTCTTGCTCTGTGCACAAACTTCATGATTCTCTTTCTTTACAAATAGTGGACCAAACACAGTTTGATTGGTATTGCAATAAGATTCAGCTCTGTACCCACTTTTTACTTGTTACAGTTACTTTTTGCTCAGTTTTTTTTTTTTTTTTTTTTTTTTTTTTGTACATGTGTGTAGAGAGAGGGAGGAAAAGATAACCACAGCTCAGCATTTATTGTTGAAAAAAGAGCGGGCTAAAAAATTTCCTACAGTTAAGATATATACCATTTTATAATTTTATTGCATCGAGGACGAGTGACATGTTGCCATCCACTGAGAAAACGTATAATATGAACATGTTCGGCAAATGAACAGGTGCAATCTGAGCAAGCGTCTCAGAAATGGGTAGAGCAAGCAATGATATAATAGAATGTATTCATTACAATCCCACAAGTAAAATGGTGCGATCGATCTTGGAATGGAATAAATGAAATAGATTGGCTACGCAATTCTTTTACTTAGATTCTAACTCTTATTTGCATCTAACATTATATGTTCTATCTGATTTGTTCGTCAGAAAGCAAGAGCTTTTTTTTTTTTTCCTGCTCCAGGTACGATCTCCTTGTCACACTTGTCGTGTAAAACTTTTTTTTTTTTTTGTATAAAAGACATCGGATTTTTTTTTTTTTTTACTCTTTTCTTCCACCTCGTCCTGCCTTGTCCTCTCGTTCTCACCCACCATCCTTCCTTGGCTCTTGTCCCTGATCTAAAGGAAACATCACTTCATTGTATTTCCGACTGAATATATTTGCTTCATCACTTCTCCTCACACTGTTCTCCTTCTTACTCTTCATCAAATGGCTGATCAAGAGTTGAAAGCATATGGCCGTGGGATCGTCAACTGGGTCAAGGCCTTCCCTTCCAACACCCCTCGTTACATCACTGAGCGTCTTCCCATTATCAAATGGTAAAATATACGCATCTCACTGCTCCCATCTCGTTATGCAACTCTATTACGGCATATCCTTCAGCACAGCATCCAAGGAAACAAATGTCCAGTTTACTTATCCATCTTTCTTTTTTTAACCGATATATGATCAACTAGGCTGCCAAAATACAACCGTGGATGGGCCCTCAGGGATATTATCGCCGGCGTCACTGTCGGACTGATTGTCGTTCCTCAGGGAATGTCATATTCCAAGATTGCTGGTCTACCTGTCCAGCATGGACTCTACTCTGCATACATTGGCGCCATCTTTTACTGCTTCATGGGAACTTCCAAAGATTTGACTATCGGACCTACTGCTGTTATCTCACTTATCACTGGTGAACTTGTTGCTGAACTCGCTGGACGCATGAGCGCCCCCGCTGTTGCCGCTATCTCTTGCCTCTGTGTTGGTGCATTGACCTTGATCCTCGGAGTTCTTCGTCTTGGAATCATCCTTGACTTCTTCCCTACCACTGTCTTGGTCGGCTACACGAGTGGTGCAGCCGCTACAATTGTCATCCAACAGATCCCCAAATGGCTTGGCGTGCCAAACATCAACAACCGTGCGCCTGTCTACGACATCATCATCAATATGCTTAAGGCCATCAAGACTCTCTCTTGGTTGGACCTTGTTTTTGGTCTTGTTGGCTTCTTCATTTTGGTCGGTATCGGTCTTGCTGTCGACCGTTGGGGCCGTGGCAAGTTTTCGATTCAGATGATCAAGATCTCGCGCTTCTTCATTGTTACTGTGCTTGCCACCGTTGCCTCCTTCCTTGTAAACAAGGGCGCTCCACTTGATGCTAAGGGCCAGATCATTCCCCGTATCTCTATTTTGAAGACTGTTCCTTCGGGCCTTCCTCATCCAGCAGTTCCTGGCATTACCGCAGAGATCTTCAGAGAAATTGTACCCAAGCTGTTTGCCATTGCTTTGGCCACTATTCTGGAACACATTGCTATTGCTAAAGCTTTTGCTCGCAAGAACCGTTACCAATTGGATACTAACCAGGAGCTTTTAGCTTTGGGCGCTGCTAATATTACTGCCTCGTTCTTTGGTGCCTACACTGTCACTGGTTCGTTCTCTCGCTCTGCTGTCAAATTCCAGTGCGGTGTCAAATCTCCATTTGCAGGCTTCGTCACTGGCGCGCTCGTCCTCTTGGCTTTGTACTTCCTAACCCCTGCGTAAGTCTTAAAAGAAATTCTCAAGGTTGATGCATGATGTTTGTCTGTGTTGCATGGAGGAACCAGGACATGTGGAACAAGAACTGCATATTGGCACTGTCATATGGAGAAATAGATCATACATCATGATTGGCTTGAGCCGGCGAAACTGCCCTATTTCTGTTCCTGATTCAATACTTACATTTCCATTTTTTTTTTTTTTTTTTTATCCAAAAACCAAATAGCTTCTTCTACATTCCTGACGCTGCCCTGTCTGCTGTCATCATGGTTGCTGTCTCGACGCTGATCAGCCCGCCCTCAGTATTTGTTCAGTTCTACAAGGTCAACCTCTGGGACTTCCTCGCCTCCCAAGTCGCTCTCTGGGTCACTATTTTTGTCTCTGTTGAAGCTGGTATTGCTTCTGGTGTCGGTTTCTCTCTCCTCGTCCTCTTATTCAGGATCGCCCGCCCTCACTTCCATGTCCTCCATCAGGTCAAGGATCGTCCTGACCTCTTTGTCGATGAATCGCTATCAAAGTCATTTGAGACTGTCCCTGCTCCCCATGGTATTTTGGTTTTTAAACCAGAGGAATCTGCCACTTTCCCTAATGTAGAGAGCTTCCAGTCCTGGGCCCTGGATGAAGTTTACAAGTACACTCGCTTCGGTGGTCGTGTCAAGTCTGTCTCAGAGAAGATGTGGTCCGATGATTTGGATGTCCACATCCGCAATCTTCGCAAGGCTACCCACGGCGCTGATTCCAAGATTACTGATGACGACCTTCCACAACTTCGTGCGGTTATCCTTGATATGTCTGCTATCAACCAAATCGACTCCACCGGTCTCCAGAACTTATTTGATTTACGCGATTTGTTCCGAGACTATGCTGGTGTCACCGACTACCCTACTCTTTTCTTTGAATTGCACTTTGCAAATGTTCAAGCTAATGTTCTCAACATCCTTGAGCGCTCTGGTATCACTCGTCCCCTTTCCCCTGCCGCTCTTCAGGACGTCAAGACGGATGCTCCTTCTGCCCACGGTGGTGCACACTTTAGTTCTGGCCCTGTCGATGAGAGGGGTCCTTACTTGAAGGAAGAGGGTCTTGTCCACTTCACTGTCCGTGATGCTATTGATGCAGTCTTGATCCGTGCTCAGGCTTGGGAAAAGGATGTTCCAGCTGGCGAAGAGGGGCACCATGCCAGCTCAGACTCAGACTTGGCTACTGAACAAAAGGAGAGACCGGCCGAGAACAAGACTGAACTCAACTATGTCTAAAGAAGGCAGATCTAATCTTTCCCACTTTCATGTTGGCACAACAAGCTACCGATCCTTAAAAACTTGTAACATTAGTTATTGTATAGGTTTGAATATACCCTCTCAGTTGCCATACATTTACTATAATATCCCACCATTATCTAGCTCCATTTTTATCCTTACCTTCTCCCCATCGCATATCAGCGTGTCTGGCTAATAAATAAGGTTTTTTTTTCAGTTATTACTGTCTAATAAATAAGAAATATCAATAGAAAATGATTCTTCTTTTGCGTACATCACATGATACTTTCAGCGCTCAAGCCACACGCAGACAGATCAAAGGTCGTTCCTGAATAGTTGAATAGCGGAAACAGCAGGATTCAAAGATTAAAGGATTCAGGGAATTTGAATTTTATAACCATTCAAATTAGCATTACCACTTCTCTAAAATAGGAAGAAAAAAAAAAAAAAAAAAAAGAGAATAAATATTCTTATATTCATGGCAACACTTCATCTTCAAGGACAAAACGGTCAGGAATCAGTGTCTATCCCTCTCTCCACAGAAGAAGGAACTCAGCCACGACCTCAGATCATATACATCAATACTCGCTCAATGGGCTCGGATACACAACAACCCCCCACATCCATTACTGATTTATCCAATACAACTACACATCCTACTGACTCAAAGCCATCAGCTTCGATAGTTAATCCTGATAATTCTTCACAAGTACTTGAGAAGACAAAAAAAGATGAAGGCTTTATTCAAACCATTCTGGATTCCAATCCGTATTTCTCTGCAGGATTTGGGCTAATGGCTGTAGGAGCCGGCCTCACGATCCTGCGCAAGGCGACAGTCTCAGGCGCATCGGTCCTCCGTCGTCAAATGTTGGTCAGCCTTGAGATTCCAAGTAAAGATAAATCATATCTCTGGTTCTTACATTGGATGTCATCACAATCTCGTGGAGCAGGCATTGAAAGGGGGGGAGGAGGGATAAACGTAGTAGGAAAAGTACATCATCGTAGGGGTCTCTTCACTAAATGGGCAGATAATCTTGCGGATCGGGTCAACAAACGATCTCAATTCCTGGCTGTGCAAACAGAATTCAAACAGCATGATAATGGATCAGTCTCGACGCGATTTAATTTGGTACCCGGTAATGGCAAACATTTGATTCGATATCGAGGCGCATGGATTCAAGTGGAGCGAACCCGAGATAGTAAGATGATGGATCTTTCGACAGGTGCGCCTTGGGAAACAGTAACCCTTACTACGTTATCACGCGATCGTGCAGTCTTTACAGAGTTGTTGCAAGAGGCTCAGAAGATGGCTTTAATGAACCAAGAAGGGAAAACAGTAATTTACACTAGCTGGGGACCCGAGTGGAGACCATTTGGACAGCCGCGAAAAAGACGACTGTTGGAGAGTGTAATCTTGGATGATGGTATTGCAGAGAGGGTGGTCAGAGATGTGAAGGAGTTTGTGAAAAACGAGAAGTGGTATGCTGATCGAGGTAGGCTTTGACGAATGTCATGCGCACAAAGGGCCAAAAATGATGCTGTGATGCGACATCTGACATCTGACATCTGACATCTGACATCTGACATCTATGGATATTATGGATATTATGGATATTATGGATATTATGGATATACCTTTTTTCTTTCATCCTTTTGTTCTCTTTTGCTTCTCGGTTAGGTATTCCATACCGCCGAGGGTATCTGCTTTATGGTCCTCCTGGAAGTGGAAAGACAAGTTTTATTCAGGCACTGGCAGGAGAACTGGAGTACAATATCTGCATTTTGAACTTGAGTGAACGTGGGCTAACAAACGATCGGTTGAACCACTTGTTAACTAACCTGCCTGAACGCAGCATAATGTTGCTGGAGGATATTGATGCTGCCTTTGCAAAACGCGACAAAACTCAAGAAGGGTATGCTTTTTGTTTTTTTTATTTGTTGCTGGTATCCTTCTCTGTCTTGCCTTATCCTTACCATACCTTTATCATTTATTTTTATATGCGTTTCATATGTGCTACATACCTCTTTAGTTTTCACTCCATGGTAACATTCAGTGGACTCCTCAATGCTCTCGACGGCGTCGCTTCCGCTGAGGGCAGAATCATCTTCATGACGACTAACCATATAGAAGCATTGGATCCAGCGTTAATTCGTCCTGGACGTGTAGATTTGCGCGAATATGTGGGTGATGCTAGTCCAATACAAATACGGCGGATGTTCAAACGATTTTATGAGGGTCATGACGCATTGGCCGAAAGATTTGTGAAGTCATTAGAGAACCATAAAGTCAGCACTGCAGCCTTACAGGGTCATTTCGTCCACTTTAAGGATCGGCCCGAAGATGCCTGTGAGAATGTGGGATACCTTTTCATGAAGGATCAATAATAAATTTCTCCGCAAACAACAAAAGAAAAAAAAAAAAAATGCACCTCTTGATGTTCCTCTGTTTGATTTGTGTCAAACAACCGATTACTAGACATCGATGTGATTCAATGGTAGTGTGGTCTTATCATTTGGAATCTAAGTCATCAAGGCCTTCAAGGGCTCAAAAATTGAAATCCCCTTCCCCTTTAGCTGAAAAATTTGATGTAATTTAAATGAACCATCATAAGAGGCTTGAGTCAGTAATCGTAGTTCCCATGATTATATGTGGTGACAGACGGTTGACAGATGGTGATAAATATGATAGTAACAGCGTTGACGATATGAATAGCACGACATGTAAATAATAGAGGAGTGGGATCAGGAGTCGCAGCCATTTCGATAATGTATCGGATATATTCATAAATAGGTTGCATCGTCAAATCTTGTTTCTTGGTGTTAGCTTCACCACTTTTGGCGCTTGATTTCTTAGGATTTCATACTCTCATTTGTGCTGACTCTACTATCCATACTTCTGAGTAGAGCAGCCAAGCTCCTTCTCCTATCACTGGTATCGGAAATGGATAGCGCCTGAATGCGATACGAGACTGAATACATCTTAGACTCTGTTTCTGTGGGCAACACCTTTATTATGTCGCAGAAGCATGACAGGGGTTTCTACCTTAGTTACAATTCTCATGAGGATAGCAAATAAAAAAAAAAAAAAAAAAAAAAAAAAAAAATGAAGAAGAGTAGAAGAAAGAAAAGAAAAGAAAAAAAGAAGCACTTTGCTTTTGTACCTTGAAATGAACCCAATTTCAGGCACACAGTATTGTAGGTGGCACCGATTTTAAGAATGACGCGTAAACGCGGTAAATATCCATCTACGTATTTTCTTTATTTGCATTCATTTTCTTGTTTCATCTCTTTTACTTTCTTTCATTCGTCATAAACAATCAACAACATCATGGCAGCCACCGCAATCGACACTCAAAATCATACAAAGTGGCAGGTCACTGATGCAGAAGAGCGCGATGGATTTGTGGAGTACTGTAAATTGCGCACATGTGAACGCATGGAGGTTGACAGGGTCGCCGGTATGTGATTCGATCTTGATTGAACTTGTGTGATAGGTATGCCTTATTGTCTGGCCCTTTAGATTCATGTAATAAAGTTATTAATAATCATGGTCAATAACAATGGTAAATGGCATATAGAGCTGGAAGAGGTCGAGGAGGCTGATATTGATAGGATGCGAGTCATTGCAATCGAATCCAAGCTGGAGTGGAGAGGCTTCACTGACGAGATGAAGATGGTATTGTAGTGCTGACATATCCAGTTGTTTCACTAAGTGTTGGTTTGATTTACTCACAAAATCTTGAGATTTGTCATTATTTCTGTTAATAGTTTTGGGTGGAGCGTGCGTCCATCAAGACCACTTTGAATTGTACGTAAAAAAAAAAAAAAAAAAAAAAACTCGGTGTTCTTTTCGTTTAACTAAGACACGTTCCCTACTTCTTTCCACTATGATTAGCATGGGACAACTTCCTGAAAAAGAACAACGTCAGCGTACCAAAAGTTGATGCTACAGGACCTGCCCCTGCAATGCCTGCAGTACAGCCTCATGCACATTAAACTATCTCATTTCATATAATAACAGTACTGATCTACATCTCCCATTATGGAGAAAGCCGTCCCCAGTTTCTTTGTAATAGTCAAGACATGAAATAGTAGAGCATTTGGTTATATAAAAAGTCGACTTTTACTTTAAAATATATGCCTTTGCCTTTATTGACAGAGGTTCCTATATAAAAAAAAAAAAGACTGATGTAATATATTGGGTGTAAACGGCTATGTTTTTTGTAAATATGCCCAAAAATAACTGCCTTTTAAGAGCTGCAACTACACTGAATACCTTGGCCCCATTCAGGGACAGGACCAACAAATTCGCCGTAAACCTCCAATCCTGTATTGTTTCGTTTAACCTCACAAGCGTCAATATCCATAGTCTCAGTAGGCTCTTTTGTCTCTTCTCCAAATGGATGCTGGCACATCCACAACACTCTGTCGAGCAAGTCCTTATCAGGATCATCTTCCTGGCTTCCTTCTCTTGTCTTTCTAACACTCTCTGTCGTACGTTCAATTACTTTTTGTGCCACCCAATTTCTCAACACAAATGCTGGATTGATCTTGTTCATCTTCGACCGACGCTTCTGATCATCCCTTAGCTCATCTGACTCTACAATCCTTGTATGATAAGCAGCCAACCAGCTCCTGGACTCCTCAACCGCAGCACTGCCGCGAGTCTGCCAAACAACTGGCGGGAGTAGCCTTTTGACCAATTGCTTCACTTGATCCATATTCTCCTCTAGAGTCTCAGCTTTCTGAACCTTATAGTCTGCCAAATCTCTAAAGAATTGATGGAAGTCAATCTCATAGTCATCCATCCAAGATAGAGCAGGAACCAAGATCTTGGTCAGATCTTCATCTCGCACCTGCTCTGGCCCCCCGAGTCCTAGTTTTGCATTCATACGTCGGCGGTAATCCTTCAAGAAGACCTCCCTGAAATTCTTATTCAAGATATCAACTATGATATTTTGGGCTGCTTCCTTGAGGTGTTGCTCCTTCTCTGGGTCCGACTCTTGTAATTCCAGCCATTCTAGCTCATCAACGCGTTCTTGAGCTCCGATAAGGTTCTCGAGCGTCAATGCCAGTCGGCCCAAATTCCAAAGACAGATCCCAGGTTGCTGCTGGAATGCATAGCGACCCTCAGTATCGGAGTGGTTGCAGATCCAGGCGGGATCATACTTGTCTAAGAAGGCATATGGGCCATAATCGATCGTAAGACCTAAGACTGACATGTTGTCTGTATTCATCACTCCGTGACAGAATCCAACTGCTTGCCAGCCTGAGACCATGATAGCAGTTCGATGTGCAATCTGCTCAAACATCTTTGCAAATCGATTACGGTATGCCGGTTTGGGCGATGATTCTGCGGCAGGCGCACCCTCAGCTGCACCCTCTGTCGCTGTGGTTGCACTTTCCTTTGTAATAACAGGTTCTGGTGCAGTTGTGGTCATGTTGATGTCATTTTTCCTGTTCTTCATTGCGAATGTCGTCATTTCCTCAGGATTGTCTTTGGGTAAATTAAAGACTTGCTCCGTTACATATTCAGCTAGCTTACGTAGGTTCTTTCGGTCTTTACGATAGAAAAAGATTTCAAAGTTCCCGAATCGGACCCAACTGGGCGCAACACGACACACGATCGATCCAGGTTCGACTCCTTCTTCACGGATGACTTGGGTCTTGGTGGACAAGATGGCAAGTGATCTTGAAGAGGGGACATCGAGCGCAGCAACAACTAATCATGTTTAGTTTAGAGACGGATAGTATCCGGAAATATTTGAGACGTAGAGATGATGTGATAGTGAGTTGAGACATACGCCATCATCATGTCCCAATATTCCTTTAAATAGATATTACATACATTCAGCACAGAGATATTCTCGAATTGAAGAGCGTAGAACAGCATATCCATCTGCGAAGCGACTGTAGGGTGTTTTCCCAGCGCCCTTGAGCTGTAGCTCCCATGATTCACCTGTTTCTTTGTTGACAGTTTCATCTAATAAAATCAGAGAGAGATGAAAGGGTAAGAAGAATGATATTCGCTCATTTTTAATAGTTTCACTCCATTATACCATTGACACATACACAAAGAAATGGCTCGGCCATCGCCCAACTGCCCTGCATAATATCCGAACTGATGTCCGCCATAGCAGAGCGCCCAGGGTTGTGCTAATCTAGGCCCGTCTGAAGTGTTTTTGTAATCTGCTGCGCTGAGTGTCCTTGCTCCCCCAGTCAGAACTTTGACCAAATGGTCATACTCTTCCTCTGACCACTGACTTCTTTCCAGTTTGTTCTTATCCACTCCAAGTGTTTTTGCGAATTCTTTGTTCCAACTCAAAAGATACGCATCTTTGGATTGATCTTGTGGATGGACATACGAATAAACAGCATCGCGCACCATTCGAGGCGTGCTAAGCACGCTTTCGGGGATACGTGCACCCCCCTCTTCACCCTTCTCATGTACTAACGCAGAAAGCTCATCACATGGTAGAGAAGACGTGAACCTCGCTGGGGTCCTTGGAGGAGGAAGAGGAGGTGGGATAGGTGTAGCAACTGCTTTTGAGGAAGATCCAGAAGAAAATTGACGAAAGGACATTGTATCTTTAATGGTAAAAGCTCTGCTTGGATATGTTTGTGCTTGTGCTTTTATACGTGTCGTTTGGGCAGCAATGGTTTTTGTAATGCGACGAAATGATGTGGAGGCAAAAGAGTGCGAGAATGAAGGTGATGAAGAAGAGATACGCCCTAGTAAAGTAGCCTGTAGCATAGTTGGCATAGTGAGGATAAAAGAAAAAGTAATAGACGATGTTCCTCATCACACCATTGGCGGAGTCAACGGGTCAATACCCTTAAGTGCAATTCAAATAAAGGTTTGGGGTGACTGGCTGGTTAAGTGAATTCGTGTGCTAGTGTGTGCTTGTGTGTGTTTGTTTACCTTTTTAAAAAAATAAAAACATTTTTTATTTTCCCCCTCCTTACTCTTTCCTTTCTTCCCTTTCCCTTTATCCTATCCCCTCCACTGATTCACACCATGTCCGGACTCCTCGCATACACAAAGTTGGCCTTGGCTGCCCCTCGTCTGTCTATGGCTGTCCGTATTAACTCCATGGCTATCCGTGGCTATGCTTCCAAGAAGTTGTTTATCGGCAACCTCCCCTGGGGTACGACTGATGATGAGATCTCGGAAGTGTTATCACAGTACGGCAGTTTCAAGGATTTCCATGTTCCTAAGGATCAAGACGGACGCACCAAGGGTTTTGCTTTTGTAGAACTTGAAGAGGATGCGGCCGACAAGGTGATCCAAGAAGTCAACGGCCGTGAGTTTAATGGCAGAGAGCTTCGAGTCAGCGTTGCCAACCCTCGTCCTGATCGTTCTGAACGTCCTCCCCGTAATGATTTCCGTGGCGAGTTCCGCCCTCGTCGTGACTTCAACAGAAATAACAGCAGAGACAGAAATGGAGGTGAAAGACAGTTTCGTCCTCGTCGCGAGTCCAACAGGGACTACAGTAGGAACCAGGATGGTGACGATCGCTATTTCCGTCGTCCTCAGAATGACGGAGCTGATCGTGAGTAAGGAAGTAAGAGACCAAGCAGATGTTCTGATTGATATCGCAAGACAGCAAATGCCCAATCATTTATACACAGGACAATAGTGCCAGCAAACCAGCAAAGACATAAATACGCATTTCAGACAGAAGGATACCTACAGAATATGGTCCACATCTTTTCTTTTTTCTACATTCTATTTCTTTTTTGTAGTTTACCAATACACTTCGTTTTCTTTATTTTTATTTGTTAAAATTTTTCGCAACTCTTTTTGAACTGGACATTGTACATTATTTTTTTTTTTCGCAATCCCCTCAGCTCTGGATTGGAAGCATGAAGATAATAAAGACACGGCAAAAGAAATAAAAAGAGATAACCCCAATTCTAGAAAATAAAGCCTTTTTGCTTTTTTTCTTCTTTACTTTTTTTCTTTTCTTTTATAACATGTTGTAAATAGGACTATGAGATTGTATAGCTCACTTCTCAGGTTCTCACATTCATTCCTTCATTCCATTTGTGCTTTGCAAAATCAGCAATCGCCACCAAAAAGGAAAAAAAAAAAAAAAAAAAAAAAAGAGCGTCACATCTTATTAACCTTGATCCTTCATCATACATGATTTAATTCTCTCGGCTGTCAAATAGGCGGAAGAACTTGATAAAACAGCATCTTCACTATTTAAGGAGGAGTGGATGGAGGATTGTATTTGGGTTCTCTACCGAGTTGCAGGTGGAGCAGTTGAAGGCCAACGGGAGAACGATTCACTTTGGTAGTATTCATAATACCTTCGATAAGCCAAGGGCACAGCACATTGTTTAGCGTAATTACTTGTAGAGTGCTTGTTCTTATGAACACTTTTCGTATACAGACACAAGACGAATCTTTTCACACTTGTTGTCAAAAATGTCAGCACGACTAAGAGCAGGGAGGAGTGTGTCCTCGCCAACTGGTTGCGGAAGCTCCGACCATAGATGGGATGGCGGAGCAATTTCCTCTCCTGAGAAAGTCTGCATTCTCAACATTCTTTGTACCATGTCATATCTATCACATTTAGAGGGCATGGAGAACAACCGCGCTCCCTACTGACTAAATAGTAATAGATATGGAGCACTCCCTTATTGGTTGATGAGTTATAAAACGCAATCCTGATGTACTGAACATTCGTACTTGAAGTTTTTTTCAGTAAATTTTTACTTATTATTTACTTAAACATCGGTAAAAAAAAAAAAGTAAATTTTGAGTAAGTACTTACTGATTTTACTCGAAATATACTGAAAAAAACTTCAAGTACGAATGTTCAGTACATCAGTACAGGTCACTGCTTTACTCACCAATAATTGCGACGCGTCCTTATTTATTTTTATTTTATTTTTTTCTCGTAAGTTCGAGGGGAAGCAAAGTCAAAACTATGGGCTTCTGTTGACTTAGAACCGCTACTGAGCGGTTTGTTAGGGAAGCAATATAATGTCCGTAGATATTCATTTTCCTTCCTCTCGACCATTATTGCAGCCTTCTGTATACATCGCTTGTAGTCTTTTCTTCATCTTTTTCTAACCTTTGCTCGATCGCTCGCTATCTCTCAAGTCCCTACACAATAGTCAATGTTGATCCGAACGACCAGCATATTCAAGTCTTTCGAGTTTCAACATCATCTTCAATTATATCCATTCCAACACGATTTGATAATATGACCCAGAAGTATGTCATTTGCTGGGTAGATATTCAGTGAGTTTTCAACTACGCCGAATATGTTTTAAACAGCGACAGCGTAGTCCTTTTCATGACAAACGATGCTCTAGAAGAGTAAGTGAGATAAATGCTCTGAAGCCAAGTTGAATATTTAATAAAAAAGTGTGGGAAAAGTATTGATATTAGTCATAGTCTTATACCATTATGAATTTGTGCTCGCTTCGGTGTAATCCCTAAGGTAGTTCAAAGCAATGCCCTGGAGAATATCACAATTGCTGCTAACCCTGACACCTGACTTTTATTATTTGTGCATTTAATTCCTAATCCCGGAGACAACTACAAGCCAGTGCGGGCAACAGGGAATGGATCTACATCAGCATATCCACCGCAGGCTCGACTTTCACATGCACCTATAGAACAGCAGGACTTGGACTTCTCAATAGAAAGTTTTGGGCTAATGCAGCACTTATGAGCAATCTTACGGTTCATACAGATCCAACAGGTCCTCTCATCCGAATTTCAACCCGAATAACTTGTCTGATGATGTTTCTTACCCAACTATTACTTGATCGTCCACTTGGTTATATGCAATCATCTAAAAAAAAAAAAAGAAAAAAAAAAAAGGATGATCTGAAGAAAGATGTTACTTTTACTGAGTATGATGTGCTTTGAATCACGTAGGCATGATTGATACTCAAGTCCTGTTTATCAAATTCTGGCAGTACACCTTATTCCTTCGTCTCCTCAAACGTTGCCTGTTACACTCTGTTGCATGTGTCACCTGTGCCTACAAGAATATCGACATGGTATTCTATACCAAATAGTGGCTCCATTAAAAGAGAGAGTGAAGCATATGAAAGGTCAGAAGTATTAGAAAAGCCAGTTCTACTATGCTTTTGTTTAATAACAAAAACAGCTCTTCTATTGCGATGCAGTCATTAATTTGGAAAGCAATACACTCTACATGTCAAATCTAGCAAATAATATCATGTCATATCCTGCTTGTTCTCAGCGCACGGACAATCAGACGGACCCTAGATGATCGAGATGTTCGTTATTGAAAGTCATTCCTTAACAGAGTTTAGAGATCTTAAGAACGTCCTCTAATACGTCTAGCTGTCCAGAAACATGCGTCAAAGGTCCTATTGGAGTCTTTTTTTGTTGCAACAAGAGAGATAAGACTACTATGGTCATTTTAGGGTTCTAGTTGGTCCACTAATCCGGGAGACAAAGTATGAGGATGAAACATTAAAGCCGCGTGTGTTGCAGGTTTTAGATTGGGTTAAACTAGAACTTTGATTGAGGCTCAGCAAGCATGGCTTCAAAAGCACGTTCAAAGACATTAAAGGGAATAACTATGAGAATGCTAGTCACCAGATCACCAAGCCCTGCACCAACCATGATGAGAACAGAAGACCTGATGCTGTTGGTGGCGTTAACTATTGACTCTATCACTGCTATTATAGCAGCCTATTGTGACAAATAAATAAAAAAAAAAAAAAAAAAAAAAGATACCGGAAGAGGGTCGGTGAAGGCCCTTATTGTCAATATCGTTTTAGATACTGTAATTCTCAAATTATTTTTTACACTGGCAAGGGCGAATTTGCAAGTATTCAGACCAATATGGATTTTTTGGGGAACAAGTTTTTTTTTTTTTTTTTTTTTTTTTTTTTTGGGAGTGATAAGCTGATTTTGATGGGCGTGCCAACGTCTAAAAATTTCGGAATAGATTGTGGAGCAATCCCCTTGCGTACATCCATTTCAAAAAATTATTGATCAGCCGCTCTGTAAGATTGAAATTGGTGAAGATATTAGGGTACCTCCCTCATCATTTAACTCTTCCCTTTCGTTAGAAGAGTGAGAATACTAGTGTTGACTTTAGTAGCCATAGGGGTTCTCCATATCATCCAAACATGTTGCCCAATTTAAAGCTCTGATCCATATTATGGACTAACCTTGGTTGAGATGAAAAAAAAAAAAAAAAAAAAAAAAAAAAGGATGTTCTATAGGAGGATTAGATCATCATAGACTTTTCACGCGAGCTTAGCATATGAGTAAGGACTGATTGGTGGACGACCGAGTGCAATAAACTCATTGGATGAAGAAAAAAGAAAAAAGCTAACAAGGAATAGGAGTAAGCCAGGGTAGATGAAGGAATAATTTATAATATGTGTTACACAATAAATTTAAAGGAGAGCCAAGATGGAAGCCGTAGATGATGATTATTTGTATTATTTTCTCGCATGCATGAATATTGTTGAGCGTAATGAATGCTAAATATGAAGACCAAATAACCAAAGCTTTCAAATGACAATTGACAGAGGGTGATGAGCTATTGGTCAGTGTTCTAGAAAGGAGACAAGAAGTGTATCCGTTGACAGGGGTTTGTAATACCATTGGGACGAAATGGAGTTGCCAACCAAAGTAAGGTACATGTAATCCAATCATGCAGATAGGGTTTGTGTCAATCTTCGGGTCTAGACATGTCCTGGAGGGAAAAGGAAAGAAACTAAAGGAACTGCCCATTAGTCATAAATATCCATGTATTTCTCAGAATGATCCACTGGAATGGATTTGACCAAATGTCTTAGGGGAGGACAGGCCAAAAGGATCACAAAAAAAGTCGAGGAGAGAGGGAGGCGAAACCATTGTTTACTATGCTCACTACACAGACTACATGTCTTTTCTATAGAATACTTTTTTTTAATATCAGGACGAGAAGAGATAAGAACAATCTATGAATTAACGATAAAATCAGGGAAGAGGGCTGTCAGCGGTAGATATTCTTGCATGCTTTTCAAACATCTTGCTTTTTTTCTTGATGATATTTAAGCCGCCAAAAAAAAAAAAAAAAAGGTTTTTGCAGATGTGACATTCTGAATGATAAAAACCACAGTTGCTCATTGGATGATTCATGCAGGTTCTACCCTGCCAGTCTAGCGTATTATTGAATTAACATCAGGACCTTCAAAGAATCAAGGCTGAGCTGGAGATGAAAACTATAACCACCATATTGCTGTTGAGCAGCTCATTTCTCATTTATTTTCTTTGTTTCCACTATTCAGTGCCCAGTGTATGATGAGTATTAAAAATGGGTTATAAATTTGGTAGATGAAAATAAGAAAGGTTATGAAGTAGCAAGCAAAGAGGTGCAAAGAGCACAGAGCATGATAGCCATGCGAGTTTCACTTGTGGTTTCTGGCTATTTTTTTTCGGCGTCCTGAGCACTTACTATCTACTAATCTCTCTTTTTTTTTTCTTTTTTTTTTTTTTTGCTTGATCGATCAATAATATCAATTATGAGAATTGCGGAATGTGTTATTGGTTTGTTTTGACAGAAATAGGTGAGATGTTGTGTTTGGGAAATGCGAGAGCTTGGACACAATGCAAGACGCGATTATCGTGTTTTTTTTATTTTTTATTTTTATTATTTTACTAGTCAGCATTGCTCCGTTACAACAGCAACAATAGTAGCAACAAAATTAGGAAGATGTGGTTCGAATCAATGGCCCAAACATTTACGTGACCAAGAGTGACAACTCTATTTGGATCGACATTTTTTTTTTTTTTTTTTTTTTTTTTTTTTGCCTTGCACTGTATGGACAAGCCATATCAGAAACAGAACCAAGCAAGGTGTTTATACTCAAGGATGGCCATGTGCAATATCAGCTCGATTACTCATTGGGAATGTGTGGGAAATGATAGACTATGATAGTATAAAAAAAAAAAGTTGAATGCAGGTCGGGAAGTTGGACACTGAGAGCCCCGGCTGAGTTGCCCCCTTTCCGCACCCTCTCCATACTTGGTTCGCTCGACCAAAAAGAATAAATTGCATGCATGCATGCGTTACAACAACAAAGCAAAAACAAAAAAAAAAATAAAAAATAAAAAATAAAAAATTTAAAAAATAAAAGACGTTGAGCGTCCAATGCGTGTGATCAATAGGACAATGAGCTTCGCTGGCAAAAAAGATCAACGGGAAAGTAAAAAGAGCGGAGCAAAGATATGTGGTTCGTTGCTCATGATCCTTTCTTGAATAGTGATCAAGATGCTATAGCCCAAAAATATTCGATATCAAGGTCGTTGATACTACTGATGATGATGGCGATGACAATGCCCAAGTGCAATGAAGTGAAGGGTGCAAGGCAAAAAAAAAAGTCTTGACAGCCACATGATGCTCTCGTATTCTGTACTCTTTTATAATGCGTGTTCGACACATGTGGCATGTGTCGTTTCTTGTCAATTTAATGACAGCGCCCAATACAACAGGGCTGGACTTGGTTCCTCTTTTCTTTATTTGTTACATGATATCCCTCAATCGGAATCCTTTAGCTCATGTCCATGTCCTGTGTGAAATCGGATTGGCTCCAGCTTGGCCGGCCACACAAGAATACATGATCCAATTGTGTAAAAAAAAAAAAAAAAAAAAGGCGAGGACTCTTTTGCCAATAAAGTAACAAGGAACAAGAGATCATTTCAATTGGCAACAGAAATGTCCATTGGTAATGATGCATGGATGGTATCCTGGATGATTGAACATGAATGTGCCTTAAGAGACGAATTGCATAAAAATATCTGTGATCTGCTTGAATCCATTTGAGCCTTGTGAAAGGAAGGAAAGAGGAGTAATTTTTTATGCCTCATGCATTAACTGATTGCCAACGCATCTGCGTACACTCTGCACTATGATTTTGATGATGGATGGTGATGGGAGATACCGATTATTCTTTCTCTTTTCTTTTCCTTGCTTCCTTTTCCAAGCAAAAGCAGCCAATGCCAAATCTTCATTTCACTCATACACTCTCAACTGTCATCATTATCATTATCAATCTATCCAGTTCTGTACTCCCTCTTCATTGCATCTCTTCTTCATAGTACCTTCTTCATTGCATCCTCTCTTCATCCCTCATTCTTCTCAACGACAACTGGCATCACTTCTAGACACACATCGTCTCACTCATACTTCGTACTTTTTTACTTTTTTTTTTTTTTGTACACCATCGCACGCCTAAGAATCCTATTCATTTATTTTTCTCATCTCTCGGTGCACTGATCCAATCTCATCAGTTATTCAGTTGTCTATCTCTCTTCCTCTCTCTCTCTCTTTTCCCACGTAAAATCACGCCGATAGCTTGCAATTGAATGTGTGCTGCTCTTTTTTGTCAGAGTTGCGACTAGACCTACTCGAATTTCGCTCCTCCACTCTCCTTGTCTTCATCCTTCTTCGTCTGTACAGGAAATACACCCTTATAAAAAAGATTCACATCTTTTTCCCTCTTCCTCTCCCTCCTCTCCCCTCTCCACTGGGTGGTCAACTTCACACCCTTCCACTTCTGGCACATAGCATTGGAGCGTGGAATTCATTCAGTCTAATTTAATTGAGGTGTAGCCATATCTTCAGCACGCCCATATCACATCACATTATACATAACATACAGCCATGGTCAACGACAGGTCCCAAAGTGCACAAATAAAAAAAAACAATCGCGCAGAGGAATGGCTCAAGAACGCAGTCAAGGACAAACATGTCCGCCTGATCCCTTTCTCAGAGATCAGTAAAGTCAAGTATAATGTTGCTAAAGGTGGTTCAGGGACGATTCATCTTGGTGCTTGGCGAAACATGCATGTCGCCATCAAGGAACAACACAACACTAATGACCTTATTAAAGAGGTAAGCTGATGGGATAATTTTTATTTTTGCGTTCATTTACACAATTGCACACGCAGCAGACATCAATTCCCAATGAGCACTTGTTTATTCAGTTCCTTGGGAGGTGCAAATATGGACAAAACAACAGTGACAGCACACTCTCTTTTATACTTCTGCAATTGTTTCATATTGCCACCCTTTTTACCATGTCTTCTAAACTGATCCTACACTGGCTAGTTCTTTTTTTTTTTTTTTTTTTTTTTTTTTTCTTTCTTTCTTTCAACCACCGCCATTGCAATGCTTGAGAGAAGAGAGAAGAGGAAGTGATTAAAAGAGATCATAGAAGAATGCCCAAAAAAAGAAGTAAATATGTTTCATTGTACGATCGGTTGCATCATTGGATGCTGTGCCTTCAATGGCTATGCATGGCAGATGACAATGGGCTTAGAAACATACTAGGCGAAAGAATGAGGACGAACAATTTGTGGGGGGAAAAGAATGAAGAAAGTGAGGTTGATTGACATTATCAGCACTATCAAGGAAAAAAAAAAAAAAAAAAAAAAAAAAAAAAGATAAAAAAAGCACGTAGCAACTAATTAAAGTAATCCAATTCAGTCGGGAAGATCGGAAAGAAGCATTATATCTACGTGCTGGGAAGAATGAATGCTCCTCGGACAGACAGAGCGAGTATAATAAGAACTAAAGTGAGCCAGTAAAAGGGAGAGGAAGAGCGACTGAGTGAGAATGAGACTGCCACTGCAAGCATTTACTTTTCTTTTCTTATCCAGTATGAGTTTGATCCACCAATTTGCACTGTTTTGAATGTTTGTTCAAAAAGGAGAATGCTGCACATGTTTTCCTCGCCGCATGCACCTACACATCGTGTACGACATGTGCATGTTTATACGCACTGCTCAGCAAAAAAAAAAAAAAAAAAAAAAAAAAAAAAAAGCGCGTGGTTAGTCTATTCTCCGCTGGAGCTCATGCCACAAAACACCATCCCGAAAATGAATTATATTAACCACTCTTTTTTTTTTTTTTTTTTTTTTTTTTCCTTGCTCTCGAAAAACCTATCTATCATCAATTAAAATAGTTAAAGATGCATAAACAGGTGCACGACTCCAACTACATTGTCAAGTTCTTTGGCATCACCAAACATCCACTCACACACGATACTTGCATTGTGATGCAATTTGCAGAAAATGGATGTCTACAGGATTACTTGGAGACCCAGAACGTGTCCATCACATGGCTGACAAAATATCGCCTTGCATGGGAAATAGCCAGCGGTCTGGACTTTATCCATCGAGAAAACATCTTCCATACTGATCTGCACTCACGCAACATTCTCATTGATACAGACGGGAAAGCACTCATTACCGATTTCGGATTGAGCAAATCTGTCAATAAGACTATCTATACTACCAAGGCAGGACTCTTTGGTGTCGTCCCCTATGTTGCACCAGAACGAATGCAGAATCCCACGATTACCTATACTTCCAAATGCGATATCTACAGTCTAGGCGTCATTTTGTGGGAATTGTCAAGTTGTGTGATCCCCTTCGAAGCGCAATTACAGGATGTAATGCTGGCAGTGAATATCATCAATGGAGTGCGCGAAAAGACTGTACCCGGAACAGCAGTTGAGTATGAAATGCTTTATAGGCGGTGTTGGGATGGGCTTCCTCAAAACAGACCACAAATGGATATTGTTCTTTCAGAGTTGGTGGAGCTCCTAGCGTCAGAGCAAAGCAACCCACGTCCAGCTGCTCCTCGGCCTAAGTCTCCTCGGCCTGCCCGTCCACTCTCAAGTGATTCAATGGTGGCACCAAGCTCATTATTTCCCTATGATAACGAGTCAACACTTCAGCCTTCACCAGAGAACACAAATCATGTTAACAGACCAGCATCACCGCCGACACTACTGCGGTCTGGTTATCGCCAGTCGTTTGGACAGGGAATGACACCATTAGTACCACAACCAGTTCCATCTGTCCCAATTCGGCAAGACCGCTCGGGCGTTCGTGTATCTTTCTTGGGTGATCCTTTGGGTAAAGATAATCAAGTGAATGGCCAAAGCAAGACCAATGGCGTCGTCAATAGCCATACAAAATCAAACCAATCATCTAATAAGAACAATAACAACGGCAGATCGGGAGCGGCGAGTGAGCAAACCAAAAAATCCCCTGCAGGCCATGATAGTCCTACCATACTTGATATTATACCCGATGGCGCTGCTAAGATAGTTGAAGATGAAACAGTCAAGAGCCACGCAGCTGGAAAGGACCAGGCTCATGGAGCAGTACTGAGCAGTAATGATGGGAAACGGCAATCTTCTGAAGGCAAGGAAACTTCAACGGCATCACAGCCTGCATCTGAATCCGCTATCACACCAGCTTCAGAGGCGACAGGCCTTCCATTATTACCACCATTACCTGTATTCAATCCTTCCTTCTCTCCCAACACAACTCCAAAGGAAAGTATCCTCCCCCCTGCACCCGTAGATCCTGCTATGGGTAAGTTACCCGAGACCGCAGCCCTTTTCCTTTCGAGTGGCCTTTCGATGCAAAATGTTGTTAGTAAGTTGAATAAGGCCTCAATCAAAAACATCCCTACCATCTCGCCTCCTCCCAATGGTGCACTTCCACCGCCGCCTGGTGCAGTTGCCGGTCATTCCAACTTCCCCAGAGTCATCTCACCGCCTTCTACTTATCGACCCAAGACTGTGTCACCACCAAAGATGCGTAACCAAGGACTACGTGCCTCCAAAACAATCTCGCCGCCCACAGGCCCGCCACCTGCAGGCCCTCCACCATCAGCTCCAAGGACCACACCTTCTCCATCTCTTGGGCCCATCCCAAAACCACCTTCTGGACCTCCACCTATGTCCCGTGCACCTACTCCAAGCGATAATGCTTCGATGGCAGGAGCGGGTACGTCTAGAAATCCAGCTGCTCTGGTCGACTACACTCCTATGACAACCTACACTGGAAAACCAAAGTCTCCAGTCACGGGAGATCCTGAACAACCTGCATCGCCCAATTCTACTCTTTCAGACACCACACGTCCGACTCCTGCAAGAAATATCCCCATGGGTTTTCCCGTAGTCACGCCTTTGAACCCTCCTCATTGGAACGTTAAGCCTAGCCCATCATCAGTATCATCCGTAGCAGCTACAGCTACTGAAAAAGAGACCTCCGGGACCGTATCAGAATCAACTCCTTCAGGATCGCCTACAGGCTCACCTTCGTCTACAAACTCAACACCACCTTCTTCTGCCGGCTCAACGCCAACATCTAACAGACGGGATTTTCGACCCATTTCATTCTTGACTCAACCGAAGCACTCGAGTTTGATCGATTTTTCGGCTCAAGCGGAGCAACACACGCAGCAACAACAGCAGCAACAGGACTCTTTGCAGCCCAAAAAATCTGCAGCAGAGAATGTATACGTCCCTAACCCTAATAATAATATTATCCCGCCCAGCCAGCTGCATTTACAGCATATCCAGAATACAGATTTGTTCCGCCCAAACAATAGGAATAGCCGCATGCTAGGTAGCCCTAGCTTGGGACCATCACCATCGCCTACTTTAGACAGTAGAAGTAACAACAACAGGATTATCCACAGTCCACATCTTGGACCGTCGAATGGTAGACCTGGATCTCCCGCATTCACCCTCCCACCTCCATCTAGCTCATCCTCATCTGCTCGAGGGGGTACAACCTTTCCAACTGTGGAAGGATCTATTTGGATGCGCGAGCCAAAAGGTAATCTTGAAAGCTTTTTATATATACTAACTATATTATTTATTAAGTAAACTTTTCTGATTATATGATGCCATGGATATATATTGATCATTTTTCTTCTATTTTATTTTATTTTATTTTATTTTACTGTACGCTCAGTTGCAAGCAGTTTAGGTGCTGGGAAGCGAACCTGTGTAGAGGAAGATTTCTCAACACTATCAATGAGGCAAGGAAGTGAGGCTCGAGAGAATATTAATCGAGCACCGCAACAAACTAATCCTCCGTCGTCATCATCTGCAACGAATCCGGCCGCTAATGGCACATCGCTGTCAACCTCGCCTTCCTCTGCAATTTCGGCCAACTCTAGTATCACCACCATGAACACCAATGCTTCAGCCAGTACTTCTACGACCGCAGCCGCAGCTTCATCTCCTGCCAATGCTATCGCGCCTATCAAACCTCGAGTACAGCTCGATAACTTTTACAGTCTCGCAGACCCTTACAAAGATTTGCAACATGATGAGCCGACAGATTTTTTTACTGCAGTAACACAGTCAGATATTGCAACGATTGAACGGATGCTGAAGTTGTTCCCGAATTTGATCCATGAATCCAATGGGTTCTGGCCTCATCCCACCCCCATCTTGGTGGCCGCACGATCTCGATATCCAATCGAGACAATGAAGACGTTGATTCAATATGGTGCGGCTTTGGACCGTGGAGATCATAATGGAACGACGGTTCTACATTTTGTCTGCGAACAGTATTCAGACCCTGTAGAGGCGATCCAGTTTTTGACACGAGCTGGTGCAGACTGTAACAGTCGAGATGCCAAAAAGCGAACGCCGTTAATGGTCTTGTTGCAAAATTCACATGTGTGTTCAACTAAGGTCTTGATTGATTCCATGAGATGCCTCTTCAAGTTTGGAGCCCAAACCAAGGTGATGGATCATCAGTTCCAGCGGACGCCGTTGCATTATGCGATCTTGCACAGCAAAGAGCCTGCTCCTGTGATGGAACTCTTGTTGAAGAAGGGATCTGAAGTGAATGCTCGAGACTGGAGGAAATCGACACCGCTGCATTTGGTGTTGGAGAAGATGGATGATGAAGAAATTGTTCAGATGTTGTTGTTATATGGTGCAGACCCAGGGTTGAAGAATGGCAACAAACGAAACGCGCTGGGTGTCGCAGCAGAGAATTTGAGAGTGATGAGTGCCTGGTTCTTACTGGAGAATGATTTGATGTCTTCAGCCCCCGAATCTATCAAGAAGGCTAACGAGTTGTGTTCTAAAGCCGATGGGCCCGATAAGTCTGCGAAGCCTTTGTTCAAGAACACATTGTCGGATTGGCAAGGCAAAGAGGGCAAGCAGCGAAGAATTCAGTTGGCTCAAGATGTGGTGTTACGAGTGCAGAGAACGCCAGATATGAAGACAATCGATCAAACGCAATATGCACTCGAGTTCCTGGACAGTGTTGGACAGCCCATCCATTTGAACAATGTCCATATGAATAATATTAATGTAATTGGATCAGGTATTACAGTTGCTGGAGGAAGTATCGGTGCTGGAGGCGTAGGTGGTCTTGGCATGGGCATTGGTATTGGATCTGGCAGTAACGTATCTCCTACTACTAGCAGTCATTCTCATCGCTAAAAGTAAAAAAAAAAAAACTAATCAATTAAGTAGCTAATAAAACCTCCATGATACCCAAAAAAAAATAAACAATAGCATTTTAAGGACTGATGCTGATTCTATATTTTTTTTTTTTTTTTTTTTTTTCTAATGATGGTATGAACCAATTTAACTAAGATCTATTTTTGATTTGTTTTTTAAATATTTTTAAGCAAACTCGCTCCAGAGACGCTCGAACTCGGCCTTGAAGCCCTGGACAGCCTTTGGAGAATTGGTCAGAGTCAAATTCTCACGGTTGTCAAAACGAGCACCCTTGGTCCAATTATAGGAGCCATTGATCACCAATGCATCATCAATGACTGCAAACTTGTGATGCATGTGTGATGGACTATATTCGTAGGACGCAAAAGAATGTTTGTTGACGGGTTATTATATACCTATCATCTCTATTACTCAGATCTATGCAAAGGAGGGTTCGTATTACCTATTATCCAGACGTGAAGGAATGTTGTGCTCATCTGTAAGACGATGGACATCTGATCCTAAGTCTTCAGCCTATTAAGAAAAAAAAAAAAAAAAAAAAGAAAAGTTTATAAAATGATCTCTATTGTTCAAAGTCGCGTCAACTTTTAGCTCTGCAATAAATATAAAAATATTTTTTTTTTCCTACCTTATCGTTATCTGCAATGATGCGAACCTTGACGCCGCGCTCATGTGCCTAGAAATTCAAAATGTAATATGGTGATTAGTTTAATCGTTAATTTGATGCATGCATAAACGCATTTCATGTATAAATAATTACCCTAATAATGGCTTTAGCAAGCTGATCATCTGTAATGGTGAAGACACAGATATCCAACGACTTCTTGGCATCATCCAATGTCTTGACCAACATCTGGAAGCTTTGTTCCGAAGGGAAGAAGATTGGACTGACAAAGACATTGCTGCCTCCTTGCTTGTCATTGTTGCTATGGTTATTGTTATTGTTTTCATGGTTGTCAGGCAAGGGGGTAGGCTTAGGAGTAGGCTTAGGAGCAGGCTGCTGTCCCGAGGAGTGATTGCCAGAGGCATTCAGCAGTGTCTCGAGCCAAGTAATCTTTATAAAAATAAATAAATAAATAAAAAACAAAGTTATTCCGGTGCTTGCTGCTCACAGAAACATGATGTCCATAACTCCAGAATTTTATGTTCCCAGACTAATATCAATTGCCTAGCAAAATATCATAAAAGGAAAAGAGCCTTACAATGTCTTTGTCATGGTCAACAGCACAAGCAGAGCGAGCAGCGTTGAATAATTGTTGGATCGAGGGTGCAGAACTGCTCTCCTTGGTATGTTGCTCATATACGCCAATCAGGCCCTGACGGGTGGTCTGGTCTTGAACAATGGAAGGGGCTGAGTTGAAAGTCTGGATGAAGACTGTGTTAGAATGGCGAACTACAATGGCAAAAAGAGCACTGATGCCTGAAAAGGTGGGTCGATACTCCCGCTCCTGCAATTTTTTGGACTCCATGTCCTCCTTTCTTTTTGTACAAATAAAAAGGAGCCCTGTTCGTTTTTTTTTTTTTTTTTTTTTTTTTTTTTTTTGCGCTTTTGCGTTTTTCCGTTGGGGTTGCGTTGAAAAAAGATCCCTGTCAATTAACTATGCTGCTCCATACGCCCAATTTGAATCCTATCCAGTTAGCTATATAATTATAGGAAAGGACACTCGATTGGCGGATATCGGATGAATTAAGGGAAAGAAGCTGTATTGACCCTCCTTGTTGTTCCCTCAGTCCCAAGACTGCGTGAATGAATAGAATATAATAGGACATTTTATACTTGCCTTATCCAGGTAGTCGTTCAGGGACAGGTTTTGTGCCTCCTCCACAGAGATAGTGCGGGGAGGACGGACAAAAGGAAGAAGACAATTGAGAATGAGTCCAGACATGGTTGAGCAACTGATGACAATGAATGAAAATGAATGGATGAATGAATGGATGAATGAGAAAAAGAGGATGGATGAAAGAAGAAGAAAGTGTGGTGGATTGTTTTATACGTTTTCTTATTTTAAGAGAAATTAGCGAGTGGCAACCTAATTGAGCGGATCTTCAAAAGTCCAAATGACCAGGGACCAAAAGACTCTGAATTGTAATCAGTCCCCTCCCTTATTCTATTTATTTCATCCGTTGGGCTGAATTTGCATCTACTGGTCTGTGGCTGCAGTTTTTTTTTTTTTTTTTTTTTTTTTTTTGGATCCTTTTCTTTGATGTCGTTGGCTCTCCTTAGTGTAGTGCCCAATATCTTTGAGTTTTCTAGGGCGCGAATTGAATTCTTCAAGCTATTATGATTATAAAATCGTCAAGCCCATCATTGGTGCAAGTATAAGCATGTAAACTCTATAACCATAATTTCGAAACGGTGTACTTGCTCCCTACTGATACCCAGGAGTAGGTTCTGCCTCGACCACATTCTACAACAGCCACAAATGCATTTCTGAAAAGAAACAAATGAACTAACAGCAAAGCATGATGGAACCAAAATATAACACCATCATAAACCAACTATAGAAAAAGCAGTGGGTTAACAATGTGTAGTGATGAGGTCCAACACTCTCTCATTTGTTTGCTTTGCAAGAATAATGTGAGACGCGTATTTGCTACCAGTGAGATGACACGTTGAATGTGAGCCCATTTTCAATTTTTTGTTACGAAAGCACGCGGAAGTGTAGTCTATTGAGAGAGACATTGACCTTAAACAGCCCTTTTCAGTTGGACCAAGTCTTTTATAATGCGTTCAAAAGGTATCAATAGTTCTGAATTAATAGGCGTCCCGAAATAGTGATCCACAACACTTCAGAATCCCTCCTCAAGCTAATTCCTTACGCCGCTTTCTCAGCATAAAAGGACATCCAATTTTGGTGAGCTAGTGCAGTGTAGGACCAAAGGCCAGACGGCTTGGTCTTATTATCAACGGAAGGATATGGGCAAAGAACAATAGATTTATTTTTAACTCAGGAGGCAACAACGAGGTCACGCGGTCAAAGAAGCCCCAGGTTTTCCAACAAAGATAATATGATAGAGAGCATTTAGAGAAAAAAGTATGAGGCTATCATCTACAGATGGATTGAACTAGGATCACTTCTTTAACGAAAGGCCAAGAGAAGCTTTTGAAGTCCATGTAGTGCTCATCCTTCTGGGCTAGATTGTTGAAAGCGTGCCACTAAAGTTCACCGTTCATGGGGCCGCAAATAGACTAATAGACACCTTTTATATATCAACATAGCGAAAGATGATCTTGCAATAGTATCGTGTCTCAAAACAATCGAGGGTGGTATAATGGCGCTTTCAACAACCATGTATCCTTGCTTAGTACAAGCGAAGGTAAGTGTTAGAGCCTGAAAGTCAAAGGTGCTGTAAGAAAACAGAGAAAGGCTCTCAGGAGGCGTAAATCCCTTAAACGAACTGATGCATCGTGAAAAAAAAAAAAAAAAAAAAAAAAAAAAAAAGTATGAAAAAAGCAGATGGCTCATGGGAGCCTTCATAACATTTAAATAGTACGTTCTAGTTCTAGCTATTATGTTTTCTGTTATGACACCAGTCGCTTTGTTAGTGGCAACATTTCACCTAATAGTAAAAAGCTGTAGCTGTGGCGTTTGCGATGATCCGTTTCAACGTAAAGCTTCTTGCTTTGAATAGTAACAATAGTAATTTCATAATTGTCGACGATAGATGTGCAAAATGGTAAAAGGAATTTGCAACTAGGGATTTTTTGCTTCTAAAAGTTACGAGTGATATGATGATCTGAGCGAACATAATACGGGTTTATCCACGACAACATACTATTTGTTGACAAGCACATACTCATATAGTTATATAAAAAGGGAAGTTCAGGTTTTGGATAAACCTTTAATACAGTAAATGGAGTTGGGCAAGATGTAAAAAAAAGTTATTTGTGCATCCATTTATTTCTCTTTTACTTTTTCCGCCCAAACAATCACATAATTCGTGGTCCTTTTCCCCCTGAATACAGCGTGGCGTTTCATGGAAAAAAAATGTCCGAAAACTCAAACACGTCAACAAGCTAAGCTGGCTTGTTTGTATCCATATTCTAAAAATGACTGATTTGCTTTCTAGTTTGCTCAGAATGGGGCGGAGAAGGGAGCTGTGAGGCATGATCGTCTTTTATTCTCTGGATAGGATTTATCGTTCTTGTTCCAGGGAGGCTGAGTAAGGCAGAGGCTAAAATCCTTTTTCTTTAAGAGCGAAAATGGTGGAATGGTGGTTCCTAAAAGTGTGTCAGTTTATTATGAATGAGTAATGGTGGTCAAAGCGTTGATTTTATTTTATTTGTCGAGAAATTGCATTTAGAAAATACCCCACCATGATAACAAGTCCTTTCATGGACTTCTGCAGTATTTCCTTTGTCATCTATTAGGTTTGGCTAAAAAAAAAAAAAAAAAAAAAAAAAAGAGATACGACATGTCCAAGATGAAGGGAGATTGATATTATTATTTTCATTCAAAAAAGAGACTCCATCATGAATCTTCCTAACTTCCCCCCCTTGAGTGACCACATTTGAGGAAACAGAAAGAATGTCAAGCTAAGGGGTATATTGGCCATTCATGCTATGGAATGAAAATGATCGCTAGGCCGGGCTACCTCCTTTAAAACTCTATGCAATCGCATGAGATGACTTCGAAAAAAAAAAATAAATAAATAAAAAGGTAAACAAAGAGTACGGAACAAAATAATGCCATTGAATCAATCCACTACATAAAAACCGGATGAGCTTGTCTGTCAGGCCTGAAAACAAGGAGACTGAAAAAAAAACCCCCCCGGAAGAGAACTAAGAAGACTAAGAAGGTTAAGAAGGCGAAGAAAGCGAGAGAAGCGACTAAACGAAGGGAGAAGTAAATTGGCAGAGCAGAGGGTAAGCGTGTGCTTTGCGCAGATCCATCTCAAGTTCGTGGAAATTACTGATGAGAGCAAGGGGTGAAAGAAATAAACGCGAGAGCAGTTCACTGTTCATATTCTTAGTTGTTTTATTCATCACCATTAACCACTGCCATTTTATACACAGGGGGAAAGGATAGGTGAAGGAAAAAGTCCAGCCAGGTACGGTTTTGAAATAAGAATAGACCTTTCCGCGGAATGAAGAGACAGAAGAGGCAGATTCAGCTCAGCAAGAGAGTAAGAACCCCCCCCCCCCACGGCGCTCAACGTGTAAACACAGAACGTTCATTTTTATTTGGGGGTTCAATCATAAAAAAAGACGTCCGTGTCCTGACATGCATGCCGCGCTCTGGTCAAAAGGAAAATTGCTCCCTTTCTTTTTCTTTTCTTTTTTTTTTTTTTTTTTTCTCTCTTTATTTCTCTCCTCTTTTCCGTTCTAAAGTCATCTGTTCTTTATCCTTTTTCTATTTCCCTTATCATTCTCTTTCTCGACAACAACCTGATATACATTTCTCTGTTGACTTACTACACATCTTCTCAAAACTCATTCTATACCATTTTCGTTTTTCTCCTCTTTCAGGTTGTGAAGGAGGGGAAAGCGAAACACGTTCGAGGTTCGTGTTCTTCTCAATGACCTTCTCTCCTTTTCAACAACGTCATTCCGGTATTCTCTTTATTATTATTATTTTCTCACTCTGTAGCGATCGGATATTTACCATACATAGCCATATCCACCCATATCTAATACATCCACTAAATTCAATCACATATTCACCCAATCAACAGACTTCAGCCTGCGAAACTCATATCTTTATCAGCCTCAAAATCCTTTTTTTTTTTTTTTTTTTAGTCTATCATTTGGATATTTCCTTCGACGGGTTGACGAAAAAGGGCGATCAAGAATCAAGCCTGTCTCGGTTCCTTCCTTGTCCGCTTTGCTTCTATTTTAATCACTAATACATCATAGTCGATCCAGAAAAACAGGCCTAAACAAGTGAATCAGAATCAGGCACTCCTTTTACTTCCCACTCTTCTTTTCTTTCTTTTCTTTTTTCCCGTTGTTTCCTCACTTTTGAATCATTTGGCAACATTAAGAAAGGTAACCTCTCTCACTGATATTAATCATTTTGTTTTTACTTGTAGGCATAGTTCTATTACTCATGTGATGGATGGTCCTCTCCTTTACTCGTTCTTACTTATACCACGCCTACCATATATTTTTTTTTTCTTTCTTCTTCCATCCCATTTCAGATTGTTTTCCCTCTGTTCCTGCTCCTATACTGGTCATTGTTTCTTTCTTCTGCTGCTGCAGCCACCTTAAATGATTTCTTTGTCCTTCCTTCTTTTTGGTGTATTGTCATACCTACATTAAAGACCGTTGGTGTGATGTGGTGCGTTTTTGATTTAATATTAATATTATTAATATTATTCTGAGTCGGCTTTTATTTGTTTCTAAGAAAGAACAGTCAATATTGTTTCAATCTTGGAGAGTAGGTGGTTTTTTTTTTTTTTTTTTTTTTTTTTAGTATGATGTGTTGATGAGTCTGATATTGAATTGTGAAAAACCATTGGTCTTGAATAAAAATCCCTTCGTGCATGTTATACATATATATTTAAATATTTATATACAATACACATTAATACACATTGACTGAGCTGGAATGGATCGTCTCTCGCAAAAATGCCATGCGAAATGGGTTAATGACGAAACTTTAAATCAAGGGAAAAATCAGGTGCGTGCGTTCTGTGACGGGAGGAAACTATAAACGTATAAACGGGTCATTTTATTTCGAAAATAAAAACGGGAAAGTTCTTTTTTATCACACTAGAGTTAATTCATTTCATGGTCTATATGGTCTATATGGTGTACATGGTCTACATGGTCTATATGGTGTGTACATGGTCTACATGGTCTATGGTCACAAAGAGACAAGCGTAGATCGGAGGATATATAGTGGGATCGCATGTTTATTTTTCATCTTTTTTTTTTCTCTGTATTTGTTTGGTGTGTTTAGATTGTTTTAGTCTTTTTTTTTTTTTTTTTTTTTTTTTTTTTTCTTCTTCTTTCAAAATGGTGATTGTTTCCCGCAGTATCAAAAGGTGGCGAGCGAGGTATGGATTGCAGCTGATACTGCAATCATTCGTATTTTTGCATTCTGTAAAAGGGTCTGTGGGAGGGGCGTGCACAGAGACGTAAAGATAGACAATCATGGCACTCAAAAATGGCTGTGGAGCGCAGCTCTCATAAAAAGAACACAAAGAGCACTCATTGTTCTCTCCTTCCCTTCGCTTCCCTTCGCTTCCCTCCGCTTCCCCTTCGCTTCCCTCCCTTCCCTTCTTTTTCTTCCCTCTCATTTCGGTCTCTCACTCTGCTTACCTTCTCACTCCACTCCTCTATACCCATTCCTATCTATCATCAAGCAGCAGAGCGTTCCTTTATTTTTTGTACATCCTAATTAATCAACTCTAATTTACTTACAATTATCCTCCCTCTATCGGAACGGGTCTCTTTATCCTTCTTCATCTTTCCTCCTCTTCCCCTCCTCCAGACTGCTTATATACACCCTCACTTTCCTCCTCTCCCTCATCCCATCATTAGTATACACCATGGAAATGGAATGTATGGTCCTTCCACCGAAGGCAAGACTATATGAACTTAAATGTAGTGCCGATTTCTCTTCTGAAGAATTCAGTTACTCTATCAAGACTTGGACCAATATGGCTAGTCTTCTTATCAAGCAGGTAAGGGCAATCTTTCATATCTTTCGGCCTTTTTTTTTTTTTTTCCCTCCTGGACTACCATTAGTGTTTCGTTTGTAATCAAGCTAAAAAGCGCCAACCTTTTAAAATGATGACTAATAATTTCTATAGGGGAATAAGGCCGAGTCGATTAAAGACGATGAGTATGCATATATCTCTTATGTACGAGCATGTCTGTAAGTTTTATTTTAATTTTTTTTGGCCACATGTACAGATGGGCTTTTGATTCTATGACGATGTCACAGCCTTCTCTGGCTTACTGCATCCTTACACCCCATCACTCACACCGCGGAACAAACTCGCAGTGTGTGAAAACAGTATTCATGCATTGTATGCAGCACTTTCAGTCACCCTTTCAACAAGGTTGAATTAAAATATTTACATTGTCAATAACCTTCTTTCCTTCTTGCTACTATGCTTGCTTTGTGCAACTTGTTAGGATTATCACCAAGGTCATCCCACATCAGCCACAATACTCAGCCATGATGAACGACATTGCTTGCATTGACCTTCGACAAAAGATTTTGAGTATCATTGCGCGGATAGGTCATCTGGAACGTCGGCTATTGAAGCGATTCGAGCAGGAGAACCAAGAACGTTTGGCTGAAATTCAACGGTCAGAAGCAGAGGCGGAAGCTGCGGCTGCGGCTGTGGCTGCGGCCTTTGCAACACCAGAAACAACCATGTCAACCATTTCAACAGAATATGATAGTGACAGTCCCGTAAGCGAGCTTGCAGCAGGAGAAACAGCAAAGTTGATGGTACGAAGAGCTAGCTTTAGTCAAGGAAGCGATGAAGACCGGAGAGAAGAGCAAGCAGATGATGATGAAGAAGAGGAAGAGGAAGAGGAAGAAGAAGAGCAAGAGGATGTAGTCGAAGTGAGATTTGAGATCCCATCGGATCGTGGTCTGGCTCTAGAGCTAAATTCTCAGATCTATGCATCAAACCCTCATCGACGAACTCTTACCGGTAACGATGACACATGGAGCACGTCATCCTATGGTGACCAACAGCGGTTATACCACCCTCAGCATCAACTCCAGTATGTATACCAAGTACTCGAAAAGCGTTCACATGAAAGCCTACCGACACTCAAGAAAAAGAGTAGCAACGAAGATGAACGCTTGTTGATATCACCGGGATGTCAGCCCAATTATAGTGCTTTGGCGCCGCCATCCGCAATGTTTGCACGCCAAGAAGGGGCCCATGTCCGAAGATGCTCATCTACAGACGCGATCCGCTCAAGTGCCTTTTTCCCCGCCGACACACAGCTTCCATATCTTACAGCAACTCAACAATCAACAACAACGCAAAAACCAGCGGCTGCAGCAAGGGCAGTAGCACCCGCAGTCCCACGGAGATCTAGCCAGAGAGGTTCTGCGGCGGCACCTTTAGTTATGGCTGCCGTGAGCCGAAGTAGCAAGAATAGTCATAATGGTGGTAGTTACGATACAGTACCAGAACACACATGCTCCGCACCTACATCAAGTATACTGGATTGTGAGGGCGACAGGACCGTATACACGCGTGAGACCCCGAAGAGCCAGCTCAATGACCATCGAACAATGAGTATTAATGACAGCAACAGCTTCAGGATACGATCATCAACGTCGCCCATCACGTCTTCACCATTATCTTTCACATCCTCAACTAGGAAAATATCTTTTTTGAAGGAAAGCAGCTCAGTCACAAATCTTCTTAGGAGCTTGCCATCAACTCCTAGAGCATCCATTGATCGGTTGGAGGCTACTCAGGGGGCAAGCTCATCACCCTCAGCAGTGGTGCCATCGTTAGGTTCAGCTGATCAGTCCCCAGTGCCATCCTCAGCATTTTTCACGCCGTCCACGTCTCCGCAATTGAAGTCCAACAGTCCACACATGCACCATCACTCATACTCATTGACATCCATAGTGCCTGGATCCACTAGTCCGGATGTTAATTCTATTTCATCGTCTACAACTAGTCTTTTGCTCTCTGAACCTCCCTTGGATTTACGGGCACAGGTGCAGACGGCTACCAACGCTACAACGACACCAACGAACCCCTCTCCTACACAGAGCAGTGTCACTACATTTACCACGGGCAAAATATCATCTGGGCTGTTACGTAAGATTCGTTCCCGGCCAAAGATGAAAGAACAATTGTTTGAAATGATAGTAGGACCTACACCATCGCTACCCATGTCAGCGTCACCGCCTATGGAGGTAGCTGAGCATATTCGACAGCATTCCAATTCGCATCATCAACATTCTATTCGAGTTGTCGTGTAATGTACAAAAAAAAAAAAAAAAAACAAACAAACAAAAAAAAGAGGCAATACAAATTTAATAATGTAGATTATATACTTTACTTATCTTACCATTTTATCTGTGTAACCGTAATGTGTAATGGAGTGTAATAAAGGTGGACAAAAAAAAAATGCAAAAGCTGTCTAAAAAAAAAAAAAAGATATTTGAATTATTGGTTGATGTCGTGAGTCTTCCGTCTTCTTGATCCAAGAAGTTATTGATGAGTGCATAGTGAGAACATACCAGAGCCTGGAGAAAACCATAGAAAATGGGGTGTTGCTATTGTTTATGGTCTTTGCAAGAATAGCGTCATTACATTTTTCTTTGTCTGGTGTACATGTACACAAGGTTAATTGTATTTATTGGAATCGTATTACACAGAAACACACACTTCGATTTGCTTCACGTGACATCCCTTCAAGATGGGCAACTAAGCTTCTTGAGTTGAGTGGATAAGCAACAGCCTGGGTGAAATAATTAAGCTCAAGCACAGGTGCTTGATCAGCATAGTGTCTCCAGCGATGAAACTATAGGAGGGATTTATCAACTACAAGCGAATAAATCTTGGACTAAAACTTCCTAGAGGAAAGGTTTGAGAGAAGGTCTCTGTTGGAACTGCTCTATCTGACAGACACTCATTCCTGGGCCATTTTCTTTTATACCATGAGGCGGAGTGGTCTTGCATTGGTTCCTTTTTTTTCAGATCGATTACATTGTAGAATATAATATTGGGCTCAAGCGGATCGTATCCAAGCTTTTTTCCTAACCCAAGTGGATACGAGGTCCTTTGGTTTTGTCAAGGTTGTAAAATCCCTTCACTTTGAGCAGACAACATCAGCCTGATATATTAAGACCTAATTTAACACGTTCTTTTATTCGTCAGACCTACCATACAATCTACAGCCTTCTCCGTTTTCACTGCCAGATTGAGTAACTCGGCATATTGTCTTTCTCTCATTTCCAATGAAAGGCTGTATACAGAGCGCAACCTTCCTTCTCGTTTTTTTTTTTTTTTTTTTTTTTCCGATGAGTTTTAGCCGAAATCTTGTATTATTATCATTATTATTATGCAGTCTTGATCCCCCCCCGCCCTCCTTTAATACCCTTAGAAGTACCAGGTCAGGAGATAAATTCTACTGAATTGGTGGTAACCTCATATGACGAAATAAAGTTTTTTTTTTTTTTTTTTTTTTTTTTTTTTTTTTTTTTTTCAAATAAAAAGTTGCTGTCAGTGCCTCATCGCGTTTCATGCATGCTGAGGATGATTTGAGGGATGATTTGACATGGGCTGAGTACGAAGGTGAGCAAGTAGACCGACAATAATGTAATCAAGCCTTTTCTTGTGCTTCTTTCTCCCCTAAAAAAGGGCACTACATAAAAATGATCCCATTCTGTTGGTTATTACCAATTTGAGAATGAGGTATCAGAAAAGGGGTTGTTACTTCAAGCAGAAAAGCGTACACAAAGTGAAACAACCCCCGTAAGGAAGGAAGGAAGGAAGGAAGGAAGGAAGAGAGGAAGGAAAAATGAGATATGGAGGCTGGGATGTGGTGAGTCAAGAAGTCTGAGTAGTGATTTTAAAAGGAAAAAAAAAAAACATTATCATGCAAAAACATAATTAGTTCCAGAAGTAGTACCGTGATTCTAATAGAGCTTGCTTACTGTAGATGTCAGCTTAACTTTGTTAATGCATGTTTTACAAATACAACAGCCGGTACATATATTCATCTTTGTATCATTGGGGAATAAAAAGGAAGGGAGAAGGAAGGGAGTGTTGCTTTTTTTTTTTTTTTTTTTTTTTTTTTTTGCATAATACATACATAATGTCCAACAACCACAGCAACGATAACATAACAATAAATAACAATATACCAACCACACAAAACAGCTTCAACAACAACAACAATAATAATAATAATAATAATAATAATAATAATAATAATAATAATAATAATAATAATAATAACATCAACAAAAAGCGCGCGAAAAAAAAAAATAAAAATTATAAAGTCTCTCAATAATTCATGAATATATCAAGCGCGTCAATTTATACATTTCAACGTTTATTTTGCTCGTACTGTACCACAGATCAACAGGGGCACATCGCATCTCACGTTGATTAGAGACGTCATGTTGCACCAACTAAAATGTCTTTGAAATGCAAAGCATGCACATTTATTCTTTTTTCTCCACAACAAACCTGTTTTTATTTTAACTACATTATTATTATTATTATCATTATCATTATTACTATTATTATTATTATTAATATTATTAATATTATTTTAAGTAGTGTTAAACAGAGAACAGATTTGTGAGAAATATCCTTTTCTATACTCTAGTCGATCATCCTTTGTTGTTCTTATTCTTTATTCTAGTGGAGAATAAATAAATAAATAAATAAATAAATAAAACCTCACAATGTTGTATGGGCGAGACAACTTTTGATTATATCCTTTGTCTCTCGAGAAATTATTCTAACAGAACAAATGTACTGAGTGTTTGAATGAAATAAATTAAAAAAGAAAAAAAAAAAAGAAAAAGAAAAAGAAAAAAAAGACCATGTAAGGTTAGACAAAACACATGAAGAAACCACAAAAAGATCAGCTCGGGCTGTTAGTAAATGTCAATTCACGCGAATGAAAAAAAAAAAAAAAAAAAAAAAAAAACTGTATGGCAACATCTCATTTCTTAGAAAATACATTAATCATCTCTAGTGGTTTTTTATTCTCTGAATATCAGTTTAAAAAAGACCCAAATCAAACAGTAAGTGGAGTACGGAGCAAACAAAGCGGACAACTGTACTGCATAATAAACTCCAATAGTTACACATATTATATACAATGACGTTAGCTTCCTCTTTTTTTCTTCCTCTCTTGGCTTGACATATGCATTTAAGCAAATCGATTTTATCCCAAAAGAACAAAAAGAGTCCAGATCGTGGTCGACAAAAAGAGGAAAAACAATAATAATAATAACAATTAGAACCCAGCTCAGCTAATCCATCCCCCATCCACTGAATATACTGTACATGTATGTTCTCTTGCTTGCCCCACATTTTGTGCCTGCATATTCTTTTTTTTTTTATTTTTTATTTTTTTTTTGAGATGGTGGCGTTAACAATTTTGATTTCTCCACCTTTGATTGTTCACATCTTGCATTTGTCTGCTTAGTTGAGAGCGTTAGTTATATAGTCGATGTCTTTTTAAGTACATATTTACAGATTTCCATCATGCTTGCGGTAATCAGAGTGTACATGTGTAGCCATAGAACATTTTACAAAAAAAAAAAAAAAAAAAAAAGAAAGAAAAAGCAGGGGCAGGGGCACGTATAACAATCAGCAAAAAAAAAAAAAAAAAAAAAAGGAGGCCAGGAAAAAAAGGCACGTAAAATTCTCTGTCCGGTCCATATTTGGCTACATTACAAAGTTGTTGACGAACCTTGATCCATCTAATAAATAAGAAAAAACTTGTTTTATAGAGTCATAAAGGAATGGAGCTTTTTCTTTTTTTTTTTTTTTTTTTTTCTTTTTTGCATAGTAACATACACCTCCCCCCTCCCCCATTTATCCTTCTTTGTTAACCAAATTTACTCCCTGATCAAGGGAGGGAACAAAAAGGCCCTCAGTATTTGTAAATGTTGTAAATGTTGTAAATGTTGTATACAAGCCGCGTTTTCTGTTTCGCGCGATTTGGCTTTTTGGCTTTTTTTGAAAGAAAATGCTGCCTCTTCTTCGTAGCCTAATGTACTCGTATATGTATACATAGTGGCTACTTAACCTTCATGGTTTATGTAATACAAGTTTATATTTACAAGTAGGGACTTTTTTTTTTTTTTTTTTTTTTTTTTTTCCTATTGCTTGCTTTGATTGACTTGTGGAGAACAATTGTGTAGCGGAAAGAGGACGATGCGACGGAGGAAGAAGTTTGGAAGGCTTGAAAAGACATTGACAATAATACGACAAATAAAAAAAAAATACAGATGTGGAAGTTGTAACCAAAACAAAACCCCCCCCCTCCCCAGCATGCATCAAAACAATGTATCAAAATGTTGACAGAGTATTTTTTTTTTTTTTTTTTTATCATTCCACTCTCTCGTAACCCCACTCTTGCATTATTAGTAAGATTTTAGACTAACACTTTAGAAACCTAACAAAGGGGCACAAACAAAGGGATTGACCGATATTACAATTATTTATATGGTTAGACACATTTATTCTGATTTGACTGAACTTTCCTTGGACAACCTCTCCGGTATATGCTTTCCAAAAAAAAAAAAAAAAAAAAAAAAAAAAAAAAAAAAAGCATTTAGATTGGATCAAGCAAAGTCTTGTCTTAGAAAGACGCTTGAAGGGTAGTGATCGTCAAGTGATTTTTGAACACGGTACTCGTACTTTTTTATTTTTATTTTTATATTTTTATATATTTTTTTATTATTTTTATTATTTTTATTATTTTTATTATTAGGTTATAAAGTAAATTATTGTAAGGGGATAAAGAGAAAAAAAAAAAAAAGGCAGTCGGATTTAGCGAAATACAAGCAACGAATAAAAATAACATAAAAGTAATGGAAAGACAAGAAGCGGGTTGATAAAAACAGCAAAGGATCAGATACAAAAGGAAACAAATAAAGATCGAGAGGAGAAATATTATAGAGAGGTCTTTTTTTTTTTTTTTTTTTTTTTTTGTATGTAATCCTTGGATTTGATTAGTGAACCTTGAGGCGAGGTGTAAGAAGATCGAAAAGAAGCCATAGAAGAGATTTAATGATTGCAAGTGACGGCGTTGGATCGGATTGTTGAGTACTGAAAGAAGAAGACTGGACGGCGGTACAAGAAGGACTCGGAATAAGAAGAGCGAGGACTATCTTAAGGCTGTGCCAGACATGGTGGCAATGGATGAGGCGTGCGTAATGCACATTGCCATACACAGGTTTTTTTTTTTTTCTTTTCTTTTCTTTTTCTTTTTCTTGGTGGCAGTTGT